AGTTTTAATAATAAAGGGCTTGCTTAGGTTAGGGAGTACTAGTACTAGGTAGCTATATAATGCCTTCTTAAGAGCTTCGAAGGAGATAGAGCATTATGTATTCTACTTAATTAGGCGTTTCTTCTTAGCACGTAGGGTAAGGTTACTCTCCTTAAGGTGATCGCTTAATAGTATAGCTATCCTTACGAAGTCTCTAATATACTTACGGTAGAAAGATGCTAGCCTAGTAAACTATCTTACTTCTTAAGCGTTCCTTAGGATTAGCTAATCTCGAATAGAGGCAATCTTGTCCTCTATAGGTCTTACTTAGTTATAGGAAACGTAATACCTATAGAACTCGAACTCTTAGACTCTAATAGAGCACTTCTTAGGGGATATAAAGAGCTCCTAGGCCCGAAGAGCATCTAACACCTGTTTTAAGTACTATTCGTGTTCCTTAAGTATTTTAAAGTACACGACAATATCGTCTAAGTACACTATAACGCTTTTATATAGCTAGTTAGCTAGAATATCGTTTATTAAGGACTAAAAGCTTAAAGGGGCGTTACATAGCCTAAAAGGCATTACCTTGTACTCGTATTTACCTTAACGAGTGTTAAAGGCTGTCTTCTATCTATCTTCTTCCTTAACTCGCATTTACTAGAAGCCTAAAGTTAAGTCGATCTTACTAAAGTATCTAGCTCCTTAAAAAGCGTTTAAGTAATCGTTAATATAAGGGAGAGGGAAGCGGTCCTTAATAGTTACATTATTTAAGGCCCGGTAATCGACATATATTCGCTATTTCCCTTCTAGCTTAGGCACTAGTAATACTAGGCTACCCTAAGCTAAGTAGAAGCGAGCGATTAAGCTACGGATAAGAAGCTCCTTAACCTGCTTCTCTTACTCTATTATCTATACTTAAGATAGTTAGTATAGCTATTAATTTACTNTACTTAAGATAGTTAGTATAGCTATTAATTTACTAGCTTATAGTCGCCTATATCGATAGAGTRCTCTATTRCTCTCTTTATAGGYAGCTTAGCTAGTAATAATAAGCGGAAGAGGTCTAAGTTAGYATTAATAAGCCGTTAGAGAGAGGCTTCCTTACTTAAGRGGGGAGGATCGTCTCTAGGCTYRAGGGGTAGGTTTCTATCGRGCTCTAAGTYCGGRGGACGRATRTCTTYTATAGATATTAAGAAGAGAGGGAGATCTTARTTCTATTTAAGGAGCTCTTCTAGCTCTTAGAGGGAATAGATATCTTYRTTAATAGTCTCCGTTATTAAGTAGTAGAGAGCTRCTCTATAGGGAACTATATATTTAGTACCCYTAACGTTTARGTATAGCTTACTAGTCTAGAAGTTAATAGTTAGGTTATATTATCGGAACTAGGAGAGGCCTAAGATTACGTCGTATCCTCTTAAGTCGAGCACTCTCGCTATAAGGGTACTCTTAAAGTTCCTAAGCTAGTATAGAATCTCTATACTAGTTAAGCTTTCTATTAAGCGGCCGTTAGGGAGTTTAACTTGCCTAATAGGAAGATCTACTTAATGCTAAGGGAACTAGGTAGCAATGTCCTTAGAGACGTAGATTCCTAAAGCTGTAGTGTCGAATAGGAACTTAGCTAGGACTTAGGTGTCCTTCCCTAGTAAGCCTAGGGCTTAGAGAAGATTAGTCCTAATAGCATTTAAGTAATCGAAGCGAGCGTTAAGAGGCATCGAGAGTAAGGATAATTACTAGGGCGATTTATTATCCTCTAATAAATCGTTACTTAGTTTTTTAACTTAGATGYATTACGAGCTTCCTAATTACGTTACTTAGCCTTAAGTTCTAGCTTAAGCTGCTTAGAGCATTTAAACTAGATATAGCTAGCTACTCCGYAGTTATAACACTTCGGAGAGAAGTTAGTCGAAGTAGGCTTACGTAAGTTGTCTTGCCTAATACGTTAGTCTAAGGAGTTTAGGTGTTCTAACTACTATCGGGTAGCTCTCTTCTTTCCTCTAAGGGAGCGATAGGTAGCTCGGTTAGAGCGATTACGTAAGCCTACTTAATCTAAGCGAGGCTCTCTATGTTATTCCGTAATCTCTATATTAGCTATATTAGTTCGCTAGGCTTAGTCTACGATAGGCTATAAGACAGACTTCTAAGAAGTTAAGCTAAGGCGAATAAGTTCTACACGGATCTCTAGCTTTAAGCTATCGTAAAAGGCTTAATAGATAGTAAGATTATCCGGCTTAGGCTAGAGAAGGCTAGAAGCTATTATTAACTTATAGTAGAAGGAGTTAATACTCCCTAGCTGCTTAAAGCGGCGGAATTCTTTCTACAGCTTCTCTTAGTAGTAGTAATCCTAGAAGTGGCTTTAGAGACCGTTAAGCATTATCTCTAAGGTATAGCTTCCTTAGTAGATAAGAGGCTTAAACTTAGTTTCCTAATCTTCCTACTAGGATAATGCATTCTTCTTTATTAAGCCCCCGATAAGGCTAATAAGCGCCTCTTCTATAGGTCTAAACCTCTAGTTAAGAGTAATTATGTTATTTAAGTAGCGGTTAAGCTCCTAAATCTAGAGAGTAGCTATATTATTCTTAACATCCCTATAGTAGTTAGCTAGGATGCTAATAGTCCCCTTAATGCAAGGGGCCCTCTTAGAGGGTTTAGAACCTCTATAGCAACGGTCCCTTAATAGGCCGTCGTTATTATCTAATCCGCTTAAATTAGAGCTATCTCTAGGGAATCCTAAAGCGGTTAATAGTACTTAACTACCCCTATTACCTCTATTAGCTTAGATAGTAGCGGGAGGGTCGTTAAGACGGAACCGTACTAACCCTAGGTCGCTTAGTCCGCGTAGGATAGTAGTACTATAGTTAAGTGCATCGTATTCGCGTAGTCGCTCGTTTTCGGCTTTAAGTTCTTAAAGCCTAGCGGCGACGGCTCTTAAGTAGGTCCTAAAGGTAGCGTCTTCTACATCTAAGGCCTCTAGTATAGCCTTAAGTTATCCTCCTTAAGGAGGGTTTTAGATATAGGAGTATAACTAAAGGTTATCGATTATATCGGCTAAGGAGTAGAAGTCGTACGACTCGCGCTTAAGCGAGCGTCGCGTAGGCTTCGAGGGTCCTACGACGATAAGCGGAGGGGCTTACTCGGCCTAAGAGGCATCTTAAGGGAGAGGAGAGCCTTCCTCGTCTCTTACCTTAGATAGGTTAGCTATTACTATAATAGCTTAGTCGGTTAAAGGTAGATAGTATTATAGAGGTAGGATAGTATAGTACTTTAAGAGAGAAAGGTTATAACTCTTCCTTTTAAATTAAAGTATCCTACTTCGTTTAAGTATAGAGTCTTTCTTAAGCGCTATAGCGGCGAATTACTAAGACACCTTTAAGTAGGGCGGAAGGAAATAGATTACCGTACGTAATGCATTAAGTACCTATTATAGTTATCTAAGATATAGTATATTACATTTCTAGGATGCTTAGCTAAGCTAAGGCGATTAGCGCTAGCTTAGCTATAGTAGTATATGCTTAAGAGGGATTCTTACGGGATATAGCGTATCTAAGCGCTATATCGGCAACTTTCTTAGTATAGCCCTTACTCGATAAGGTAGAGCGAGCTACTACGGCTCCGGGAACAGTTATAAAGCGCTTCCGAGGGCTCTAGCTTAGATATACGGTCTAAGTTAGAGTTTTTACCTAGCTACGGAAGTATATAGCGTAACGCTAGCGTTAAGCTAACTCCTAGGGTAGTCTAGTAGAAGAGTTCTCGTCGCTTTAATCTAAGGGCTATATTAATGTCTAAGATGCGTGTTCTTAAGCTAGTAGGCTTCTTTCTAAATCGTCTTATATAGGGCAACGGGACGAACTAGCTAGCCTACTAGCCCTAAGTAGGCGAGGTAGACTATAGGTCTAGCTAAGGAGCTAGACTTAAGCTCTTAGTTACTAGATGTTCTAAAATAGATGAACTCTAATTAAATCTACTTAAGGGAAAATTCCCTCGGCTATATAGTCCTGCCTAAGTCACGTGGCTACTTAAGCCTTAGGCATACATGCTCAGTTCTTAAGTGGAGACTTTGAGAACAATGTTCCTCGACGTTGTTAACAACTTGACATGTCGGTCGACCCATGCGTCATCAGGATAGGGCCTTGTTTCATTCTTCACATGAATCGGGGTACTTAGTGTATGTGTATAAGAAAGCTAACGCCATCGTCTTAGTGATGGCGGGCTCGCTGGCTGCTATTCGTCAAAATGCCATTCACCTCCCGGCTTCTAAGCTTGTGCTTTCAATTATTCATTCTGCTGGGTACAAGTAGAACCATTACCGCTACTACCATCCAGGATCTACCGAGCTGTKCGCTAGGATGCTATGCACAAGCGGTCGGCAACACGACCTGTGCGGTCAATGATCAGTATGTCAATGCTGGCGGAAATGTGTGCGATAGAGTCTGATCACGTTGGACGTTAGATACTGCCAGTGTACAAAGGGCTTCCAGACGATACTCGACATCGCTATCCCTTGTCTCTGTCACTCAAGCGACTGCCGCACGGAAGACCTCATCGGTAGGTGAATTGGCCAAGTCGCAGGGAACAAGCTAATACACTCTCAGCTGCTCAAAGAGACACGAATAAGATCTGCGCTTCAGCACTATCCTCAAGTAGCCAATCGTTCGCAGCCGCAACGTTCGGTTTGAATGTGTGCCAGGCTGCTGCAACGGGAACGGCTACAGGGGCAGTGACTATTCCGTCCGTGTCTGCGTCGACCACAAAATCTCCCGGCGATAAGAGCAGCGACACGAGCTCAGTGGTCAAGTCCTCGGCGGCACACACTGGTGCGCGGAACAGTGCCAGAACAGGGCTGGAAGCTGTGTCGATCGCAATTGTGGGTATGATGATGTTGGTGCTGTGATAGTCGAGCCAGGAGCAGATGTACTCCAAGGCCCATAGTCATGCAGTAGCGAGCTATGCTGATGGGGCTGTTCATGAGCATCATCTCCAGATTTCGCTCGAGTTGGAAGTGCGCAAGAGGATTGCTGTGTTCAAGATACAGCCTCTTCCCACTTTTTGCTCCAAGCCGTGAACTCGTCCTCTTTGCCGTCCCAGCCAAGTCTAACCGACTCACACGCAATTCGTGCTTCCTTTGTACATTTCTCAAGTCCTTCCTTGACGCTATCTTCATCCAGGTCGTAAAACGAGGCAATCGTATCGTCGATGTCGGTCTGAACGACATACAGCTGCGTTGCTACTTTGTCCAACGCCGCAACCTGCATGTTGTCTCCGCCTTTGAACGTCTTGAATCGTCTCTTGACAAGTGCCGTGTACAAAAGCACAATCTTCTTCAGCCTTGCCTCAGCGCTTTCCACAAGCTTTTTCAACTCTGGGCGATCCTGCGGCATGCTGTTTGCAGCATTGAACAAATCATCCAGACTATCCGTGTCTCCATCCACACCCTCGTCTCCGCTGTCCAATAGCTCATCATCGTGTCCCTCTGTGTCTAGATTCGTGCCTTCCTTCCATTCCTGCAGCTCCTCGATTGCGTCCTTGATCGAATCGCGATACTGTTCCGCCTTTTGTACCGCCAAGCCAGCAATGCCCATTTGCTCCAGCTCGATCAGCGCATCACAAGCCTCCCATACGACACCTGTGGAACTGAGACAATCCCTTCGACTCCCGCCAGGCTCATTCCCACTGGCAATAGATTGCAGCTCCTCCAACAAGTTCTGCACCTCACGAAATACCCGACGTACGCGTCTGTGTACTTCACCGGTCATCTGGGTACCCCAAGAGGCTTTCTCGACTTCGCATATTTGGACGACGCTCATCATTGCAGGAAGACATGTGCCACTCAACTCCCGCAGGACTCCGGCGATAGCGGTCGGTGTGAAGGGTTTGTTGATACCCAGGAGAGAGAGTTTGGTGGTATGCGCTTTAAGGAGTTTCGCAGCATCTCGCACAATATCCAGTGGATTCGGTGGGTTGGGAATTGCTGGAGTCGCTGTTTTATCTTCACTCAGCGAAGATCCAAACTGTCGAAGCAGTGCCAGAGTCGACGAGATCAGCTCGTTCAGAGCCCGTAGATCCTCTTCCTTGGGCGCCATATCACCAGAATCCTTGAAGCGTGATTGATTGTGATGTCTCTCTGCGGAGAATAAAAAAAGTCTCGACTTGCACTTTCGATCCCCGCCTTCCTCTTTGGCTCACCGAATTCCACGTCGCGTCATCCCGATCACTTCCATCTCCCAAACATCGACACATGGCCAAACCCAAAGGTGCGGCCGCCAGTGGCCACATAGCAGATCGCGTGGCACCGCGCACACTGATCTTCGACAATGGTGCACACACAATCAAAGCCGGTTTTTGMACGCCAGAAAAGGAACCCAATCTTGATGACTGCCATCTAGTCGCAAATTGCATTGCGCGTTCCCAGCGCGACAAACTCACTTATATTGGAGCGGAACTGGACGACTGCGGCGACTTTGGCGAATTGCAAATTCGAAGACCTGTAGAGCGAGGCTACGTTGTCAATTGGGAGAGCGAGAAGGCGATATGGGAGCGAACAATCTTCAATCCGAAAAGTGCCCTCCAATGTGAGCCTCATTCGACGAATCTGATCCTGACGGAGGCACCGAGCGCTCCAAGCGCGCTGCAGAGAATTGCCGACGAAATGGTGTTCGAGGAGTTTGAATTTGCGAGTCTCTATAGAACGACAGCGCCTTCGATGAATGCTTATGCGCCATCACCGTTTCCTTCAACCATCATTCAGCCGCAGCCCGGTACACCTCTTGAATGCAGCTTTGTCGTTGACGCGGGTCATTCGCATACGACTGTGACTCCACTCTACCACGGCCGGACCATTCACCCAGCTTGTCGGAGACTAGAGATTGGCGGCAAGACTTTGACCAACCACTTACGAAATCAATTAAGTCGAACGATGGACATGAGCCGAGAAGACTGGATTTCGCAAGAGATCAAAGAAGACGTCTGCTACATCGTCAAAGACTCCACGGACTTCGGCTCTACCCTCGAACGTGTCTGGAAAGGCGGTCAAAAGGATCCAAGGACCATTGATGCGAGCATTGTTGTCGACTACGTCTTGCCAGACTATGAACAGTTGAAACGCGGCTTCGCGCGACCTCACGATCCAAGCAAAGGCGCGAGATTGCGTCGATTGGGCATCGGAGGCACTAGCGAGATGGTGCTGCCGATAGGAAATGAGCGTTTCACCGTGCCAGAACTACTCTTCACACCTAGCGATATCGGGATGCAGCAAGAGGGTGTTGCTGGGACCATCATCCAGAGTCTCCAAGCTCTGCCAAAGGGGCTGTGGCAAGCGTTCCTTGCGAACATTATCGTTGTGGGCGGAACAAGCAAGCTGCCCGGATTTGTGGAGCGTCTAGAGGCCGATTTGCGAAGCTTGGTCGATGACACATATCTTGTGCGTGTCGCACAGGCTGAGGATCCGCTGAAGAATATCTGGCTTGGAGCGGCCAGAATGACACAGAACGAGGAATTACTCAAGTCTCTGGTGGTGACGAGGGCAGAATACTTCGAGCATGGAGATCTATGGACGAGGCGTCGGTTCGCTGGTAAGGTTGGCCGCTGAAATTTATGAATGCATCAACTCAGCTCCATTGCCTGTGTTTCGGCATTGCTGTGTTTGCTCGCAGCGAGCACTGCCTCCTTCGCCAAATCTGCGAAACGCTCTTGGTTAGCCRGACAGTCTTTACCGAGCGCCCGCAGCAACTTAACGCCCTCTTGCTGGACGTTCGGCATTTCGTGCCGGCATAATCGCTCGAGGGCAGCGATTGCGAGCTCATCGTCGCCCATCATCTGTCGAACCTCGACTGATGGCCTTGAAAGTTGGATGAGAAGTCCTGCCACAGAGTGCAAAACGCCGGCATCTTCCTTTGCTGTTCCAATGTGGACAGCCATCTCTAGCAGGGGCTGATGAAGTTTGTCGAGCGTAATGAGAAATTGATAAGTCTCCGTCGGTAGAGCCCATAACAGGTTCCCGATAGTCTGGCACGCGGCAGTGAGCTGGAGACCATTTGGATCTCCAGAATCGCCAACATCCTTTCCGCGTGCTCGCAAGTAGCTGATCACAGCCTTGACTTCCATATCATCAAGGCTGTACGTCTTCGAAAACTCTGGGAGTGCCGCGGTATCAGATAGACACCACACCAAACTCATGCTCAGCGCAAGCAGCAGTTTGGCGTCTTCGGCACCATCCTCAGTCTCCGCATTCAGCGCTGCGACCTTGGACTGTTGAAGTTCTAGAATTCGCCAGACTTTGCCTAATTGCTTCGTTGTAATAATCTGTAATTGAACGCCGGGATCTCGGAGGAAGATCAGCACAGTCTCGATGAGCGATGCCAGTGTCTCCACATCCACTTTGTTGGCGTAGAGAGACGGCAAAAAGAGTAGCTCGTGCAGAGAAACTTCCGGAAGAGGTCGACTGAGACTGGGATCCACTGTGGCCTTTTGCCCACAGATCCACAGTAGCAGATCAATGGCAAAGCTGCATTCCTCAAAATTTCCAGATTTCGCACATAGAGCAAGCAATGCAAGGTGAAGTCCAGCTTCGAAGCCCTTCTTTTGAGAGGCTTCGTGGTCATCGGCGCAGATGTTGTAGAGCACTTTGGTAGTCAGTACCCGGATTTCTGTATCTGGTAGATGAAGACATTGCAATGCCCAAGAGAAGCCGATATCAGCTACGACATCTCGAGCAGCATTGTTATCGGCGCATGCATTGGCGATGCAACGTAGAGCAAGTTCCAGCGTCTCAAGATCGTCGTTTATGCTGCATTCGAGAACATCGATTAGGGTCCTGAGAGTAGCTGGGTCTGCGAGACGATGCCGGACCGTCACATGATGCTTGCTTGCATWGGCTAATATAGCGATAGCGTTGTTGTTGTTCGTCCGGTCTGTAGACGAGATCGAAAGAGACTTCAACGCCGCTTCAACTTCCTCGTCGGTGGTCATGGTTTATTCTTATCTTGGAAGTTGATCGCGGCAAGTGAAGCTGAAGTGACGTGAAGAAGGTTTAGGGACTGACTAATCAATCCCTGTATAGAACGAACTTCTCCAGTCTCCTGATAGATCTAAAGAGATGTCGCAAGCTGTCTCGCCGATCGAATCCGACAACTAAACACAGCTACACCTTCAATATGACTCGCGCACAGCAAACGATCTCCTTGGGTCTCTTGGTCGCTTCTGTAATTCTGTCCTGCAACCCCTTCTGGAGGCCACACTAACAATTGCCAGCTATACACGGTCGCATTGCTCGGACTCATTCCCCTACCACATCTCATTCAGTCGGAGATAATACCATACGTACGATCACAATCGCCAAACCACAGAATCGCCAATTACGAAATACTGATACAACATAGCTGCCTGTCTGGGCCCTGGTCTCCTTCGGCGCATACCTCTTGTTCAAGCTAGGATTTGGCGTCCTTACGTTCAACGATGTTCCGGAAGCACATGAAGAGCTGATGCGGGAGATTGACGAGGCACGGGCAGATCTCAAGAAGAAGGGAGTGAGTGTCGATTGAGAGGGAGGATGTCAAAAGCATAAGCTGGCGTAACGGATTCGGGGGTTATGGGAGGGCGGAACGAGGATACAGCCCATCTTTGCGAGGWTCAATTCGCATCGCTTTGAACTGGGATCTGAAAGTAATGGTACATCTCGGCAATAACCAGTTTAAGACCCGAGCAGGCTTACTTGTAATCGCCAGCAGACGCGGTTTTGATACAAATAGTGTATACTTACTCAAGCCACGATGCTAATTGGCACCTGACGAGCAAGCCGCTTGACATGCCGCGCCAATCATGGTAAGAGAACATGAAGAGAAAAAGGCTGTGGCCAGCTAAATGAATTTCACATGCTCAAACGCTAAAAGTGCTATCAAGAGGAGACCAGCTCATAAAACAAACAAGACATCGACTCTGCTAGGGAAAGTCCCTCCTTACGCGCTCAATAGCGGAGACCATTTCTTGCCCACTGGCCCAACCAGACCAAGACTCACTACCACTCTGAATACCAACTGACAAGGTGCCCCAAATATATCGCTTGTCTCCGATTCTGCCCCAAAGGGGTCCACCAGACTGTCCGCCGCTGACATCCGTGTCCGTGTAGACGGGTCCAAGGCCATCGCAGTCCCAAGGCTTTGAAGAAAGGATTGGGTTGCCTTGCACGCGATAAGGTCTCTGTGTGCCATCGCGGTCTCCAGGGTATCCCATCGACCAGAATCCGGGCCAGTCACGTCTGACACCTGGATCCGCGACCTTGACTCCAAACCAACCCAATTTGTTTCCGAGTTTGTTGTCGAGGACCATGACCGCCCAGTCGTTCTTAGTCCCGCAAGAAGATCCTCCCTTCACATCGTTGAGTGCGATTTGAACAATCTGGCCCGCTCCAAAAGGTTCGCCATTGTCGTAACCAGGAGAGAATCTAGCAGATGCGTTCTCGATCAGAGCGCAGTGCTTTGCCGTCAGGATATGTCTCGGGCCGACAAGTGCTGCAGAGCAAACCACACCGTTGGACCAGCCACTGTAATTTTCAGTCAGTCAATCGCTTCTCAAACGTTTGCCAAGAACCCGAGGATACTCACATTCTACCAACATTCCGCCAAGGGTATTCCCTCGAAGTGAACTGCTCCCGGCTATCTTTGCCATTGATCCATCGCCGCACATAGCCATTGATTGTGTTGCGTTCTTGCTCCGGAATGAAAGGTTCCATTTTCGTTACATTGTCCGGGGAGATGAGCGTTCGGTACTCTTCACTATCCAGGTACAAAATCTTAGGAACGACATCGGTGGTCTTGAGAGTTCGAACAAGACTGTTGTCGAATCCCACATCGTATCTCGCGGTGATGTTATTTGGAGAGTCACGAGGGTGGAGGACTGGTTTGGCGTTGACAACGGTCCCAGCTGCGAGGAGTAACGCCGTTGCGGAAACATGGAGGCGGACCATGGTTGGGTCTCAACGTTTGAGCTAGCCGTTGGGGTGGTTGGTAGAAGTGTATTGGTGTGCAGGTGTGTGAAAGGCTTGATGAAGAAGGGTACAATCTGCAGGAGATCAATCGGGTTTATGTATTCCTCTGCATGTTCTTGTCAGCCTCACCAACGCCGACCCTGCCTCTCTATCGATGAAGGCTGGTGTTGTATCGTTCCATTGCTCTGTTATAGACAGATCTCCAAGACTTTTGTAAGACTGAGCCACACTATCTGGAAACGCCTCTCCGTTTACCGCATATGGTATTTATGGCACCAAATCCCTAGCATGTCACATGCGACTAACCCCCTCGCTGTGGCACTGCTGTACATGCGGCGCGAGACGTGGATCAGTAAGCATTCGGGAGATACGGTACGGGATTTCAGACTCATTGTCATCATCAACGTACATATGCTCAGRTGTGTAGCAGAAGAAAGCAGGAACCAACAGCAAACCCCATCTCGCAACCTTTGACCAGAAAGACTATGGCAGCACATTCTCAACAGTAATCGTACCCAACTCAGTCCTGCCAACGATCATGTCGAGGACTCTCAGAAGTCCCACTCCCACTCATCATCCTCATCGTCGTCGGCGTGTRCAGAAGCGGCACCGTCGTCGAGGTAACCAAGTAACTTAATGTTCGGCTCGCTCTTGATGAGGGCGCGAGCACGGCGAGGTGTGCGCAGGAACAACTCGTCTCCATTTTCGGACCGCGCCCGCAGCCGAAGACCTGTGGTCTGTCCTTCGATAAGAGTGCTTCTGGCATCCGTATCTTCTTCGACGCTCATTGCCGAATCTAAGTCAAGTCCGCCGCACCAGGTCATCCAGCCGTCATTTTCAACAAGTGACTCCTCTGAATCCATGACGGTCGCTTCAGAAACAAGCTCCGGCTCCTCACCGCAAGTCAGACACCAGCAATGCTCTACGTGACCCATTGAGAGGAATGTCGCAAGGTCACAAACGCTTTCAGATGGACTTGGACCAGTCTGCTCCGTTGGGGCTGAGACCGCGAATAGACTTTGCTCACTTTTGAACTGGGCGGCTGTGTCAACTGGCACTCCCTCGGTGACCTCAGCCCTGGTGTCTATAACGACATTGATGATCTGCTCAGTGATTTGCTCAGTGCTGGTACAGGATGATGTAAAGCTGCTGACTGGTGGCCCTGCTGCCGATGTGCAAGATGGATGCGTGCGTTGCATGCTATACGGCTCGCGATTGAAAGTCACATCCTCGCYGGGAGCGAACATGTCGGCAAGATAAATGGCCGAGTCTCCCAGAACATTGCTTTCGAAGTGATGAGCAGCAGTCTCGTTTGCGTAACCTGTGAGGCTGTTCGTGTGAACGTAGGGCACATCGGAGCAGGCAAGCTCGAACGGACCAGACTGCTCGTCGTTTAAAGGTACCGAAGACTCTTCAACGTCTGCTTCCTGGTCTTTCCAGCACACACGGAGCTCGTTTGGATTTTCGTCAAGCTGCTGCGGAGCCTGTTCAAGAATGTTCCAAAGATTAGCAGCAGACGGCAAGTTGGGCTCTTTACCCTTCGTCTCGACGGCTCTGGCTGCCGCAAGGATCCTCTCAATAGCTTGAGTGATTGAATCTTGCTTAGCTGAAGCGTCCGAGACCTTGTAATCCTCGTTCGATGGGTCGTGCAGACCCGCGCCCGGTGTTTGACCCATTGGACCGTTCGGCGGAAGGCGGACTTTTGGCTTTGGCGACGTTGTGCGTGGTGGGAAGAACCGCGATTGCTTTCTTGGTAAGGTCGGTAAATTTCCTCCCCACAGCTGCAGAGAGTGGTACTTCTCCGTGGCGAGGGGCGAGGACTTTGGCTCCTGCAAGGACGAAAGGTCATAGAAGTTGGGTAGCTCCCCCGATCCGACTCTGCCACTCGTCAATGACGGAATTGGTGGACACCAGGTTGGCACTCCTGCGAGCATCGGAAACGGCGAAGGCGGCGGGCTGGCGCGAGGCACGATCAAAGGCGGAAAGTCTGGTAAGCTGAAACCGTGAAATGTGACGGGAGGAAGCGTTGKGGCAGAAGCGGCCACATGCCTCGACCCATCATCATCGGTGTGCCGCGAAGCGGAGGTTGTAGGCACGGCTGACGCTGCCGGTCGGAGATCAGTGAGTAGCCAAGGGAAGATTTCGAATTGAGAGAGCGTCTTTTCAATGTCATGCGAGAGCTGCTCGTTAAGCAAGTGGACGGCGGACTTCCTCTTGTTGCGCCTAGAGTCTCGACGCTTCTTGGCCTCCTTCGTACCACGGCTGTTACGCGAGCGTCGATGCGGCCGAGAARGGTAGACTTCTCTGTCCCACTGAGCCGAGGCCTCCGGACGTGTCAAAGGCGCGAAGCGATTGCCTGTCTGGAGCATCAGTCAGGAACGAGGTAGGTCTTGGTGGGACGATTATGCGGACAAGATGGTGTTCTTGGATGGTGGATGCTCATGTCAAGTTGGCCGGGCGGGTGACCAAACACAGGCTGAGGCCTGTCGAAATGAGCATCCTGGAATCCATTACCGCGTCGCGCGCTGTAGGGTTGTCGTAGGTTGAACGACTGCGTTTCAGGGGTGTTGAGCTTGGGAAACATGGCAGATGGTATCTCCTCTTGCTCGGCGTGCGTCTAGGGATGTGATGGTACAGGCACCTTTTGAATCAATGAGGATCGATGCCGTGTAGGTAGAGGATAAGTCTCAGGCTAGATGCAGATGATGTATAGTGGAAAGAATGGGAGAGCGGAAGGAAAGACATGAGATTTGAAGACGAAGCAGGCACTCGGTTTCTTACTTGCCCTGGTCCCTTTGCCAATGCTGAAGTAGCTGGACAGCACTTTCCCTAGACACCAGCAGTTCCCCGGCTCTCGCGGAAGGCTAGATGTCGATTCGATTAAAGGTGTTTCCGGGTTGAGGTAATACAACGATGGACGTTGGCTCCTTTTCAGTGACTGCAAAGACCTCTTCGTCGGCCCTTTAACATAAATTCCACGAGTTGAACGGGATGCATCTTGACAGACGGAGCCAACGTGTTTGGCTCCATCGCTGAGGTATTGCCATTGTAGCAGCAAGGACACATGTATGGAATGTCAGCTTGGCGTATCGACCTGTCGTCACCACCTGCGAAGCGCTTTAGACGGTCTATAATCATACCAGCCTGTAGGTATATTCTAATGCTTGATGATGGCCAACGCTCCTACAAGAAAGACTGAAGTGTGAGGTTGTCGGGAAGAACGGAGAGAGTGGAGTATGTAGACCCACTAAAATTCAATCCCAGCTCCGCTTCAACCTTTTTCGGATCTCGACTCCTCATCATCGACCAGCTAATCTTCAACCTCGCCACCAGCTGTTCGTCGCTGTCCCTCCGTGTGGCCGGCGCTCCAGGAGTCATTCATCGCACACTCGTCCCTCTCTCGCTCCTGGGGACGCTGGATCGCCCTTCTAAGACATTGTTCAGCGCCGAATCCGCGGTCATATATCCGTTGCAAACGCCGAAGCCACTTGGAGTAAGCGGACTACATCATCTCTCTCGGATTCACCATTCAAGGCCATGCCACCGCACAATGGCGAGGGTGTTGCACGAAAGCCGGCCAGTAGGTCTCATCCTGCTCCAACGCGTATAGTACCTGCAATTCCTCTGTCCCTGTCCCGTGGCAAGCCAAACCGGACGAAACAGAATGTGGTAGCCGCGTCCACCGCGGCTCTCGAGCAAAAAGTGCCAGCTGGCGCGGGACAGGACAATGCGCAGACGCACGATCAAGAGGATGTAGCAAAAGCAGCGGCGCCAGCTCAAGAGGAGGGTCCAGGGCATGAAGCGCAGTCCAATGGTGGTGATCGCGTGATTGCGCCGTCAGTTGGCACTCCAGTATCACACAGCAGCGTGGCCATGTCGGCATCAGACGAYCACGCTGCTGCACCCTCCAGCGAAAGCGCTCCTTCGAGTGAGGCATGGACAAATGGCCAGGCAGAAACGCACAGCCCAGCTGTTGTGTCTAGCCCAAGCACTGTACGCAAGCCCTCGGACAGGTTTGAGATGCGCCAGATCAGGACGGAGCTACCACCTGCATTCATTCCGGCTGAGCAGTTCGCTCCGCGTTCCGCCACATCTTCCCAGACGCGCCCGCATCCACACGCTCTACCGCACGGACATCCTACCAATCCCAGCGTAGGCAGCATTGTATTTGGCGGCCGCGATTCATGTGGCTCATCACCTGCGCCGCCATTATCGGCAGGATCTGCTTACCTTCCGCCTCGCAACGTCCCAATGTATGGCCACATGCACAATGGGTCCGAGACGCAGGGATTGCAAATGGTTCAAGGCAACGAGCAATTCACCCAACGCCAGCCAGGCTTCGTTCCCTCTGTACCTCAGCAACCCTACCAACCACAGATTGAACACCCTCACGCACACTTCCGATATCCTTCCCGCGAGGTCCTCGCGGCTGGGATCGTTTCGCCGCCTAATGGCTACGCTGCAGGTTCACGCTCGGGATCCCCCTTTTCGCCACTTGGACCGGAGTCCCAGAGGCACGGCTCTGACCTTCCGTTCGTCCCTGGACATGAGCATCTATCTAATGGTGGTAAGCACATCCCTCAAGGACCACGAGCTTCGTTCACTCGAAACGCTCGTCCCATCCCTCCACAAGTCCAATACCACGTCCCACCCCCACCTCCTCTTTTCCCGTATCCTGAGCTGGCGACCTCCTTTGAAAATGCCGAGTCACTCCGCGGGTACGCTTTCAATCACTTCAACAATCCTGACTTCGCCGATTGCGTTCTCGAGCTTGCCGATGAGTATGGCGGTCGTCTGCCATTGGAGGGTCACCGCATCATTCTCAGCCGTAGCCCTGTGCTTGCGGCAATCATCCGAAGCAATGATGGTCCAAATGCGACAGTTCCTAAGCCCTTGGTGAAGGTGTTTTTGAGTGGCAAACAACTACGTATCCAACCAGTCGTGCTAGCGATCAGATATCTTTACGGCGGACCATTGCCGCCATTTGACATGTACGATTCTGCTGCACCGCTCGGATCCTTCAGCGTCTCTGTGAGGGAACGGATGGATACTGCCCTACAGCACATTGCCACTGGCTCCTGGATGGGCATTGCCGCCATTGCTCACCGTGGCGTCGACATGGCGGCGAGTCTCCTCAATTGGGACACAATCTCATCTGCTCTAGAGYTTGCGCTCGATGGCGGGATCAGCCAGATGTGGCCCATTGATGACGGCGAGGAGCAGCACAGTACATGCTCCAGCGACGACTCCGTGACCAAGCCCGAGGCGGGGGGCACCCCAAAATACGGCCACTACGCGTCCGGTCTGCTGCAACGAGTGATTGAGTTCACGGTACAAAACATACCCTCGAACTTCTACATCGACTCGGCTGCACCAGCCTCGTCCGCGGTACCTCGCCTGCCTGTACCTCCTCCAAAACATGAAAGCAAGTCATCCAAATCCGACCCAAGACTGAGTAAGATCAAGTTTGGCGATATGTCGGCTGAAGCAGAGATCCATCAGCGGCCATCTCCTACAGCGACGGCGATCTCAAGTCTCCTACTGTCTTTGCCGTTTCCCCTCTTACGTTACCTGCTTGAGCACTTCCTTCTTACCGAGCGCCTCGGGGCAGAGACGGTGGCATCCATAATGCGCCAGATCGTCGGTGAGCGTGAAGCCCGCCGGCTCAAAGCATCCAAGGCTCTCGCGGCCAGCCAACATGCCGGCGGACTCGACACTTATCTAGTCCAAAACCTGTATTGGCAGGAAACTGTCGAGTTCTCCGATCAGAGCCGCTCTGGCTTCCGGCTTGCCCGTAAGCGCGTTGGTATGGACACGCCACCGAGTTCTGGTACTGAGTCCGAACGGCATAGTGGCTGAATGCCTACTAGTCCCTCATCTTCGCGATGAATTTCCTGTTTCTTATTTTGCATAGCAAGCGGAAGGCGTTTCGGTCGGCGGATGAGGAATGTGTGATGATCGAGTGGCCTTGAGAAACGGACTTTTACTTCCCAAACTCGCCGTTCACCTGGGTTTAATTTGGACATGTGGGCAAGAAAAGTTTATTGAACTTAGCGGGTTTGCTGCTTTGGTGATATCCCCTTCTGGACATGCTAGCTACACATGGCGTAGATACGTGGACAAAGCGATTATGATTCTTTCGATGCCGACTCGCAGCATAATATTTCAATGGCTCAAGGCGGAAACGCATACAACGTGTATGTGAACTGCAGTCACAGCTCCCTCGAAGCAGATCTCAGCTAATGTCACATAGCCTCCAGATCAGTTTCCTCTTTGAGTACAATTTGGGCAGCGCTACCTCGTCCACGCCGTACTACATTCACCAAGCACCACGGCGTACTTGCACGGACTCCAAACAATCGACTCGACGATCCTGGTGCTTTTCAATGTCAGAGCATGTGCACAATGGCTGGCTGCAGTCTTTTGTTTGCGATGTCTGATCGGTCAGGTGTCTTGGGGTCTTGGTCTTACAGCGTGGGCAGCGATTCACGCCGGACTTGTTGGCGCTCTTGTCTGTGGCATTCAATGCCTCAATGGGCTCCACAATCGTCCAGTCGTCGTGATCTGATACAGCATCTGGCGAGTCCGGCCAGTCGGAGGCAATACGTTCTAGTCAGTCGACGTTAGCCGATAAGCACAGGATGGAGGTGTCAATACCTCACCGTCGCCACGGACAGTCTCGCCTGGAGCTGTCAGACTGCGTCTCGGTGGAGGGAAAGGCAGCTTGCTGGTGCCGGGGACTGGATCCACGGCTACACGGTGGATTGCTGGGAGCGATAATCTGCGGGTCCTCTCCGCTCCGCAACTGTGGATCGGCTGTTCTTTGTAAGCCATTGACGATGGCATGTCACATCGCAGTCGAGCGAGGATCGAGTCCTCTGTGTGCTCGTAGGCGAAAGGAGGGTGGGTGCTGAACATTGTGCTGTACTTTCGCCTGACATATTCTGGAACTGACATGGTGGCGAGATTGGCACATGCAAAGGTGATGTTGAGAGTCTTTGCGGGGATGAACTAGATAGATATATGGTCCACCTTTGTGGTACGTCTCACTGGCATCCTCGCTCGAGCAGATCGCCACATGCGTGCATATAAGCGAAGCAATGCGGATGTGCATCAGATGTGGTGTGAGAAGTGTTGGCATTGCTATTCGCATCGATGCATTGGGGCGAGCTGCGATTGAGGAGTCGTTGATACGAGCTGCAGTACGCTTTTGAGTCTGTCTCAACATCATATCCAACAATGTATTGTACTCTACGATTGAGCTCGGCATGAGGGTGACATGCAATTCCCCACAAAACTAGAACATCAAGCAAAAAGGCATTTCTTTCGAAACGCAATTATGTACATTGATGCATCGCAGCATTATACATGCTGTGTCCATGTTGCTATGCTGACATGCGGGAGAACCGCTCGCTTAAACCCCTGCTCATGGAGCTCAACGTACATTGATTGCGGCACTGATATGCGGGTGAGGGATCCTCACAGCGATGCAGCCCAGCTCTCGATTCCAGGGCCCGACTTGGTAATACAGCCCGTCTTGCCATGGTGGGAACTCCGATAAACGATTGTTTTATTGTTGGTTGATGTTGAGGAGATATGTACTTGTGCAGTGTAGAGGGTTACCATTGACTACCCGTACTGGAACAAGAAGCACAATTGTTTCATTCGACACCATCCTCATCTCTGTCGTGAGCCAGGAAGGCGACTTCGCCGATATCCGTCTCGCTGTTATCACCACAGCTGGGATGCTTGTCTCGGGCTCGTGGTGGTCCGGCTCRTGTCGAAAGCTCTCGCAATCGCGCCACACCGAACGGGACCTCCAAGTTCGATGAACCTGTGTGAGCATCGCACAATAAGGAGAGAAGAAGCTGAAGAGTGTAGTGAGCGTCGTTCCCACCGCAATGCAGAGACGACATCGCGTGAGGTACACTTCGAAGCGTCAAGAGCCTATGCAGAGAGGCCGAACGTATGCCAAGCGTCTCCGCAAGCTGGTGAGTATCAACAACACCTGTCACTAGGGTCTCAATTTGCAGATCGAGTGAGTCCATGATCTGAATCTCATTGGGAATTCCGTGTCCTACCAGGAGGATCTTCCGTGGAGTGCCCTGGTCGGACCTGCTGCCGAGCTCGTCAGACACTATTTTCGAGAGCTCACAGCTGTTTGCTCTGATCGTTTGACCAAACATAAAAGGCCGGTTGCGTTGAAATCTCTTGAATGCAAAATTCTTGTCTTGAATGTGGAGTTCCGCCCTTACAGACGGGAGAACATCTCTGCTGTCAAGAGTGGCAAAGCCTACCTCGTTGATGCCTTCATTCTCTGGCTCACCTTCGAAATCGATCGACACAAACACAAAGTCTGAGAATATCGGTGTCGAAATCGGATTCTCGCGGATCAGGTCCGCGCTGAATTGCTGTAACATGGATTGACCCACGAGGTACAGGTATTGAAGTCGCTCCTGCCGAGCCTTCCGAGCCATTCTTTTTATGAGCTTGGAGAAAGCTCTCATTCCTTCTTCCAAAATGTGTTCGATGTCTTCATGGTCAGGTCGATAAGATTGGTAGTAGAGCTCTTTGTCGTAATGAAAGACCTCCCGGACGTAGTTGCGCAGATCGGGAGGTGCGTGGTACCATCGCTTCTTCCAGCTCTGGATCTTTTTCGGGGTAGACAGGCCTGACACATATATGCGAAATTCGTTGAGCTTCGAAAGTGGCAGGCGAGGGGGTCGGGATGCTGGACAGATTGAAGTCGCGGGCATGTTTTTGGACATCTTGACCGCAAAGATTGTGCGAAAGCACCTTCAGTTTTGTAGATAAGATGTCGGACAGAGCTGTCACACCTAGTTWAATCTTGCGAAGATAACATGAAAGCCAAGTTTGAGTTTCGCAGCTTCCACGGGACCGGCTACCGAATGATTTGGGCGCTGGGCCCTCCAGTCGAGACGAAAGTCAGGCATGCTTTCTTCGCTTCCAAGGTTCTCTTGTACTACGCTTCCTTTAAGCGCCAAGAATGCATGTGACAGATGGTAGATACGCTAGCATTGGTAAATGTGAGATGAACTGGTACCAGTACTGTGAAAAACTGGTAAAGGCAGCTGCACTTGCTCTTTCCGGGCCAATCCTTTCCCTTAAGGCTCAGGTCTCCTCGCGGCCAGATAGACGCGGATTGCTGTGACTATGCCTATAGCACTTTAGCCATGTCCATGCAAGAAACTCTCTCGAAATCGGAGAGACGGAGCGTCCTCCGCGGTCCATTGCTCCCGTCTCGTGTCAAATCGGTCTGACAGCTCACGGATCTGGTGCCGTATAATTCCTACGTTTGATCGTAGTGCTCCAGGTGGGACCATCCAAGGCGAATCGCGTGAAATCTTGACTACGCTTCACTGTGCCCCTGACATTGCAGCCCTTCTGCATCGACAGTCTCCTTTTCGGACATCTATGTCGKCGGGAATTCTGAAGCAGTATCAGCCAGGCATATCTGTCTGACGCCATTTGTCGTCGTGGCAGTAGTGGCGACGATTTCAGAACTGCGTGCTGCATAGTCTCAGCTCGGCTGACGTTGATGTCGATGTCGATATTGATGTCTGTACCTTAGCGACATCGGCGGTTGGCCTTCGGCATCGGAAACAAGGAGCGAGCTGCGGCACGAACGGCACTCGGCGCTCTAGTGCTCTTCCGCCATTTGGACAGTTTGGTTCGCGGGGCGCGTGGCAGCCATGTTGTTGGATCATTGAACTTTGAAAGCATTCCATGTTTCGACGTTTCTCTTGTCCAGCACCCGTTGACAATCCAAAGTTGCAGTGATTGAGTTCTGGGTGACAACGGGCAGGGCAGGCAAACTTTTTATGTGCCAGGATCAGCTGCTTCGAAAGGCCTGGGACAAATTTTGCCACCATGTCCCTGCCATCGAAGGAAGAAGCCGACAGGGACGTCGTGCACAACAATAGCGCTCCCAAACACGAATCTTACCCCGTGCAACCTCCTAGAGAAACAGTGGAGCCATCCTATACCGATGAAGAGCATGAACAGTTGGACGAAGAAGCCAGAAATGCCTACAATGGAGCAGAGCTGGAAACCGTCGCATCCTCAAAGCCATCCGTCAACAACATTCGATCCGTGCCAAATGGAGGTCTGACAGCATGGCTGCAAGTCTTGGGATCCTTCTTTCTATTCTTCAACACTTGGGGGACCGTAAACGCCTTCGTAGGTACATCGATGCTCGTGGCTCTCCAACATACTAACGTTCGACCAGGGAACATATCAAACCTTCTACGAAAGTGACTTCCTTTCCTCCACATCTCCCTCAACGATATCCTGGATTGGATCACTACAAGGAACCTTGCTCATGCTGATAGGGACCCTCACTGGACCGGTCTACGATGCAGGCTACGTGAGATCTCTCGTAGCGACTGGATCCATCCTCGTGGTATTCGGCCAGATGATGCTGTCACTGTCAACCACCTACTGGCAAGTCTTTCTTTCCCAAGCCGTCTGTATCGGTCTGGGGACCGGATGCCTGTTTGTCCCATGCGTCGCGATCCTCAGCACATACTTCAGCACCCGCGTCGCCACAGCTATGGGTCTTGCGGCCGCAGGATCAAGTTTCGGGGGCGTAATTTATCCGATTGTCTTCCACCGATTGCAGCCCATGATAGGCTTCGGCTGGACTACCAGAGTCATGGGATTCATGATGCTCGTCACGCTCGCAGTCTCCAATAGCGTCCTCAAAGTCCGCGTACTTCCAGACGCACGACGAAAATTCGTGGACCTAAGCGCATTCAAAGAAGGCCCGTACGCGTTCTTCGTTTTTGGCTGTCTGATCGGATTCGCCGGACTGTACACACCCTTCTTCTACATTCAATCCTACGTAATAGACACCGGTATCGCTGATCCCAGTCTGGGATTCTACTTTCTGGCCATTCTTAACGGATCCAGCTTATTCGGCAGAATCGTTCCTAACATCGTCGCGGACCGACTCGGCCCGTTCAACGTTGTGATACCATGCGTCTTCGCTACCGGGCTTCTGGGGATCTGTCTGATTCCCACGCGAACAGTTGCATCTGTAGTGGTTATTGCTGCTCTCTATGGCTTCTTCTCCGGGACCTTCGTGTCTCTCCCGCCAACGATTTATGTACACATCACGAAAAATCGCGGTATGATCGGTACGCGTATGGGAATGGGATTTGCGTGTACGTCGATGGGGATTTTAATTGGCACTCCTATTTCTGGGGCCATCCTAWCAGGCAGCAGCTACACCTGGGTGTGGCTGTTCGGTGGCCTGCTTACAATGGCAGCGGGTTGCTCGATCACTGCTGCGCGGGTCAGCAAAGGCGGTTGGAGTCTCAGGAAAGTTGTGTGAGAGTTAATCAATGCTATGGTCACTTGTTCTCTCAACAGCCGTCTGGAGCCAAAATGTATGGTGTATGGTCGACATGATGACCCAGCGTGCGTACAACCGCCGACTGTTCCTCACGCTGTCTGGCTGGAATCAAAGCCTCTGTGAGCCAGCGCCAGCTTTGCTGAGCTTGAACCCACCCGGAACCAGCGTCTGAAAGATTTGATCCGGGTCATACTTCTTGGAGACATCTCGCATGAACTGAAGATTCTCAGCACCATAGCTTCCAAGCGGGTCCTGAAACGGTGCGGCGTTGTTCAGGAAGACGAACGGATGAGACATCCCGAGGGCGTTGGTGTAGTCCTGCACTGCGGCGAGCCAGACTTGCGCAGCCTCATAAATCTCTCCGTCGTAGTCCGCGTCTTTCCAATGCGGATTCAGGCGAACCACTGCGAATTGTCAGTCATTGTAATGAAAAAGGTAAGTCAGGGAGGCTTTACTGATAAGGTTTTCCTTCGTGTTGTTCAATCCCATCATGTTTCCGCCCAGCTTGGTGCTGTGATCGGAGTAGAACCKTGGAATGGGCGTGTATACGAATTTCCATTCCAAGTCAGGCACATGGGAGTATTTATGAAAAGTGTCGAGAGTGATATCGTGGACGCCCTCGAGAATATTCGAGTTCCGGGTGCTGTTTTGCACAAACGTCACGGTCGACATCAAAGATCTGGTGCCATACTTAGCATCTGGTTGCCCGCACAGGGCTCATCAATACCCACCTGTACGCAGGAGCAATGTCATGATGAGGGGCAAAACCCGCAATGGGCTCGACCCCAAGGGATTTGGTGACCCGTGGCACGATTGAGAGGAAAGGTAGCAGGGCGGGGTGGTTATCGAGGTCCTTGGTGTCGGAAATGTCAGCGAGGATGTGCGTGTCGTTCGACCCGGTCTTGAAGCTGAACTCAATGCTCATGCTTGAATCTGGATCATCTTTGTTGTTCTCGGTGAACCAGGCGATGCTATTCAGGACGGTACACGTGGAATCGATTGGGTAGATGAGGATCCCACGATACACATCGGCGTTTTCAAAGGCAAGAATGTCGAAAGTGGTGACTATGCCGAAGTTGGAGCTACCACCTTTTAGTGCCATGAAGAGGTCGGAGCGGTGCGTCTTGTTGGCGTTTGTGATCTCTCCCGATGCGAGGACAATCTCATAGTTCAGCACATTGTCGGCTACGAACCCATGCGTTGGGCTGAAGAACGAATATCCTCCACCGAGTGTCAAGCCCCCAACTCCGACGCCTGGAATTCTGCCTCCCGTGAAGGCAATGCCTGTACCGTTGAGTGAATCATAGGCATCAGACCACAGCGCACCGGAGCCGAGGCGAACAGAGCTTCTGTCCTCGGCCAAAACAGTCCGATTGATCCAGCTGAGGTCGATTGTGATCCCGTCGTGAATGTCGTTTGCGCCTGGCCATGGGGCGTGACCTCCAGACTTGATAGCGAATGGGCATGTGGAGTTTCCACTGCCAGCGCCTGTTCTTAACATGTAGAGCGCAGCAGCGATGTCGTCGGCAGAGATTGGTAGGAAGATGCATGATGGAAGGAGTGGCGTGTTGGTGGCCCAGCGTTCGTCAAAGGCATCGTACTGGGCACTCTCGGGGATGAGGAGCTGCTGCTGCTCGCCGTACTTCTCGTAAAGGCCAAGGCACTAACTCTTGTGTCAGTGACGTGTCTCTTGGGGGAGCCTCTTATTCTGCTCACACAGGAGTTGACGGCATCTGTGAGCTGAGAGGAGGCAGAGGCGCCGAGGAGGAGCAGAAGAAAAGCTGCCATCATAGCTGGGAAGGCCATGGTCTCTGTTTGTGATTGGTGGTTCGAGGAGAGTTCTCGGTGGAGCGAAATATGATGAATTTGTCCAAACTGGTCAGAGGCTGCGTTTGTCTGTCAAGAGACGCAATCATCAGGTGTGCTCTCCGTGATGCCAAACACCACTCTGCATCCCGGTCGCCTTTCTTCGTGAAATTCAGTTACTCGACATCAAATCTATTTGAATAAGAGTCTCTAAATGAGCGCCAATTTGCTCAATGTTTGGAAATGGCGGCTATGAAAGGCTTGAACGAAGCTGTAGTTACTTATCTTTCTTTGGTTGGTTTGCAAGCCTACATCATGTATGTTATGTTACCTCCACATCATTCGAACAAGTCAAAGGCCATCCCGTAATGTCTATGAATGGGAAACATCTTCTACATATGGTTCTGCGAGACAAGACTTCCTGAATTGGAAGCAGGCAGATGCGAACTCTGTTGAAGTGAAGTGAAGCGATATGTCCCCATGATGTCATTCGCGAGATCCATGTCACTTTGCATCTCTCCACTTGCTTCTTCGCTCTCCGTTCAAGTCCACAACGAGAATGCGGTACGCGCTTCGCGCTCTACGGGGAACAGCGACCTCRCCATCCGCTGTCTACAGCCCGTGTGCAAAGCTGCAGGTCCGTCACATAGCGGCAACATGGCCGCGACAGAGATCCAACGATGACCAAGTCCGTCCCATCCAACTGCAAGGCTACTATGCCGACGCCCTAGATGCTCCGCTTCGATCCCTCCGGCAAAATGACAAGCCTCCCGCGGATCCATCTCCAGAGGATTCCATTCCCTTGACGGAGAAGGAAAAGACACTGGCCAAAGCGCGTGTGGTCTTTGGAGACCGCAACACAGCCGCTGAAGAGCGGAGGCAGCAGATGGAGAGCAAGAGCCAACTGATTGCCGGGATCTTGGTGCCACCCAAACCCGAAGAGCCGGACAACTGCTGCATGTCCGGTTGCGTGAACTGCGTTTGGGAACTTTTCCGCGAGGACTTGGAGGAATACGCTGCGAAGAGCAAGGAAGCGAAGCAGAAGATGATCGAATTACGGAACAAGGGTCAAGCTACGGGTATGATGGCACAAGAAGCTGGTATGCCGGCCCATGCAGCAATCAGCATGGATGATGATGGTGGCGGGAGCGAGACAAATTGGACTTCTGCGCTACCTGTTCAGACAGCTCCCTCTGCCGATGCCGACGTTGATCTGGACCCACTGGCAGGCATTCCTATCGGCATTAGAGAATTCATGAAAACTGAGAAGAGACTCAAACAGAAACACAGAGACGCTGGTGAATACATAGAGACTGCCCTCGACAAGGACCTACGAGCCAGTGTTTGGGGGAGTGGAACTTGACCGCCGCGGGCCTTTACGCTGATTCCGCATCACCTGCTTCGCATTCATCTTGCAGGGAAGCAGACCCTACTGAACCGAGCAACCTGTTGCATTGGCATCATTCCCACAATTGGGATCAGTATGAGGCCTCTTCCGCTTCTTGACACTCACAAATGCGTTGCCTGCTCGACGTAACCGCTGATCTCTCAGGCAAAGATTACACGGCGCCTTAATTCGTGTCCCATTGTCCATGTTGTCGGTGAGAAGATCGCCACTGCACGACTTTGCCTGCGCGGCTTCCACGCATGCAATTTTCACGACCGTGCTATGGCCACACTCAAAGATGGAGTATTCGGTATGGCACATTGTGTCAATGTTGGGTGAAGCTGGGAACGAAAATGGCTAATGGCAAATATGAGCGAAGATTCGCACCAACAGAAGAATCGCCAGCATGCGTTGGCGTGGTCACGTTACTTAGACGGCCCAAGGAATAGAGCGACGTGCACATGAAGCCAACGACAAAGATCAGAAGACCCGACATGTATAATGATGATTTCATATTGTATCACACACTCGTTCTCTCATAATACACTAACAAACTACCGTGGTATCGTGCGTGCGGTCCAAAGGCCGAAAAAGTGCGCTAAAAGCATTCAATCTCCTCCAGAACAAATCACCCCCTGAGCCAGACAGCCATTCGGGTCGTACTCTTACACCGATGAATGCGGGAAAAACACAGAAGTTTAGCTTCCTCCTCCTTCCTGTCTCCATCCTCAAAGGTTATCAAAGGGGGATCGGGGTATTATTCGAGAGCAAAAGGATACTTCTTACACAGAAGTAGATGAATTGGTATTTTATTGTTGCTCATACTTTTGGGCATGCTTGCAGCAAGAATCGGCAATCCTTAGAACATGCCGCCATCCAGAGGAGTATTCGCCTGGCGCTGAACACGCTCAGGAGAGACGGAAGGATTGAACGAATYGGGACTGTATCGCAAAACCGGGCTGAACGCGTTTCCTGTCTGCGGAGTGACGGGACTTTGCGAGGGATCGGGTATGCGAACGACATTGCTTGGGGGGAACTGGTGATCCCTGGGTGGAGATGTTTTTRTGGACGCGGGCTCCGGGATGGATGCTCTGAGAGAATCCTCGCTCGAGTCTGCGCGACCCATGCCAAACAGCTTGCGGGTTCCACGGCGGCGAGGGTTCATAGGTGGCAGTGGCGGAGCCTCATCCATACCGTTTTTCAGCGAAGCACCTTCAGGTAGCGCGACTGTGTCCACATTCGACGTTGATGATATCAGCGTTGGTTCCGAGATGTCCGATTTGGATATGGTCTTCTTCCGATGCAGCTGTCCTGGGCGTATGACATTCGTCGGTATGATCGGAACGTGGGTGGCGTTGAAATGAGAGCTTGTAGCAGATAGGGGCGGCGTCGAGCGATTGGTCGATAAGCCTGGGGATAGCACCGGAGTGCTCGATCCGCTGTTGCCCACTCTCAAGCTGTTTTGCTGATACATTTGCTGATATGCCAAAGCACTCTTGGCGTCGAAGATGCTCTTCTTGCTGGYGCTGTCCCTATCGCCGAAGTCACCGCTCATTTCTGGCGACACGCAGCGGGGAGAGTCAGGCACCGACTGAGCAGCAGCGCTAGATCCGGTCCCTTCTATCATTGCCTTTTCCAGGTCGTCTCGGTATGGCCCGGTGCGACTCCTCGATCGTCCGGTGGCGGTCGAGTTTGAGCGACTGCGGTTGCGACCATTGATGAGCGGCCTGCTCGATGCCAACTGGCGCTCGTTCTTGGCGGCTTCGCCGTCGCTGCTGTGGAAGTCTTGCTTGAAAGCAGGGTGACCAGCAATGAACGGCGCCCGCGATGAGGCATCACCCCCAGATCGTGCCGACTCTGTGCTGTATCCATCTCTCTCTGCCGCACTTTGCAGACTCGTACTGCTGATGTTCGCGCTCGAAATTCCGAGCGTCTTTCCTGTCTTTGTAGAGGCATCGCGCATGTTGCCGATCGATTCTCTGCTAGTCTTCGGTCGCAGCATGCCAAACGCCCTCAAGCCACCAGTCGCGGCAGCCGACGCAGGACTCGTTCCTCTTGACCGACTGTTTTGCACCACTTTCCCTTTGATTTTTTCCTGGATAGCATTACGACGTACGGCCAGCTCGTTCTCGAAGGCGTCTCGTTCCTGCTGGGTTGCGGTGCTTGCATCGCGAGTGTGCTGTTTACGCAGTTCTTGTTGCCAGGAAGGGACGGCCTCGTGCTCGTGGGATCTCTGAGATTCGCTGCCAAGAAGAGAACGATTGKAAGAACCCTCCAACGGGGGAGATGCATCAGATTGTTGTTTGGGATGAAAGTTGGAACTTGATTCCGTCCGGTTGGCATCCTCGCGCGTCGCACCGGAGAAGCTTTGTGCTTCATCCAGATCCCACGGATTCGAAACACTGTATGCAGACTCCCGTACAGATTCAGATGTCTGCAAAGCGTTGCCAATTACGTGGCTGAAGGAGTCGGATTTCCTAGAGGTCCAAGGCAGCTCGGGGACGTTGGGAAGATCATCTTCTTGCAGGACAAGATCGTCCATTGGATAGAGCGAAGATTGGTTGCTCCTCTGTCGAAGATGACGCACCATGCCATTGAGTGGTTCATGTGATTCCGGGCCCAGCGTAGGTGAGTCCAGCGTGCTGTCAAGTTGAAAGCCTGGCGCTGGGGCATCAGCGCGTAAGGTCTGCCAAGAGGCGACAGGCTCCAGCTCTTTGAGCTCAGAGTCTTCGCTCTCCTCCATGATCTGCAGATTCGACCGCTGACTCCGCAACGCTGGGTGCTCCGACACAGGGTGGAGAATTGACGGTTGCCACTTGTTGGAATGGTTCGTGCCATATCCATACTCGGGCTTGTTGAACGATTGTGCGATCTGCGTTGCTTCKTCATCGTCTTCGTCCTCACTTGCACTGATGTCGCCAAAGAATGTGCGGTGGGTATCTGACGCAGACGTCTTCTGCGCGGCGACCTTTGCGGGAAACTGGTTGACCGCGTTCTGGAACACTGTGTATGCCCTTGTCGGTTCGTGCTTGGTAGAGTTCGACCGAGCTCTGGTGTACGGGTCAGGAGACGGCGTGGCCGTGGTCCGCTGTCYGTCGTGCTCGTAATGATCAATTCGCTGCTGCACTGCAGGATGTGCAGTTCTAGTCTTGGTGACTGCACTGGACTGCGCTCGTTGGAGCTGCTGTTGACGCTCAAGATATTGTTGCTCGTCGAACGCGTGCGCAGGCTTGTTGAACGCGCCCATGGCTGTGGCTTTGCCTCTGTCGGCAGGCTCCAATGCCTGGGTTAGAGCATCGGATTCGTCATCGATTGGGGATTGAGGGCCGCTGTTCATGGAATTTGGAGAGCTCAAGTTCCTTAGGGAACCAAGAGTATTCAGCTGCGACGGAGCTGATGCCGATGCGGATGGGGACTGCGATCGTAAGGCGTACACTGGCTGAGCTGCACGATCCCGTAGATTGGTGGCACTCTTAGTACCATGCAAGTAAGGAGACGGCCTCGAACTGGCCAGCGAGCGCTGTTGCTGCAAAGAATTCAGACGCGTCAGCGCAGAGGCCTGCTGGTCTTGCATGTGCTGGTCCAGGCCTTGGTCGTACAGTCTACGATTCTTGRGATTCGGACGGTCTTGTGAAGATGAAGTAGACATGGCTGGAGCTACTAGAGGTGCTTGTACGTTCGCAGGAGATGCCGCCGCACTCGTATTCTGCTGCGAAGCAATCGACGTTGCAGCGGTGGAGGATCGTGCGTCCGAGCGTGCAGTGGACGATGTTGTTGACCGTTTCTTGTCGTATGTAGAGAAGGATGGCGAGTGCGAGAGATCCTTTGCGGAATCCGTGGGTAGAGAGTCGTACGCCGATTCATCCTGATCACCCGACTCAGACAGGCCCAGTCCGAAATCAAAGCCCTGGCTCTCGTTAGAAGGTCGACTGAAATGACTCTCGTCGAATTCGCGTTCCTTTTGTCGATATTTTTGGAACGCGGATTTGCCCAAATCGTCTTCGTAGACCTGCTTTCCCAAGCTCTTTGTCGAACCAGAAGCTGCGATCTTGTACACTTTTTGTCTGCCACCGAAGAGACTGTTTCCTTCTCCAGGCCGAGAGCGGCCCATCATGTTTCCGGGCGAAGCGTCCGCATCACTGCCATATCCATCCTCTGATGCACATGAAGCGTCGCGGCTTCGTGAAGCGAAGGGCGGTTTGACGGATCCATGTATCGACGACACCTCAGCAATGTCATCGAGACCTCCCATGCCAAAGCCGAATTCGTTCATCCGAGACCTCCTGCGCGGTTGCAACACGCTGTCATCGCTTGCCTTACCAATCTTTGACTTCGGATCGTCTTGCTCTCGCAGCATGCTGAAACGGGCGGAGAGGTTAGGCATAATCAAGCTCGTGCGGAAGTCATCGCTGGAGGGCAGCTCGATGGTGATGTTGACCTCAGGCTTGGGCTCGGGCTCGGGCTTCTTGTTCTTCTTCCACCGACTAGTGGACGTCTTCTTGAGGCCCGGCGAGGGCTGCCCACCCGATGACAGAGAATGGGTCGCATCTTCAATGGCGGCCGGCGCCTCGGTGGTCCGCTTCTTCAGAAACTTATTCATGGTGGTGCTGAGCATGTCAGCACAGCTTTGGGGGCGGGAAAGCGACGGACAGTACGCGATGGAAGAAGGGGGGAACACATCCATGTCGACAGCTTCGACGGCGATGCGCACGGCGGCGGGGAGTGAATACATACCAAACGAATGTGGGTCGAGACTGTTCCTCGGACTCGCGGGTCTGGTGACGCGGAGAACCGGTGCGACCTCAGCGCACGCGGGAGATATCGAGGAGACTTGAGGGCCTGTACTCTGGTGTGAAAGCGTCCGGGATGGCTGCTTCGAGCGCACGGCAATGCAGGGTGAAGGGCGCACCAGCAGAAGGTGCGTCTAACAGGCACTGGTGACCGTGCGGTCGCTGAGGACTGGTGTTGCAAGATTCCGAAGACTAATCCTACAATCACCAAGCATCGCCAATGGGCGCGGGGCGCAGCGAACGCTGGTGCAGGTGGTGAAGACGATGCGGCGGCGGATGCGATGGGGGAGTCGAGTCCGGTGCAGGGCGCACTGCGGGCGGCATGCAGGTACCAGAGGGGAATGCAAACAATTCGCCGGAATCTGCAATGCGTGCAGAGCGCGTGGAACCGCTCTGGGCAGCCGAAAGGTACGCTGGGGTGGGTGTTTGTTTGTACGGTATGCGAAAAGGGCAGTCTGTGTGTGATCGACCGCGACGCGTTCAGCAAGAGTGGAAGAAATGGTACGGACGAGAGCCACGGTTCCTGACAGGGTGGATGAAGGRGATCGTCCCGGGGGAAAACGTTTGAGCAGATGCACTAACGGAGCTAGGAGACGACGAATTTTGTCATCAACGGTAACTCGATCTCCTGAGATGGCTCGTTAATAAGTTGTTGATGACTGCTCGACGCTGCCGATGTAGCTCGCAAATTACAGCAACCAAGGCTAGGAGCTCCAAGGTGGCGGGCGACGTGAACAAGGCACGTCTTTCATAAGGTTTCCGCCTCGCAGGGAGGCCGATGCAGGAACAATCGGCTTCTATTCGCAAGCGTCTTGGTTCCCATTCCGCAAGCCATCAAATCGCAACGGGCTTGCCCTGTCTTCTTCAAATGCAAAACCTTTTCTGGTCGGTTGGAGATAAAAGGCTCGCCAACCCACCACACGCACTGTTTCTCTTGCAGTTCACTTTCCTAACCCGTCGCCATGCGTACACGCAGCCCTGCCGTTCCGCCGGTGCAGGAGCCGATCGCAGATTCGCTAAGCAAGGCAATCAATCACGTTCTGTCTGTACCTGGACCCGAGGAGGGCCTTGCCGTCCTTAGCTTTACGGGCCGCGAGGTAATATCCAAGCCACAGCTTCACATCCGGGTTTCCACCGTTCCTACCAGGGCCTCTAATGGCCCACCACGCATCACTCTGCAGACGCGGGCTCTTACACTACTGCCAGGCTTCCACGAGCGGGTTCGCGAATTCTGAGAAGAAACTCAGCTTGTGGCTCGCACTGGTCCGAAAAGTCGATTGAGATGATACGCATGGCACTTGTGACCCGAGATGGTGCGACTTGCGGAGCACCGCCCTCCGTCCGTCACCCGCTCCTTCGTCCTATGAGAACGCCATCCGGGGCACTTCAAGGGCAAAGCTCAAACAGGCAGCTCCGCATTTCGGTTTTCGCAGCGCGCTCGCTTCAGCGTGGTTGCAATGGCACGGATTCGATTCCCGTCGCATCCAAGCGAATTGCAAGCTCGAGCGTTGCCGGATTCACCAATCTGACCGGGAGAAGCTGACAAGTCACAAGGTGAGAGCGTGGAGGTAAGTCCACAGTCTTTATTTTCCATCGCGATGTGCTTGAATACTGCCAAATCTCAAAGAGCACAGCCGGTGAGCCGGGCAGTGCATCTTTGTCAACTGTCCAGGACTTCCAACTATATTTCTCTACTTTCTTTGACAACACAGCTCGGCGGTCACGCTCGTTTGCTCGGCATCTTGCCGTGTCATGGTCGCGTCTCTACTTCGCGTCTTGCATAAATTCTCATGCCTCGTGAGCAGAAACCGTTGGCCGACGCTCGAGGGGATTCGCTGCTTTTTTTCCAGTAATTTCACGGGCCGAACGCCGTGGCCAAACTCTGGAGCGCCCAGCAATTCCGACAGATTGGCCGATGTGGCATCGTGGTTCGCAAGCATCATTCCGCGGGCTTGCTGTTTCACAGTATTCTCCTAGCGAAGGCTCGAAGGGCCGCATGAAAATCTCCTGACCACATGAAACAGGCAAGATACGGTTTCAATCATGTCGCCACTCAAGACCAAGCACGTTGCCGCTTCCCTTCAGGTTGACATGCTCACATGGCGTTGACCGGAACAGCCGCTAGACTATTCGCCGATTGAGATGAACATCGACTGCCACGATTGTCGAGACTCAAAATACGTGCTTCACCGTTTCCACAGAGCCGCGAGACCCTGTGGCCGAGCCCCAGACGAGTACACATCATGAACACGTCTCATCTGCGCCAGCACTCCGATTGCACTCCTCGGCGGACGGAGGAGGAAGTGCAAGCTGGGTGAAATTTGTTCATCTCCCATTCATAGCAGACCTCACTATACCCACATTATCTTGATTCAAGAGTTGCATAAACGTGAGTTCTGTCTCAGGGCATTATGATTCAGGGTACTGCTCTAAACCAACCACGATGATCAGTGTACGCGGTAGTTGACTGCCGCTTACCGTTGAACCTTCCATTGTCTCTCGAGTCTCGTTGCTCTCCAATACCTTTAATGTAAAGAACACTCCGACGAAATCTCAACTGCTGCGCTTCTCTCTAAGAGCAGACGATGCTCGGCAACATGAATGATCTCTTTGTTGTCCAGCCGACTGCTTCATGACCTCAATGCGAGACGCGGAATGTCGTCAGCTGTGGTCATTCGGGAAGCCACCGAGTCTCACTCTCGAGCCAGCGTTCATAACACCTAACTATTAAACGCACATATATATATGCGAGTCATTGGACATATCAAGCTGTCTCTGATACGAGCCTCGGTATGTCTATTACAACCTATCAGCATCGATGAAGGAGCATGAATCGTTCAATGTGCCGGCTTATGCGGTCTCCAGCAGGATGTGGTCCAAGGGTTAGGGCTTGGGTAGCGACTACATTCACTCACGAGCTCATTATCGAACTCTGCCTGCTAGCTATCGATGATGTGCCAAATGACTTGGGCTAGGGAGCAGTAAAATCTCTCGAATGAGTAGGTTGTGTCTTTCTGACCAGACTGGAGAGATTTGCCCGTTGCGTGCYTTTCCTGCGTGCCCAGAATTCGTTGGACCTGCCCCTTTGCTACTCCTCCATGCCTGACACATTGCAACCACCAGACAGCAAAGAAGACGTAGTTCGACGAGCAATCTGGTTCTCACAAGGCTGCACATCTTTGCGTTCGTGTTTACGTTTACCAGAGCTTAGTTCTCACGTCTAGGAACCTTTTCAAGGGGGAGGACTTGTCTTCGCCGAATCTATCAGAGGAGCGCGAAATGTCCACCACGACGGGTGCCTATGGGAGGATGTCTGCTTAGCAATGCCAACAATGGCCATGCCAAGTACGCCACCATCACATCCAAATTGAAGCTTCTTAATCAGCAGCGCGAAGATTGAGCCCGATGCAAGGTAGCGTCTGGTATCTTTCTTCTAAAAAGCCCACCATGATTGAACTCGTTCATATGCACACACCACGGCCTTCTTCATCCTCTACAGCTCATCCTTCCCACCTTGCCTCTGACTCGCCTTGTTTCCACTTTCACAAACCGCCGGAGTTCCAACCTCCATCCGGTAAACACACTTCTCCTCCTCGAAGATCTTCCAGATTTCATCCGTCTCACTGCAAGCCAAAACAACAGTTGTGCTCCTGTTGGGCCCATTCCAGCAATGCTGACCATTTTCATGTTTCATGGCCCATCTCTCCCCACTACCCAGCCCCTTTCCATCAGCCCTGACCTCCTCATCGACCACGATCTTTTCCAGTCGAACGTATTTGCCCATGTTCGTGTGTCCACCGCCCTTCTTTGGTTTTTGATTGGTCTTGTCAAGGAAGCATAGCTCGTAGGTGTACTCTCCGCTGTCAGTCTCAATGCATTTTCCTTTCAGGGCACGGAAGACATCATCGGGGCCGAAGTCTGTTGACAAATCGTTCTTGCTGTCATCGAGAGATTTCTGTTGCTCTTCCAAAGTCTTTTTCGAGGCTTCAAGGCGGGAGCGTGCATCTGCTACCTTCTTGTTCTCCCCGCCGCTGGAGGAGCCAGTGTCTGCGAGAATTCCGTTTTGAATCAATGTCACGCGTAGCTCGCGCAGCTTTTGGTCCAGCCAAGTGCGTATCGTTGGTGGAAGGTAGTTTTCGAAGGCGTATACTGTGTGTAATTAGCGACATCATTCGCACGGATTGCGTGAAGACTGGCAACTCACAAACATCCATCTCGTCCTCCTCTTCGACGTAATCATCCCAGTTCAGACCATTTTCACTATCTGACYTGGTGATCTCGTCCAGGTCACGCTCCTGCGCCTCGTTCGTAACATCCCCACCTGCGTTGGCAATGTAGTCCTCCCAAGCCCTCACAGCTCGCTTCACTCCCTCGTCGTTAAAGTTGGGATTGTACTCCTCCTTGAAGGTAGACATAATAGCTTCAAGCTGTTCCAGACGACCCTTCTTCACGTTCAACTCGGATCGAGTGGATACCAGCGAGTTTCTCAGCTCCGCCATGCGGTTCTGAGCAATACCCACCAGTACGCTCAATTTACCGCCCTTGGAACCGGCCGGCTTAACGACTTTACCCGCCTCCTTTCGTTGCGTCTCGCTCAGCTCGCGCTCCATGTCCTTCACCTTGATCTCCGCACCTTGAATCTCCGTCTCCAAAGTCTGTAGCCGATCTACTACTTGCTGCTTTAATCGTGCAGCTTCGGCGACCAGCTCCGTTCGCTTTTTGGCAGCAACACCGGCACTCTTCTGACGAGCCTCGTCCTGTTTCCGCCATTCTTTGCCTATTTCTGCACATCTATCCTTGCACTTCACTCCACCCACACTGTCCCACTCCTCGCTGCCATCACAGCACAACTCGTAGTCGCAGATTCCGTCGTTGACACTGGTGAAGGGTATGTAGGACGGCCGATGTCCCTTGTTCTTGCAGTAGAATCCAGGGAGGGCATTCGAGATATTCTCAACCGTGCTAGGGATTGCATCTGCAGGCGTGTGAGGAGAMAATGGYGAAAGATGAGCACATGCTGCGGTGCCGGGTTCATCTGATCCATCCGGGCAGTCGCAGTAGTCGTCGTTGACGCGATTGAAAGAGATGCTGATGGCGGGTGTCGAGATACAGGCAAAGTCCCTGGAATCGTCGTAGAACTTGCCAACTGCATAAAGATGATGAATTAGAGCAATTCAAGCTGCGGGAGAGATCAAAGCAACCGACATACATTCAGGACCCACGCCTCGCGGCCTCGCAGCATTGGCGACGGCTACACATTCCAGGGCTACCAGCGCCGCTACCACGCTCTTCATGATGAACAAATGCAAATGCTAAAAGGAGGTGTGGTCGATGTTCGGAAAGGCCTCTCCCAGCAACCATCTATTTATCCGCCAGCTGTCACGAGCCGCCAAGGGTCCAAGAAAGTGTTGAAAGTCAAGATCGTCGCGTCTTTCCGCCGGCTTCACCTCCCCATCTCTCACCCATACACACCTCTACAACAGAAATATGCGAGCTGATGCTCCATGAGGATCTATCTGTCGCTCAATTATTCTGCATGGTGTGTGGCCGTTGACCGCCTGCGACGAGTCCAAGAGCACACCACAAGATGAGCCAGGTGTGAGATGGAAAGCTGACGCGAAWATGTTTGGCGTCTGAGTACCTATATTTCATGTGCCTTCCACTTTGACTTCTTTGCTGCTATTGCCATTGCCTGCCTTTGACTATTTAGGCCCTTTCCCTACTCTCGTCTTCAGCCACGTGGCGACATTGACCTGCGAACAACCTATCCCATCTACTGACGACCACCTCACGTACTATCACCTGATATAACCATCATTCTACTAGGTATCATCTCGCCTGCTCACATGGCGTTACCGCTCGAGCATCGACAAACTGCGCTGAACGAGCGGCTGCGTCTATTGAACGATACATACTTCCCGACCATGACACCTACGAACACTTGGCTGGACAGTGTGCAGCGATCGGAAGAGGGTGATGAGCAAGACAGAGGCGGTCTCTCAAATGGCGAATTGACCGAGGACTGTTGTAATGCTCAATTCCGCCGCGATCGGTTCGAAAACCCTCGCAACTCTATCCGCAGCTCGAGTCAGCCTGGAAGAAATACTGTTCCTATGAAAGCAATACTGGAGCCTAGATCCTCTTCACTCCCACCTGTGACACGCTCAAGGACCGAATGTTCCCCTCCAGCAATGCCTCTCCTACCACCAAACGGAACCAACTCATGGGCGGAGCTCTCCCGATTCCGGCCTGGCATGCTGGACACAGACGAGTCGATACGTCGGACCATCACCGATCCTTAGTTCCCATCCGGTCGAACAACTCCGGCGGCTCTGACAGTTCTCATCCCGTCTGATCAGCTTTCGAACGCATACACCGGCGTGGCCGAAATAGATAGTCTGACTTGTTTAAGTCGTACTTACAGCACCGAGGATGGCCTTTTCAACATCTCGCCATGGGCTACAGAGGACGGGAGCCACAGCAATGGGTCCTTTCTCCTCGAAGAACTCCGCCGTGGACTCGACAATAGCCAAAGGAGCCAGGAGATCAGCTCCATTTCTGACAGTACGCGGCGAAGTCAGACGACCATGTCCGTTAGATCGGAACACTCCGAGTCCGACGCTGAAGCTGGTGCTGACAATGATGACGGGCGTGATGAGTACGACGCAGTAACAGTTACAGTGGAGGTGGAAGAGGACGTGGACATCAACGACGATGTCAGTGTCGAAGGAGATCACATCGATCGCACGCTGAATTCGCCATCGTTCCAAATGCGTGTATTCAATCCTGGGTCTACCGAATACCCGAACAGCAATGAGTATAGTGCTGAAGCGATTGAACACGCCGTGGAAGATTGGTCTGAGAGGGTTCAGGAGCTCCCTTCAATCACTGAAGATGAATCCGCAGCAGCAAGAGCAGYGGACCATTTCCCGACGGACGTGAAGCGCCGATGCTCTGACACTGTCATGCAGTTATCACAACCACCGAGTGGCTGTGACATTCGTCGCGTCTCCACCATGTCTGATTACCAACGACTGAAAGGCAGACACAAATCGCCCAAGCTCGTCGCGTTCAAAGCAAGCCCTGCTGGTCCAGCACTGGCTACGATGTCTGTGCAACCGCCGGGAACTTGGCACGTCAGCTCAATGGACGACCGTACATCAGACACACTATATGACTCGGATGTTCTGCCGCGGAGAACCTCGCAGGCGATACAGTCAGATTTTGGGATCTCGCAGCTGTTGTGGGACGAACCCTCGTCGAGTTCTGATAGCGACATCACAGTCCTCACGGGTTCCGCTGTCGATTACCTTGCTGCAAACGAAATCGAAGAGCAAAATCCCAGCTCATCGCCCATGGAAAGGTTGAAGACGATACTGAAAGCTTGGTCGTGGGAGAAGGACTTGTCAGATGGTTCGCCCGACAATCAATCTAGATTTGCACCACTACCGGATACAAAGGAGAGAGGCCAAAGGAGACATTCGTCGGACTTTCTCGAAAATCCGCCTGGTCCACCCAACACCGTTCGCCATAGTGGTCAGTCATCGATCATCAACTCAGAGCCGCAGACCCCCGTCGATGAAGGAAACTTCGAGGACGGCGAAGACGACAACATCATTGAGCTGAGGACCAAAAGTCTGACCAGACCTATTCCAATTCCTGCTTCAAACAGTAGCACCACGTCTTCTGGCGACTACCTTGCTATCCCACGCCGTACGAACAGTCTTCCTTCAGCCTCCAGCAGCATTGACAGGGAAGAGTCCTGCTTTCATCACCGAGACTCYGTGGACATATCCCATGCACGTATGGAATGTGACGAAACAAAAGACAAGAGAAACCAGGAGCTCATCATCAATTCGCGCGATTCGTTCGTTATCACCAAATCGAGGTTCAATGCCAAACATCCCAAGGCCGGTAGGTCTATGATACCTACAAGAGGTGGAATTGCATGGAGTCAATTTGGCGGTCTAAGTCCAATCGCTGATGCCAGCCCGCCGAGTGGTCCCCTACGYGAGACAGGAAAAGGGAAGCAAAAGGCGGTCAAGGTTGTAGAAACGCGAAAGCATCACTCTGATGAGCATGAAGTGAGACCAGAGAGGCACAGCGGTGGTGGCGCTGCAAAGAAAGCAGTTGGAGCTGTGGAAGTACGGCATACCGAAGAGCATACAGACTGTCCTATCTGCGAGTTGGATCGGCCGCGATGGTTCGAGGCAAATTATCGAGAGTGGTGATGGAGACATTAGTGAGTATATCATCGGCGATCTCCTAAGCTATACCACTTTTTCCTGCCATGAGTGACTGAAGTCTGCGCTGGCATACATCTAATTCATTGGTGACACCTGGACTTTCCCAACGCATATGGTTGAGTGCGCCTTGCCTAAAGGCGGAGGTTTCAAACCGACAGAAATACTATAACCATCGCCCAGCACAATGGGTCAAGCCATCACAACGGTATCATTGGCTAAGAAAGCTAGATTGTTTCCTCGACTGCGATTATGGCAATGAGCCATCGTCCTCGCTCCGAAGCAATCGACTACGGCGACGGCCACGGCGATGTTGCTATACATCGATGAGTGTGAGGATGGTTATGGAGGGATCACTCAACATGACTCACCATAATTTGAAGAACAAGACATAACCAGACCGTCAACGGTATCGCAGCCAGCTACCGTCAGAGATTAGCATTCTCGCCAGGCCACCACTGCTTCAGAGGGCACTCACAGCAAACCGACTTTCGTTCCACACTTTCGGCCTGAGTAGTAAGAACACGCTCGAGCCAAGGAAAGCTGTGTTGGCGAGCACGAGGAGACCCCCGATCATACACTTCTGGAGGAACGTCAAGGGTTCCTCTCTTTGATCCAACTGCGCCTGCAGTTCCGTCAGGGTTTGCGGAGTCGTCGCTGACATGACCAAATCTGTGGCTTCAATGACTGCCTCGTTCTCACTGACTTGACAATCCTCAGTGTCACGATGGGTCTGTATGCCCATCGGTGGGAGGTCCAACGTCGCTCCATAGCTGTAATGTCTCAATGGACGGGCGGCACCCTTCGCCCCGACCTCCTTTGGTCTGCCTATAGAAGACGGGAAACTATCTCTTGACTTTCTCTGACAGTTGTGGGGAGACGCATGACGCTCATGAGCTTTCAAACTCGGCTTTGTGATAAACTTCGAGGATTTGCGCGATCCCGACGCATGACAGCTGCTGTCTCCAGATTTTCGGTCTTCGGGACTGGAGGGAGTAAGCTGTTCTTCAGCCATCATCCAGTCATCTGAACTTGAGGAACCAGAAGATCTGGCATTTGGATGGCGTGGTAAGTCTTCTTCGGAACTCTCGGAAGAGCTGGTGGAGAGGCTTTGGTRGGAAAGCAAGCGTTGTGGCTTGTTGCGATGCCAATGAGATTCTTCTATGCAGATCGTCGTGTTGATCTCGACCACAGACTTCTGAACTCGTCCGACAGTGGCTATGCTCTTATCGAATGGTTGTACAGGGTGCAAAGCCGCTGGATTCCGTGCGTGTGCAATCACATCGACGTTGTTGGGTATGCTGAGTTTGTTCCTCGTGGGCGCAGCAGTTCCAGGAGAAATGCAGTCGTCGGCAATCGATGTCCTAGTGCTGCGCTCCACAGTCCGATTAAAGAGACTTGATGGTGTGGCCGGCTCGATATGCAGCCCGAGGTCGTCGCCATTCTTCCGGCTATCTGAAGACTTTGGTGGGATCCCATTATCGTTAACAGAAGGCCACTTGAACGCGAATTGTGTGTTTGGGTTTCCATCAGCCACAACCTGGGGCCCGGCATCGACGTCTCCAGTCAGCGATCCACTGTCAGCCCAGCCCGAATCATTGCGAGATGCAACGAAGCTGTCTTTGTGTCCGCTCGGAGACGTCTCGATGGTGGTTGTATCCATTTGTATGTTCGCCTTTATGCTTCACCACCTGGCGTTCAGGTGAAGCACTGCAGGCACTGCAAGCACCTAGGAATGTTCACTCAAGCTCCAGTCCGTCATTTACAGCTCGTAATGGAGAGGAGACATCATGTGGGGATGCTCTCATGATTGTATGACTATCCAGATGATAGTTGCTTACCTATTTGCTTACTGGCAGAAAGCTTTACCGAGACCWAGACCCATGGGAGCTTTGCTCAGCAATGTTTCCGAGACCACTCGACCAGCTATCAATACAGTAGACGTACCGCTGTATAATTGTGACGATTGCAGATCGGGATGCTGATCCATGAACTGGATCAGCAGGGAATCCATGGTTTGGGCGATAGGCTCGCACACTGTCCCCCGATGTTTGCACACAGCGTGACTTAACGTACGATCAGACAACACGAACGAATAAGGCGAAGGCGCGTACAGAGCTCATGGTACCATTCATACGAGACAGAACATCAAACCGTATCAGATCAGGGTAATACTGCATGTATGGACTCTCGGGCGCTCCGATGAGGAGAAAACGTGCATCCATGSGACACCTCTGCCTGCTCTATGGGGTAAGGCTTGCATCGTACAGCCTCTTCCCAGAGAACCATGACGTGGGTCTACCAGTGTTCGGCCGTTGAAATCGCTATCGGATGGCTGTATAGGGATAAGGCCGTTTATATCATCTAACGGTCTGGATGCACAGTACCAAACTTCGTCATCACCTCGCAACGTCCACCTTAAGCAAGCGACTACATTAGAGCCGACTTTCCCTAGATAAGAACTCTTTGCTGAAAGGATAATCGATGTAGCCCTCTGGCCCGGGCGCGTAAAACGTCTTTCGATCCCATTTGTTCAGTGGCAGACCATGCTGTACTCTGTAGGCCAAGTCTGGAGTGCTGATGAAGTAGCGACCAAAGGCGATCAAGACGTTGTCTGCCGTTGCAACTTCGTTGACAGCCCATTCAGCCTTCTCTGGTGTGAAACCTCCAGCGAGAATTATCGGGGTTTCTGTTCCCCATGTTTCTATCAAAGGAATGAGCTCGTTAGTTCCAACGGCTTTGTATACTCCATCGGCGGCGGATCCCGATTCTCTGCTTTCTATAAGGTGCAGATAGGCCAGATCCAGCTTCTTGAGCTCGTTGACAATATATGTGAATTGTGGTAGAGGATCCTCCATGCCCATGCCCTGGAACTGTCCATATGGAGACAATCTGAAGCCGATCTTCTTGCTGTCCCCGGCCGCTTCTATACAGGCTTTCGCAACCTCCAAGCCGAAACGTGCGCGATTTTCGATCGAGCCACCATATCGGTCAGATCGCTGGTTGGAAACGTCCTGGAAGAACTGATCGATAAGATACCCATTTGCACCTGCGAAGATTAGTCATTGAGCCATAAGCAGAGAGGCCTTCCGTACCATGGATTTCGACGCCATCAAATCCAGCTCTGATAGCGTTCCGTGTGGCGTTCGCATAGTCCCTGACGGTCGCCTCCACTTCTGATATGCTCATCTCTACTGGAACAACAGTCGCAGCACCGGCAGAGGTCTCACTGGAATCGACAGAAATGGGACTCGGTCCAACGACAGAGTAGCCACCTTCTTCTTTCAAGACTTTGGCTTGAGCAACACGTCCTAGGTGCCAGAGTTGCATGAATATTGTCGAACCCTTTGAATGGACACTGTCTACGATCTTCTTCCAACCTTCAACATGAGCATCGGTGAAGATGCCGGGGATCTTTTTGTATCCCTAGTCCCACCAAAGGATGTTAGCTGAGCTGCTGGTCTACACGATGTGGCCCCATTCTTACTCCCGCTTGTACACTGATGAATACAGCTTCTGTGATGATCAAAGTTCCTGGAATAGATGCACGCTGTGTGTAGTATTCAGCAGCATCGGGGTGGACGTTGCGTTCAGCGTCCGCCCTAAAACGGGTGAGCGGAGCCATTACGAGACGATGCTGCAACTCGACATTGCCGACCTTGAGCGGCCTGAAGAGACGATCTGAAACCATGTTGACGACGTTATGAAATCCTGAGGATGTGCAGTCGAAATTGAATAGTTTTGAACGAGGAGGTATGGAGCAAGAGACGCATTGTTGATCTTGCGCAATTGTCTCGGGCCGACAGCTGTCCGAGGTCTCGAAGACTCACTACTCTGTGGTGAGTGATCATGCTAGATGCATGAGTGACGAACAGAGGCATGGCATTCGACCCCAGGCGTGTGCGGGTCTGACAAGGGTGTTGCGTGCCTGTGCGAAAAATTGAAGACTGCTGATCAATGAATGTAAGAAGTACATCCAGGGGAGGTGATTGATGCCTCAGGCACAAAGATGACGATGACGGCATGACCTTCTTGAGCTCCATCGCTCGTCCTGGCATTGACATCCAACATTAACATACATGTTCCTCAAGCGAGCCATGTCTTCCACCAAATTGAACCCCAAGAACTTTCCCAGGCCTCCATTGTGTGAGCGTACGAGCAGGCATCTCCAGATCAAATGGAAAGGCGAAGTGGTCGCCGACACTAAAGACTGCGAGGGCGGAGCTTTCTGGGTATTGGAGACATTCCATCCGCCCACATACTACATCTCGCCTTCGGCATTGAAGATGCCAATTGAAAAGAGCAGCAGTAGATCGACCTACTGCGAATGGAAGGGTAACGCAACGTAAGTAATCGGAAAGAGAGACCAAGCTTCGGGTTCCTGCGTGATGATGATGCTTTTTGATGTTCAACAATCATCCCGCATGTGACCCCAGATCTTGCCTAGTCCATAGCTACATCGTCAGCCCCTTCAGAGTTTGGAACACTGACATCCCGTCAGATACTGGGACATAGCTGGAGTAAAGGGGAAGTGCTGGTCATACGAGAACCCTTCAGATCGGTTCAAAGGCATCAAAGACTACCTCAGCTTCTATGCCGCGCCTTGGGACTGCTACGTCGACGGGGAGAAAGTAGAAGCACAGCCAGGCGACTTCTATGGTCCGGTTCCACCTTGCGAGTATAAATTTGAAGCTAACCGAGGAACAGGTGGCTGGATGACAAGCGACATCGAACAGGAATCCGTAAAAGGGGCGCCCGGTACACGACACTGGTGAGACTCAGGGCCACGCTCATTTCTATTAGTCCTCAGATAGCATTGCAAATGGATTGACGGCCAAAGCACTGCTCTTCGGCTCCGATTTCTTGTTCTTCTTGGCCTTTTTTCGGGGTCTAAATTCCTGATCGTGGGGATCCGCTTCACCATCTTTGTGGATCGTCAGTGTGGTGAGTAGCTCGCCCAACACTGTCCGCCAGGCATCATCCCCGCGCATACGACTGTCGGCATCTCTTTCAGCGAAAAACACAGTGATGCGAGGTAAACCACCCAGCTGAGCGCTGAGCTTTGCCAGAGGTGCTTCGGYATTTGCTTCTCTGTCCTGCCCCAGAACATATGACAGGGTTTGTTTCAAGATGCGAAAGCTGTAGAATGCCGCTTGGAACTGGGCATTCAAGTGCAAGATATGCCACTTGCGTTCCTTCCGGCCAATGGTCGCTCTAATGATGTCGTCTAGGCTGGGCAGAGATTGATTGTCCGCAATACAGTACCTCAGAACATGCTGTATAGCGAGATAGGTCCATACTTGGCCCTCTTCTAGCTGGGTGCTTGTGTCTACCCAGCTTAGGAGGTCTGTAACGTGGTCAGACAACGCTTCCAATTCTTTGGTGGTTTCCACATCAGAGAGCTTGTCGACAAGCACAGACGCCACCCTAGTGCCACTTCGTCTGTACTCCTGAATGGCAGTGTCACACTTAAAGCTCCTGAGGAGCACAGAGTATGCAAGCTGCCTAATATCCGCAGCGACATTCCATGCGGTGGATCTCGCAATATCATCCGTTAGGAAGGGCAGATACAATCGCAGGCCACCTTGACCGACACCGTTGTCCAGAAGTCGAAGCTGCTGAAGCTGCCAGATCAACTCTGAAACACGAGAGTCCCTCGATGCCAGGTCGCTATTAGATCCCGGGCTACTTTTGATCCTTGTCCAGTCTGCCTCCTCTGCGACGATAGAGAAGGTCTTGGCAAAAGCGTCGAAGTCTGCATCTTCGCTAGGCACCGTAGCGTCAATCTTGCGAAAGGCCTTCTCGAGCGAGGTGTACAAGTCTTTAGACATCACATAGGCGGGTCTTATCAGATCGACAGTTGGTTTGGGAGCCTTTGCGGCGATTTGAGATGGCCAGTACTCCGATCCTGACCACAATACATTGTCTCCGTCTCTGGTCTCGGAAATATCTCGAAGGGTGATGATGCGAGTGCTCTCTCCAGAGTCGTAGACGAGCAAATCACTGTCGTCAGAGAAGATCGTCACGATTGTGTCGTCTTTATTGGTCACCGCAAACGACCTCGCCGCCGCAACACAATACCTACATCGAATCACTGCTGTTAGAATGTCTAAAAAGGGCCGAGAAAGCGAGTATAGGTTGCAAAATGCATGCGTCCCAAGAAGGCCATCAACTTACGGATCGGCCTCACCAGGCACCACGTGTATACACGAGTGATATTCTGAGCGTAAAAGCTCCTCTACAACGGCAAATACGACAAAAGGCGGCGGTGGCATGCTTTTGCGCAGCTCTGGCGACATAGATGAGAGACTGGCCGATGAGTTTTGCTTGAATGCTTGAAGTCGGGCAATGTAAGCCTGTAGACGCTCGATTCGAACATCTTTCTTGCTAGGAGGCAGCGCGCCGTCGAAAAATATTGCTTCACTGGTGGTTGATTAGTCGGTCGTCAAGGCTACTCTCGTGCACTGTAGCTTACATCGCAAATCCAAAGGACTTGAGCGTGTTCAGCCAGGCAACAGTACCCTTGGCGCAGTCATCATATCCGAACGCTCCCTTGAGCTTATCGCATAGCCTATAGTAGATGTGATGAACCAGGCCAGGACCGTCCACAATGGCTATGCGTGATGGCAGTGATCCATTCAGGACGATCGGCTGCGAATACGCACTCAGGCGTGACGCGAATCGTGGGATGCCCATAGAGCGTCAATTGTGCAACCCAATATCCCATGCGTATATATCCGATGAAAAAGTATCTCGCGTGCTRCTGGCACCAATTCGAGCCAGCCGGAAGCTTTGAAGTCTTGACTTTGTTTTGGGATCAGATATCGGGAAGTACTCCGCATCAACGAGCTTCGTCAACCGCAGGTTCCGGTCGTGCTCGTTCTTGAGCGAGCCTGTAGTTGTTTTCTTGCTCGAGTGATGAAGCTTCGGTGGTGAACAAGAGACGGGTGGTTCTTGCGAAAAAGAATCACTACAGGCTACCGGCTTTTGACGTCTTGGCATATTTCTTCACTTCACTTCACTTCATCGTTTTTAGACCTTGAAGCCATTTGATGGAAGAACCAGGACGCGAAATGGAAGTCAACAGATTGTTAAGCAATCAGTATCCATGTGTGTATGTGCGCAACGGTGTCTCCCGCCGGACGTCTAGTAAGAGAGGACGTCCATTGTCGATGGCCACACTGACGAGGAAGATAAAGAAAAGGCGAGCTGAACGTTCCGTTAAGAAGCCAGCGGCAAATTTATCCTGCTCCACTCATATTCGATGCATTCAATCTCAGCATCATCTGCTCTCATGCTTGTGCTAAAGACATTCACACAATTTCAGCCTATCAGTCTTCTCGGGGATGAGCGTTGCCAATTCTCACACCTAGAGCTGTAGTGACAACGATCCACTTCACAAGCCTTCCCGCGACTGCTTCTTTCGGTAGAATCTCTTGTGAGACTTCCAGTTCTTCCGCTKATACGCTTCTGATTAGTATCGAACTTCCTTGCATTCGCCACAAAGCGAAAGCAACCCCTCATCAACACCGCGGCACTTCTGGATGCAAATGCAATGAAGTCGTGGAGAACGTAGATTCCACTACCTTCAGCTTCTCGTCACGTCAACAGCGACACTCTGCGCACAGTAACTCTTGTTGACGCTTGAAACTCCTCGCGAGTAGCTTTGGCCGCATGGCCTCAATCTCAACGTCCTTCGTATCCTTATCGACCAGTTTGCCAAAGGCCACGAGATCGCCCATCATAGTCTTCACGAACGCGACTAGAGCTTTGAAATTCAATTCGTTGAGGTCTTCAMCGCCGGCGCGGCAGAGGATAGCGTCCATCGTCCATGCTGGAGGGCCGAGGCTTGTGGTCATTGCGCGATCCGCGAACTCCATAGGGAGCCCGTMAAGGCGAGTGATGCTGGGAGGCTGGTCGGATCATTGATACGGTCTCAGCCCAGACGCTTTGAGAGGTGTCGAAGACTCGAACATCTCGTTGAGCTCGGCATCAGGGTGATGGGCGTGATGGTCTTGATGAGGATGTTGATGTAAATCTTTGATCTCAAACCGTCGTTCTTGAATAGAGAAACGCGGTGGGCTGGGCAACAGCGAAGGTTTAAGCGCGGACATGTAAAGTCATGCGCAAGCATGAATGAAAGCTTGTACTACGAAAGTGCTGGCGACTGCTGGTGCCTTCCGACTTCAGCGCCTGTCGAGGCTCAACGCTCGAGGTAACGCGTCTCAACCATCGACAGACGAGGCTGTGCCCAGTTCCCTCGCCCACATTGCCATCCAGCTTCACCTGTCCGATTTCGTCTCAACATTATTCCCTTCATTTCTGTCTCTGCGAGAACTCCTCATACGCGTGAAGCATGTCGTCCGTGATGCTGCGTGAAGTCTCCTCACGCCCGTGTTGAAAATCACTTGCGGTGAGCTCTTCACCGTTGCGCTTGAGGCAATATTCCTTTGCCGCCTGACACACGCGTACCAAATCGGCGCCAGAGTGATTTTCAGTGGCTTTCACCAACTGGTCGAAATCCACACCAGGTGAAACAGGCGCCCCTTTCGTTGCGATGGCGAGAATTTCCTTTCGCGCAACTTCACTTGGTGGGCCAAGGTAAATTTTCTTGTCAAAACGCCCTGGTCTCATCAATGCCGGATCCAGCGTCTCTGGCTTGTTGGTCGCCGCTAGGATCAAAACGTCCCTCAGGTTCTCAAATCCGTCCATTTCGTTTAGGAGAGTCGTCAGAACGTTGAGGCCCTTCGTGCCGGAGGTATCGCGGTCTTCACCGATAGAATCAATCTCGTCGAAAAAAATAACACACGGCGCCGCTGCTTTGGCCTTTCGGAATACCTCACGGACTGCACGTTCGGACTCTCCGACGTACATGCTGATGAGCTCGGCACCTTTGACGACAACAAAGTTGTAATTGTACATGTTTGCGACCGCTTGCGCCGTGAGGGTCTTTGAGCAACCCGGCGGACCATACAGCAGTATTCCCTTGGGAGGCTGGTAGTGGAATCTCGCCACCTCATCTTTCTTCGTGGTGATCCAGCCAATGATGCTGTCGAAGCTTTCCTTCACGTGCTCCGAGCCGCCAATGTCACTCCAGCGGATGGTAGGCTTCTCCGTGAAGATTTCCCGCAAGGCCTTCGGTTTCACTTTCTTCAAGGCTGTCTCATAGTCTGCCCAGATTGTCAAAGCTAAAGTCTCGACCGCTGAATCGCCGGTAGGCACGTGCTGAGCGTTCACCGCATCTTCATATGGCGGAGGTGTTTGGCTTCGACTCAGTTCCGCGGCTTCGAACTCGTCGTATGAGCGATCCGCAGCGTATAGATTCGCCATCCTATTCAGCAAGGCGACGTCCTCTCCTGTGAAGCCGTGTGTCCGTGAGGCTACCAAAGGAATCATTTGTTCGTCGACACCGAGTATCTTCAGCAGCGATTGTCGTGCTGCAATGTCCGGGATTGGGATCTCGATCAGTTCTACGAAACCACCGCTTTTGTGGCCTATAATCTCCGTGCTGACATCGGAGAGTGATCGAGCTKCACCAACAACCATGACTCGAGTGTGGTGAATTTTTGACAGCTCTCTAGCGAGTACAGGGCCATAAGCGGTGTCAGTGGATGGCAGCAGGCGTTCTAGGTCATCCATGAGGATCAAAGACGGCTGATTTGCTACAGCTTCCTTGAAAGTCTCTTGAATGATGGCTTGATTTTTACTAATCACTCCGCCGTGCGCAGGAACGATGGATCGATCAAGCCGCAAGACTTTGCGGAAGTTTGCCTTTGCGAGCTGTTCCAGGAGCAACGTTTTGCCGCATCCTTCGTAGCCGTGCAAGAGTATGGGTGCATTGTCGGGATCCGGTCGACTAAGATTGAGCAGCTGTCTCAGCCTACGATTAAGAATCTGGCACTGTTCAAGCAAGCCAGCAATCGGAGCTGTGTCGAGCCCGGACGAGATAATGGGAGGCTGAGTTGGTCTGATTGGCTTGTGCAGTGTGTTGTTGAGCGGTTCTTCACCAGAGAAGACGACTTGTGTTCGGTCCATGAAGGTGAAGAGACCTGCATCGCTGCTTACATCTCCGCCGCCTTCGATGGAGTCGATGAAGAATCGCCTCTTGGACTTCTTGTTCGCGGTAATGACGTCAAATTCGACGCCGGCCGCGAGAGCTTCGCAGGAGACCAAAAGCCCGTTGACACGAGTCCTCCATCTGCCGTCATCTTCGCCTTTGTTGTACTCGGCCGGTGTAACATCGGATAGGAAAATGCTGTCAGCAGGCAAAATCTCAACATCGGTTGACGAGATGGTGACTCTAGATCCTTCCTCGAATCCAAATGCCGTACGTATGGTTTCTGTCATCTTGATGGGCCGATTTTTGGGCCTATTGGTCATTCCGTCGGCTGCTCTCCAGGCAATGCCATAGCCTGTGACTGTGGCTCCATCCTTGTCGCTCTCGCTCTCGATTTTGCAGACATCGCCTAATTTCAGAGATGCCTGGTTGAGGGATTCTGGTTGGACGTGCACACGGAAAGCACCCTCTAGGCCAGTCGAGGGCATAAGACGCACCACAACGTGCAGAGGATTCGCGGGCGGCATCTTTTTCTTACTGTCGAGTTCGGGGATCGCAGAAGCCATCGCAAAGGCAGCCCGCCCGTCCTTTTAATCAGGCCAAGAGCCCGTCCAGGCAAACGCAGCAGCCGATCAGGGGCGGAGACACGGCTCAGACACGGCGCCGTTCGCTTCACCACCTGCTTAGCTTCGGCAGGAATCGAGCGACGACTCGAGGCAGATTGATAAGAATGGTTTGTGGAGGGAAGTGATGTGGCCAGGAATCACGCGCACGGCGGCATGTAAGCAATCTCTGCGAATCTCCGGCTTCCAGGTTCCATTTCTCCCGCTGGTACCGGACGTGTGACTCCAAATCGGTCTTCACATGTGAGATCCAAGCGATCGGTGCCACTACTTTTCCACGTGGGCATTAGCCCTACAGCATCAGCCCTAAATTCAAATTAAGCGAGAGATCGGACTTCACCACGGCCAGGAGCAAGAAGTGCTCCCGACCCCAACCTCATCCTTCATTTAATGCCATCCGATTGATGCTTAGAGCGCGGCCTGTGTCTCAGCGCATCGCGTTCTGGCCATGGACGGCGAGGGGTCCGGTCCAGAAGCGCTTTGTCTCTGATTGGAACGACTTTTCCGGCGACAGCATTGAGGGATCGTCAAGGAAGCCAAACCGCCGCAGTGGCAAAGCAGTCGGCGGAGGAAGGCGTGGGAGGGACGGTGCACAACATGGAAATCCCGCGAGGTTCCAACATATCCAACAGGGACAGCACGTTGCGGAAGACTCGCTGAAGAAAGAGGTAGAGCCCAGGACACCTTCGCTGGTGGAGCAGCTCTTCCCAGAAGAGACTAAGCGATATGAAGCTGCGCAGAAGATACTGCGTGAAGTCCCTCGACTTGCTCTCGATGCTTTGCAAACTCCAGCGCCCGCGAAGCCGCTCGCTTCGCCAACTTCAGATGAGCCCACGCGATCATGGAAGGCGATGAAGCTGGAGAACATAATGAGGGCTGCGGGTCCAGGCACGGCCATGTTGGTACTACGCAATGCTACGCCCAACCTGACCGAGGAAGACTTCCGGCGCTTGATCCCGCAGGGAAAGCACATCGAAGGCTGGACATTGGAGCAGGGTGACATCATCAAAGTCATCCCGGGACGGAACATGGCGGATCTGTCTCCAAAAAATGCGTACTATCTACTGTTCTCCTCCGCACTGAGTGCATTTTCATATCAAGGTCATGTAACTCGCATACACACACTAGCTTCACAACACACGCCAAGCTCCGACACCTCGCCAATCCCGCCACCGCCTGGCTACATAATCGAGGGATTGGACGTGCACGCCGCCATCGAGGCTTATGCTCTGGTTCCACCGGGGCAGAGGCTGGAGCTACGAGGAATCAAGCCACCTCTGAGCCCTGCAATGCAGCACCTCCTCAAGTATAAAGGCTACCAAGGGCTGGTCGAGCGGGAGAACAAGATGCCATTTGAGGCTCGACTCACGCTGGAGGGTCCGCAGCTCACTTTGAGCGCTGTCCGTCACGAAATATTGGATAGTGGTAAAAAGCGAGGTCTCAGCTGGTCTGGCGAAGACAGCAACACGATTCAAATGTCCCGCTGGGATAGTGAGCGATGGATGTCTGCCTCTGATGACAGTGAGTCCGCGTGGTCCAGAGTCGCTGAGAGGACCGAAGAGGAGGAGACGAAGCGCGCAACGTATCGAGCTGACCGGAGCAAGCCCAATGACTCGACGACCTCACAGCCAAAGCGACGCAGCCCGGGAGTGGTGTACATTGTCGGCTTTCAGACAGAAAGAGCTGCCCAGAGCTTTGTACAGTACTGGCACCGAAGGCCAATTGGCTCGCCAAAGCATCACGACATAGAAGGCGATATACCGCCGATTGCGAATGTTGAGCTATTATGGTAGCCTACCCTTCTCGATCTATTTCTCATCACGTTATCGTGCCAGGCTGGAGACTATGTTGTTCTTCACGTCTGCCTTCATGAATGGAAAATCCCAACAAAGAAGAAGTTGACAGCTCAACAACAAGATACACTCCGCTTTCATGTCCATTTCCGGAACTGCTTTGTCGAATACTTACCGTCGTGATCAAAACTCTTGAGGTAGCTCTGATCATATCTTTAAGCACATCCTTGAAACATGGCAGAAGCGACCTTCACATGCGGTCTCTGTGACTGCGAGTACGTATTCCCCCGTGTCGTCCAAGAACGCTTCGATAATAATCAGACGTACATAGTTATCCCCTTGAAGAACGGGTATTTGTCTTTCCAAATCACCATGCGGAAGGCTCTATGTGCCGAGATTGTATTATACAATCATTCCACAATGCCTATGACAGCACGGACGATCCGGACCTCAGCTGGGGTGTGGAATGGGCTTCGGGCTACGTCCGAGCCCGAGACCATGTTTCCCTTTTAGGCGAGGACTTTGTGGCCAAATATGAGCTTCTCGAGGCAGAATACGACGTCCTCAGGAGGAACCGAGTATATTGTCCTCACCCTACGTCAGATCCGAACAAGAAGTGTGACACTTTCATCGGGTCAGTTACACGTGACGCTGACAGCCGGGCATCCTGCCCAACTTGTCATCGCTCGGTGTGCATGAAATGCCGGCAACCTCATGGAAACGATCATCCTCAGTATTGCTCAGACTTATCCCAAGATGACGACTCAGAGGTGGCTCTGCCCCAGAACTGGATACGGGCACAGGACTATCAACTCTGTCCCCAATGCCGGAATCCTGTTCAACACTTGGAACTTTGTAACTTCGTGAGATGCCCCTTAAGAGCCTGCCGGACAGGGTTTTGTTTCATCTGCGGGCAGATAGCTCAACACAGACATCCATATCTACACTGGCAGCGATTTCGGCCAAATGGCTCGGATGGATGCTACCTTTGGGGTGGAAAGGGGCCAAATGACCCCGCCACGGCGATGTACGCCAACGTGGAAGATCAGCCAAAGTATTATAGGATCGATATGCCAACCTTGAAGACCCATCTTTCCGCCGCGGTATCTCAGCAAAAAGCCGTGCTACGTATTCCAAATTGGATTCGAGACGTACGTATCTTATGGCACCGGTCTATTCAGCTATTTTCATTGGATTCAGTGCTGATCAAACACGTAGATGTCAAATGACTGGAATGTGGTATTCCGTTACGCCGAGGGCATGGTCAGCGGGATCTGCGCATATCAACTTGATGCTCCACGGCCCCAGACGACGTAAGTGGGAAGCCAATAGAAAGTATCTGAAAGAGAAGTTATCAGTTCAAAGCTGACATGGGTTTTTGGTCGAATTCAGACTTCGAGAGTTGAATCTACTGGCGTCGTTCGACAAATATCTCAATTACGCCGATCGATTCTTCTATATGTGGTCGTCCATTGAGGCCAACGCTAGAGACCGGATGGTGGAGGTCGCTCGTCCTGCTCAATTTTGGTCGCAAGAGTAGGTTGATCCAGCACAACATACAATCATTGGCACAATACTAACAATGCGGTATAGACTTCATGACATCGCCAATAGCATTCCAATCCAGGAAAGAGAAATGTACGAACTGAAGAGCATGAACGTTGTGGAATTTTTCCTATAGTAAGCACAATCATCATCCATCGCTGAGCACGAGTGATATTGATTGTAGGACAAGGCTAACTGTAGGTAGTATAAACAGAAGAGGAGCTAACGTAAAGAACGAATGGACTCGTCATGTGCCTCGATCGATGCAAATTCTCTATTGGGTAATCCCATCAGAGTCAAACTCCCAGGAAGCTTCGCGCGCTGGCAGGTCTGTAATTTTCACAACCTTGAAGTGCGAATATGAGCCAAGTACGCACAAGATAAGAGAAGCCATGTTCGGCCTCGAAGCACTTTTGTTGAAAAGCCCACAATGGCTCCTGAGCGCGGTAGGTATCGACATCTAGAAAGGAGTCACGTTCTAACTTTCGCCAGGCTTTCCTTTCGAACTCGGTGAATGGGAACCCTGCCCTGCTGCCCCCTCCACCACCCGGGCTTCGAGTCTTGCAATATTCACGTGCGTAGGCTACCGTCAAGATCTTGTCAACAATCCATTCGAGCGAGCAAAGTCGCACGAGATGGAGACAACAGCATCCATCGTTCCCACTCATGAACTCCAGCATGCTAACCTGTGAAATCCTCTAGATGCAACCGTCAAGCTGTCAACAATACTAGCTATAACTCGCGATGCGATTGATCACGCTGTAATGGAAGCCGATGACGATGCATACGCACCACCCTCGATCCCTGAATGGTGGAAAGATCCACCCCTGCCCGGAGATACGGAAGTAGTCGTCAAATATGTCCAAGATGGACAAGCCACGAAAGCCTTTGAAAAGGCAGAAGTCGTTGCTCTCTTCGTCCACAATGGGGCCAACTGGTATACGCGTGATGCGCTGCTAAAGTTCTGTTGCCATRTGAAAAGTTTGGAGCAGAGTGATGCTATACTGTGTCGTATCTTGTGCCTCGGGGATATCAGCATTTTAACGGACACGGTGACGGTGACGGACGGGGAATTGGATCGTCCAGGAATGGGAATCACATGGAAATTTGATGGGCACCGTTTGGTCTGAGTTTTTGATATTGATGGCGTTGTAATACTGCGAATTACTTGTGCACATGCTTTGCGAGGGGGACAATCAAGCATCGCCAGTCAGATGGGGAGTGAAGCACTGAGAAAAAAAGAGCTAAGGTATCACTCGAGATTAATAACTTCGTTTCGCCAGAAAATTCACCAAGTTGAGAGAAAAGAGTCAGTTCGAGGGAAGTGTTACAGGAGCTGCTCATGGCTGCTCGATCAATCAATGTCTCCGTTCATGAAGCCTTCTTTGATGCTTTCGTGTGCAAAAACTATCCACGTACAACTCCAACTCCGTTCAAGTTCTGCGACATCTAGTGCTGGCTGTACTGCTGTCCCCAGCCCCCACGTCCGTACGAGCCATACGTCTGGTTGAAGTTGTTGCCGCCATAGCCGCCATATCCACCCTGACCACCCATGCCGCCCTGGCCCTGCTGCTGGTGGCTTCCAAGACCTCCCAACCCACCATACTGGCTATTCTGGCCGGGAAAACCTGGGTACCCACTGCCAAAAGCAGAGTGCTGGCTCTGTGGTGGTGGTAGACCGGATTGTGCCGTACCTGCTGCACTGTTGGCAGCCGATCCTGGGCGTCCTGGCTGGCCAAGTGCCGGCGATGGACCGCCCTTTGCGTCGCCGTMTGGCTTCAAAGCGTCGTCTTGTGTCGAGCCCATGCTCTGTTGACCATAGACGCCGGGTGCGCCGAAGCCGGATGCTGCACGAGCAAAGGGGTCGTTCATGCCGCCATAGCCGCCCTGCTGTTGGTGAGAAGTTGGCTGTGCCGATTGGCGACCATAGTCGTCGAGACCGCCGAGGCCGGAGCCCATTCCGCTCGCGCTGCGCATCGAGGCGTGCTGATTCTGGGCGAAAGCACCGGCGTTGGCGGGGGAGGAGGAGTGTTGTTCGTAAGACTGTGCGTAGCCCTGTGGTGCGCCGTACATGGCGCCGCCGCCCTGCTTCTGCGCGGGGTAACCGCCGACACTGCCACCGTAACCACCGAGCTGATGGCTGAGGCCAAATTGATTAGCATAGGCCTGCTGGTATGGGCTGTTGTACGACGGGTGGCCATACGGAAAGGCCGCGCTGGCACCTGGTGGATAACCACTGTGCTGCTGCTGCAAATGACTCTGCGCCTGATGCATTGACTGTTGAGTCTGCTGCGGATTTTGTGCGGATTGCTGCTGGCCGCCCATAAGAGGGTTGGGCGTATTGCTGCCCGAGCCGGGGGCTTCGTAGCGTTGCTGTCCCTGCTTTGTATTTTGGTCAGAACTGTTGTCTCTAAGTTTTTGAACGGCGGGTGTGATAATGTCAACAGCGTTGAGCTGCCTCTGTGTGAAGCGAGGTTCAGGGTCGAGGCTCCTGACACGGAGAGGAACGTGAACATTGATGCCACCAGAACGCAAAACGTGTTCTCGGCCTGCGATCAGTCCTGCCTCGTACTTCATATCCTCTGCCAAACGGCCCTTCTCTGTGGCGTTTCGACATCGGTCGTGCATATCAGACAACTTCTCAAAATGGGCGATACTAACCTGCTGGCTTTGCGAAGTGGTGTGCATGAGGTCGTTTTGGCCCGCGCCAARGCCGCTCGCGGAACGCTGCTGTCCGATTGTCGGGTCATGTTGGCCGTGCTGTCCTTGGTGAGTGGGTCCTTGTCCTCTCGCATCGAGCTGCTGCCCATATGCGCTGCCGTAGTAGTTGTTATACCGCGCCTGCTGGTCCTGGGTGGTGTAGTACTGCGAATAGTCATTCGGCGCTGATGAGTGACCGCCAAAGTTGGACTGCGACTGTTGCTGCGGCTGGTGTCCGTGACCGGCATATTGGTCGTAACTCGGTTGCGTTTGGTGGCCGAAAGCATCGTAGTGATGAGGCTTTTGCTGCTGGGATGCATCTTGTTGCATCTGCTGCATTCCTTGCATTTGTGGCTGGCCGTAGCGGGCGTATTGGTTGTACCCCTGGCTCATCTGCTGCTCTTGTGGCGCACTCTGTGCCAAAGATGGATCCTGGATTTGCTGCTGGTTCTGTACAGATGCTGGTGGAAGGCCTGGCGCCTGCTTGGGTGTGGAGAGTGCCTCGGGGAGGGCGGCCTCCTGCGCAGCAACAGTCTGCCTGGGCGCCGGAGGGAGCGAAGTCCGTGGCTGCGAGGGTGGTGAATGCGCTGGGGCGTGCCGGGTCTCGGGCTCTTCGCGTTCCTCGTCAACATCAGGACCCGACTCGCCATTGAGACCCATGCTGCCAAATTGCACAGCAGCCCGATCCACTGCATTGTGACCTGGCATGACGACTGCCTCTTGCTGCTCGAGTACACGTCGCTGGAAGCTCGCACTTCGGCCCYGGGGACCGGCAAGACGATTCGCGCTGGTGGCGTAACCTCCCAAGCCGGGCCGGCCGATGGGAGCTTGGTGAGTCGGCAGCGGAGTGATGTTGCGAGGGTCCATGGAGCCTGCAGTACTGGCGACAGTCTGCGTGGCGGGGGGTTTAGACTCGTCGGGTAGATGCTCAACGTTGGCCTCTGTCAAAGGATCCTGMGAAGGTGTGAGTGTAAGATCGCCCTGTAGCAGTGAGGCGTTAGCAATGATGGTAAGCAATGCCACGACGGCCAACGCACCTCTGCAGTGACCGGGCGCTCCACAGCGACAGCGACCTCGGGCTCTTGCGCAGGTGCAGCTTCAACCTCCGGCTCCGTCTGAACAGCTTCTTCGACGGTTGGCGCAACCTCAGCCTCCTGCGCTGGCTCAGGAGGCGCAGGCTGCTTGGTGAGAATTTGTCTAGGAACAGCAGGCACTGGCTTAGGCTGAGAGAACATGCTGGCCCAGCTCTTCTTCGCGCCGCCTTCTGGTATGACAGTAGATGCAGCACTAGCAGATGTTGTCTCAGTTGTGGCTGTGTCTCCCCATGCACTCTGAGCAGCGGCCGTGGCATCCTGAGGCACCTCTGGGGTAGCATTGTCCCAACCACCTTGAGCAGCCTCCGTGGGCGCACTAGTGTCCCACGCGCTCGACGCGGCAGCAGTAGTCGTATCCCAGGCCGAAGATTCGGTAGTTGGCACTGAGGCTGCGCCTGCATCGGCAGAGGGTGTGCCGTTTGTCGTGGTGGTGGTGTTGGCTGCATGACCGCCACGCCCACGCTGCCCGCCTCTACCACGGTCCACACCTCCTCGTCCGCGACCTCCTCGTCCACCATCAAGTCCGCCTCGGCCACGTGCACCGCGAGCACCAAATGCTGTTTGAGCAGCCGCACCCGCCGTGGCAGACTCGTCCTTCACCTTGGAGCGTGCGCGGTCCTTGCTCTTTTTGACTTCGGCAAATTGCGAGACGGAGCCCTGGGTAATCTTCTCGACGGCTGCGGAGATATCCCCGTCGGACTCTTCCAGCGCAAACACGAGGTCCATGTCAGTCCAGTCAGGGAACATATCCTTGAGCATGTTCAATTGCGCAGCGTGCTTCTTCTTCATCGCACCAAGCTCGCCCTGGTCATCGAGCGACTCTGCTTCCAGTGCTGCCGCGTCGCCCGCTGTGCCTGTGCCATTGATCTTCCTGCCGCCGCGGGGAGCACCACKGCCAATACCACCTCTGCCACCGCGAGCGGAGCTTCGGCCCCGCGAGGGCGGCGATCTAATGTCGGCGTCCGACATTGTGTGTGATGGGTTTGCGGTGGGTGGGTGTGGCAGTGATGAAAGATGAAGCGCAATGGCAGATGCAGCTGCAAGGTGAAGGAGAACCGACAGAAGCTGCCGATGACGCCGGTGGGGCTAGGTAGCCTGGACGCCTGTGAAGTAGAATTCAGTCGATGTCAGTGAGATGCGTCCTCTCTCGTGCGGTGCCGAACGAAGAGCAGAATGAAATGTGTTTGTGTAGTCGTGCGGGCAAGGAAACAGGTCCAAGTTGTTTCGCGAAAGCATGCATCCGCGCTAGCATACTACTAGTAGATCATGTCGCCTTGGAACATCACCACGCCGAGCCTCCGAGTAACATCGACACCAACCTACATTCACATCCATCTCGGAATTTCAAACCATGCGTGCTGCTTCAATAGAGCCGTGTTCGCTCGGCATACACGGATGAGAATGAGACCGTCCAGCGTCTTTCAAGGATGGAAACAATGGGCCTCCAAGCTCCATCCACAGCTCCCGTTAACAAATCAGGAATCAACCAGACTCCTCAATGCTCTGACCGGCGCATTCAGACAAAAGCTCGACGAGGCCCACCCGAGCAGAATACAGGACGATGAAAAGCAGGCCACGTCATCCAGATCAGCTAGCGTCTTCCACTCTTCAGCAGCGCATGCCGACAAGCACTTGGAATCTATTCTTATTAACCCGCTGCTCAGCGGCCGCGACATTGTCGGAGATGCAAAGGTAGAGCTCTCCAAGAATCCTCATAAAGACCCAATCGAGCTGCTTGAGAATTACCATGAGCAAGGCGCGGCTTCGGTGGCGATAGCAGAGCTTTGTTTGAACCATTACAAACAGTCTCTCGAGCGTCTTCCGCAGGACGAACAACAGGTCTCAATTCAACAAACGCAACCTGGGAAGAGAGTCTTCGAGTGGCTCGTGGAGAGCAACCTTTACGATTCGAAGAGCTGGGTGGACAACATCGCCTTCATCAATGACTTGGTTTCCTTTCTGGTTAAAGAAGGCCGCGAAGAAACCATCTGGTCGTGGGTGAAGCTCGACATTGGCACCACCGACGGCCTACGTTCGCCTGGCCCAATCTCAAAGACGAAATACACCCGCAAAATCCAATTGTACAAGTATCGGTAAGACACTGAAGTGCAGAAGACATAGGTTCGAAGGTGTCTCTCGGGCCGTGCTATGTCTCTGTCCACATCGAAAACGTCTTAGAAAACGCTGACCCTTCTACCCTTCGCAATAGATGGAGGGGTCGTTTGCTGCGTTCCCTCGTCTCAGAAAAGTTGGGCTACGGCAACACTGTCGGGGTCGGCCCCGGTCCCAACGAATGGAAGGCGGCCCTTGATACAATATTCAAGATCTGCGACTTGAAGCTATCGACAGAACCTTCAGATCATCTCTACTGGATACCGATGGCACCGATCGCTACGTTGCTGAGCAGGTAAGTGGAAGTGAAGTATGAAAGGCATAGAGCAGTCCTGGAGCCTTCTACATCCCTTCCCAAAATCTCGGAAATATGAGACACATGCTTACATTGCATACTTCGCTTTAGGACGCTGAACTGGGAAATCRACCAGACCAGACGTGACTTTGACGTTGCGCRATTCGAAAAGCTTTACGAGTTGATTCCAGTAATCCACGATGGCGCACCGCCGTTCTTGATCAAGGTGATGCGGGCTAAGCTAAAATTGGTTCATCCCCTTGTAAGCAGCGATTGCTCCTACACCTCATACGAAATGGATGAGTAAAGTCTCATCTAAGGAAGCTTTGGGCCATTCATCGAAGCTTGCGCATCTGCTGACGTGTTGTGCATGATAGGGGCGACAACCAGCCGAAGCTCTGCACTGCTTCCAGCGCCTTTTCTCGGATAGTCCTTCGGACGTAAGTCAAAATGAAGCGTGGAAGGCATAGAGCACGTCTTGAAGCCTCCACACACCCCTCCTGGTACCCAAGACTTTTGAGACACAAGCTAACCTTTCATACTTTGCTTTAGGATGAGAATTTGTATCTCATTAGCCTCAGAGGTGAACGCCTCGCGGCAATAGGGACTTGGTGAGTCAATGTGAAGTGCGGAGGGTATAGAGCACTCTCAAATCCTCTATGCAGCTCCCCGTCATTCGAGACACTTGCTTACCTTCCATACTTCGGTCAGGTGGCGCTTTGCGACCGCCACAATCTTCGCATTGCGAATGCAGGGCAAACTGGAAGATGCCGAGTGGCTACAGGCCAAATGCATCAAAGAATTCCCCCAACAAGCACGATATTTGGAAGTCAAAATGCAAGAGTCTCGACAGCGTGAAATGGGACGAGGAGCTCAATTGGACGAACGCGATGCAGATGTTAAAGACCAAGCTCGCACTCCCTTTCCGGAGTTTGCATGAATTTCGTGGGGTCTGCTAGAATTGGAACTTCCATGTCGAGGTCGGGGAGTCCGCTTGAATCGGGAACTCTGGTTTCCCATCACCAATCGCACCGCTAAATTGATTGCAGTCTCTTCATGGATGAAGACTTGCGTCGGATATCATGCAGCTACTGTGTGGGATGTTACTGCTACGTATGTTTCATTCAAGGGTATATATCCGCCCGTGTTTCTGGCTAACCGGTAAAGCAGGCTTCCGCTTCTCCACCACACCTTTACCAACTTCAGCATCATCCTAGCATTCTATGGGAATGTCTCAAGATTACTGCTCCCCCTCTCGCGACGCAGCTAAGCATCCTCAGGCCAGACGTCGTATCCGAAAGTATCCTTCATGTTCACGAATCGTGTGTGGCGGCCCCTGGCAACCTCGTTCACCGCTTCGAAATCTTCATCCGTGAGCTCGATGCTCTTGAAGTTGCTCTCGATGCGCGATGGGGTAGAGCTCTTAGGTAGCACGACATATCCTCTACGCACGCCCCACGCGATCAGGACTTGTGCGAGGGTGTTGCCTCCCTTCTCGGCAATGGCGTTCAGTGTTGGGTTGGTGTTGACTTTCTCGCCAGTGTTTGGAACTTGGTTCTGACTTCCAAGAGGCGAGTAGGCCGCAGGCAGGATGCCATTGTCGAAGCAGAATTTTACAAGCTCATCGTTTGGTAAAAATGGATGGATCTCGATCTGGTTAACCGCTGGCTTGACCTTGGCCCAGCTGAGCATGTCCTTGAGACCAGGAATTGTCCAGTTCGACACACCGATCGCCTTGGCCTTGCCGGACTCATACAGGCTTTCCATGGCCTGCCATGTCGGCTGTGGGTTGTTTGTAAGCTCCTCCTTGATGGTGTATTGGCCCTTCTCGTTCAACTTGGGCATGTGGCTGTCATCCTTCTCCGCCGCGATTGGCCAATGAACCAAGAACAGGTCTATGTAGTCGGTCTTGAGCTTGGCCAGCGAGCTCTCGATCGACCACTTGACCTCATCGGGCTCGTGCAGGTGGTTCCAGACCTTCGTGCAGATGAAGAGATCGCTGCGCTTTACGCTCGGGTTTGACTTCAGAAAGTCGATGACTGCATCGCCGACCTCGTCCTCGTTCTGGTAAAACCACGCGCAATCTAGGTGTCGGTATCCGGTTTGCAATGCAGAAGTGACTGCTTTGTATGTCTCGCCCTTGGCTCCCTCGTTGGCGAAGGTGCCGAATCCCACCGCGGGAATGGACACACCGTTGTTCAGCTTGAAAGTCTTGCCTGCCGACATGCTGAATTAGGGGCTGGGGATTCAATTGCAATGATCTGGAAAACGCGGGAGGGATCTTCTCAAAGAATTGTGGAAAATTCGCAAAGATGGAGTGTCGACGAAACTGGGGCACGCTGGCCTATCCTGCTGATAACATCTGTCTCTTTCAAAATGCTTTCCGACTTTTTTCAGCACAATACTGCCGTTGGCCGCGCGAGATAAACAAGCAACGTCATCGTCATCATCCTCAGACACGGTCTCCCGGCGTTGAGCACGCGAACGCGAAAATAATCTCACATTTTGTGGGTAACGCGCAGAGTCACCGCCATGCATCCATACAATGATTGGAAGCCTGATGTCATTCCGAAGAGGCAGCGAGCGCAGCGCTGAAGGGGACCCGCTTTCAAGTCGGCCCGCCCAGAATACCACGAGGTTTGGAGAACAAGGGTCCACTAGCAAAAAATGGAAATCCCAGAGAACAACCACAACGACCCTCGCGTCCGAGGGATTGACACAAGAATAGCATGTGAAGAATTACCATGGCGTCACCACTGGAGGTCGCGGTGTGAATGGATGATGGTTGATGTGATTGGGCGACAAGTTGATTACGATTAAGCACGTGCAGGATATTCCTTGAGCCGATTTTTCTATGCAGAAGTTGTATCCACATACCCACCCAGTCCGCATTCTCTATCTTCAGACGATGACGCTCGAGTCTATGACATAGGTGCTCCGGGATGGTGGAGCCTCTGATGTTGATACGTCCGGAACCAATGTCGAGAGCTTTGAGGTGTTTGTTGAGGCGAGCTGTTGTGAAGCCGTCGTATCAGAGACTGCATGCCGTGGAAATAATTCGCCGGCTCTCGAAGGAATATATGATATAAACGAGAGAGGCCCCGCAGAGACAGGAAAATCATCCTTTGTATCTTTGTCGCCAGCTCCATCGACCTGATCGTTTACCCACTGCATCCACCGACTTGCATATCCCTTAAAGTCCAAGAAGATTACATCACTTTCGACCTTTCCAAACAACCGCCAACATGCCTCAATTCGATTCTGAGGACTTTGGCGTTGCCGCCGCTCCCGTCAAGAGCAACAACAACGCACAGGAGGGTGCTTCGGGGGGTAGCTATGGCGCCGTCGAGGTCCCAGCAACGAGATCTAGCATCGCAGATGCTACGCCTTACATGCACCAGCTGAGCATCTCGCCTTCTCAGCGGGATCGTCGTGCTTCCCGTAACTCCTTTGGTGCCTCGCTACCTATTCCTCGATCGAAGCGCCAGTCTCGCCTTTCGTCCGTTGCCTACGCCGATGGCCGCCCCCAGAGACCAGGAATGCCGGCGATCCAGCCAACTCGTGAGATTTTGGCATCACAGGTCCAGGATTTGTCGAGCGAGACTGTCAAGCTTGCCAAGGACATGGCTTTCGTGTTTGACATCGATGGTGTCCTTGTCCACGGTGATCGTCTGATCCCAGAGGGTCAGCGTACGCTTGAGATTCTCAACGGTGACAACGAGCTCGGCATCAAGATCCCTCATATCTTCCTCACAAACGGTTCCGGAAAGCCCGAGGCKCCACGATGCGAACAGCTATCCAAAATCCTACACCAGCCCGTCAGCACTGAGCAGTTTATCCAGTCTCACACACCAATGAGTGCATTGGCCGAATACTACGAGACCGTTCTCGTAGTTGGAGGCGAGGGCTACCGCTGCCGAGAGGTCGCTGAGCAGTAYGGCTTCAAGAACATTGTTGTACCAAACGACATTGTCGCCTGGGACCCAACGATCGCACCCTACCGTGTCTTTACAGAGGAGGAGCGCAAGACCTCCAACCCTCTCGACTTTTCGAAGCATCGCATCGATGCCATCATGGTCTTCTCCGACTCTCGTGACTACGCAACCGACATGCAGATCATTATGGATCTTCTCCAGTCCGAGAACGGCCTGCTACACACCAAGGCCAAGGATCCCATCTCTCAGCGCATCCCCATCTACTTCTCTCAGGGTGACTTGCTTTGCCCGACTGAGCACCCCACCCCCCGCATGTCGCAGGGTGCGTTCCGTATCGGCCTCGAGGCCATGTACAAGGCCCTCACTGGCGAGGAGCTCGAGCGTGTCGTCTATGGCAAGCCCGAGATGGCGACGTACAAGTACGCCGATGAGGTCATGGCCAGCTGGATGGAGAAGCTCCATGGCGAGGAGAAGCTTCCCAGCCACATTTACATGATCGGAGACAACCCAGCGTCGGACATTATTGGAGGTGTAAGTTGCTACCATATCATGAAATGGGCATTTGGAACGTAACACTAACATACCTCACAGAACCTCTACGGATGGAACACTTGCCTTGTTCGCACCGGTGTGTTCCAGGGTGGCGACAACGACGAGAACAACCCGGCCAACTTCGGTGTATTCCCGAACGTCCTCGAAGCCATCAAGACCGCCATCCGAAAGGAGCTTGGCCAGGAGTTCAAGTTTGAGTGGAACGACGCCAAGATCAACCCTCTTCTGCAGGGCAACGACGCCGCTGCTGTCGCCATTGAGTAGAGTGGTTTGTTTCTTCTCGTCTTTGTTGAAGCATCAGCATGGCATTTCTCGGCGTTCTTGGGGGAAGTTGGCAACTGGCATAGCGAAAGCCGCACCATGGAAAGGTGCTCGGGAGGAAGGAGTTTGAACGATATTCATTGATGAACAGCTTACGAGCATTTTGCGATTTCTGCATGTAGACGGACAGTCAACACCGCTACTCTTTCATGTCCATCTTGTCTTCTCTTCTGTACTGTTTGTGTGAGCTCGAGACGTAAAGGAGGGGATGTTAGCTTACGTTCAGGATGCTTGTTTTGTCAAAGGACTTGGTCGGTACACGCTGAACATCCTGGTCGGGCCATTCAGACCTCACCAATATTCTATCCCGTCGCTACGTCTCGATCACATGCAATCACCACACGCCTACATCATTCTGCATCGGATCGCCGAGCGTGTCGGCAGCCACGCTCATCTTACGTCAAGTGAGGTTRTTGCTCACCGTTGCCGCTRGATGTGATGGGCACGCCGCGGTGATTGCGCCTCCTAGTATTCCGAGTGTTGTACGAGAGTGAAATATAGAAGTCCCCCAGGGCCGAGAGGTCATTCCAGATGCACTGTGCCACATGTGTATGCACGACAATGCAATGCCTCTATCTGGAAGGACGAAGGACGACCAAAATCCCCGGAGGACTCCTTATTATTGGTTAAATCGCAGCTCTCCAGAGCTATCATTTGCACCAGCCGAAACGACGATCTCGACCGACGCCACGGAGCTGCAAAGCTAAGCGCAACTCCACGAGGTTACCTTTGCGCTCGACCCCCGATGAGAAAGGTGAGGCGCTGCTCGTTCTTTCACTTGTCCTCGAGTTCAGATCCCCTTGGTCTGGAAGCAAATCTCTATCGGTTGTGTGAGCAGCGAGGAACCAGCAACCCACCCGGACAGCGTGCGATTTGGCTCAGCGGTGTCGTATGGGTGGCAGGCCAGCACGCCTACGACGAGATGGCCTCCAAGGGATCCTATGTGAACTTCAGTACGCCGCATCGAAAGAGCGGCAGTCTGAAGAGCAAGCAACTGCGAGCGCAGCCATCCATGGACGAAGTCCCTGAGGAGAGAGAGGTGTTAGCTTACAGGTGAGCCAAGCGCCGCGGCGTCGAAAGTATGGTACGCACACGTGCATTGGACCTGACATCGGCGAACCATGACAGACCCGCAAAGACGAATTACATACAGCTTCATGTGACGACCGATCAAGAGGCACCTCGAGATGGCGCCCGCAGCCCACAATCAATAACGTTTCGACCATCTCAAMCTGCGATACCGGAACGAACGACATCCTTGTACTCAAGGCCAGACAGCTCGTTGACTACGAGCTCAAAGGGGTCGAAATACAAGTTCAGTACTACTCCAACTCTGGTACGAACGCCGTGGGAATGGGATCGTGGTCGACCGGGTTCACGATGGGCGCGAACCCCTTCAGTTCGAAGCTCGCGTCATCCCCAGCCAACATTTCCACAATTGCCAAGAGAGWTATATCAGTGTATCGTGGAGAGCCTGGAACGTGTTCATTCCGTTGGAGACGCTGTGAGCGTGCGCGAGCTTCGGAATGACCTGCTCAGCGTCTGCCTGGTTGACAGACTGTGGCATCGGGCCGCGAGAGCACGACTATTCCGTGAGCTGTGGCTACCCAGCAACAAGACTCCTGCGAGACGAAGATTCTCCTTCAAGCCGCAATCACGAAGCCGTATGAAAATACTGCTAGCCGCACTTCGCACATATCCGGCGTTGGGACCACTTATCCAAACCATCCATATTCCAGCAGATTTTGCACTTGAGCTCGAGGTGGACGCGTTCTCGCCTTTCAGACCGGGATCGCATTTGGACATGCTACAAGAGCTGGTTCGCTATTGCTCCAATTTGGAGCAGATCTGTGGTTACGTTCCACCTGCAACATTGACAACACGAGTTCTGTTCGAGGCTTTGGGCTCGCGAACCAGGCTGAGGGCTCATGCGTGGCATCTTGATTCCTCGACAATCCTTCCAAGCCTCTCGGAGTTTATACACTTCCACGACGACTGGATGAGGCTCGAAACTTTGGTCATTGCAGGAGACCCTGGCGTGGACTTGGGTATGGGGACTGTTTCTTCGATTTTGGAAAGACTGCCCTCTCTGAAACATCTGATGCTCACGGGGCTGCATCATTCCGACTTCAATAACGGCACGATTCTGGCTCTACCAGCCCTGAGATCTTTGAGACTGGACGCTCTGGCCGGTGTAACAGATGAAGGCATTGAACAATTGGCGTCGTCGCGCCTTGTGTCGTCCCTGGAGCGCCTCACATTAGTTGATCTGGAATTGCAGTCACTCAGGACGATCGAAGCTATTCTGACCAACCTGCCGCGCCTCTCTAGCCTTGCAGTAAAGCAAGATGCCTCGCCCGAGCCACAGGCAGGCATATCCTATAGCATGCCGCTCTTACTCGCCTCGCCCAGCCTAAGGCGTCTCCATTGGGACTGTCTCATCCCGGGAACAGCTTTGTCTTGGTTCGCAGAGGCCATCGAGGCTGATAGACTTCCTAGCTTGAGGCATATCAGAGCCCCATGCGACTACGACGGGATTATGCAGGGGCTTTGTCGCCCCATTCCTCGGCTCAAGTTGACGAGCTATGATTTGCAGTATCACGATGCCCACACTGAATATACATACGAACGAGACCTGCGCGTCGCTCAGATTCAGGCACAGTTGAGGGTACGAGAGAGTCGTAGAAAGCCTTCCTTCACTGTGAATGTGCAGGACGAATCGATGGAGATACAACATACTCATGTTATAGGCTCATATCTTGGAAGCATGGAGTCTGCCATCGATTACGATCTGACGCCGGCCGTCACTGACAAAGCCATGGCTGAGTTCGATGACATTGCACGGCCGACAAGGGATGCGGGAGGACTTGAGCGTTCGTTGGGGTATGGGTTGCTGTTTTAGAGATACCATTTTGCGAATACTCATGAGATACGATTGTCAAAAAATTGTGATGCACATTTTCGATCACAGTGCCCTGGTGAGCTGGTCGAGACGACAACTCTTCTTTTGTCATACAATCGGTATTCACCATAGTGATGAAAGCTCGCAATGGCATTGAACGGAGCTAGGCCGGAGCTAGGCCCGGCTATGCTGTCATCGCGCAGCACGCTTATGACACTTCTGAACTTYGAGCTCTCACTTTGACTTCTCTGCACCAGCAATTATGGCACCCTCGAGGGCATTCTGGACCACGTCGAGAACGACACTCGGAGCAGCAAGGTCTCCAGTCGTATCCCGCACGTCAATACTACAGAAACGATGCATCTCAGCATACGGCTACGAGCAAGCCAAATGTCTCGTGCTTGACAAGCTCGGTGAACCAAAAGACGTGCTTCGTCTGCACGGCCACAGTATCRGTCCCCCAACGGGTGATTTATTGACGGTCAAATTTCTGGCCTCGCCCATCAATCCCGCCGATATCAACCAAATCCAGGGTGTATACCCTACCAAACCCTCTTGGACCACTTCCCTCGGCACACCCGAGAACATCGCCGTGGGCGGTAACGAAGGCGTGGCAGAAATCATCTCGAAGGGTGGGAACGTCAAAGGGATTGAAAAGGGCGACTGGGTCGTCTTCAAGAAACAAGGCTTCGGCACATGGCGAACACATGCTCAGACAACTGCCGATAATCTCGTGCCGATCAAGAATAAAGATGGGCTGAGACCAGAGCAAGTCGGCACGGTATCGGTGAACCCATGTACAGCCTATCGTATGCTCAAGGACTTTGTAGACCTGCAACCTGGCGAATGGTTCATCCAAAATGGGGCCAACTCAGGAGTGGGTCGCGCTGCGATTCAATTGGGAAAGCTTTGGGGATACAAGAGCATCAATGTTGTTCGCAAGCGTGAGAGTGGACATGAGGAACTTGTTCAAGATCTCAAGAACCTGGGAGCAGATGTGGTGGTCACAGATGAAGAGCTCAGCAGCAAAGATTTCCGCGAGAAGCTCAAAGAGTTGACCAACGGTGGTCGAGAACCAGTTCGCTTGGGCATGAACTGCGTTGGTGGTGCACTGGTCAACAACATGGCAAAGCACCTCGCAGCAGGTTCTCCAATGGTCACATATGGTGCCATGTCGAAGCAGCCGGTCAGTCTGCCCATGGGTCTGCTTATCTTCAAGGACATCAGCTTCCATGGGTTCTGGGTCAGCAGGTGGAGCGACAAGAATCCGGAAGAGAAGAACGCCTGTGTACATGAGATACTGGACTTGACACGGCAGGGCAAGTTCCAAGATGTACCGATGCAAGCTGTACAATGGAACCACGGCACGAAGCAGGACGAGCTGGTGGATGCTGTACAGGGAACTCTGGAGGGATACAGAAGCGGCAAGGGTATTTTCATGTTCGGTGATACGTAGGATAACGTACCCAAAGTTTGTCATGCTTGCAATTGAATTCCATGTCGTTAAGAAGAAGCACTCGACTTTTGAACTTAATTGTATTTCTGCTAGATACTTCGCAAGCCATGTAACAGCGTCGTACAGCACAAGCACTCCCGCCAGGGTATCGTCGCAGCAAAGGAAAAGCAAACAAAAAGAACGGCCCCAAGACCGTTCGACCTTCGACAAGCCCACGAAGACTTTTGATCAAGGCGTCGCGCCACCAACGCCGCGCTACCGGTAATTCACGCAGGCCATCATCTCGTTACTCCAGGCGAGTAGTGCCTTATCAATGATTGCAAAATCCACCAAAAAATTCGGAAAAATCAAAAAGAAGCGAAGAAGGGGGAAATACAGCGTTTTGTGCGGATTTCTTACTTTTGGTTGCTTTTGAATGCTCGGTTCAATGTGCTTCGGCACAAAGTAGCGACATCAGAGTTTATGCGGCGGACGGCGAGGAAGCCGTCTCCATTCCGTCGTTGCGTTCGGTGAGTTCGTCGCCTCTTGATTCGTCAGAACGATGCGTTCAAGTCTGTACGTGCCCCGAAGCAGTGAAAGTGCCCTGAGCGAGTGTCTGGGACAGGGAGTTGTTCCGACTACGACGATGCTTTTGAGCCAGTGGGCTGGCAACGTTCTTTCTTACGCCGGCATTTGCGAAATTCAGATCCGGATTCGCGCGGCTCTTGCGTGCAGGAGTCATTGGTGTATTTGCTGCGCTGCGTCGACCCTTCTGTAGTGCATTGGCTTCTGCGTTCTGTGCGCGCTTTGCAGGGTTGGCCCCTAGAGAGCTGACGGCGCGAGCAAGGTGCTGGTTGTTTCGGAAGGAGGACACAAGACCAGGCTGCTGGTCAAAATGATCCAGTAGATGGGCGTTATCTGCGCGTGGCATCGGTGACGAGTCGCTGGTGAAGGCGCTGAAAACATCTTGGGAAGCATCCTGGCCGGGCGACATGATGCCCGTGGAAGGCCGTGAGAGCGTTCCATTCTCCTCCTCCACATCCATCTCCAAGTCCGAGTCACTCATCTGTACGAAGTCGTCCAAGTTGATGGAGCTTTCGGCATCAGTGAGCTCGTCGTCAGTTGGTGCCATCGATACAAACGAAGACTGGACGTGAACGTTTGCGGAAGGCGTGAGAAGTTCTTTCGCGATGCCACACTCGTCATTGCTGCGGAGGAAGTCAAGATTGCCGTCAAACATTGTGCCCAAAGTGGACTTGGCAGTGAGAACACGCGGTGGAGCTGCGGTGCGTGGAGTCGATCGCGTCCAAGAAACAGAGGCGCCGGGGCTACCGTCACGACTTCCCATAGCTTGACGCGCACGCGCCCAATACGCGCGTTCACTCTCCGGCGGGTTCGTGGGGCAAACCAATTTCACACCGGCGCCCTTGACATCCGCAGAAACAGAGGCCACGGCCGGATCATGGATGAAGGTACCAGATTTGGGTCTCTTCTCGGATTTTGCACCGGAGAGTCGGGAACTGCTCGGGGTGCGATTCTTCTTCCCAGATGCCGGAGGCGCAGGCGTGCTTGGTCCGCTGGCTATAGTGCTGGCGGTCTCCTTACGGGCGTTCTGAATGGCTTGCACGCGGGCAATGTGCTCATCGGCAGTCTCCTCATCGGTAGTATCACCATCGTCAGCTTACCTGTCTGTCAGCATGTGAATCGCGAGATAGGGCTAAGTAGTTCATACAATCATCAGTCGACTCACTATCCGAGTCACTTTGTTCGTCGATCTCAAAGGCGGCCTTCTCGTACGGGTCTTCAAAATCGAAGTCATACACCGACTCATTGTCTACCTGCATTGCATGGTCATCCATTTGTCCGAGGAGCATCTGCGATCTTGACATATGCTCGCTCGAGCTTCCGTTCAAAAGGTCTGGGAATGAGTCTCGAGGATCCTCCTCTTCACTGCTCAGGCTGGACGTCCGAGAGCGAGTGAACRTCGTCTCCTCGAAGCGGACTTTCTTCTGGTTGACGGATGCGGCGAGGGTCTCGCTGTTAACTTCGGGGATGCGCCATGACGCAAGGTCGTTCGCAAGGTCGATATCGAAGTAGCCTTCAGCATCTTCAATTAAGTCCTGATATTGCTGATCATGTGATGGAAGGCCACCGAAAGGATCCTGTTCAAAGTCCAGATCTCCATATTCGCCTTCATCATCCATACTGTTCTCGCTTTGCAAGCTGAGCCGCCTTGCTAGAGATTCCTCCTCGACAACAGACATCCTGCTCAGCTCGTTCGTGACTGCCTTGGTTACACGAGGCTTCTCGCTGCTCTCGAATTCTGCAATAAGTTCACGTTCCGCCGTTCGCAAGACGTCTTTTTCATCAACATCTTCGTTTTCAACCTGCCACGCAAAGCAATGTTAGTCTTGCTCATCCCTGGGCAGAGTGATGAGAGCGACGCCATCGTCACTCAGCAATGCAACACTCACTTCGCTATCGCTAATCTGGTCGATTGCGCCGTAATCGTCTTCCTCGCTCGCATTTGACCCCTCATGTTCTGCGCCTCCATTCGTCTGCGTATTGCTCTCAAACACGCGAAGCTTATTCGAGACATGCCCTGTCCGGCAGGCCGGAACACTGCCAGACAGGGCAGAGACATCTGGCTCTTCTGCGTCAGCCTCTTCTTCTTCATTAGCACTACTGTCTGCTTCATCGTCGCCATCGCTGTCGTCGGACACTGCGTCTCCGGTGCGAGCGGCAATCGGCTTCTTCAGTTTGAGACCGTTTCTTTGGGAGCCACCGTGTATCCTTGGGTCCTGAACGACCTGCATTGTATTCGCCATTTTGCCGATCTTTTTTTTTTCTGGCTCGGATGAACTTGTAAATTTCGACCTCAGGTCGATGGTTCTGGGGTAACTTTTCCTGAAAGTGATCCAGGTGGCTGCGGCAATCGAAGCAGAGGTGAGCTACAACAGTGCCTCGAGGACAGCGTTTGCTTTGGAGATATCGCGCGAGTCGCCTTCGGGCAACAATTGTGAGTTGGTGTTGTGATTGAGACCCAATGCGCTCAGGGTCGTAACTTCGTCGGTCGTTTGCGGGCAAACGGATAGATGCCAGAGCCTRTTGTCTTGCGCAGTCTGTTGACTAGATAGACCTGCACAGGCGGGATGATGGCTACGATCAAGCAGGGCTTGAAGCAGTTGAGTTTGGTTATCGTCGAGTTGATGAGAAGTTGAACAGCCGGGCTTAGAGGCAGCACGTGGCCACCTCTAAGCATGGATTTAGTGCTCGACAGCGTACGGCATCTTGGACGAAGTGAAGTTGGTAGGTATGTATGGATGTGATTTGTTGTGTGAAGGGTGCTTCGTCGCTTTGGGATTGATGTTGATGTCTCAGGGAGAGTTGCAAGGGAAAGAAAGTGAGAACGAGTGGATTGGAATTTAGAGTTCACATCCCGGACTGGCTCTGGCTCGGTCGACCCTTTAAAACTTCTCCCTTCAAAACGTTTGCAAAATCACCGATACTTTTTTGCAAGCTGCATCCTCCTTGCAGCATTGACTGCCCGCGACTGTCTAGGAATGCATATACACCACCATGAGACCCTCTTCAACATCTTCTTCCTCCAGCAAGAGGAATACTTCAACTTTACCATAATAAGCATGATGTGATTCTCATCTAATCGAGAAACTTTGATCCGATTGCAGACTAGGCGGCCAATCACCTTGCTCGCGTGACGATGACTTCGCCATGCTAGCTACCGGCATCTGGTTGTGGACCCGCAAATGAAGCTAAAACGACCAGTCAAAGATCGGGGTTGCAGCTGAACATCACCCTCAGCAGATTTCTTGCACCAGAATCTCGGTCGGCTACATGCCTCAGCTGGTACAGCCCGTACGAGCTTGCAGGAAAGTGGTGACTCAAGGCTTCGAAGGTTGGGCTGCGAGCTATGTCGTCCGAATGCTGAAACTCCCGGAGAAAATAGCTTATGACGGCCTGCACTCGCTACGTACCTCCTGCAGCCTTTTTCGACTTCAGGAGACCAATACGGAGCCTCATTTCTCGTGGCTGCACCTTGACAACTTTCACGCAGTTAGCATGTCGGCCGGATGTTACTGGCCGGCCATAGGTGGCCTTTGCATGGAATTCCATGGTGATTTCACGACCGCAAGCTGCGCACCTAGGCGTGCTTGTCCCGGAAAGACTACGAGACTCACACGAGTCTTGCAAGTCATGGCGGTCTGAGAAGGTGGAGCCATGCACAGGCTGCATGGCTCCATCCGGGGTTGTCGGCTCGAAGGCCAGAGGCGCTACAAGCCGCGGGAGGCCTGGATCTTATGTTGCCTACACGTTTGCTCACTGGCACACCGACACAACCATTTATTATTCTGCCTCGCCGCATGTCAGCTGTGTATCAACCTCCTCTGATATTGCATACCGTATCAGGCGTCCAGTTGCTCAAATTCGGAGCGCCTGGACTGAGAATATATCTGTTCGAGCTCAGCGGCCGAACAACTGCACGCGTGCATACCTACTTTCACGTAATTTTCTCAGTCGGGCAACTTCACTTGGCTCATGGCCAACTTTTGTATGTTGGGAAGCATGTGCGAGTACACATTGCGCGCTCAATTTCACAGCTCATTACGCTAGTCATATGTGCCATATAGTCATTCATCAATGCCACAAGCAAATACTAGTTTTCAACAAACTTTTGTCCGAGTCGCTGACAGTTGAAGAAGACAACATGAAAGCGCGAAGGACAGGCTTCGAGGTGCCGACTCGACACCACCAGTTTCAATTTCCGTTTGCTGGCCTACGTTCCGCTGTATGCACCACTGCTCTCGAGTCTTCGACTTAGCTGTCGCAAAGGTCCCGCGCTATTCGGTGGATGTCGTCCTGTGGCCCGTTCTCTGAGTCAATTATCATAGTATAACACAGCATCCTCTCCCACTATCGCTCTTGCCACCGCTTAGCAAGCTTTGCCTTGTGGCAGCCTCAAAGACATCATCGACGCCTTCACCGGTCAAACTCGAACATTCGAGGTATTTCTTCGCCCCAATGCGTTTTCGCACTTCCTCTCCTTCGTCGGATGTGAGAAACTTTTCGGAACGTTTTCGCATCTCCTCCTGTGCTACAGGATCGTCGCGAAGATCTTTCTTGAGGCCAACAAGGATTATCGGAACATTAGGACATCGGTCCAGGACTTCTGGATGCCTATCACCACATGAGTTTTTTTTTTTCCGGTGTAAAATGCTTGGAGGGTTTCGACTAACCATTTTGTGGTGATGTTTTGGAGAGAGTCAGGACTGGAAACTGAAAAGGCAATGAGGATTACATGTGCTTGGCTGTATGCCAGTGGACGTAAGCGCTCATAGTCTTCCTGTCCGGCAGTATCCCACAGAGCAAGCTGCACCGACTTTCCATCTACGCGGCAGTCTGTGACGTAGTTTTCGAAGACTGTTGGGACATATCGCTGCAAAGTGTCACATGGTCAGCGGAGAGAAAGATGAGATTGTGCAGAGCTGGCATGCTTACCGTTGGAAAATAGCCGAGTGTGAAGACGGAGAGTAAACTGGTCTTTCCACAAGCACCATCACCAATGATGACGAGTTTCCTGTATGGTGAAGAGTCAATCGTTGAGTCCTGTGATGATCAGAGCAGTAGCTTGTGTTCCCACCTGCGCATAACTTGGCTATCTTGTTGAGCCATTATGATTCTAGTCACGACCTGTAGGCCTTTCTTTGCAACGAATGGTTGTATTCCACCAGGAAATCTAGTGACGACTTGGGCAGGCGTAGTAAACTATATGCGTGCGTTCGCGCCGCCTGTGTATAGCCTTGTGATTGATCCCGTGTGGGCCTGACTCTGAAAGCGCTTCAACAGCCACGAGAGCGGCGATGTGACGACGACGACGGACGGTCAACAGTGGGCTCGGAAAAGGTCGTGTCGTACGGCGACGTTGAAGCCAAGATGTTGAGAGGAGGAGACGGCGTTCAATGCTGGTTGTGTTCGCTCGGGGCGCAGCTGCGATTCAGGATAGGCCGTTGAGTAGGTAAAAAGCGGTGATTGCGAGGAGAAGGTATACACAATCAGGTGTGCGAGTAGCAGAGGGTAGACAGACAGCAGATGTACGGATGGAGGAGGCTTGTGTGTTGCGACTGTGTTGGAGGGGGAGAGATGCGGTCGTGCTTCCAGCTTCTCGTCGTGCTTTCACAGTGATTGATCCTCCAACTCTCTCCCCACCACACGGTCCACCACAGTTCCGATCACGAATCTCACTGCATGTGCTGCTTTCCCACCACAATCACCCGTCCGGCTATTGAGTGAGTGGCACGGCGATATCCCACTACATCACGGGTGCATCGAACACCGTTTCACTCGCTCCCACCTCCGCGCATACCGGACACCATGTCTGCTCCTGCCATGACGGCAAATACTGCGCCGCCGTCGAAGCCCAACAAGAAAAAGGCAAAGCGGCGGGCAAAGGCAGCGGAAAAGGCGGCACAGGAGCCCTTGCCATCCGCGCACGAGGCCATGCTGGGTCTTCCGGACGAGGAGGAGGAGGACTTTTCTGGCGACGACGACGGGCACGAGTCGCACCGCTACCCTGGACTGCCCAACGGACACCTCCGTCATGACGGGCATGCTCATGCTCCGCCGCGGGACGATCGATCAAAGCCCAACCGGAAGAAGTCCATGCCTGTAGGCCGGCATCACGGGGCCTACGATGCCGCTTCCTCTAAGCTGCCACCGATGCAGTACGCACCACCGCAATCGCGAAGTGGAGCTCTTCGCTCGACACCTTCTGCCACAGGCCACCACCATTCGGGTATGAATATGAACATCTGGAACACGAGTTCACAACAGGAGCGACAGAATATCAAAGACTTCTGGCTCAGCCTGAGTGAGGATGATCGAAAGGCACTGTTGAAGATCGAGAAGGAGGCTGTGCTCAAGAAGATGAAGCAGCAGCAGAAGCACTCGTGTTCGTGCACTGTTTGTGGGCGCAAGCGGACCGCGATCGAGGAGGAATTGGAGGTGCTTTACGAGGGCTACTACGAGGAACTTGAGCAGTACGCTCACCACGATCAACCACCGCTCCCAAACTCCGATGGCCTCATGCCAGATCCCTTGCAACGAAGGCCCCACCCGCTAGCAACCCCACCGCCATTGTTGCCGCAGATTCACAAAACGAGTCACGTCCGTGAGCATTTGGAGGAGGAAGAGCTCAGCGATGAGGAGGATGAAGACGATGAAGAGGAAGAGGAGTATTCAGACGAGGAGGACGAAGAAGAAGACTACTCAGATGATGAGCCTGAACAAGAGCTGGAGCCGCCGCGTGGGCATCCGGGCGTGCCCGACTTCTTCAACTTTGGCTCGCACTTGACTGTCAAAGGTATTCTAACACCATGGGTCGAGAAGCTGAAAATCGGGCTAAAGGGTAACGCAGACAACCTCCTCACGGTAGCTGACGACCTGCTCAAAAACGACGGGCGCAAGTTCATCGAAATGATGGAGCAGCTGGCCGAGCGGCGCATGAACCGCGAGATTCATTCGCAGCACGAGGCAGAAAACCACTCGGGCTACCCGCCCGACGATCCTGCGTATGGCCACGAAGACCCCCTGGCTGCAGGCGAAGAGTACGACGACGAGGCCTCCTACGACAGCCAGGAAGACTTTGACGACGACATGGACKAGGAAGACGAAACGGTGGGTGGTGACATTGAACTGGCAAGTCCCGCACATCTTCATGGCTGATCGCTTACAGGGTACGCTAACCGATGAGCAACGTATGCAGGAAGGTAGACGAATGTTTCAGATCTTTGCAGCCCGCATGTTCGAGCAGCGCGTGCTAAATGCCTATCGTGAAAAGGTTGCAGCTGAACGCCAACGGAAGCTGCTAGAAGAGCTCGAGGACGAGAGTAAGCAGCAGGAGCAGCGGGAGGCGAAGCGGCAGCGAGATGCACAGAAGAAGAAGGACAAGAAGAAGCAGCAGCAGCAGGCCAAGGCGGAGGAGAAGGCGAGGAAGGATGCCGAGAAAGCTGAGGAGGAGGCACGACTAAAGGCAGCGGAGGAGAAGAGGCTCGAGGAGCAGCGGCGGAAGAAGGAGGAGCAGCGGAAGAAGCGAGAAGACGAGAAGCGCAAGCAGGAGGATGAGAAGGCACGTAAGGAGGCCGAGAAGCTGCGGCGACAACAGGAGGAGCAGCAGCGGCGAGAAGATGCCGAGCGCAAGGCACGCGAGCAGAAGGCCGCGGAAAAGGCGCGGAAAGATGAGGCTCGAAAGAGGGAGCGAAATGAGAGAGAAGCACGCGATCGAGAGGCTAAGGAGCGGAAGGCGCAAGAGGATAGGGRGAGAAAGGAACGAGAAGCCAAGTCCAAAGCGGAACGTGAGGCTAGGGAGCGTGAGAAGCCGGTGCAACCGCTTCAACACCTCACCCATCCGCAAATTGCGAAGCGCCCTTCGCAAGCCGGCATGGTCGCCAYTCCTGGAGTTTATCCCAAGCAGCCGCAATCTGGACTTTCCTCACCTCATCCATCGATCGCGACCCCCGCGCTTCCCAAAGCGCAGAATCCTGCAAAGCATCGGCAACCTTCCCAGCAAGGCTCGCATGCATCATCACCGAAGCAGCCACAGTCACAAATGTCAAACGCCCCCAGCAAGTCTTCCTCCCCTGCGAGCGTGGGACACCAACAGCCGCAAGTCCAGCCGAAGACGATCATGCAGAAAGTGGGCAACCAGCACAACAACCACCTTATGCAGAATCCGCCACCGACATCGTCACCACTACCACATCACCACTTTCAACCCCCTCCTGGGATGCCGCACCTACAGCAGCATCCAGGTGCGTTCGGTAACATGCCACCGATGGGATTCCAAGGCTTTCCGGGACCGCAGGGACCAATGATGCCAATGGGTCGACAAATGCCGATGTTTCCACACCAGGGACCGCCAATGGGCATGCAGAATCGCATGCCCTTTGGAAATGGTATGCCCGGCACGAATGGTATGCACGGAATGGGACATCCCGGCATGATGATGCCGCAAGGCAGGGGCTTTCCGTTCGATGCACCTGGCGCACAGGCGCCTCCGGGATTTGGACAACACAACCACGCCATTCCGCAGCAGACGTCACTCATTGGACCCCCTCTACAAGCAACGAGTGGCGATCAGCGACCAAACTTGCCAGGCCATTCCCGACAGCAATCACATGACAAGGATCGTTTCGAGTCCACGACTAACCAGCCCATCGCTCGCCCCGCACCGATCGCGCGACCTAGTAGCGTTAAGCCGCAAGCAGGCCGGCAAGGGCCAGCCTCAGAAGTCGATGAACTGTCCAATCACCTCGGCAGCTCAGCTTTGCTGGACGACTCTGACGAGCCCATGCCACAAAATCAAGCAGACGTCCGTCGCCATTCCAACATTGCACCCACCGCCCGCAACGTATCCATCCCAGGAGGCTTCGGGCCTCCCATGGGCGGAGGGTTTGGCAACCCAAGCAGCACGTGGAACACCCCCCACATGGGTATGAACGCACCGYTTGGTCAAAGCCCAGGCATCTCGCAGGCTCAACCGGGCTGGGGTAGTCTCCCAAACCCGGGAATGGGTAGCTGGATGCAGCAGAACAACGCCGCGTACGCATCTAATAATGCTGCATTTGCCAACAACGCTGGGTTTGGGGCAAGCCTCGGGCTGGGTAATGGGGTTGGGGGGCATCGGCCCAATGGCGTCGGAAACAGACCCTTGACCATCCGCATCGCTCTTTGCCAAGCATGCAAGCAGCTGAACAATGCTTCCCGGGGTGAGGGCGATGGATACCATTCTGTAAAAGCCTTGCTTTCGCAGATCGCCGCGAACCGGCCGCCTCTCGATTCACCGCCAACTCTGCGTGAGATTGAAGAGATCTGCGAGACCGAAGGCGATAGCCAGAACGGCGGTGGCGAGCTATATGTCCGTCGCAACGGTGCTACTACTCCAGAAGGCTCAACATCACCCAGTGGTGAACAGTCCAGTCCAGGAGGTGGATTTGCAGTCAAGTGGGAGCCAGCAGCTGAAGCCTCGACACCCGACACGAGCCGAGGCGCACTCAAGGGTCTTGGAGAGATTGGGAGTCCGCTTCCATCCAAGACGAGTCCCGCACAAGGATTTGGAGCTCCGGGCAGTCGTGTTACCCCTTTCGGTGGGATGGGCGGCTTTCAGAGTCTGAGCGCAGTAAATTCTTTCGGTAATTAGACGGCTATGGTCAGCTCGGGTATGTGATCATGATGGAATGAATCATTTGTGTCGACTACAATATGCATGTCTCGAGTCTCGAAGTGATTAAATGTCGTCGCGAGTGCTCCCCGGGCGTGAGTATTTGTTTTGATCATAGTAGCTCCGTCACGCCGTCCAATGGGGCTAGTGCCTCCACATATGGAATAGACCGCCTGCGCAAGTGAGTAACTTTGAAATGGCAACCAGCCTGTGCAGGCTAAACACTGGAGGGATGATGCCAGACGTGTGACACGGCAAACTTTCGTTTTCATAGCACCTAGCCAGTACTAGGAACAACAGGAACCTCGCCCATTCCTCCAATGCTCTTGATCACTTCGTCAAAGTCCACGCCATTCTCTTCAAACTCCTTTTGAACCCTCATGGCGACCTTTTCTTGCCGCTCTGGTGAGAAGCTCCCATCGGCTTCGCGTTCCTCCTCAACAATCTCAGTCCATTTCCAAAACAGGCTCTCCTTTCCCAGAGACGTGAGCTTTTCTTTGAAAGCCACTACCTTCTTTCTCCTACCCTCCACGACATCTTCGCCCTCCCACTTCCAAGCTAACCAGCCATTGCCATCCGAGAATGCAAAGACCATCTTGTCCAACTCTTCGAGACTAAAGGCCTTTTCAAAGGCCAGAAAGTGGGAGTCAACCATGAGCTCAAATTCCAGATCCCAGCTCCGATCCATCATTAAGTAGCCCGTCTTCTGCATGAAAACGGGTTCAATAGCAGGCAGAATTCTCGTCTTGAAGAAAGGATTCTCTTGTCCTTGTTTCACTCCCATCATGAGTTCCTCGGTGCCCCATCCTCGACTAACTCTCACCACGACTTCCTCCTTTTGAAATCCCAGCATCCACCTCCAATAGCACGGATTCGCAGGCTGTTCCGCGAAGAAGGTGATGGGCCACGGTCCCACGAATCGAAAGAGAAAGAAGTCGAAAGCGAACATTGCGGTTCGTTGGAGAAGGATGTAGATTTGCTGTTTTCGTGTTGTTGAGATTGGGTCTACTGTGGCAGGCGTGAGGTAGCCTAGAAGGGTCTGGAAGAGAATCCAGTATGTAGGGACGGCGACGTAAAGCCGCCAAAGGAGCAGCAGGGCGATGACGCCGTTGAGCATGACGGGGATGAGGAAGACATTTTTCTTATGGTCTATTCGCGTGCGGTCGATGTGTGTGATGTGGACTTTTTTCGGGTCGAGGCGCTCGAGGAAGCGAGAGAGAGACGGCGGGGCTTTGGCGAATGGCGCGGGGATTTCCGAGATGGACGATTTGAAAGATGTGCCTTTGGTCTTCTTGGAGGATGGTTTGTTGGCCATCGCGTGGTCTGCTGCGCCGTCAATTGACGCGTGTAGATGGAGAAATGTTGGAAGAAAGTTGAGCAGGAAATATTGAAACGAAGCTTCCGACGTCACCTCGAACGACCATCAACTGGCATTGCTATTGGGTTATCTAATGGAATGATCCCTTCCGGTGCGATCGCGAGAGGTTTTTGGAGAGGTAGCGCATTGTGCATGGTAAATGTCAGACAGAACGGTTCAATGTTCTGTTCCTATTAGAATGAAGCATTGGCAAAGCTCCATGTGAGTTGACGACGGTCATTGTGCAAACCATGGAATTCCTATCTGCTCCAAAAGGTTGAAAACTAACAAACCACATCTGTCGTGATAGATCTAGACAATTGCATCGAACATACGATGCGAAGATCAGAAGTGCTTGAGGCATTCGATGCATTATGTGCAACCCAAACCCTTACCCTAAAGCAATTCCACAATTTCAGGGCTCAAAAGGATTCGGCCCCGGTCGACAACAAAAACATCAATGCTTTGTATACGAACAAGAGTTTCCCACCCAGTACAGTATTAGAGGTTTTCGCTACATATACCAGCCTCGATGCAGTCCCTCCAGGCAGAGTAAAGCAGAACCAGAAAGCTCTGACCCTCAGGACTGCCCTGAGTGTAAGGAGTGCGATCACCCCAGCCCAATGGATTGACCGCTGGGCTAGCCAGACCATTATCGTCAACATGGGCGGCAACGGCCCTCATGTTCGCCTTGGCCCAGTCCATCATCTCTGCAGTGACCTTGTCACATCATCAGCATCTCAGTCGTGAAGCACAGTACACATGTACTCACCGGCTTGWCCAGGCCATCGCCGAATATGTTGCTGGATTCCTCTTGCATTACCACCGTTCGATACACCGTGGCGGTCAACAGAGCTGTTCCGCTGGTTTCGCCGAACCAGCTATCGTCGTTGAGATAGTTTCTGAGAAGACCATCATCCTTTGGCGAGCTCATAGCTCCTCGCAGAATCTCACCAATCCATTCGAAGAGATCCTTCCGTGTTTGAGAAAAATCTGGTCCGGTCTCGGTTGGATGCCAATGCAAAAGCGTTGCGAGAACTCTCGCCATGCCCATCGCGGCCCATCCATTACCCGTCGACCACAACCCAGTGTCTTGGGTTTCTGGCCCGATGATATGATGCCAGGCCCCGGAACTGACATCCCCAGAGTTGGAATTCGAGCTCAGAACTTCCCGGTAGAGGCCACACTGCTCAATTGCGGACTGGAGAGAGCCACCATCATTGAAAGCCGGACCAGCGTATGCCATGAATGGAGGAGCCATATACATGAAATCGGCCCAAAGCTCGGCAGTATTGTCTCGTTGCGAGATCGCGCCGTTGGGCCATCGAGGCACATCGGAGAAGTGGTTCAGCTGATTTTTAGCTGCATCAAGATATGCTTCTTCCGACTGTCCGATCAGAAGTGCAAAATTCCCCAAGGATGCTGGGTCGCCCGATGCACCATCGCCATCAATGAGCGTCGTGCTACCTAATCGAATATGCGGCTTGACGTATTCTAGAGCTGGAACGTCTGCGATGAGGGGCACTACTGGCAAAGAAGCATTTGGGAATGCATTGCGGCTGAACACCTTTCAAATGTCATTAGCGATAGTGAGAGTGTCCAAAGCGGGTAGAGCATACTGATAGCTCTGGGTTATATAGCTCGAGCAGGGCTTCAGCAGCTGTTCCGTATTCCCAACTATGAGATGACAGTGATTTGGCCAGATCTGCAGCCTCCACTGGGTCGAATCCGGCATCTCGAGAGCAGCACGGTGAGCCACTGTCCGCTAACGTAGTGGAAAAGAGGAAAGAAAGAAATGAGATACAAGCAGGTCCTCGTTGGGGAGTTGCAAACATGATTCTGGTGTGCTCAGGATTTTCATCAAAAGGACAGTTGCTGCAAACCACTTTCCAGCGGCTTTCATATACTCAAGTCTGCACGAGTCAAGAAGGAGTCAGGCGTGCCAGGCGTGCCAGCGCATCGCAGACGAGAAATCCCAGTGTGAAGTCTTTTTGATCCTGGCAGCCGATGCAGGTAACATGGAAGCACTCGACACTTTGGACATCGGCGGCCGATCTTACCTGAGCTCCTATCGTTTGCGGTCTTCGTCTGTCAAGCGCGGAGTGGAGTGCTCAGGAGTGCTCAGGAGTGCTCATCTTGGCGTGCTCGCACATGGCCTGTACGTGAAGGAATTGCTCGAAGGGCGTAGCCCCGTTGCAGTATATAACTGAAAGCTAGGTAGTTTGCATGGTTCGCGAGAAGCCGCAGGAATATTGGAGGACAGGGAGAGGAAGAGAAGCCTTCAAAGCTCGTAGATCTGACCGGGTAGGGCTGCGGGCGGGGCGGGGCGGGAAGCGGTCCCGAAAGATCGAGACGGGATCCTCTCTCCATTCCCTCACGATTTCCTACACGAACGGACCATTGCAGCAATAAAACATCAGACCCAATTGTTAACACAGGGACGGGGGCGGTTGACACATAGCATGCACGTATCTCGTCTTGTGTTCGACAACACATGACAGTTCCGGGCCGAGATCGGATGGAGGCCCGGCCCTATTTTCAGATCAGGCCTCACACCGACAAACATATTTCAGAATAAACAACCTTCGAATAATTTGCCAGGATAGATTTGTTCAAGATCCATCATCTCTTCAAGCCGACTTTCAGACTCGCATAATACCTGGCGTGCACGCCATCGAGCCAAACTGACCAAGGCCAAGCAAAATCTTACTGCAAAGGATGTGCATCTCAGTACTCTCTACTGCACATCCCCAGTACGCTTTGGTTCTCATCAGCAATCGGGATGAGTTCGTTCACCGACCCACTCTCCGTGCGGATTGGTGGGACCCACCACATCAGCAAGTGTTAGGAGGACGCGATCTTCAACGTCAGGAGAGAGGCACCTGGTTAGGCATTACGAAGCAAGGACGAATTGCTATTTTGACCAACTTCCGCGAAGAGGGCGTCAACGAGAATGGGCAGAAAAGTAGAGGTGCAATGGTAAACTCATACCTAACAGTACCTCCGGATGTTCACGAATCAGAAGACGAATTTGCCCAGAGACTCATAAATAATGTCGGTATCCACGATGTTGGAGGGTTCACTCTTTTGTTCGGCAAGCTCGAACGACCTAAATCTCACAACGGTACAACGGCTGCATCCAGGCTTGAGATGTACGCTGATCATCTGTCAACAGAGCCATCCGAAGCAAAAGACTTGCCAGGTCTCGCCGTCATTTCGAATCGAACAGACTCTGCTAAAGGTCTTCGAAGAATCGCTACCAAGATTGGAGAGACTCACGGTCTAAGTAACAGTCATTACGGCGATAATACATGGCCCAAGGTTGTGAATGGCGAGAAGAAGCTCATGCAAGCAATCTCAGACGACATCCCACGCAACGACAGCCAATCTGAATTCGTCGAAGATTTATTGGCAATACTCTGCGATGACAGCCTGCCTGATCGGAGGAATGACGAAACGTGGGACGAGTATGTAAGGCACATGCGCAAGTCTATCATGATTCCGGCTATCAAAGGAAAGGCAGCACATCAGAGTCCCGACGCCCAGCCTGACAATGGAGATCGATCACTAGTCCCTGGTAGTCTGAAACTTACACCAGGAGTAGGCGCCTACGGCACAACAAAGCAGACTGTTATCCTGGTTGACCACGAGGGCATGGTGACCTTTGTCGAGCGAACGCTGTACGACGATTCCGGGGCACCGCTACCGAACCATGAACGTGACCGGCGTATCGAATTCAAGATAGAAGGCTGGGAAAGACAATGAGGTATTATTCATATTGCGACTCGTGGTTCTACTTGGCCAGTCTTATTGAAAGCCCCGGATGTTGATAAAGTGGTAACACGCAAAAGGCAGACCTCCACAAAGCTTTCAACATGGCAGTAATGTATCAAATTCGCTCCTCCTGCCAGGATCCACCCCTTATTTGCCGGGCGACTCTGGGACGGCGGACTGTTCCTGTGTCTCCCAAGTTGACCATCCCATCGGGAGATTATCGCCCGGGAAGTCAAAGGGGAGCTTGAATCTGTGCTGCCGCGCGAACATCACGCTGACGACTTCGGGCTCCAAAATCCAGGATCACTCTCGCAGCATCTCTGTCCTGCCTGGAAACCTGCCTGCGCAGACTTAGAGGCTTGCGAGCGCATTYACTATACGCTGCTATTTCCCAAGTCCAGTCTGGTTCGCTTCTATGCAAGGAACCCAAATTCGAACCTGGTATAATGATCTCGTATCATTCTCGCCGTCTGTATAGTTCAATGGCAAGCCATCGAGCATCCTTCAATCCGTGGAAGCCTTGGACCTTCCATAGAGTTTCATAAAGATCGTTGAGAGGGTCCAGCCCAAGTTCGATTGCCTCAAATTATTGCTTCTCACCATCGTAACCGTTCACCTTGCCGAGACCAATTGCGGCGTCAACGCGTAAGGGTGGTCTGAGAATCTAGAAGGAGCTCGCGGGCGCATCAATGTCCCTAATCCTGTGGCAGTCATTGCCTCATGATTTTCCCTGGGCTCAGCGTCCAGTTCCCATGTTCCTTCGGCTGTGAATTCGTCCGCTGCAGATGGAGCCTGCAGGACTTGCTGTTCCCACGAGAATCGCCTCCTGATGGGGTTAGACACATCATCGGCTGACCAAGGAGCCTCCGTCAGACTAGACCCGGGAAGATTAGTGGCACCTGCCTGAGTAGTGGATAGCGAGTCGTTTGGCGTGGAATCCAGCTCATAGATGTCGCACGAGTCTGGGGCACGAGTGAAGATCAACGCCGGGAGCTCGGCGGGTTGACAATTCGCATGCAACTCATGGCCTACAGCATCCACAGGAAGCTCTGTTACTGTCCGAGAGGACCCAAGCTCGGCTACGGGATGTTTGCTACTTTGGAGGAAATCTTCAAGGGCAGGACTCTGGATGGAGAGACCCTCGCTCGACGTATCCGCGTGGAAAAGCCTGTGCATCTTGTCGTACATGAATCTGACAAGACGGGTCTTCTTCAAAGTGGATGAGGGGCGTAAAACCGACTTGGATCGCCTGTCATATTGAAGAGGATGTCGTTGTGACGCCTGCTCCTGTTTCTGGACATGTGCCAGGTACAATTCCGCTAGGAACTGCTGCTGCTTCCAGTACTGCTCAGCATCAATGCTTGAAGCTGGCACCGGAGACGCCATTTCAAGACTAGGACCGCTGGGATATGGATGAAGATTGGTGTTGAGTAATGGAAGTCTGCGAGGTTCTGATCGTGGTGGTTGTATCGCTTGAGTCGCAGATCTGCGTTCTCCTCGGTCACCATCCTTTGTCGATCCGGGGGGCATGCAAGGCATCAGGGAACTTGTACTAGCAATATCGGTCCCGAGACATTCGAGTCCGGGTTGTGCTTCCTTCAGGCTGCGTGCAAGTCCCATGCCCGGTGGTACTTCTGGTCGACCAATCTCGAGATCCCACATCAGCTCGCCTCCAATCAGAACATATCTTGCGGCAACCCGTAAAGCATGCGCTGAATCGCCTCCGAGCAGCCGCTGTTCGCCTTCTCGGATAACACGACAAAGCCGGAAAATACCGCGGCTGCTCATACCCTCGTTGTGGCCATAGTCGAAGGCGTGTACAAGGAGCTTAGGTGGGGTTTCGTTGTGGTCCATGCCCACTGCGAGGACCACGTTTGCCCAGTCTCCTCGCAGACTTCTGACAATCAACTTGCTGAAAGCAACACTGGAATCCAGGATTTGAAGGTTGAACAGGCCCCCGATACTATTCAAAGCAGTCTCGGACTTGCCATAAGGTACATACTGAGAGGCATATGCAATGACACTGTCGTCCGAGATGGAAATTCTTCTATCAATATCTGGCCATGAGTAAGGTTTACGAGCGATGGTGAGTGTCATTGCCGTGAATTGTCGAAGCTCCTCTGGACTGACAGTCGTCATCTCTGTAAGTCGGTCGTAAGTCACATCTCCAAGCACATTGTATTTCTTTTTGTGCAATCCTAGCGTGTGTACCCGAGGTCGTCGACGGAGACGCAGCGCTATCAGTTGTCCGTGGTCGTCATCCTCGTACTGACAATTCAGCGCGACGGTGATCTTCTCGGCATATCGTTCGTTATCCCTAGAGCTCTCTCCGGCGTTTTCACAATCAATATCCATATCAGGCCGCGCGAGCAAGGTCACTCGTAGTCCCTTGTTGGATAGTTCGAACGTCTCATCGAGACAATGTGCACGGCTCACGATATGGTCACCGTAGGCGAAAGCTTTCGGTGACGGAGCAAGCAGGCGGCCCTGTTCGCTGGGCCAGACCAACAGAGAATGGTCCTCTCGCGGTGCTGTCTGGATTATCATTTCCTGAAGTCGCATGAACGCCTTTGACCCTTCACCACCGTACACGAGCGGTACGCTTATGCCGAACAAGCCTAGGAGAGCATACGCCTGGTCTTCTACCCGTGACGTGGACCGTCCAGCGGCCCAGGACATTCGCTGTGCTATCGAGGTCTGAGAAAGCCTATCTCGGTCTTCCAGCACATAGGTTGGAATCTTGGTGATGACTGACAAGTGGTTGACAAGCTTGACTTTGGTACTCATGGAAATCCAATTTGAATCGTAGAACTCAACAGACTTTGGTGCGATGAGCTCTTGGAGAGTCCTGTACAATGTCAGCAATGGCTCAAAAGTGGTGAATAAATAGGCTCACCAGCCTCGAGAAAACCAGCGGCTCGACTGCAGAAGTTGGCCTATAGTAGAAACGCAAGTGCTTTGATTCTTGCTCATGTTACCGTCTCCCTCCATCGACTTCCCAGCAGTATAGCTCACGTCGGATAGGTAAGCATAACAGGTCGCAGCAAAGTAGTACCATCTATACATTGAATTAATGGCTTCAGAAAGCTCCGCGCTGCTTTTCTTGTCGATACAGCAAGTGTCGACCTAGAGGAAGGATTAGCGAAGTCGTATACATCTTGATGTGGATCAAGGCCCAGCGTAACTCGAGCGACATCAGCTGTCTACCCTGTATGCATTCTGCCACTCAGTATCTTACCCAAACATACTGGATGCCGTCTCTTACTGCCTGTACGCAGGTGTATTCAATCTTCTTGTATCCTTTCATGGAAGGTGCGTACGATTGATGGATGTCGTCGAAGTTAACCTCGTCATCATCGTTCTCCCTATCACAGGTAAGTCATAGGATGCGGAGCTACAGCATGTCGATCCAGCTGGGTTGAAATACCATGTGTGACTGAGAATAGCATATTTTCCATGAATCTTCTCCTCGTCAACTATCTTTGCCAGTCTCATCGTTCTGGCATCGAGTAGCCACATTTTGATAGAAGGTGCGACAACGCACAACGGATGACATAAGACTATGGAAGAAAGAGATGAGCAAGAAACAAGAGACCGTAGAAATGAATGCCAGATTCCTGACTGTCTACTGCGCCTCGCGCGCCACACTCATGTCTTCATCTGTTGGCCAACTAAGCGAAACTGTACATCAGAGAGGGGCGTAGCAATGCTTATCGCTCCTTCGGAAGTCCGAGCAAGATTTATTCCTGAGGCCGCCCGCTGAGGCCGCCCGTGTAGTCCAAAGACAGTCGAAGGTGTCCAGCTGGTTTCCGTACCTGGGAGCAAGTCATGTTGGCTCAGATCTGGCTGAACCCCACAATCCACGCTGCTGGTGTCGCTAGATGGACCGCACAAAAGCTCTCCGACCGGATCATCGCAGGTGAAGGTATTCTGGATGCTGTGCAACTTCAAAATTGTGGTCCACGTACGTTCCTTCAGTCAGGGCTCAGCCCGCAGAGGAAGGAGATTGAACAGATTCGGACCTACGTTGGTTGACGCCATGGCTGATGTGACGCGTAATGCCCAACGACATTCGCATGCTGTGCGCTTCTCTCTTTTGGTAAGAATTTCACATCTCATCGCGTCGCAATGGAAGCAAAATCCCGAGTGCTTCGCGGCTGAACATCCCTGCAAGAGCCAGAGATCTTGCAGCGAAGCACATGTGATTCTGACCGGTCAAGCCTCGTCTGCTATCATTTTCGGACAGTCAATAGGCAACGGCACGCCGTACTCGCTTCACCCCGATGTCTGCTCACACCGGGCGCCGAGAAAGCGACCTCCGGCGGTTCCAAATGTCACCATTGCTGTCAGCTCGAGAATCCGCTGTTAGTGTATGTAGCTGATCATATAACTCCCGGCAACATGCCGTAGTAAGGCAAAGCGCACAGTGTTTCGTCGAAGATCCCATGAAGCGCCATCAGCAACGTATTGGTGCGCGGGATGCAGAGAGTCACAGTGAGAGGACGGAGATGGGGAGGAGGAAGAAGATGGATGGTAAAGTCGCGAGACGTTGCCTCGTCCCACATCTAGCGTCGACGGCAGGACTCCGGTTGGACTGCTGTGGTCCGCCTGTTGACAACAACGGGAAGGAGAGCGATGAAGCAAGCTTCTTTGGCCACGAACTCTTCTGAAACGTCTTCTGAATCTTGCATCTGCCTTCCGCCGCCCACGCAGGTGACGCATTCATCCCTGCCACTTCCCCGTCCCCACCATTGGTACCACGATCGCCAGGCTACTTGACTCCCGCAGGGGAAGTGAACTCCATCGTTGCTGGAAGCCGGAGCAGGGCGACAATGGCGGAGTAGCAACAGAGCGCAACGGCGAGATCTTGTGGTGCTACTATTAATATTCCCGCGAGCGACATTTTGGTGCATCGCCCACGCGGCCGAGGAGCCCTCGAGGCCGAGGAGCCGTCGCCATGGCCGCCGCGGCGTCTGCGATCTTTAGCAAGGGGATAGGCAATGCCGGGAAGGAAAGCACGATGCGAGGCCTGGTATCGTTCATTGCCGATCTCAGGAATGCCAGAGCGCGAGAGCTGGAGGAGAAGCGCATCAACAAAGAGTTGGCCAACATCCGGCAGAAGTTCAAGGGTGGCAGTCTGTCGGGCTATGACAAGAAAAAGTACGTCTGCAAGCTGCTGTACATCTACATTCTGGGATGGAACGTGGACTTTGGCCACCTGGAAGCCGTCAACCTGATCTCCGCAACGAAGTACTCGGAGAAGCAGATTGGATACCTGGCTGTAACGCTGTTCCTCCACGAGGAGCATGAGTTGCTACATCTGGTGGTGAACAGCATACGGAAGGATCTGGCAGATCACAACGAGCTCAACAACTGCCTCGCGCTCCATGCAATTGCCAATGTTGGAAGCAAGGGCATGGGCGAGGCCTTGTGTGCGGATGTCCACCGGCTATTGATCTCTCCCACTTCCAAGCCATTTGTGAAGAAAAAGGCCGCTCTCACTCTCCTGCGACTTTATCGGAAGGTTCCCGCCATCGTACAGCCGGAATGGAGTGAGCGAATTATAGCTATAATGGACGATCCGGACATGGGTGTGGCTCTCTCTGTAACGTCTCTCGTCATGGCACTTGCACAGGACAGTCCAGAGGTATATCGAGGAAGCTACGTGAAAGCCGCACAGCGACTCAAGTCAGTCATTGTCGATCAGGACTACATGGGCGACTATGTGTACTACAAAGTGCCTTGCCCGTGGCTGCAGGTCAAGCTTTTACGTTTAATGCAGTACTTTCCACCTTCGGAAGACTCACATGTTCGCTCACTCATGCGCAAATCATTGCAATCTATTCTGGACAGCGCCATGGAGTCGCCCAAAAATGTCCAGCAGAACAACGCGCAGAATGCGGTGCTTTTCGAGGCCATTGACCTGATTATTCACCTTGACACGGAGCGTGACCTGATGGTACAGATATCGACCAAGCTCGGGAAGTTCATTGGTTCTAGAGAGACCAATGTGCGTTATCTCGGGCTTGAAGCGATGACCCATCTCGCAGTTCGTGCAGAAACCCTCGACCCGATCAAGAAGCATCAGGACATCATCATTGGTTCCCTTCGAGACCGCGACATCACAGTACGGCGGCAGGGTCTTGATCTGCTTTACAGCATGTGCGATTCCACCAACTCGCAGAAGATTGTGGCAGAACTACTCAAATTCTTGCAGTCGGCCGATTACGCCATTAGGGAAGAGATGGTCCTCAAAATTGCTATCTTGACGGAGAAGTATGCCACGGATGTCAAGTGGTACGTCGACATCTCCATGCGCCTCATTGCAATGGCTGGCGATCATGTCAGCGACGAAGTTTGGCAGCGAATCATCCAAATCGTAACAAATAACGACGAGCTCCAAATATACGCCGCGCAGAACATCCTCCAGTACTGCAAAGCGGAGCATTGCCACGAGACGCTTGTCAAGATCGGAAGCTACATTCTCGGCGAGTTTGGACACCTGATTGCAGACACACCAGGTTGCAGCCCTATCGAGCAATTTCTTGCTCTTCAAGCAAAGTTCGGATCGAGCCCCCCCAACACCCGAGCAATGATTCTCTCAGCCTTTGTAAAGTTCGTCAATCTATTTCCTGAGATCCGACCTCGGCTATTGGAAACGTTCGAGATATACACTCACTCTCTTGACTCGGAGTTGCAGCAGCGGGCGTGCGAGTATCTTGCGATAGCGAGCATGCCTTCTGACGACCTTCTGCGTACAATCTGCGATGAGATGCCGGCATTCCCGGAAAGGGCGTCTGCGCTTCTGTCAAGGTTAGACAAGAAGCAGGGAGCTGTCGGAGATAAGCGTACATGGGCCATCACGGRCAAAGATGCTGTGCCTGGGCTCGATCGTAGCGCAACCCTCAAGCGCAACTTCTCTGCTGCTGCTCCGGGCACAAATGGCCTCGCCACCAACGGCACCAACGGTGGGATGAAGTCACCCATTGAAGAGTTAGCTGGGCTTGACTTGACAGGCGGTGCAGTCAATATGGCCAGCGCCCAACATCTGTCGCCAGGATGGGACATCGGCTACAATAGGCTCTTGATGCGGACAGAGGGTATTCTGTATGAAGACCTACAGATACAAATTGGTCTGCGGTCTGAGTACAGAGGTGTTGTTGGCTGCATCATTCTTTACATCAGCAACAAGTCCTCAGCGCCCATACAGTCTGTTACTACTACACTGGACAATCGCTCTTCGGAACAATTGAAGGCTGACATAAAGAACTTGCCCGAAACTAATTTGCATCCTGGCGAGCAGACATCACAAACCATCACGTTCGAAGCCAAGGGGGTCTTTACTGACCCTCCCACGATTCGAGTTTCATACATGGCTGGGGCTTTGCAAGGGCTGACATTGCAATTACCCGTAGTGCTGCACAAGTATATGGAAAGTGCAGTCCTTAACTCGGATGAGTTCTTCAAGCGATGGAAGCAGATTGGCGGCCCGCCGAGAGAAGTCCAGGAGATTTTCGACGCCTACGACATATCGACCGATAACACCCGAAGACTACTGCTGGGTTTCAAGTGGGGTGTCTTGGATGGTGTTGACCCCAATGCGAAGAACTTTGTAGCTGCTACAGTGCTGCAGACGACTGCTGGAAAGTACGGTTGTCTCTTGCGACTGGAGCCGAACATGCAGAACAAGGTGAGCCTCCGAGGATCGTGCGCGGGCTCGTGCCGTAAAGCTGACTTGATCTACAGAAATACCGATTGACAATCAGAGCGACAGACGAGGCTGTGCCGCCCATTTTGATGAAGATCATGAAGGAGAGGCTGACCCAGCCTTGGTCGATTTGAATAGACATGCTATCATTGTGTTGTTGGCGAGATGGAATGATGAACTCTAGTCGCTGAAACTTCGTTTTGCCCCACAGAGCATGGAAGCGAAGCTATTTGTCTTGCTGGGCAGAAACGCGCCAGAGCACTAGGAATGGCTGTTACTTGTATGAAGGAGCTCGATTTGGTCGAGTGATGCTGCATTCCTTCCCGCAAACGTTCTCATCATTCCCACCACAAAAGGACACGCTGCGTATGGGGAGGGTTCGATGAACGCCCAGCTGGGTCCTTGGGTGGGAGAGCCCATTCTGCGAGCGTTACCACGCCAGAATCAACTAGTTATGCATGTCTTGAGATGATAATGGGCTTTCGTCGACATGAGCTTCTTCGAAGGCTATGCACATGCACATGAACCAACAATCGATGCCGTCGTTTTTGATAGACAAGTCTGAAACAAGTTAAGACATTCAACGGCAGTGAATAGGAGTTGTCTRCGGCCGCGGCTAGGATTCCGCGTGATTGCCCCACCTGTCACGACTCGCAACTCATCATTTGTGATTGTTGCTCTCCTACGTCTTTGCCATTTTTATTCCTTCATCAGTGCGAAGTGAACGAGCAGAGCACGAGCGCTTTCTCGTCCAAGTTCTCGAATTAGCGTCCAAACTTCGTCATGTAAATACATACAAAGCGCGAACTTCCCTGCAACGCTCAGCCTTGCACACTATACAGGACACTCACACATCGCTCCTCATGTTTGACGCGGTGTCAGTGAGTAAGAAGCGATCGCGCGGCGACGATGATGAGAATAGGTCGTTTGAACGGCCTTCTGAAAAGGTTCGAAAATGATCATTGCTGAGGCTGCAACGCATCTGACATGCAAAATAGAAAGCCCGCCAAACTGCACAGTCTATCGGCGAAAGCTGGTTTCCACATGACTCCGTCCTGGGGACACCCACTGCTTCATCTCAAACCAGAGAGCCGCTCAAGTACAACAGTGATGACGAGCAGTCTTCGTCGGTGGTATCTGAACCAGGCAGCCCACAAGATGTGTCTATGGACTCGGACGACGAAGGCATGGGTATGACGGCTCTCTCACAGTCACCGGAAGCTTTGAAGCCGCAAATCGCCAGCAGCAGTCCATGGGGACAGCGAATCCAGCAGACCAATCGTGTTCCTACACCTATGATGCCGATGCGTTTACGAAATGGCGTCAAGCAACATGTCCGACAACGCCACCCGCAGGAAATCAATAGCAACAGCTCGGACCTTCTCGAGGTACCTTCACCTATCGAGGAGAATGATTTTCCCACTCCACCATCAGCTGCGGAAGTTGCGGGATCTCAGCTTAGCATGCTCAGTGTTAGTGACGTTGAAATGGGAGAGTCTGGCTCAATTCCCACCATCGCTATTGATCCGGTCAGGACACCGAACCCAAGCCATGGCGACATGGACGAAGACTTCATAGATGGTGCAGGTGAGCACGTTGTTGTTCGTCGGCAGCGGCAGAGAAGTGGCGCGCTCAGCAATGGAAATGGTAATAATGGTACTGGTCCGGCTCGTGCAGGACCGAGTACTACTGGAAGCAAGCGGGGTTTCAGTATTGGCTGGAGACCAGACTGCGAGAAGTGTCAAATGCGAGTGCCTGGGCATTTCAACCACTGGACGAACGGGAACCCTTGATGAATGAATACTTGAGAGGGCAAATTGACGATAGCTGTTCATGACGGAGAATTTCACGATACACAGATACGACCTAATGGAAAGCATGGATTACATTCGCTACAGTTTACACGAGAACTCGTCGGGCTTCTCCATACCGATCGTGGCATCCTCGATACAAAGTCCCATGCTCCAGGGTGTCAGACTTGGCCATGCCTTGTCATCCTTGTCTTTGGTCGCTGCTGCATCGACCCACACCAAGCTCGCTCGGTTGGTGTAGACTGAGAGCTTGCATACCTTCCACGTTTCTGTGCCAGCAAGCATCGCTTCGTCACCTTCGGGTAGTGGTGGCTGCACGAGCGTCGTGTCCATGGGAAGGTACTTTGTCGACAACGGGAAGCTGGGCAGCCATCYGGCAGACGTGAATGTGGCGCTGAAAAACGGCTCGTCCGTGCCTTCACCAGGCGGAAAGACAGAGACCTTCAGCTCGTTTGGAGATGGGTCTCCCTTGCGTCTCGCTGGATCCGAGAATTCGAATCTCGCTAGATGCTTTGGTATGTTCCAGTTCACTCGCCCTTGGATGATGGTTAGATCAATCAACGAATGGCAGCGAAAAGGTTATGCGTACCATTGTAGCAAGTTTCTTTCTGATTGACGTATATCCTGGAGACTCGGAGCTTGCTTTTGCCTTTGTGCTCGCCTCCTGGCACTTGATACTCGCCGGGAATGAGCATGAGCTCATCGTATGGACCCACTGGACTTTCCGAGTATCTGATCAGCTGTATTGTACCGAAACCCCCCTGGAAACTGCTGGAGCCAGAAGAAGAATGCTGCCCCAGATCGAGTGGATGATAGACGTTGGATGGAAGGGGACTACTGAGCCGCAGGAACAGCCAGTACATGTCTCCTTTGAGCGTCCACGGAGCTGGTGCATGCTCTGGAGCTCCAGACGATTTCGCTGGGACGCGGAGAGATGCCATCGTGATGTTCTCTTGATAATCTCGAAGCAGACAGAGTGCGGACAAACAAAAGGAGCAGTTGAGATTTGACCAGGCGAAATGAATGTAGTTTGTATAAAAGAGTATCGTTTACCTTGTCGCCGATCACTTTGGCGCGCCCCTAGGCTGAGGCCAGTTCCAATCATCGTCCGCGAGCATGTGATGGTATAGGCAATTCATGTAATGCCGTGCAATGATCTCCACAGCGAACGGGAGCGGGCCAACGGCGTTTTGCGAGGTCCGCTCGACAGGACGGAGTAACTTACGACTTCTAACTATGAGATCGGCGGGCACTCCTCGCATCGCACTGCGCCATCAAGATTGACAGAAGAAGCCATGGGCGAGGATAAGGTATAGGAGTGTTGTGAGCGGCGGGAGGAGTGGAGGCAAAGGGATCCGATATGTACATACCTTACTGTAGCCAAAGGGCAAGCAAGAGTGGGGGGATGCGGGGCGGGTGCTTGGCGTTTGAATGGTGGAGGGGCAAGGTGGCTGCCCACCTTTGGTCTTGACGCTGTGATGTAACTAATGTATCATTCTTCTCGACATTGGAGATAAAAAGGCGATGTGAGGCGTTGACGCCGGCTCCACCTGGCATAAAGTCGCCTTCTCCCTGTCATCTTCGCTCTTCCTGTCCTTCCCTCTTCGCCGCAACGACCTTTCATCTTCCCTGGACCCACAACCATGTCAAAATATCAAGTCAAGTGGGGTATTCTCGCAACAGGAGGAATCGCAGAGAGCTTCGCCCGGGATCTGTGGGTCAACCCAGAGACAAGAGATGTCAAAGATATTGAGCATGTCGTCGTTGCCGCCGCTTCGTCGTCTTCTTCAGATCGGGCAGCGGCTTTCTTGAAAGAGGTGCGGGCGCCGGAGTCTGCAAAGGCATACGGATCATACAAAGAGCTCGTTGAAGACCCAAACGTCGACATCATCTACGTCGCAACTCCCCACAGCCACCATTATCAAAATGCGAGATTGGCCCTTGAAGCTGGAAAGAACGTGCTTTGTGAGAAGGCTTTCACCACCAATGCTGCTCAGCTTGAGGTTCTCATCAAGATCGCGAAAGAGAAGAATCTCTTTTTGATGGAGGCTGTAAGGAACACTTCAAGGAGTACACAAGCTTTACTTGGATGGCACTGACAAGCCCTACATGTAGGTGTGGACACGTTATTTCCCACTCTCCATTTACGTCCGCGACATCATCACGTCAGGCAAGATTGGGACTGTCTTGCGTACATCTGCAGACTTGAGCATCGGAGCTGGCTCAGATTCATTCGGCGACGAACATCGAATGGTGAATTTGAATCTTGCAGGCGGCGCCCTTCTGGATCTCGGAATCTACGCCCTGACTTGGGTCTTCCAGACTCTATATCACACCCAAAAGTCACCACAAGCACCAAAAGTGTCGAGCACAATGCAAAAGTACAAGACTGGAGCAGACGAACAGACGAGCATCCTCCTAAAATTCCCCCGGGAAGGTCTACCGGACGCCCATGGTATCGCCACGACAAGCATGAACGTCGCAGGTGATCCAGATAAGAAGGCCTCTGCAGGTCCTGCCATGCGCATCCAGGGCACCAAGGGCGAGATTCAAGTCTTCCATCCCGCTTACCGACCTACAAAGACCAAGCTCGTACTGGTAGACGGCACGGTCGAGGACAAGACCTTCACCATTCCGGGGCCTGGCAAGGGCAGTGGGTGGAAGAACGGGTTCGGAGGCGATTGGCAGCCAGAGGGCGAGGGCCAAGGAATGTTCTGGGAGGCAGATGAGGCAGCATTTGCCCTCAGAGATGGCCGCAAAGAGGGACAGTACGAGAGCTTAGAGGAGAGCCTCACGATCATGCGCGTAATGGATGAGGTCAGGAAACAGAACGACTTGGTCTATCCACATAAGATTGAGACGACTCAGTACCCAGTCGATCTTTGAGGCTTTTATATAAGCAGATGATGGAAACTGAGGCTCTGGAYCGCCAACTCTATGTGGGCAGATGCAAGTCCATCGTGATTCCTAAGCTATTCAGTCCGAAATGTCCATACTCCGTTTCTTACAGGTGCTGAGCGATCGTGTTTTCTATAATCTGTACGTGGCGAAGATACGCCACAGCTTTCGAGCACGATCGTGACTCGAGCTGCATTACCAGCCAGCAGGTAACGCGGCTCACACTGGTTCCTTCAAAAAAAGTCGTCTCTTGGAGGAGACTCCAAAGCTACTCAGTCGTCTGTAGTCTCCATCTTGATGTCGTAATCCTTCTCCACATTTGCCTCGACCTCCTGAATCTTCTGCTTCTTCACCTCTYGAGCACCTCGCTCACTAAGGAACGAGCTGATGATGTCGTTACAAGATCTCTGCAAATCATCCACATGCCAGAAGCTCTCCGCCCTGATGCGTTGGCCACTTGACCAGGTTGTCCACGAGCATCCAAAGAAGCRGTACTAGGCTTCGGGGTCATCATCTCCTTCATGATCTGTCTCTTGGTCCGTTTAAAATTACGCTTGATGATGGACCAAGCATTCTGAGCGGCAGACCTGCTATTGGCGTTCGAATTATTGTGTAATCTGGAGAACTGTTGCACCTCACTTGTGAGACTCATAACAGCAGTCACGAGGTGCTCAGTATCGTTGTGAGAACGTGTCGGCGCAAGCCCGGAGGTACCCACTTAATACCTGCCTGGCACAGAACGAGAGGTTGTCAATGTGAATTGTATGCTTGATTAAAAGGCTGCTCCATTTTCTAGTCTATAACGCTACCTCTGGGTATCATATCATCGCTACAAACGCCAACATAACGTACCATTGCACCACTACTCCATTTTTTATTGCTCCTCATCCCATCACTCCTGATTCATCCAATAGTCCACAATGACGTCCTTGTGAAACGACGTATACCTCTCCACTAGATCATCAGGGCCCTTTCCCTCGTCCTCCATCCATTCATTCACGGCCGGTACCCACGAAAAGGTCCTCAAGCCCCAGTCCTTGAACTGTCTTCGTAGTACTCGCATTTCTTCCTTCATCCCGTCGGCTGGAACGCTCCAGATGAAGTTCGCCAGATCGTTCAAAGACTCGTCATCAGAAAATCGTGTGAGTCCCAACGCCACCTCCTCTAGAACGAGTTCTGCAGATGTCGGGTCCTCGAAGTTGACGCAGCAGAAGTAGAGCTGCACGAGAGTATCCATCGTCGAAGGAGAGTAGCCCTGATTGAAGAGCTGACGCCTGACTTTGCCTGAGGTGAGAAGACCGATGTAGAGCTCCAGTTCCTCGGCGGTGGTAAACGGAGCTGTGATCATCTTTCCCTTCACCGAATCGGTTGCGTAGAACGAACGCAATCCAGTTGTCGAGCATGCAGTCGATCCCGTTGACGATGGCTTGGACATCTCCTTCTTGAACCAACCCGAGCGTCTCCAAAGTAGAGTGCTCGATACTTGAATAGGAAAGAAGGAACCGTTGCTCGCGCGCACAGAGAGCAGGTATTCGTTCGGGACAGGTGCAAGCAATCCGGAGAAATATCGTTCGTATGGGCATTCCGATACGACGGACTTCTTATCTTCAGTCGGATCGACGGAGGATGCTGTTGGACTGCTCGAGTCAGCGGTGGGGCTGGGACTCTCGTTGGAGTGGTCACCGGAACTGGAGCTGCGGGACGAAGTCCAATCGTCGGTGCGAGTGTTGGTGGGAATCCGCGAGTAGGCAGGACTCGGGCTGGCCATTTTGACGTGAGAAGAGCTGGGACTCGGCGGTTGGAGGGGRGATTCTGATTGCTGGCAGCTCTGATGCTGCTGGGAAATGTTGCAAAGTCGGTTGCAAAAACTGATGATAGAAGTGTAGTCTGGGTAGACGTCTGTCGATCAGATCAATGTGGCTTGCGCGTGTCGGTTATTGGCAAGTGTGATGCTGTTATGGTGAAATGTCGTAAAGTTGAAAGTATTTTCAAGATTCGGAAGACAGATGGAGATGTGGTTGATATAGTGCAGTTTTGGTTGTCAGAGCCGCCATGTCCCGGTGTCCTCCATGCACATATTGGTCCGTCAAAAGTTTGACACTTTTCTGTGACGAGACCCGCACATGCGCGCGATGGTCCGCCCGGCGTAAACTCGAGCTTGGTTTTTGGTACTCGCGGAGTAAATTCACTCGTAGGTGGAGTGACCTCGTGCTCGCTGGGAAAATCCCTCTGGCTTTTGCGTTACCCGTCTTCGACAGCATACATCAGGTAGAGACATTCATTGTTCGTGTAGCTTGGTCCGGGATTGTCCCATTATTATGCAAGACGCGAATGGTGTTGCAGGTGCTCTCCGGGGCATAATAATTAATCGAACAGGGTGGGTTGGTTCATACTTGCGTCTCCTGTATTATCAATCCCTCTCAACCGAAAGCTGTACGCTGACATCCCACTTCACGCCCCCTAATCTCTGCTTGATCACGTTCGCCACCTTTTGTCGAATTCTCGTAACGTCGTCCGTCATGCCGTATCCCTGCCGGCTAGTCCTATACCTGACCTTCAAATTGGCCATGCATAGTCCATAATGGACCTGCCAAAATCGCGCCTCGTCGACATTGCTCACCGCTGGATCAGACTCCGCGATGGCTTGAATAACAGCTTGTAGACTTGCATCCTTGTCAACCGCCGTAAAGCTCATCAAAAGCATAGATGCGAGGGAGGTGGCAAGACGAGCCCCGAGAGCTATCATCAGCACGGCGATCATGAAGGCCAGACTCCGGTCGAAGAAGGTATACAAGCTAGGCGTCAGAAAGGGTAGAATGAGCAGGAGGATCGAGCAGGAGRGCGTGAGGAAGTGACTTGGATTTCCGAGAATTTTGCCACCCCATCCACGGAGCATTTCAAAGCGCATGGCGCGCCCAATACGAGCATGATTCTTGAGAAGGACGGCAGAGACTAGAGTGGATGCTATGCTCAGCAGACTCGCAGCGTCCACATGACCTGCACCAACTCGTTCATGTCCGTGCGGGTGGTGGGATGTGTGGGATCCGACGTTCTCAAGCGCGTGTTGGACACCGTGTGAGATCACGTCCAGGCCCATGAATGCGATGAAGACTGCCATGCCAAAACCTGCCAGCACATCTGCTCGTTCGAGGCCAAAGGGGTGTTTGATTGAACTTCGCTTCCATACCTCAAAGTTTGACATGACATCCACCAACACGCACACCGTAGCTCCCGCGGCATCGAAAAGTAGTAATCGAGAAAGCGCAGTCATTGCGAGAGACCCAGAGCCTGTGTACTGTATGTACGCCGAGACGAGGAAGTGACAAGCACACCAGGTGAGTCGAGCAGTCTGATGGCGCGTCATGCTCCACCACGCTTCCTTTCTTGTGGGAAGAGGAAGAGAGGCAGGCAMACTAAGGGGCTGTCGTTGAACTTGGGACGACTTGAAGATGGAGTCCATATGTGTTGCATGAATCGACGAGTGGCGGTACTTGTGACCTCTCCGCTTGCCCATCAATTCTGAACTTTGTGCCTTGCCGATGCTGCCATTTCTTTCGTACTGCTGGGTTGTGAAGTTGAATGGATTGGTGACAGTCCCGGCGCCCGCGCCGTTGTCCATGCTTGAGAAGCCTCCATCGGTATTTGCCGTGAGCGGCGTGACAGGGCTCCTCTGTGAATTCAGACTGCCCTGATTGCTAAATGTCGCGCTGATCGGTGGAGACAACATGCTCTCGTCTGTTCTCCCGGTGCCTGGCCCTCGTTCGGGTGAGCCCTGTGGTGAATATGCGAATTGGGTGTCGAAGTTCTGAGCTGGATTCAATCCCGGCGAGAGATTCCTCTCATCAGTCAGACTGTGTCCGAATGTGTCGTGCGAGCCTGGGATAGGTGTCGGTGGCGTGGGTGTTCGCGGCGGTAGGGGAATAGGGAGGTTTGAGGCCATGATTGCTGATGGGATATCCTTGCCAACTGAGAGACCAGCTCGCAGTGTATCTAAGTCGCTATGAAGGATAGTTGTACATGAAACCGAATGTAAAGTCTTTCGTCAGGTGTTTCTCCGACCGCGTGGTATCGAAGGTTTCAATGTTGTTGGAGACGCAGGAACATGCGCGGACCGTGGTACGTTAGTCCAAGGTACGGAGCGGATCGCCGGCGGGGATCAGTTCATGGGGATGTGTGACCTGCCCGGCTTTCTCGGAGACAAAGTGACATCTTCGCCGCATCTGGTACCTTGCATTCTTGGACAATGTACTTGTGCATCTATAGCCACCGATAGTATTAGTTTGCTCCATGGGACTGTTGCCAGKAGCGAGACATGGACACTGGCAATGGCGACCGCCGTAGGAGTAGGAGCAAGACGGTCTCTGGACCACGTCCGGACACCCCCGACAAGGACAGCATCAACGATGATGCCCAGAGCAGCATTCCCACAGACGACGATTTGGTGGAAACGACGATGAAGTTCCCATGGTCTTCGCCTTCGGCACCCGCAACACCCACCGGCACTACATCCTCGCCCCCCAAGCAGCACAGTGGGCATAAGCGCAGCGTGAGCGGCAACATCTTAGCCAAATTGAACTTTTTGAGGAACGCAAGCGAAGACGCCAGACCACCTTCTCGAGGGGACAGGTCGAAGGGCCAGGGAAAAGAGGCCCCGACGCAGACAAGTCCGAATAGCGTAAAGAGTCGCAAAAGCATCGACGACGATGGAGCGCCGAGCTCGCCCGTCTCGCCTGGCAAAGGCGAGAAAGGCGAGAGCGCCATGGCAGCCGCTTTGAAACCCAGCAAGACTAGGAAGCGCAAGGGATCATTGCGGAAGGCGGCTCTGCTGGGTGGGAGGAAATTGATGACTGAAGGGCGGGAACGGAAGAATAGTTTTCTTCAGCGGAGCCCAAGTCTCAAAAGTCCAGTGCTACAGGTCTTTCCCATATCAAATGCGAAAGTAGTGGGAGGTTCAGGTAGCAGTGGCCAGTTAGTCTTCGTACCCGATGACCAGGACGGGGACAGTGCAAGCTTGCGCAGCAAGTTCAGCTATGAGAATCTTCAAGCTGCAAGTTCTACCGACAGCGGCTGGTCGTCGCCCTCTGCCGCGGTGTCTGCTGCGCGTCTGTCTCTCGTGACAGAACACCGCGAGCAGCAAACCCTGAACAACACACCTGGCGGCTTGAACATTTCCAACGCGGGTCTGGCTAGTCCCGTCAATTTGAAGAGCAAACCTAGCTACGCCAGCACAACAGACGATGACGATATCCTCACGTTCAACGCTCGACCCGCGACGTCTAGTGGAGGACGTCAACGCGGCGATAGTCTAAAGCAGACGATATCTTCTGCCCCTGGAAGCTACTTCCCGCCCATACTGGTCCAGAATAGCTCGACCGACAATCTTGCCCGCCGTCTCAGTGCGAGGAAGACATCTCCACTCTCGCACAACATCCAACTTGTGACTGAACCAGAACCGCACGACTATACTGAGACAGAGTACTGGGGATGGGTCATTCTACTCGTTACATGGGTAACCTTTGCTGTGGGAATGGGAAGCTGTTTGGATATCTGGAGCTGGGCATGGGATGTTGGTGAAACTCCGTACGCGCCTCCGGAGCTGGAAGATGATCCCACCTTGCCGATTGTTGGCTACTATCCCGCATTGATTGTATTAACGGGTGTAGTGGCGTGGGTGTGGATCACGATTGCCTGGCTGGGGATGAAGTACTTCCGACACGCTCGAGTCGATGTTTGAGGGAAGGTTTGATTCTTTGTTGCAGTATGACGTTGGCGTTGGTGGGCATGGTCGGCTTGGAAAAGATTTAAAGATACCCAAATGATTTCCAGATTCTGCTTGTAGGGATGTCACTCCGACTGAGTTCTGCCGCAGCGAGCAACAGTACATGGTATGTGCAGCACGCAGGCTCACTCGCGTGAGCTGGCTTTCGACGTGCATTATCAAACTTCGTGGTATAGACACGATGGTTGATAGACTTCAAGTATTTTCGCTTCCACTTCGCTACCATTCGTACGTAGCCACGAGGCGCTAACGGCAGGCTGCGGGAAAATCAATTGGAGTTTCACGGCCTTCCGCTTATGTTTTTGAGTTCAGCGGTCAGGGTTAGGGTTGAGGTAAGGTAAGGTAGGGTCGAAACGCTCGTCTTCCCGCCATACATTTGACCCGTCACGAGATGGGATGTCCTAAATGTCGGGACCTATCATCCTAGACATTTGGCGGATTAGTAGTTGCAGTAATTCGGAGCAAAGTATGGGACAAGTGTTGAGCTCCTGGGCATGATTTGTCGTACATCCATGAGAATGTCAACGCAGACTACAAACATCTTTTGGTGTGACTGCACCAGCAGCAAAAGGCCTACCTCACCACTCGCATGCCAACACGCTCGCTCGCTCAGTACCGACACACGGGAAATCGATCAACGCCCACAAGCCAACAGATGTGGCCCTCACGTCTTTACGTGGGAAGAAGAGGACTCGGGTAGGCAAATTAGTCCTCGTAGTCTTCTTGTTCTTCCTCGAGCTCTTCGCGAGCCTGTAAATAGGTAAGAGTTAGCTTCGATCACCACACCATCGCCAATTTAGACTTGACATACCTCTTGCAGCTCTTCGAGCTCACTGCTGCTGGCATCTGAGTCGGCTGCGGCTTCGACAGCGTCGTTGTAGTTTTGCTGTGCCTCGTGCAGAGATTCTGCATCGCTGTCGTTGGCAGGTGGGCCTGGAGGAGGGGCATTGTAGGCGCCTCCGCCGTAACCGCCACCACCGTATGCGGCGGGTGCAGCGTGGGAATTCTCATCGTCACTGTCATCTAATCACAAGTCGGGTTAGCACTGCGGTGGTTCCAGAAATTACAAGTGTACACACGAGCAAGCATGGCACCGGCGACACCACCGACAGCCAATCCTCCAGCACCAGCGAGCATCATGTTCCTGGCATTGTTGTTCTTCTCGTCCTTCTTCTCACCCGCCTTCTTCTCAGACTTCTCCTCCTAAAGCAAAGTATGGAAGGTAAGCAAGTGTCTTGGATGACGTGAAGTTGCATGTAGGTTTTGAGACATGCTCAGTACCTTCCATACTTCATTTTGACTCACTGTCTTCTTCATATCGCCGTAGTACTGCTGCGCATTCTGGTCATGACTCGAGGTACCGTAGCCCGCCTGTGGGTTGTAGAAGCCCCCCGCAGCACCTGGAGCACCGCCGTGTCCACGATCACTTGTGTATGCATCGCTCGGTCCGGTTGGCGGAGGAGCATAACCACCGTGCGAGAAAGCAGGTGGGTCCCACTGTGTACGGCCAGTAGCCTGCTCGACGAAGTACCAGCGCTGACTGTTTTGGTCGAATTGTGTAATCCAGCCTGGAGGGAGAGGTGGCTGGGCAGGAGGATTGGCGTGAGATGGTGGTGGGGCACCGTACTGCTGCTGTGACTGGGAATGATCCCCATACTGAGGCTGCTGTCCATACGGAGCCTGAGCGTGCTGGTCGTATGGGGCATGCTGAGCGCCATATGGAGGCTGCCCGCCATGATCGCCCTCGCGGGTGTCGGCGTGGCTGCTTTCAAGTGGCTTCTCAGGCTTGTCTTCCTTCTTCTCTTCTTTCTTGGGCTTGTCCTCGAAATTTGCTTTCAGCTCTTTGAACTCATCCTGAGCGCAGTATAGGAAGTAAGCAAGTGTCTTCAATGATGGAAGACTGTATGGACGTTTTGAGACATGCTCTATGCCTTCCATACTTCATCTTGACTTACGGTAAGCTTCTTGAAGAACGACATGTTTGGGTAGTGAGAAAGATTGCTTGCGGGTGTTTCGAGGAGGAGTCGGAATTGAAAAGGTAGTGAGGAAGAACTTGAGCTGAGAAGCGAACTTCTGCATAAGTTTGCTGTCGTGGTCACGGCGTCACACTAGTGGGGTGCCTTCCTATCGATACGATCCCTGTATGTATGCTCGCACTCGCATTGTGAATTGTCTCTTCTGGATAACGCCAAGTGGGACACTCGGCACTGACCATTGCTGGGCATGCAGAAGATGGGCCACATCAGCCTATCCGTGCATTCCAAACCCTGGCGCTGCATCCACATGGAAGCTGAAGCGTAGCGCTGCAGCAAACGCTTGTGATCCCAATTTACAAGCGAGGCACTGCCGCGCGTCATCGCGTCATACAAAGCTTCCATTTGCTCACATTGTTTGCTGTCTTGCGGTAGCGAGAATATGCGTTGTATGTGTAAGATGATGCATAGGAAAAAGGGAACAAAGAAGCAGACGTCGTTTCTGATGCCAAGAATACCGGAACTCGGCATGTAATCCTAGTCYAGTGTGGTTCTAGTGAGGTGCACAGTCTGTCTCTGCTGGTCTGATCCTGTCAATGATCAAGACTGATGACACTTCTTTGAGGGGGCACAGTTCGTTGTTGTCAGATGTTTGCTAAGGTAGACATGCATGCTGCGTCTACAAGCTTGGCCTCGGTCTGTGYATCTCCCATCTCTGGTCTTGGATAACTGGCCCCATCTTCACTCTCCAATGAAATGCGGGATGTTGAAACCCCGGCGTTCTCCCTTGAGCCATTGGATCCTCGGGGAAAATGAGAGAAAGGTTGCTAAGGCGATGAGATGAAGCACGAAAATGACACAACAGTATCGGAAGTCAATGGACGAGAGAGCACTTGGTTCCGCGAAGATGAGGCTCACAGCTTTGACCGCCCTAGAGGAAAAATCTCATTCTCATCAATGCCAAGAGACTGACGGAAGCCACGAGCCCTCGTTCATCGAATGTCAACGTAGCGGTGAAAGTGTGCTGTTAAGCAAATTTTGCCCATGACTTATCCTAGTTTGCCAATAGTTATCCACCTCCGCATTCTCTCTGGGCATCTTGATGGCCTGCTTGTAGGCGCGTTGGAATATTAACTGGCCATGGGACGCTGTGCTATACGAGATGCGCTTTGTAATGTCGATTCTACGGTTCGGCCATTATCTTTCCATGCTGCAACGGCGGCGTAGGCTAGGTCAAATTCTGCCAAATGTATAAGGACCGGGATGGTAGCGAGCCACGTGCAAACACGCGGTACCAAGAGCCGGATACGATGAGCACGGTAGTGGTCGTCCCTAGAACCCATCGCACATTTTGCGTCCTCTTGTAGCTAACACGCTCGTCTCTACCAACAAAGTGAAAAGCCAGGACAACCTTGGAGGAGAACCGTTCCGGAACCACAGTGGTGGTATCATATGACGTTCTGAAGCGTCATGAGGTCCTGCTGATCTGTTCGACAGCTCAGTTAATTATTGTAGAACTCAGTCGTAGTCGGTGAAGGGGGACCCTCTTTGCATGCCTGCATGAAATACTAATGCTGTTGCTGCAAGTGCAGACAGGCTCAGCTACTGTCGAAGTTTTGCACATGCTCTCTTCAAGTCTTGATGAATGTCGCCGGTCTTGGTGTCATCTCCGCGGAGTGGTATGATGTGCTTCGCAAGCCGAGGAAGTGTTGTAGCAAGCTCAAGGTAAAGTATTTTAGCGTTGTGATGTCCCACGAGTTCGCTGCGCGGAGTGCGGAGAGGAGATCATTTGATGACCCTAAAATCATGGATTGTGGCGCTCATCACATGAAAAAAAAAGACGATGCCCTGTTCGTGCCCTCAGTGCGTGCCCCAGTGGTAGAGCCTCTCGTAGATGGAGACGAGCAGCGCGTCTCGAAACATGACAACGTCACAGCCAAAGTATTTGTGTACGAAGTAGGAATGATGTAGTGCAAAGAGCGGTCTGGTTGGAACATTGTGGCGGTGCTTGCCGTGAACCGAGCTTGATGAGGCAACCTGGAAGCAGACCAAACCCTTGTTGGTCGTGAACGTTCACAAGTGCATACGATCGCCGTTTCCATTGATACAAGAAGCGGCGTTTACCTCTCGTCCAAGCTTTTGCCAATTCTTCCATTTCCGCCAGCAAGCATATTGCAACTCTTGGAACGAAGCAGCCCAGGTTCGGGACTCGTTGTCATCAAATGCGTAAGTAATCCTAGTTTGCCTCACTTATCTCCACGCCAATCGCGCGCGACCCCGAACTTTCCAGGTGGATCCCGGCCGGTCCTCATTCCATCATCAGCTCCCGTCCTCGTCCTCAAGTACCTTACATCACTTCTGCACCACGCCCTGCTTCCCCTCCCTCTTTCCTTCTCATCTCCGCCCTCCAACATTGAGGCCACCTTCTCGAATGGGAAACCTTGCTGAACAGTCGCCAGACACGTTTCGCTCTCAAGCAAAGCGGCACGCTTCACATAAATCCATTCCTACACTCGCAACGACCACCGGACCTATTCTTCCGACGAAGACTACCGCCAAGAATACCAAGCCCACTCAAGCTGGCGGGCTAAGCAAGACAAATGGGCGCGGCGTTTCTCCATCGCCCGACCCCGGTGCACATCGCGACACCACTGGAGATGGACAGCTCGATGGCAGGGGCGGAGGAGGAAGAGGAAGCGTGCTCGACCGTGACCCTGAGAAGTCCGCCAACACTGATGCTGACGACTCGACGTCTCACGCATCATCTCCTGCAGCTCCACCCCCGCTCAAGTCCGAAAATGCGCGCACGGGAGATTCCACCATAGAGAATGCCGAAGAAGGTAAGAAAAAGAAACAACCAATGACCATTGCACGCGTAAAGGCAGGGTGCACACGCTTTGGAGGGCATTTCAAGCGAGCCATTTGCCATAGCTGGATTAACGTGCTTCTCATCGCCGTTCCCGCTGGTATTGCGGCAGAAGCCGCTGGTCTCGACGCTACCGTGGTTTTCGCTATCAATGCTGTCGCGATTGTGCCACTGGCCGGTCTTCTCAGTCATGCAACCGAAAGTGTGGCAAGTCGATTGGGAGATACCCTTGGCGCTCTTCTGAATGTCTCTTTTGGAAACGCTGTTGAGCTCATCATCTTCATCATTGCGCTCGTCAAAAAGGAGATTCGAATCGTGCAGGCGTCTCTGCTCGGCTCCATCCTCGCGAATTTACTGCTCATTCTCGGCATGGCGTTCCTCCTAGGTGGTCTCCGATACCGAGAGCAGGTTTACAACAGCACAGTCACTCAAATGAGTGCATGCCTACTCAGTCTGAGTGTGATGAGTTTGTTACTTCCCGTAAGCATTTTCTGACTACCCTCAATCTTGTTGTACTAACACCCCTTTCAGACTGCGTTCCATGCCGCTTTTAATGACGCCAACCTTGCGAATGCAGATGCGCAGGTGCTGAAAGTTAGCCGTGGCACTAGTGTCGTTCTTCTCCTGGTCTATGCCCTGTATCTGCTGTTCCAGCTCAAATCGCATGCCTACATGTACGAGAGCACTCCGCAAGAGATCATCGACGAGGAATCGCACCCTGGAGTGCTCCACGAACTTATGAACTCCTCTTCATCATCCGACTCCTCTAGCTCTAGCGACAGCTCAAGCTCTGATATGTCAGACTCGGGCTCTGTTGCGGCGACCACGAAGCGAGTGAAGCGTATGTTAAAACACAAGATGCGCCGCAAGTCAAGCGTCAGTACCACGAGCACACAAAACGCAGAGCGGGCTGCGTCGACTGTGAGCTCGCCCACCATTCATGAGCCCAATGACTATATGGCAGCGGGCAGCAGCCAATCCGCTTCTCACTCTGGATCCGCTGGTCTCATTGCACAACACGATGGTGCTGATGCTGATAGGGAGGACAATGGTATCCCTCGTGTCTACGATTGGGCTACTAAGAAACACAACAGCCAAGATGGATCCAAGTCTCCGGAGAGGAAAAAGCGAAGTAAGAAAGACTTGAAGAAGGACAAGAAACGCCGTCACGAAGCCGAAAAAGAGGCTGCGGCTCGCAACGCATCCTCCACCCAGAGACAACCTGAGATGGAAGGTCAGAATCGTGTCGGGTTTGCTGAGGAAGTCGAAGTTACTCCTAGCCCCGTGACCCCGGGCCGACTGCCGTTTAACATGCGACAGCTGTCCCGTAGACAGTCTCGCCCAATCCTCCCCAGCATCCTGTCGAACAACGTCTTCGTCCAACCAGCGCCGAATGCCACGCCGCCGTCTCGACCCGCAGGCCTTCCACGCTCATATACTGATGGCAACTACATTCGCCGCACCAGCTCGCTCCCTGGTCGCTTGAACCGCCAAGTTACCCCTGCAGGCACCGATCCTGTTTCGCCCTTCCCCCGCAAGGCCCGATCTATCCGTCAGGTTAACTCCGGACTGTCGACCGTTATCAGCGAGGAGGAGGAAGAGCAGCTTATGTCTCGAACTGCGGCTGTTGTCTTGCTACTTTGCTCTACTGCCTTGGTCGCCATCTGCGCCGAGTTCATGGTGGAAGCGATCCCGAAGATGTTGGAAAACTCGCCAGGCATTAGCGAGGCTTTCATTGGTCTCATCATCTTGCCGATCGTCGGAAATGCAGCTGAGCACGTCACTGCCGTTACTGTCGCCGCGAAGAACAAGATGGATCTCGCCATTGGTGTCGCCGTCGGGTCCTCCATTCAGATCGCCCTTTTCGTCACGCCCATTGTTGTTCTTCTGGGTTGGATATTGGATACTAACATGAGCCTTTACTTCAACATCTTCGAGACGGTCAGCTTATTCGTCACGGCTTTTGTGGTCAACTTTCTGGTTTTGGATGGCCGAAGTAACTACCTCGAAGGCAGTCTGCTGATTGCAGCCTACGTAATCATTGCAGTCGGCGCCTTCTTCTATCCAGATACCAATGAACAGAGCGCTTTTGGAGGAGGAGGTGGAGGTGGAGGATCAGTCTAAGGATTGAGAGGTGTCTTGGAGGTGAATGGTGGAGAACTGACATGGACCGTCCGATGCCTTGGGCGGCTTAACATAAACCTTTCTATATCGCGCCGCGGACTTCTGCTATGCAAGCTACGTAGCTAACGAGTAATGAAATATCTCCCTACTGCGAAGATTCTTTCCCCTCTTGCAAGACATTCATCCGCCGCTGCAGATCTGCCAGTGATCTGGGAGGGGATTTTGCTTGTGGCGGTGCCTCTGATTCTGATCGCGGTCTCGATACCTCTTCTTTTGTTTTTGTGGTCAAGGTATCCTGCGGGGGAGGCTGTGATTCTGTCCCCGTGTCCAATTTCCTCTTAATTGCCTCCATTTCATTCTTACTTTTATTCCTCGGTGGGACGGTCGGCTTCTGTACGAATGGGTTCGGCGTCCGAGCATTATGTTTCCCTCGCTCCTCCGCTTTCGTGGCTGACATTCCCCATCCCGCTGTCTTGGGTATGTCCATGCCAGCCGCAGGAGAAGTTGCAGCTGGATCGCTGACCAAAGGCCTATAAGACATAGCCGAGCCACCCGCACTGATTGTGCTTGTTGATGGGCCATGACCGCTGTCGCTAGGAGCTTCTCTGCGAGAACTCTTGAACGCTTTCTCCTGCCTCGCTGCCAACATCTCTGTGACGCCATTATCCAACTGCTCCACTCCACGCGCAAACCTCGCTTCCATGCCCGTTTTCAATAACTCTGCGTTCATCAATTCTTTCGTTTTCTCTTCCACACTCCAGTCGGCAACTTTCTTATTCAATTTCTCCCGTTGCGAGGGAGAGACATCCGCACGATACGGTTCCCCTTGCAAGTCCTCGATGTTCTTCAACACGCGCTCAATTTGTTGGATGAGACTGTTGGTGGTTGGGAGTATCATTTCTGCTTTGTCCTTCCATTGTGCCACGGTATAGGGTGGTATGGTGGCCTTTTCGATTTGTGATGCGGRGTTTGAAGGTGGGCGAATGAGGGCCGAACGGCGATTTAGTTCGGGGAGGATCGTATTTATTGTGTTTGCGGTGCGAGAGAGGGATTTTAGATGGCGTTCCAAGCTTGCTAGGTAGGCATCATCTTGTGCGCGGAGGTATGCGTCAACTTCAGACCGGGTGGAAAGGAAGCTGGTAGGTGTTGGGATTGAGGTCGGGAAATGTGCTGCCTCCTCTTCGTCTTGTATCGCTTCGGTTTCGGGCAATCTGCTTGGATTCGATGATGATATGGAACGTTTGGAATAGCGGAGGGCTTTGCGAATGCAATTCGCTCGAGGGCGCAAAGTATGCGACATTGTTGAAACGGTGATGTATGAGCAAAGTTTGGATTCACTTCGGGATGTAGCTTTATATCTCCGGACTCTAGTCCGACAAGGCTGATTTTACATTTCGGCGCCCAACAACCATCCATTCTAAGAGAACAAGTATTTCTAGATTCATGACCTCATATCAACTTCATCGCTACTGATTGTTACCAGTCGCCACTCCCCAGAAGTATCCACTCCACGCTCCCAGCACCAACAGCGCGAGGCTGGCAAATGCACATGTGCTAAAGAGGTTGTGCTTTGCGCTATTCGGACCGCTTTGATAGGAATCCCTCAAATCATTGATGACATCTCCCTTCCGCTGCCTCTGCTTTCTCGTCCATTGCAATCTTCGAAGATCCACTTTCCAGCGGCTTACCACGAGCAGTGTTATCGAAACTAGGACAGCTCCGGAAGCCAGGACCACGTATACATAGACAACGTTATCGTAAGAGTCGTTGTCTCTGTCTTGAATCACTCCTGTAATGACTCTTATAATGATGTTCATGCAGTTGTTCACCAAAATCTTGACCGCATAGGCAGAGCCAAACGTATCCTGGTACCAGATGATGGTTCGAATGGCATCGATAATTGCTGTAGCGCCCAGACTGGATGCGAACGCAAAGATTCCAAGACTTGCAGCTGTTCCAGCGACATTGGGCCCGAAAGCCGCGAGGCACATGGCCATGAAAACACCCGTGCCGCAGACGAACAGCACAGTCAAACGCTGCCCGAGAACATCGATGAAGATTCCAAGCAACGGCACCAGAAAAAACCCGAGGTACTGAGAAGCCGCAGKGTACCATCCTGCTTTTACGCTGCTGATATTGAATCGTTGTTCAGCCAGCTCAGTAGCGTTTGCGTTGAAGACGATGGACGTGGCTGTCTGAGAGGCGGTGAACATCATCACGCACCAGAATGGCCAGGGAAGTCGAATGAACTTTTTCATGTTCCACCTTTCGCTGTTCTCCCGCAATTCCTCTCCGGTCGCAGGATCCTTAAGTCCGCTGTAGTGGGTTTCCGTGTAGCGCCGGAAGTACCAGAAGACGATGGTGGCAACGTTGGTGAAGAGGTTCATGAATACTGCCGTCCAATAGACCCAACTGAAGTCGCCGGTACCTTTCGCAATAGGATTCGCAGTGGCCTTGCCGATGAACGATCCGATCCTTCCAATGCCCAACTCGAAACCCAGGGTGGAGGCGAAGCCATTCGAGGGAGCAAACCATGACGAGAAGATGCGGTATTGGGCAACCTGCGTTGCTATATCACCCAAGCTTTGAATCACGATACCGCCGATCATAAGCTTGTAGCTTCGGATGGTGGTAGCCGCCGCGATGACAATAGATCCCAAACTGTAAATGATATTGCCCCATACCATGGCGCCGGCGCCTCCGATTCGATCAGTGGCAAGCCCAGTGAACAGGATAAGAGCCGTGACCATGAAGTCCTGCGAGGCCTCGAGGAGGGCGTACTGGGTGTTGTTGATATGGAGTTCCTGTGTTGTAGACTGTCAGGCCTTGCTAAATAGTCAAGAAAAGCAACCCACACACCTTCTTCAGAGTGCTTTTCATTGCCCCTGTAACTCCAGAGCTCCAATGAGCTCCAAAGCCAATCAATGTGACCAACAACACAGCTACGATCTTCATCTTCATCGGAACATTGGTAGAGCGTCCACCCTCGCTCTGTCCGCTGCGCGTAGACTGTGCATCGCTAGAGGCGTGAGTCGCTTCCACGACCGCTTTTTCTTTGGAGAGCTCAATGGCAAAGCTTTCGTCTGCAATTGGGCTTACAGCCACTGCGTTAGAGTGATCCTTGCCCATTGAGTCTGTCGCGCAGACGAATGTGTGTAAAGATAAAATTGCATCTTATCTGATCGCGGGAGAACGTCTTATAGATAAAGGCACGGACACCATGATCGACCGCCAGAAAAGAGACTGCTGCGGCCTGCCAAGGAAGCCCACGTCCCTTGGACTCCGGTGTCGCTACCCGAAGATTCGCCAGCAGATTGAGGCACGAGCACGGAAGAGCTTGACGGTGGAGCGCCAAATTAGGCTGACGAGGAGTCTGTTCCGTTCCGAGCTTGCAAGCCCAAGAAGTTCAAGATGATTTCTCCTGGCTCACGCTGTTGGAGTAAGCTTTTCGATCCTGTCTACATGTAGATAGGTATCAACTGATGGGAAGGTGAACCTACACGCGTGGCATGATCCAACAGCGTGAGGGGAAGGGAAGAGCTTGCAAGCGGTTCGGTTGGGGAATATGGTCCGCTACAATGGGTGGTAGTTCGATTCCCTCTTCTTGGCCAGCTTCTTCGACTGGTCAATGGCTATCATACATTGATAGCAGTTTCTCCACATGAATGGCCATTAAGGAGCTGTACGCCACAAAAGACTCCAGGTTCGTCTCTCGTATTCGAATCGCAGTGCCMAAGTTTCTTCCCCATGGTAGTCAAGATCTTGAGAAAGCGGTGCTTTATCATCAGTGCCGTGGTAATAAAAGCATCGAGTCCAGTCTCGTTCTGATCCAGACCAGCACTCGGATATACCGCCGCAGAATCGAGTCTTCTGGGTATAAGTATCAGTTGCTCGTAGCACGGATGAGCAGCTGCGACCAGACCATCGTCCTCTCTTCCGGCAAAAATGGCCCACAGCTGCTTGGCAATATTCGGGGCCGCAAAACGAGGAAAAGGAAACAGAGCGAAGTATTGGACAGACGTGTCATGATCAGCATCAAAGGAGAGTAAGTTCGAAGAGTGGGCATGGAGGGGGATGGTCTTGGAGGCCGAGAATGAAACAGGTGGGTAGATACGAGAGGGAATGTCAAGTCGCCTTACCTGCGCGTCTTTGTCTCACGCTGCCTCTTTCGGTGCCCATTACGGATGCTAAGGTAATCTTTGCATATAATTGGGTCAGTCTGGCACTGTGCCCTCGTTGCTGCGAAGAGGCGCGTCGATGCGGCCCGTGAATAAGAATCTCTTGCGTGAATGTGAACAATATCGATCGTCTCCTGCATCTGGCCGATGCCTGAAGGCACATCTCAGGTACATCGTGGTAGACAAGAGGCTGGATGGGGATTGCAGCGTGAGGTTTTTGCCGTAGTCGCTTTTGTCGTTGCGGCTGCTGCCATCTAGACATATTGAAAGTTTCGCAATGACAATTGAATGCGATAAACCAATGCAAGGTCCCCACATTTACGACAAAAAGTAGATGTAGGGGAGGAGGATTGAAAGAGGGAAGACACGCGCAGTGGAGATGGAGCTCACGCCAAGCACCTGGGCATGACGAGTCGCAACGTAAAAGAAACACTTCTTCGCATTTCCGATMAACATTCAGACACCACATATCCTATAACCCTTTCGCTATACTTGAGCAGAGCAAGTGAATTGATGCCAATTCTCACCTCACCGCATCATGTCCAAACAACGCAGCGAACCCCTACGGAACCCCACCGCAGAAAAAGTCGGCGAAGAGCTTAAACGATTAACAATCGCCTCAATCGAAGCCTTCAATGACAAGGACTTCTCATACACCCAAACATCCGATAGAWGCGAGTTTCTCACCCGCATCTCACCCGCTTTCGAAGCACGAGTAGAACGCGTGACAGGTCCTCTCGATTGGGAAGGCCTTGGGAAACTCTGGCAGCACCTTGCGACCACGCTCCCTCATTGTCGCTTTGAGATTGTGAGTGCCACTGTGGATGTCTTTAGTTACGGACGAGCATCTGTATTTCTGGAGACGACCGCAATGGTGTACGAGGGCGTCACATGGAATCGAATCATGGAATATAAGTGGCATAAGGTGGATGATGGGACGTGGATGCATAGTGGTATTACCTCGGTCTCTGGCAGTCAGGGGAATAGTGGAATGGTGTTATGATATTTGTGACAGTGTGCCGGCTATCTGCTGTCCGCGATATGAGACCATGTCTGCTGAGAAAGCTCGACATCAAGCGTGCATAGCTTGAAAGAGGTCATCTCGTGATGTGAGTGAGTGAGGTCGTCAATTCAACTTCTGGCATCGTAGCTAAGTATCCTTGGTTTTCCTCATTGGACGGAGGCATCGTCCGTCTCGAAGTTTAGCTGACGTTTTCGTATGGCATGTTCCAGACATGACAAAACTTTCCCTCTCAGTTGTGTCGGATGAAATGGATCAACTCCTTCAAAGCTCGCTCCTACCCTCGACCCCGAAGACGCAGCTTCCACTACCCGGCTTGCTGACCACAATGGCCTCTTCCAGCTTCTCCTCGGTGATGTCTGGGAACTTCTTCTTGTAGTACTCGTGGATCCACTTCTGCTTGACCATCTCCACCTTGTCTTCAGGAACGAGATGTACGGAACAGCCTCCCCAGCCAGCACCCGTCAATCGACTACCATATGCTCCTGCCGATCTTGCCAGCTCGCACAACTCATCCAGCTCCGGACAGCTGTTCTCGTAAATTTCTCTACACGACTCCTGAGTTTCGTTCAGAAGCTCGCCCAGAGCGAGCAGCAGCTCTTTCTCATTCTCCGGTGGCGGGGCAGTGAGCAAGTCCATGAACTTCAACACCCGGGCAGCTTCGCTGAAGACGTGCAATGCACGCTGCCTCAACTTGAATCTCTCTGCGCGAATTGGGAACTTGCTCATGTACTTTGTCTCAAGTTCTTGGACGGACAGCCCTGTGATTGCGGCGATCTGTTCACGGCTGTAGCCCTCTTCCTGTGGCAAGTACTCGTCGACCTTCTTAACAAGATCCTGTAATTGGTCTGCAAAGTCTGCCTTGGACACTTTGTGGTTGTCTGCGATGCTCTCATGCTGTTGCATGTACGTATCGTGGAACCCACGAAGACTAATGCCAAGAGGGCCGGCATCTGAAGGGAGGTCTTTGAGGCGGAAGATCTTGGAGAGAACGAGAGCTGCGAGGGTGACTTCCACAACTCGGAGGTTGTAACACACCGGTCCAGTAGTGTGCTTATCCGCCGCAACAAAGCTCTGAGCAATGACGAATGTGAGTGGTGACTTCAGTTCGGGGAATGCGATGTTCTTTGCGGAAAGCTCAGGGACAAAGGAGACGTAGAGTGCTGAACCATGGAGAGGGAAGACCGAGGCGGATTGGTCCATGCCGCCAGAGTTGACACCGACTGCTCTCTCTGAAACGATGGCAAGTTCGACCAACTCCTTCTTGTAGACCTTCTCTTCGCCATTTGCTTTCATGACTGCCAGCGCACTCGCACATACAAACGCCGCGCTGCTCGAGAGTCCGCCTCCAGAGGGTACGCTACCATCTGCTAGAATGTCCATGCCGATGCTGCACTTGAACTCACTCTGCTTCTTGCGAAGAAGTTCTGTAGCGCCCATCAGGCCAGATTTGAAGTAGTTTGTCCATTCGAGAGTGCTTGAATCGATATGCACATCTCCAGTGTCTGGGATATCAAATTCCCGAGACTCAAACTTCTGAGGGTGCACGTTCGTAAGGCGGATTGTGCTTGGGCCGGTTTCTTTCTTGTGGACAGAGACTGCAAGAAGCACGTCCGATGTGACAGCCATTGGGATTACTTCATATAAACTGTAATCGATGTGTTCGCCGATGATATTCACTCGGCCGGGACTTCTGGAGACGAAGTCTGGTGACTTGCCATAGATCTCAGTAAACTTGGCGAGGAGCGCATTCCATCTTGCTGTCTGGCTCTGAAGTGCATCTTCTGGGTAGATGTCCGCGAGGGACTTTGTGGTTGGTACGTCCATAGCTTTACTCGTGTCCAGAGAGGATTGATGTGATGTGAAGATTTCTTCCAAGAATTGAAGGGTTTTCTTTTTGACAGTGAAGCTGAAGGTCGAGCTCCAGGTGAATTTGCGTAACTGTAAGGGCCAGGGAGATGTTGTTGAGAGCGATGAGAAGGCGAACAAGTTTTGTCTCGCGATGTTTGCTGGCGGTTGACTTCCCCACCTCCCCCACTATTTCGATGAAGTCGTCCACATCGGGCCGCATGTGAAAGTCGGGTGGCCTCCTCCACATCCCTGTTGATTAAGCGGAGCAAGGTCTGAGAGCTCCTATAGCGAAGCGGAGGGCCAGCTCGAAGGCCGCAGTGGAGCGTTAAATACAATCGAATCCCGCCTACATCCGGCCTCCAGGAATTTTTGAGCACATGGATCTGATTGGCCAGCTAGAAAAGTTATCACGTGACCTATTCAAATATTCATTCAGCGGCTTTAAAAGCTCTCTAAAGTGATCAATTCTAATTCAAAACATACCTTAGGGCTATTAATACACGACGATAAAGACGAGAATGCGACGACGACGAAAATGCGACGACATACGACAATACGACGACATGCGACAATGCGACGATATGCAATAATGCGACGACATGCGACAATGCGACGATATGCGGCGACAATGCGACGATATGCGACGACGATGAAACTGCGACGATGTGCGATATCGCAACACTCTAACGACTTTATCTAGTTATTTGTTGTGAATTTGATTGTAATTTGACGCTCCCTCCGCTCACTCCGTGAGACATGAACATGGCTCTCATACGATCAATTTATATCGATGCATGCAAGAGTGAAGTGATAGAACAGGATTTGGATCACATGCAAATCCAGCATCGCCTGAAATTGAGGAATCGCAAGGACACCTCCAGCATATTCCTTCGCCAGCAATCCACACAACGTACATGACAGTCCCCTGAATACCACCGAACAGGATATATATGCTATACATTGCACTCGACGAAAGAGAGGGGTATCTTTACTCATGCATCTCCCAACGCCATATCGTACACGATCCATGCCTCACATCCACCTTCCGACAACAGGGACCATCCTGTACATCTGATCGTACTGTTTTCCAACCCACCCAAGTGCCTCTCCGCCTCGTGCCACAACTCCAAAGCTGCCCGACATCCACAGTCCCGTCACCGTCGCCGCGAGGGCATTGATGATGTACCATCGTCTCTTCTTACTGAGCTCCCTCTTAGCACCCATTTCCGTAGACTGATCCGGCGTGTATCCCAACCACTTCGCCCAACCCCAAGTCGCATGCCAGCAAGCAACACTCAGCAACGCCGTGTAAGCCGCGAATGAAACCGCAGGATGTTTGGCAAATGCGTGGCTGACGTATCCCAGTCCGACATTCTCCCCCATTGACTTTGGTATGAATCGATTGATCACCATGTGTCCTGTTACGAGCGGCGCAAGCATGTATCCTAATTTACTGATCCCGCTTGTATGTGGCCAGAAGCGTGTGAGGAATGCAGCGCGGTTCTCCTCTGAATGTGCCTCTCCAAATCTCTTAGCGTTCTGGTTGCGGCGCAAGATTCGCATGGCCACTCCACTGAGGATGTGGGTGGATAGTGGAAGGAATATCATAAGCGGCTCGGAGATGGGCGCTTGATAGTAGGGTCTCGTGAGAAGAAGGTATGATTCGCTACCGTGGACAGATTGTGTGAGCAGTGGTAGGAGGGAGGTATTTGTGATGTGCATTGCGGCCTGACAAGAGTGTTAGTCGCAGAGGAGGTGGCGTTGACTGGTGGCGCTCTTACGAAGGCGGAGAAGACATAGGAAGAGTACTTCTGTGCTCGTTGGAGATACCATATCGCCGAATGTTGGGAGAGACCGAGAGAGCTGGTGCTGCCAGATGAAGATGATATGCTCTTTGCATCGGCGCTGTTTTGCTGCGAGTCCTCGGGGTCAAGGTAGGGTTCAGGGTCGACTACGTGCAGGCCGGACTCGAGCCTGTCGAGTTCTTCCATCTTGTCGTCCATATTGAATGGTCAGCACGGCAAGAATATACGGGATGATTCTGGAGATGTGTTGGCAATGTTGATGCATCACCATCTTTCACATGCAGTAATAGCGAACCAATCAGAGCAGTTGCTGACCGCTGCGGAGATCGCTCCGAAGCTTGAATTAAACTTAATCTAGAAGCGCCAAACTTCTTGCGTTGATGCTTCTGGCATCTGCAGCAACGTGCCACACGGAATGCCTCTTCGCTGATCTGCCTGGCAAAAGCGTCCCGAAACAGTCTTCATCTGTTGTTGATCGAAGAGCTGGTCTATGCCAATCAAAAGTCAGCGTGAAACGGAGAGTGCACACAAGACAACATTGAAGGGAGCGCATTTGGCTGTGGTTCTATGCTGTATACATCGTCCTGTTGGTTACACCGACACTCTATCGAATCGCAGCCCCTTGCCAACATCTCCAAAGCTCGCAAACCACGAATCCGAGAAATAATTCCGCCTTGCGCGCCACGGGTTGGCATCCAAGTTCATTGGAAACTGCCCATCCATCACAGCCTTCTTGATGTAGGTCGAGTTGAGGTTCAGCGCCTCCATATCCGGTGGCTTCTGATTGTCGGTCTCGGAATCTCCCATCAAAGGAGTAGTGCTCGTCATACCCTTGCGTTCCATCTGCTTCACGATACGGACGAACAGCCGCGCTGTAGCATCCGATCCAAGTGTCCAGCTTGCATTCGTGTATCCCAGGAAGAAGGCCAGGTTGGGAACATCCTGCAGCATGGAGCCTCGCCAGAGATATTTGTCTCCGACAATGACACGCTCACCATCAACTGATAGCGTGGCATTCCCACACATCTGTACCTTCAATCCTGTGGCGGTCACGATGACATCTGCGGGGATGTACTCTCCGGACTTCAATATGATGCCCTCGGCTGTCACTTCTTCGATATGTCCAGTTGCTACGGATGCCTTGCCACTTCGAAGAGCTGCGAAGAAATCTCCATTGGGTGTGACACACATCCGCTGGTCCCACGGGTTGTATTTTGGCGTGAAATGTGGATCGACTGGGATATTGGGCGGTAGTTCTCTCTCTGTGGCTTTTCGCAAAAGTCTCTTGGCGGAGCCCGGGAAAGCTCGACAGAAGTAGTAGAATGCGTACGTGAGGGTCAACGTGCGAAGGCGGATGAGCGAGTGTGCCCAGCTGGCGGGAAGGACCGATCGAAGGATGTTATTGATAGTGTTGGCAGTAGGCAGGTTGATGAAGTATCCCGGACTGCGCTGGAGCATTGTAACATGAGCTGCGCCAGTTTCATGCATAGCCGGGAGAAGTGTGACAGCTGTGGCTCCACTGCCGACGATGACAACCTTCTTGTCCGCGTAGGCAAGGTCCTAAAGCGAAGTATGGGAGGTAAGCAATTGTCTTGAATGACGAAAAGCTGCATGGAGAGTTTGAGACATGCTCTACGACCCCATACTTCATTATGACTTACCTCAGGCCAGAATTGTGGGTGTACAACTTCGCCTTTGAATTGCTCGATTCCAGGAATCTCTGCGGGCAAGGCCTGTGAAATGTAAGTATTATGTTCATTTATGTTCATTTCAAGACTGTCGAGCGAGCTAACCTTCTTGTAGTCGTAATAGCCAGTGCTCATGATCACGAAACGAGCCCAGAAGACCTTGTTCTCTTTGCCATCGACATTGATATTAATCTTCCACTTTTGAAGCTCAGAAGACCAGTCCAGACTCTCCACGGCATGATGATATTTGATATGTTTGTCAATACCATGACGATTGGCAACACCTTGGAGGTAATCCAGGATCATAGGAGCTGGGGCAATACTCTTGTCCTCTCGCCACGGATCAAATTGGAAGCCAAAAGTGTACAAGTCCGAATCAGATCTGATGCCTGGGTATTTGAACAAAGACCACGTGCCGCCCAATTCATGGCGAGACTCAAAGATTGTGTAAGAGTAGTTTGGTAGGGCTTCTTGAATGCGGTATCCGGCGTTGATACCTGAGAGACCTGCTCCTATTACGGCGACGTCGATTTCCTGTTGAGTTCCGGCCATAGCTGCTGCTTGTTTCTCGCGATCAAGTTGACAGAATTTTGGAGCTTCTGGCTTTATCACTTATGTATCTTGTGGGACAAGCGGGTATTCGGACTCGTCACAGACCGAGGCCACACATTCACAAACCCTCGGGGGCGATGTGGTGAAAGGAAAGGAACTTCGCTCACAGCGATTCGTCAATCTGAGATCGGACGCTAACCCGATATGGAAGAGAACGCGATGCGATGACCACGCGCTCGTACTCGCATGCCTACATATTGTTCGATGCATTGTTTCATCGCAGCCCAGGCGTACTCACCGAGGTAGATTGTAGTTGCAAAACAGATGCTCATGATTCGAAAAGCTCTGAAGAGCATGTATCCATTGTTCCTCTTCATGTTGTAGATATATCCATCCGGAATATCGACGGTGCGTTACCTTACTAGCTCGTAAATAAAGTATTGTGCTATCCATTTCGGGCGACTTCTGCTTTCACTCCCAATACTTCACGTGTCTCCATGTGAAAGCAAAATATCATCACTCGATTGCACTGGTCAGCCCGCCATGTGAAGAATGCCACCCAGAAATATACTTCTTTGCTTCGATGCCTTCGGGACGCTCTTCCGACCCCGACAGCCAATCGCTCAACAATATGGAGAGGTGGCACGCTCTCTCGGTCTCGCCAACATCAAAAATGAAGACGTCAATAAATCCTTCAAGGCAGGTATGTAGTTCATCCTGGTGCTTGTCAACCCGAACTGATGAAGTTGCAGCATTCAAACAAGAATCCAAACAGAATCCGAACTATGGAAAACAGAATGGCCTGAATGCCGAGAAATGGTGGTCAAGGATCATAGTGAATACTTTCACTCCCTTGATACCTGCAGGTCAAAAACTTCCCGAGGAGCTCGTTCCCAAACTCCTACACCGCTTCTGGTCCAAAGAAGGCTACGTACTATATCCTGACGTGTTGCCACTGTTGCAGCAGCTCCGGAAAGCACATAGATATGGAAATGCTAGGGTAGTAGTTGGTGTCATAACCAATTCCGATGATAGGGTGCCTGATATACTGACCTCGCTGGGAATGAAAGTCAGTCCTCTGCGGTTTCCTGTGAATCAGAAATTGGAATCGAGGGATGAATACGATATCGACTTTGCGGTCATGTCGTATGATGTCGGTTTTGAGAAGCCTGATGCGAGAATGTTTGAGGCGGGGAAAACTATGCTAGAAGCTGTGATTGGCGGGAGTATTGAAGATGCCAAGGAGTGGAGGAAAATTTATGTGGGAGATGAGTATGCAAAGGATGTTGTGGGTGCAGTTGAGGCGGGTTGGAATGCTGTGCTGGTAGAGCGAGACAATGATGCAGATCGCCATGGGGTGAAATGGCTCGAAGGAGAGCCAACAAAAAGTCTCTACGAAGTCTTTGAGACGGAAAAAGCCGTAGGATTCTGCAGTCTTGGGCGGCTTGCGCAGTGGTTGCCAGGGGGAAGGAGAATTGAGAACTGAGCAAATGTTGTTTGATTTCGAGATATCCAGCGACTACGGCGTTTCTCCCAGCGACAACCAGTACGACTTACTCACTCCGCAGCAGAGCAAGGATATCTGCCAGCCTCAAACGGTTCTTACCGCCCCATCCTTCAGCTCCATCCGCCACCGCTGGTCGAACCTTGGCGTACCAGCTCCAAGTTCGATTGTCTAGCTCATTTGGACCCAATTTCGATGCCCATGAGTCGTACAGCAATTYGAGCGCACGGAGAAGCTTGCCCAGGTTGGCTTCTTTTTCTGCAGCTCTAGCCACCGCTGTGCCTTTCTTCGCAGGTGCAGCAGCATCTTTGGGAGGAGCAGTGTCGAAAGCTTTCATGATGTATGCTCTCGCAGACTGTGGGGTGTGGACCGGTAGATTGCTGTTCGTTCCAACTCCACCTTGCCTGGAGGTACCACTATCAGACTTCTTCAGCGCCTCCAGATCCAGACCCCACAACGCAGGCTTCAGCTCCGGTGACTCTGCATCGCCACCGACCTCATCCTCCTGCTTGACCCCATCAGTGGCATTGCTGTCGACTTCTCTCTTGATAGGACCATCTTCCTCCCACTCATAACCCCATCGCCTCAAAACTTTGATCTCCTTGCCCGCCACCGTAACTGACGGCTGACCCTCGCCGAACCCTTCCTCCTCTGCACTTTTTCCCCCTTCAATGCCAAGATATATGGCCCTTGACTTACTCGTGACGCTCACATAGGCTTGAGCCAAACTCAATCTACTGGATAGTGGCTGTTCTGGCATGGTGTATTTCAACGACACGACCAGAAATGCTAGCACGAGTGGCGCACGATTCGTAAAGAGTACAACATCCTTCAATTCGCTTTCTTTCGATTCACACGATGGTAGTCGCAGAGAGCCCTCCAAGTCCGCTGGCGCATGTGGCTGTGCTGAGAAAAGACTCTCATCTCGCGACTTCTTCTTGAGAGGAGCCGCTGCACCCTCGTCGTCGCCTGCTGCTCGTTTCTTAGAGACTCGCTTTGCGGCAGATATTATCTGTTTGCAGACTTTGGAATCTTCGAAGATGAGCTCTAGATCTTTGGGTTTTGCTTTTGCGATTGCTTCTGGCGTTGAAAGATTTGCTGTTTGTAAAGGGTGGACTTTGGCCATGGCTGTTGCGAGTGGGACTTTGGCATCTTGGGAGAGGAAGCGGAGAAGAGCTTGGAGGTTAGCTGCGGTGGTCATTTTGTTTTGATCATATGGTATGGATGGCTAATGGTCATCGTTTGCTAAGTGTAATGTTGATTGATTGATGCATTGTTGATGTCTTGTTGATGCATTGAGGTCGGGCTAGGTTCGCGTCCCAGCAGTTTTGCGCCATGACGAAGACTCAAAATGCTCTCCAATCCCGCGACATCACCTTCTCCGTCCCATGCTATTATCATCGGATCAAACGAACCCCACCGCGAACATAACCGGATGGCGACCAGCACACTACTATGAGACGCGTCCCAAGAGACGGGGCTTATATTCTGCCTCCAATGGTGTCTGATCATGCTTGGTCACCTTTGGGTTGAACAGCCTCCGCTGACTCCAGGACGGCCCCTTCAGCACTTGCTTCGCTCTTCACGAGCAATGAGGAAGTGTACAGTCCCACCCTCATGCATGGCCGTCACCTTTGATCCTCATGCCCCGATTCAGTAGCTGCAGGACATATTCGTCCATCCCGTGTGTTGATGTCCGGCTTCAAACGAATTACATTGCAGCACGTAGCGTACAGGACGAGGTCTCTTCACGGACCTCGAATGACCTCTGAGCATAGAGGATCTTGACAATAATTTTCTCGCGCCCAAATTCGAACAACTGATAGTCGCCATCTCTGACCGCATCAACCAACGGGACTGCGACCCCAGCACTCCTCTCGGACAAGAAGCGTTGAATCGGATCTCTCTTGGTCTTGAGGCAGTTTTCGGAGATGGTATCCCCAATTTCTATATCCTGGCCGGAGCTAATGGGTACTTTGTCAACCATTTCCAAGTTCAAACCCAATGCTTTCTCTACAGTAAGGAATACGTCAACTCCAAGCAGCTACAGTCTTTCTGTATTTGGAGCTTGGCATGAAAGACGCAGACCCTGGGCTATATCACTTTGAACAAGGCATTGCGCTTGAGCCTTCCATCGAAGACCAAAAGATCCACAACGAACTGGGATATGCGTGGGAAGCTTTCGTCTTGAGAGGTGGGATAGATACTTGCGAGTACTTACATCCGAACCTGCCTGTAGCGCAGGTGATGACATCGCGAGGAGTTCTGAATATCTGAGGCCCCCATCGCCTCGAGCATCCGGCCGTAAAGAAAGGCCTGGCTTCGCTGCACAGGAGTCGTGGCTACTTTCACTCTTTGGATAGACCTCCTGGTCACCTGGTTCTACATCGCGAAATGTCTCTGCCACGAACTCTGCCACGCCCTTAATCTCGCGAGGTTCGGACGAAGTGGCTGTGAACCGATCTTTGAAGATCAACGGTTTAATGAATTGGGAAATGCGTTTGAGGCTTTCACTTTTGGTGGATCATACTCGTATGTGGTTCCTAGTGTGCGGTCGAATGGTTTGGTGCCAGCGCCGGAGGGGGCGATTAGGACAAAGGAGGGGGTTTTAATCTTGATAGTTCCGGCCGATTCTGATATTATTACACCGACGAGGTCGGTGTGGTATGTTGGTGAAGATTGGTTGTCATCTTTGTTCACAGATGCGTTTTGGACGAAGAGGCCTTGGCCAGAAGTTGATGGGCTGGTGCCGCAAACAGTGTTTTTCAAGACCATGTCGATCGATGACTTCGTTGTTATATAATATACTCGAGCGACCCCGACTGAGCTACCACGCAACATGATGGTATCGATGATGAGAGAGATTGGTATACAATTGGAGAGAATGTATTGAGAAGCTATGTAGGCTGCGAACAAGTGCAACGAGAGAAGACCTGTTCGCGAGTCAGCGGATGCAATCGGCCAAACATGGAGAGTGAGGTGTAGGATTAATGCGTGGCGGATCAGTTGAAAGATGAAAAGTCTAATACATAATAGCTTCAAGAGCCGGTAAAGGCTTCRGTTTTAGCATGGAATGTTTTTTAACATCATGCAAAATGGTGCGGGTGTGTAGGAGTGTCGAAGGCTTACCAAAAGGATAGAGAATTGTACGAGCGCACTCCTTGGCGACGCGATGTATGACTTACCTGGTGCAGCAAAGTCAGCATGATGAAGACAAGCCGGCGATGATGAGCGGAAGGATGAGAAGCAAGCGCGGAAGAAGTGGGTATATCAGGTAATCGAACCATTGTGTTCACTCATTATGTGATCGGTAACTGATTAAGACATATCATGTTTTTGTCATCAGGGAAACTCCCCCGAGCTGCTTGTGCTGCTTGTCGTTGTGCTTCCTTACCTCTTGCTGATTGGAAGAAGCTGGATTCCACCGCCAGCTTCTCCCTCCACCACTTCACCCTCTGCCCGCCGTCCACCGAGTGCCGATTGTCATAGGAGCAGCAGCCTGGTTGCAACCGTCAGCGATGGTTCATCTACGTCGATGCAATGTGTATGGAGAATTGCGGATGGGTCTCAATCAGCCAGTGCTTTGGCGGCACGGTCAATCACCACGGAAACCTTCTAGAGGCTCGTTGGTATGATAGGGGCGACAACGGATCATCATGTAAGACGAGGAAGGGAAGAGGAGGAGACGGAGTGAGATACATACCAGCAGAGGCGAGGCGATGTGGTGGTGTTGGTGGAGGATGAAGGTTGGTGAAGTGTGGGAAGTTTCGGCGAAGAGGTAGCAAAAAATCCAAGAGCTCGGACCCCACGGTCGCACCTGCCTGCTGACTGTCCGGCAGCTTCCGGCGCATCATAACATCAATCACAAGCTTCAACTTCCACAACCTCCAACGACAACTTTCTTGCCAGCCAACTTCATTCTTTGCCCCACCCCCCCCACACCCAATCACACGCTGCCAGTATGTCTGACAAGGAATTCGGAGGTAAATACCGTCATGATGTATTGGTGGTATAGGTAACATACTGACCCATTTCCAGGCAACGACGACCTCTCGCTGCCCAAAGGTACGCATTCCCCGAAGATAACTTCCCTGCCATTCCTCTGACTCCTCACAGCGACGGTACAAAAAATCATCAACGAGGTTCTCTCCACCAACCCTTCACTCGTCGGCGCAGATGGTCAGCCCGGTGGCATGACCTTCGCCAAAGAGACGCGCGACGTGCTCATTGACTGCTGCGTTGAGTTCATCACCATGTTGTCCTCCGAGGCCAACGAGATCGCCGAAAAGGACGCCAAAAAGACCATCGCATGCGAACACGTCACCAAAGCCTTGGCCGAGCTGGGATTTGAGGAGTATGTTCCGGAGCTGCGCAAGCAGGCTGACAGCTTCAAGCATGCTGCCGCGGTATGTGGTATGATTGAGATGGCCACGGAATGCTGGCTGATGATTCCCTCCAGCATCGTGAAAAGAAACAGACCAAGATCGAGCAGTCCGGCATGACCAGCGAGGAGTTGATCCGAGCCCAGGAGGAGTTGTTCAAGACCGCCGGTGACAAGTACAACGCTACAGAGCCGTAGAAGGGCATTGATAGTCAGAAAGACTCGAATCAGTACGGCGCCAAGGACAGTATCACGCAAAATAACGGCCCAGAGCGATTCATGGACGAAGACAGGGCGGACTTGATTCACGATGAGGCCGACCACCTTTTGCAGCATATTAACGGCCGGGGGAATGATGATGGCAATGATAATAACGATGTTATACGGCAGCCGGAGCGAGATGATGGGAGCGGAGATTTGGACCACGAACACGTCGAGGGGAGCATGGAAGGTAGAGGTGACGTGAACGCGGCAAGGGAGGAAGAAAATGTCGTTGAAGAGCGTCCATAGGATGCGAACTTCTCACGAGCGTCAACTAGCCCACGGCCAAACCATCCCACTGAGAGTTCTCCCCCCTCTTCGACTCCCATCGAGAATTGTCTGCTCCGTTCGACCCCCACCTCGAACACGCTTGATGCCAGATTTCTCGGGAAGAAATCGCAGGGAAAAACTCCCGGCGGTCGGCGAGGCATAGGCAGGCCAAAGGGAAGTCTCGGCAAAAAGGCCAAGGAGAGTCTTGCCAAGGCGAAGGCAGCGGCGGAGGCAGAGAGAGACCAAGAAGCCTTGCACGCACCCAGCACACCGTCACAGAGTGTGGCTCAACCCACTCAGATCACGCCTGAAAGCTTGCTTTCCTCTATCTCTTCGCCCTGGACGACACAGCAAAGGCTGTCCGCAAGTGATGCAGCTTTGCAAAGTTCCCCGAGCCCAAGAGTTGGAGGGAAGCCGAGAGACGCAATCGAGGTGGAGGATATTGATGATTTCTTGGCCTACTTTGATATACCCACAGACAGTGAAGGCGACGCGCGAAAGACGGGCGGCTTCTCCTGATGCGAACCACAATGGATCAGTTTTCCGTAGACACAGGGTATGTAGATATTATCAATGAATATTGGTTCTTATATGTCCCAAGCCAAGGTGGACTTCGATTAGGCAAGTACAACTGACATGCCGCCGTGCTTCGTGAATCCACACATGGACTAACCATCAACAGATTGCAATAGCTGTGCTGAGCGTACCACTGGTGGCCGATACTCTTTCGCTGCTCTGGTCAATCTGGATATGTGTTGCGATATCTGCCGCGTGGTTCCGGCGAGGAACTGAGATCCAAGGTTGTGGCGACAACGGTGACTCCCTCGTCCATGTCGTAGCCTCGCCTCGCGCCTCGATCGACCTATCCACCCATCGCCGCAATAGGTTTATCAATCTCCGGCACCTTCCTCGTCAACTAGCTCGTCATCCACACGGCAGTGAGGCCTTCGGGCAAGCATCTTTGGTACCTTTAAGCTATCACGTGCGAGGTCATCCTATCCAGGGGTTCGATCCGCTGGTTCTGTTGTTTCCTTCACCTGTCCTCAAAAGCTAAATTTCCTCGGCTGGGCTTATAGGCGAAATGATTTCCATTCTCTTTCCTTCTTCACGTTCCAGTCATTCGGTCTACTACATACAATTCTGCATTCTCGAAGAACTTCTTCCACAACTATACCAACACACATCCTCTTCACTAAATCAAATACTCCACGGCCTTTGAGATGTCTCCTTCAACCAAGCCTTGCGGAGATGGCGTTGATGGGAAGGGAAGGAAATGGGATGGCTTGGTCAGAGATCCGAAGACTGGCAAACCGCTGTACTGGGCGATGAACGGGCCGGAGTCTGACAACAAGGCTCCTCCAGTCGACGACGATGACGATGATGATGATAAGAATGGCAAGGAGAAAAAGCATTATCGTGGCGCCGTGAAGATAGATCCCGCTCTCAAGAAGAACAAGCAAAAGCGAAAGAGAGCGACATCTTCCTCGAGGGACCAAGCCTCCGAGCAATCCCGCAAGTTGCAGCGGGCGAAGTCTGACGGATCGCAGAGGGCGAAATCGGACGGGATACAGCGGGTGAAGTCTGACGGTAGTCTAGACGGGAAGACTGTGGGGGCTGCCGCGAACGAGTTGAGGGTCGCACAGGGAATGAAGCCGAGAGGACGCCCCAAGAAATCCAAGTCTGAGCTTGAGATGGAGGTCACGATCTCGCCCGATCCCGACGCTGCCATGGAGGACTCAGGCAACCAGGAGGTTGCTGGAGAGATGGGAAGCGCGGATCAACCGGAGGGACCATCTTACTTTGATGGTCCGCGGTCGGCGCTTCCCCTTGCGGATAACTTTGGCGAGGAATCTTCGCAGCCTTCTCACGCAAGTCAGGCTCCGCTTTCCTGGGCGGACACCATAGTTGTCCGCCCTTCGCAGCCTTCTCGCATAGGGTGGGCTCCGCTTGCCTCGGCCGGCAACTATGGCGAGGGCCCGTCGCAGCCTCCTCGCGCAAGGCAGAAGGGCGAACCGACGGTCGGCGGCCAAAGGAATTTGGAGAGGGAACAGAAGGGCAAGCCGAAAAGAGGGCGTCCGCTCGGCGTGAAGAACAAGCCGAGAATGCCCAAACCGCCTCCCGACGGTGGGAAGGACGACCCTGGCAATGGGGAGGGTGCTGGAGGGATAACGTAAATTGGGCATACGGAGAGTGGTCATTTTTCACAATTTGCGCTTGGTAGCGTAAGGGAGTTATTGATATTGATAGCATCAAAATTCATTTCGATAATAATTTCACCATCACACCCGCTTCAATTTCTCCAACAACTCCCCCATAGAATCCGCATAAACATCAAACTCCCCAAAAACCTCTCGGACACTATCATGTTCCTCAAAACTCAAATAAGCAGTTTTAAACCCAGCCTTCCTCGCAGCGATCAAATCCCACGCATGCGCAGCAACAAACCATCTCTCCCCATCCCCTTCCACCCCAACCCCTCTCGTCGTCAAATGTCTATGCGTATTCTCATAAACCCTCTTATCAGGTTTCGCGACTTGTAAATCATCACAACTTAACAAATGCTCCCCATCAATTTCCACATCCGCCAATTCATAATACTTCAAACTCGCTACTTTCCCTCCATTCGTCACAGCATACACATCCCATCCATCCCCTCTCAACCCCTCAAAACATTCCTTCAATCCCTCTCGTGGCTCCAGACGCTTCACAGCATTCATAATAGCTTCTACATCCTCATTGCTCACGGCAGAGATTGGGAGATCCGAAACCGCGCATGCTCGACGAAAGGTATGTTTGAGAATGCTGGCGATGGGCGTATATGATCCTACCATGGAAGTGTAGGTGAAATCTCTCTGCGCGGCGAAAAACCAACTGAAACAGAGAGTTTTGGGATCGATGCCGTGTTTGGAGAGAGCGGGACCGAGACGCGTGGAAATTACGCGGATGRCTCCGGAGAAGGTGAAGCAGGTTCCTAGGACGTCGAAGGAGGCGGATTTGGGCATTTTGGTGGGGATTATGGTTGATGGGAGTGGTTTTCTGGGATGAATTTATAAAAGATGGTCTGGGAGGTGAGGTGGTTGATGACGGGACGTTTTGGATGCAATTCTGACCAATCGATGTGGCTTATCTTTCTGGTTGGGTTGTTGACAAGGAGGTGAGGTTGTGCCGTCGCCGCGGCCGCTATTCATCTCATGGCCGCCGGCCTTGTGACGTAGTTGGAGCCGAGACCAGAGTCCCAGCCAGGTCGCAGATAATTGTTCGACCTCACTTCTCCAACCTCTCTAGCTGGCAGCATACGAACCTGCGGTCCAGCTGAAGCATGATCATAAGTGGTGTTGATTTGCAGCTGCGGACTTTGTCCTTCCAATCACAATGTCATGATGCTATGCGGTCTATATTTACAATCAAGGAATTATGCTGCTAATTCGCAACCATCTTGCACCAAATCTGTCAGTGCCTCGTGCGTTTCGTGTGTATGATACCCCATGTCTCCGAAGACTGCCCCGTGTACCAGACCAGATGCGATTCCATGCCGAACATATGTCGACACTATAATATTAATTCACCCCTCGAGACGCCTTGTTCATTGACCAGCAAATGGACTCTGCGACTCTGCGGTGATTGAGGACCCGAAGATGAAGTACCCGAGAACAAGGACCAAGAARATGGCACCACCAATCAGCGCATTAGCACGGGTGGGGTTTTCTTGACGCATGTTGCCGAATGTAACCTGGGCATCTCGCAGTCCGTTCTTTACGCCGTCCGCTCCAAGCTTGTACCATACCAGTCCGCCGAGAGCAATGGAGTAGCCGAAGAACTGCAGAGGGGATACGGGATCCAGGAAGATGACCATGGAAGCCACAACGAGCAGAATGTCCTTTAGCACTCCGGAAAGTGTGAGGACGACAGCAGAAGTCTTGCCAATCTAGGTGATTATTAGCGAAATGTTCAAGAATCAAAGGTGATGATCCATACCAGGAAGACCACGGAAACGTTCAGCATGAAAGCAACAGCTGCGTTTGCGATCAAGACAAAGACACCGACGCGGTAGATGTCATCCATGCCCATCTTTGGGAGCTCGATGAAAAGGGTGAAGAAACCGTTAATGGCAGCGCAGGCTGGTGCATAGTAGTAGAGTGAAACCAGAGGGTCCATCTTGAACTCTGGCGAGCTCAGAATACGCTGGACCATGACAAGTCGGACAGCCTCGAAGAAGATTCCAGCCAGCTGGATGAGGAAACCGAACATGACAAATTTGATCTCTCCGAAAGAGGCGATGATCACACCGACGACGATTGCGGAGACGTTGGCCAGTTTCCTCATATCGGGCGGGCTGATGGCAAAGGCCCAGGTTGCGAGGAGGGTGACGACTGCGTTCAGAGCCTGGAAATGTTAGATTTCGCAGCGTATCGGAGTTCGAACATCACCCACCTTGAGCATCTGAATGAAGGACACGCTCAAGTACAAATACGCCACATTGCCACAGATCAAACTGAAGCTGAAGAACAGGCCGATTGGGACAATTGCACGCATGTACAGCTGTGGGGTCATTGGGACTTTATGTCTGCCATCAAGGACCGTGGTGAATTTGGCCAGACCTTGAGTCATGACGGTTGCGAAGACCATGTGCCATGTTGTCAAGAAAAGAGGGAATTCTACACGGTTGGTAAGTCCACGTTGACTGCACTTCCAGGTCGATGAAACGCACTGAACTCGGCGCTGTGGAGCACCCATTTGTTGAAGATGATGACAGAAGAAGAAAGTCCGATCCAAAGTCTATGCAGACGTTTAGCAGGATTCCCTGGCAATATCAGGAGTGTATTGATTAGACGCACGCAATGTAAAAGGCCGGATGCAGCTCCTTGGTCGCTGCCTTGGCGACGGGTGGAGCCTCGCCGCCCTCGAGCGTACGCTCTTGCTCCGCCGACGGGCGCGTGTTCTCCTTGGAATCCATTTGGGAAGGGTGAATTCAGGAAGAGGCGATGAGAAAATGACAAGAAATGAGAAGGGAGTGGATGAAGAAGGGCAAGGTGGATGGACTCCCAGCGAGCGGCGTTGGAAAGGAGCAGAGATAAAAGTTGCTGAACGCGTGTGGCGTAGATCTTCGGGCTAAAGCCGGAGGGAAGCGATTCGTTGAGATTGAATCCCACGTCTTCTTCCACAACGCGACGCGCACCTCTCACGTCGGCTTCTGTCCGCTCGACCCTGGAAATCTTTCAGGAGCCAAGGTGAAACACACCTTTAACGTCATGCTTAATCTCCAGGCGGAGCCCGTCGATCTGGTTTCATACTGCAATGCATATTTTATCTATGTAAGTAATATCCGCCTCTTCCTCCTCCTCTCATCCTGCATACACATCCAAGTGCCAACGGCAGGAACATGTCATCTTCTGCATCCGATGCGAGGTAGGTGCGTGCGGAAGACCCATCTGCCATGTACAACGCCAAGAGGCAGAAAATGACACAATGATCCATGTCCGATCTACAACACCTTGGAATTGCAATCTCAGCCGTCCAAACCTACGACATGTCCCACTGTCCCACTGTCCACCACGCAACTAAACATACTCCGCGCAAACAGTCGGCCCGTGAAGATCCATGACTTCGGCAATGGTGACATTCGGCATAATCCCACAGACCCACAAAACATGTCCCAGCGTCGTCCAAGGCCCATTATCGCCCGAGTACTGTGTGAACTCCGGACCGGGAGGCGTCCAGCCATTTCCTCGATTGAATGCCTCGGACGGCGTATTCGCACCACTGACATCTTGAAGACGGGTTGCGTTGCGTTGCTGCCATGCCCAGAATAGTCGGTCCAGGTTGGTATCTGGACACCAGCATTAGCATCCATCTCCCTCACACCCAACTAACTTTTCAGGTGATGGTCGCGACTTACGATGGAGGAAAAAGATGGGATCTCCCGGAGCTGTCAAAGCATTCGCCATCTACTATCCAGTCAGTATTCCACTTCTTCATCTCTTGGTAAACTGTTCTTTCCAACCTACAACACCKCCCGTCCCATCATGTGCCGAAGCATGCACAAACCCCTCATAACACACATGCGCCTCTGCAAAAGTCGGACTCGCAACACACTCATCCACAAACCTCTGCGCCGAACCTCGAAAAGTCTCGGCATTGATCGATCTCGTCAAACAATATGGTGGTCCAACATTCCCATCTTGAGTAAAATGCAGCGTAAGGTTTCGAAAAGGTCCATCTTGAATGCAGCCATTCCCACCCGCTCCATTCCCTCCCACTCCAAGGTTCGCGTCCCAGACGGGTGATGAGAGGATACTATCCGCATCGACGGATATCTGCCAGTATCTAGAACAGAGTGAAACACACGTCAGCACCGCAACCCCACCAAAGAAAGACAGACAAATTGCATCGACAACTTACGGTACTCCACCCTGCCAATCACAGTGCCGATTCATCAACCTCTCATACGTCGTAACATAATACCTATGCCAAAATAAAAATTGACTCTGCAAGACAACAACCAAAAGTTTCTCAGCATGCATTCATCCCCCATCTAACCAACCAAAAATTTCATCAGACTTACAACGCCATGTATCCAATTCATATTCCTAATATGAGCATACTGTAATTCCTCCCAAATACTCTTCGCTCCAGGAATGCCATATTGCGGAGGAGTATTCATCAAGCATTGATCGGCTCTGATATATTTCGCCTTGTCTTCGGGACTCAACGATGTCCTACCGCAAAACCACCAATATTAGCTAGCAATTCAGAATCCGAAAAGAATAGTAATCCTCATATCGATGAACCCACCACGATCGTCTCTGCATTCTAGTATAGCAGCCCTGTTGTCCAACCACAGCTTGCATCGCCAGCGCAAAAGCGAGAATCAGAGATATGTTTGACATGGCGGGGAAGATGGACGTTGTCTCGAGAACTGTCTTGCTCGGAGAGATGGAACATGATTGCTGTGTGCACGTCTGTATGTATGTATTGTAGGTGGCAACAAGTGTATGTGTGCAAGTCAAGAAGATTCCGTCTGTAGATCTAGCGTTGAAGGGAGAGACGTCGGTGGGGGTTATGAAGCCATGGTTGATGGGTAGGGAATTTTTTGGTATTTGCGCTTATTATATAGATACATGGCCATTCTGCTTGGCTCAATTAGTTTCCCACACGCGGACAGGCCTGCGTGGGGGTTGTACCGGCTTTCTTATCAGCCAGATGGTGTGACACACCGATCAAAGGTATTTCTGCCCAAGTATTATTACAGATCTTCGCAGCATACGTATAGGAGATTCTAAGGACTGTCTGTGGTCTCCTGTGGACTGCTGAGGTCTATTCTGACAGGCGGTCGACGCTCGAGGAACATCGCATGATCTCTGTGTTGAGGTCAACGAGGTGAATGTTCTTGCGAACCGCGTGAGGTGGATTTGGTGGTGGCAAGGCATCGACGATATCGGCGTTGCCGTCGTCGGAATACGTAGGAACCGCTGTTCCCGAAAGGTCCAACTCGGTTGCGTTCGGGATGCCGTGGTGCTCCGGGACGCTAGATCGGATGGAGGTATTCCTGGAGGTCCCAAACAAGGGGCGAGGCATAAGCTAACGACATGCCCTCGCGCTTTTGCGGAGAGTAGCGTCAGGTGGCCTGTCCTGATCCATGCCATTGGGATACGCCACCGTAATGAGTCAAGAGCTCGTTGCGTATTGCTGACCTATGCACGATAGTGTCGGCAATCGTCATCTTCTTCGTCACTTGACGTGCGCAAATGATCTCATATGCCAAGACGCCGCTTCGAATCAAGACCTAGGAAACCAATTGTCTGGGTGGAAGATGATCGTCGAGAGCTGAGAGGCGAACCGGGTGTAAGATTATTATCGTCAGTCTGCGTTCCAGCCGTCAGGTTCAACGAAGGCATAGATGCTAGCCCAACGAAGGAAGCCTCGGATTGAGCAGAAATGGGAGATGCCAGCGGTGACGCGAGCGACAAAGGTGACGCAAATGGCAAGTCCAGATCAAGTGTCTGGGTCGAAGTGTGCTGAGACAAACTCGGGGGAGATGGGAACTTGACCACATTCTTGCCAGATGGCAAGCGATCGGGTATCAACTTCGGTGTTAAGAGCAATGCATCTGCCTCGTCAATCTGCGTTGTGGCTGTACGGAAGTCTCGTGGCGGCGGCGCAGGACTTCCTACTTGGGTCTCCATGGAGACTGCTCCTGGCGACGCCATAGGCGGTGGAGACACAGGCTCGGAGTCCTGAGTATTCGCGGACCCGGTTCGAGAAAGTACGGCTGGTGGTGTCAACAAGCCGTTCACTGCCGGGGAACTAGTCCGTGAGGCCAGGGATGTGGAACTCTGTTCGTCGGTCTGCGTGGACATGGAACGCGAGCTCGGCGGCGGCCGAATAGACCCTCCATCACGTCCTCCCGATGACAAGCTGGCATCAGATCGTATCGGAGACAGAGCATGTGGCTCAAAGAGGTCCGTCTGCGAAGAGGCGGACACCATTTGGGGACGAGGGGCCTCTGTGACCGCATCATCATCCAGTTTGGATCCTGGAGTAGCCGGCGAATACAATGGAGAATAGATGGGAGAGGCAAACTCTCCCGAAACGTACTTTGAGGTACGAGACTCTACTTCGGTGATCGCCCGAAGGACAGTAGGTCTCACGCCATGGCCGCTGTGAAAAGGTCCGGTTTGGGGTTGGGGTATATCTGTGACAGTGACTTCGTGTAGGATGTTGTCCTCGTCGCGATATGTCAATCTCGCCTCCGCAGGCTCAGAGGGTGGGTCGTGAGATATTTCAACTTTCTTTGGAAACCCGCTTACTTTCGATCGGTACAACAGCGCTGCCATGTCGGTCGCCTGATTTTTCAACTGATGATGTCTCGGGCGCCCGATGTCTATTGTCGTCGGCGCATTATCCCCGGCTATGTCGTCGTCGATCCTCGTCTCATCAATCCCTGCTTCATCAAGTCGTGGATCACCATGGTCATCGTTGCCGAGGAGGTTTTCCATGAATCGAGATTGGTTCCCAGTGGGCACAACATCCATGCCCTGGAAGTGGTCGATGGTATGTGATTTCTCGAGATCGAAGATCTCATCGGATATTTCTGCAACAGCGCCGTCTGCGGAGGCGCGGTCGACGGTGTAGAAGTTGTTGCCTCTCCGTAAAAGTCTTTTCTGTGTGGTTGAACCGCTGTTCGCTATTAAGTCGTCCGAGGAACCGTTGGAATCAGCGCCTGCACATCGCTGCACGATGCCAGTCACGGATGGCATGCAGGCACAAATAAGAGAAGTGCTGGCCTCAATGACACTCCACATGTAGACATTTTGAAAGTCCCATGTCACGTTCTGAATAAGCGTCAGCACATAGAACATCTCAGTCCACTGGGTCCACTTACACCATCTTTGAGCCGGACGAGGTACTGCAAGCGCACTACAGAAGTGACAGTGACCACGACACCCATGACGAACACTGACCACACGCCCGCCTTTTTCTGCCAAGGAATATCGAGTTTGCGAAGGCTGTGAATCTGTAGTTGGTCAATATCAGTAGCCGCGCTAGAGAGGGTGATGCTCAGGTCTGCTTACTGGCAAGAAGAAGACCACAAAGTTGAAAAAGATGTTGAGGCCGGCAAATGTGTACAGTAGCGGTTGGAGCTCAACGCAAGAAGATGGTCCGCCGGTGAAGATATTCCACACGGAGGCTATTGGCCAGCATTGAAAAATCAACGCGAGGTCGAAAGCAAGTACGGTTGCTGCCAAAAAGGCGACCACTATCCAGCATTGGATGCGCAGCGCTTTCTTCATCGAATCTATCGTCCATATCCGCAGGTACAGCAGGACGACTGCAATCTTGGAGAGTATGACGACTGACTGGAATAGTATACCACCGATGTAGGACCACTAGTAGAAAGAGTCAGCTTGAATCTCGCCCGGACCGTTCGCTATGGCACACCTTCAAGACCTCAGATATACGGCTGGTGGTAAGTAGATAAGTGTCTTGCCCCAGACCATTCTTGGTCGCGAATTCCAGACCGACGTGCAGAGCAATCGTAACAGCGAAGGATAAGGCCACTACGAAGTCGTCCGAGCGGAAGCCACTACCATTCAGCAGTCGGGTCCGTGATACCACTCGTAGTCCAACAAAGATAGTACCTATTGCGAGGAAAGCCCAATTGACGCCGCGGGAGATGTTTGCTCTGCTCCGGATTGGCAATCCGCAGGTCTGGTTCTGGTGGTCAGCTCGTTTCTGCCTTGCTTATCGGGAGCATTACCTCTGCTTGAAACCTGGTAGCAACTGCGAGAAATCAGCCAATGTCGGTTTCTGTGAATTCAGATCCTGCGTACCTAGCCAGTCTTCGGGTCTRCAACCATCTTCGATACACGAAGCAAAACCTGTCGTGATGCTGCTGCTCTCGCAAAAGCAAGAGGAGTCCACTTGACAGCTTGCCGGAAGAAGTACATTGTCGATACAGACGGTCTGGGTGCACGTTCAGCCGACAACTCTCCCAACAGGTAGTGGAAAGGACATACCGCGCAGGCTGGCAGCTCCTGCAATGCCGTTGTATTCAAAGTACGAGATCGAAAACCTTCGGATATCAAGTTGGCGCTTGCGCACGGCGTGAGAAGCGCCGCGGTGAGGAAGTACCTCATGTTTGACAAACAAGTGATCACATACGCTGCAGATTCACAACTCCGCGCGAAGAGCGAAGCAGTCCCTATTATTTGACGATGCAGGTCCACATCTTGTGGCGTATTGTCACCGACTCATGCCATCGAAAAGTATAGCACTCTCCGAGTTAAGCGACTAGTGAACGTGTCGCTCGGGGCCCAAGGGCCAAGAGCAAGGGCCGTCCGCATCGTGCACGCAGTATCAAGCAAAGCGGAGCTCGCATCCCGGACCATAGCGCTGTTAAGTCATGAGAAGAAGTCAACGTCTGGTTGGTTTCTGGTTGATCGTGCGGATGTGGTCGTTCCTGACTCGTGGCTGATATGCGAACTGCATCATCGTGCAGCATGGCAGCTAAGGTTCCGGTGCTGGCGAGTCAGCATTTACTATCGGTATATGTGAGCTCGGACTTTGATACTGCGAGTTGGCCAGCCAGCCTCTCAATGTCAGCCTCTTGCCATGGTTATCGCGAACCGTTCGTGCGAAGAGACGTTGTGCTGTATGTAAATCGAGTCTCCAACCTCGCCTTCATGACTCGTATATCAGCGATTGATCTGCAACCGAGAGCGTTGCACTCGCGTGTCGCGGATAGTGTGCACGCAACGCAGGTGGAAATCAGACGCCAAAATTCTCCAGCAATTCATATTTCTTACCAGAACGATGGACATCTGTCTTCGAGCTTTCGGAATGTTCACCACGACCRTCCCAATGCGAAACAGCAGCAGAGTAGCGACACTCAATATGCCAGCTCCATGACACAGCAGCTGCGGAAGGGACCTGACGGTGCTAGCAAGCATAAATACCCATTGGGGTACACGGCACATCATTAACAAAATCGAGTCTCATCGGATATGGCGAGGCTCCGCAGTCCGTACGGCGGGGAAAGCAAGCGGTCGCCATCGTATAGTTTTTAATACTTCCGTCCGGCTTCGGCTTGGGAAATTACTGCAGGAGAAAAGGGTCGTGGCATTCGCCCTGGTAGGGCGATGGTATCCGTAAGCACATGGCCGCTCGTGATGGGCGCCAGTGGCAATAGAGTAGCCTTCGCGATCTCGGTTGCGTGGTGGGAGGCGCACACATCGGACGCCCGTCACAGGTCATTCATTTTCATTCGGGCGTGCCAAAGCATGAATTGGCAGATTTCCCCAGAGCCGTGACGATGGAGGCGTCTTGCAGACATCGCGGAGGGAAAGAGACCTGTTGACGGCATGTGGGAAGGAAGACGCGTGACGCGTGAGAAAGTGCCAAGAAACTTAGGCGCAATCTGCAGTCGCTGTTCCAAACTGTGAAACGACCTCTCCTCCTTCTGCTTCCCCTCACAACTTGATTTCATCGAATGTAATCATTCCACACTCATACATACAGGCCATGGCGGAACTGATTCGGGCTTTCCACGGGAATGACCTTGACACTGTCGGAGCCACCTCCTCAGGCTTGTTACAGCATTATCCGAAGCATTAGCCGCTTTGGTACGTCGTGAGGGGAAGGTCTCATCATCAAGGAGGGAGGCACTTTCCAAGGTTCCAAGAGTCAGCCATGCCGCCAGGGTATGCTCGTAAAGAATTGCTAAGCTACGACTATAATGTAAGGGCTGTTCACTCTCAACTCTTCTCTCGAGTCAAGCCTGTTGGCGCGGGGAGAATCCCCCAAAGCTGACCAACTAAGGTACTTTTGCAACAGCCTCCATCAATTGAGGCGTAGGCTGCAGAACAACTGTGTTCACTTTGGCATCTCGGCCTTTTGACTGCCCGGAGCCCATCAGGTGGTGCAGGTGGCCAAGACATCTCATGCGAGTCCGTCCAATCGACGGTAGAGGCCAAGGTGGATCATGCATTTGTCCGGCGGATGGAACCCTAGACGAGCTGCGGATGACCCTTTTCGAGCAGAACCGCAGTTCGAAGCGCAAAGGGACTGTTGAAACAGACGTTGAGCGGAATTTCCCCGTGGGGACCCCGTTCTGCCAATGCTCGGCCAAGCCAGTTCAAAGGTCTTGTGAACCGCCGGCTTCACGCTATGTGAGGAAGAAACGCAGCCAAGATGCTTGATCTCTTAACGCAACCCACTTGTCGAGCACGACCCCGACTATGGCGCAGACAGCGCAGCACAATGCTGCGCGAAATGATATGGCTGATTGATCTGCCGCAGCGTTGTTGCGCCGCTCACCATCAAAGCTCGGGTATCTTTCTGCGAGAACCAGTCGTGTGTCGAGCCCACCGTACTACTACAATTGGAGAAGCTGCGGCATGAATGCACCAGGATCTTGGTATTGCGGAGAAGTGTAGAACCGCCAAACGTATAAGTTGTAGAGTGTTTTTCCCTTGCAAAAAGTCGCCGCTTTTGTTACTCCCATCAGCTCTCCCTCAGCTCTCCTCCGCATTCCCAGCATGGCGCACAGTCCCCATCGTAGCGATGCTGACAGCCTCAGCACGAATGAGAAGAATGGCGGAGTGATCCATCACGTCGAGGAAGCCGCAGCACGCATGAACAAGGGAGTCACGGACGAGGAACGAGCATGGCTTGCCAATATCGACCCCAAAGAACAAGACCGCATCTATCACAAAGTCGATCGCCGTGTCGTCCCGATGTTGGCTTTGCTATACTTGATTGCCCATCTCGATAGAGCGAATATCGGTAATGCGAAGATTGAGTAGGTTTCCAACCAACCGCACCATTTCGGATGCTGGGAACGAAGTCTGATGTTGAGTAGGGGCCTTGAGGCGAGTTTGAACATGACTGGTAACGACTACAACATTGCTCTTGTGGTGTTCTTCATCCCATACGTGAGTCTGAGTAACTTCAAACAAACGATTCTCTCTGACTGAGATATACCAGATCCTGTGTGAAGTTCCATCCAGTATGCAACATACAACGCTTCCTGTGGATGGCTTCATCACTAACCATGTGAACTGGCAGACATGCTTCTATCCAAGTTCACGCGCCCTAGCTACTACATTGGAATCCTCGTGACCTGCTGGTAAGGCCGCATAGAAGCTCTCTCGCAAACAAAGTCCAGTGCATGCTAACGGATCGATCATTACAGGGGAATCGTCATGACACTATCAGGAATCACACATTCTTTCGCAGGTCTATGCGTAACGAGATTCCTCATCGGGTATGAAAAGCCAAACGCAACCTGAGAAGAACCACTGACTGATGATTGCAGTTTCTTCGAATCTGGGTTCTTCCCAGGCGCAATGTGGCTCGTCTCACAATGGTACCCTCCACAGAAAACCCAGACTCGCATGGCCTGCTTTTACCTCTCCAGTGCCCTTTCCGGAGCCTTCTCCGGAATGCTCGCGGCAGGAATAGCACAGCTCGACGGCGTCGCAGGTCTTCGAGGATGGCGTTGTAAGTGTGAAGAACTTCGTACGACTACCCAATACTGACTCGACTACCAAAAAACAGGGATCTTCCTCCTGGAAGGAATACTCTCCGTAGCAATCGGCGCCTCATGCTTCTTCCTCATGGCAGACTCCCCATCAAAAGCCTCATGGCTCACCCCCGAAGAAGCCAAATTCCTCAACCTCTCCCACCTAGCCTACCGCGGCGTGCGAACAAACACCAAGACCACCGAGAAGAAACCTCGAATAAACTGGGCAATCCTCAAACAAGTCACCAGCGACTGGCAACTCTACCTCCAAGCCATAGTATTCTGGTCCAACTGTGTCCCCAACTACGGCCTAAAATTCACCATGCCAACAATCATCAAATCCATGGGCTTCACATCCACAACCGCACAACTCCTAACCGCTCCACCTTATGTCTGCGGCGCAATTTCCGCAGTCGTCTCCGCCCTCTTCGCAGACCGCCTCTCCTGGCGCATGCCATTCATCGTCGGCCCACAAATCCTCCTCGTCATCTCTTTCTCCACTCTCTTCTCTTTCGCCGCGGAAATCAAAAATAATATCGCCCTCTGCTATGTCATGGTCTGTGTCGCTTGCGTAGGTCTCTATCCCATAATTCCAGGAAATAATTCCTGGACGATTAATAATCTCGCCGGAGCGGAGAAGAGGGCTACGGGGATTGCTTTTATGATTATGATTGGGAATAGCGGTGGGATTGCTGGTTCGTTTATTTTCTTGCAGAGTGAAGCTCCGAGATATCCGACTGGTTTTGGAAGTTCGCTGGGTTTTGCTTGTGCGGGTCTTTGTGCTGCGTTTTTGTTGGAGTTTCTTTATTGGGCGCATAATAGGAGGAATGAGCATTTGACGGAAGAGGCTGCTATTGCGCAGTATGGGGAGGAGGAATTGGAGAGGTTGGGGGATAAGTCGCCGCTCTTCAAATATGCTTTGTAGGGGTGAGGGACGCAGTAGTTCATCTACATGAAAGTGTGGTTGGGATCTGGTGAGAAAGAAGAGGTTGGAGAAATTATCAAAATGCATAATTCTCGGGGCTTCCCACCTGGGCCAGTAGAGGTACCTACCGAGTAGACAATCACGAGGGAAGCAAATATATTTATGGAACAGACCTGTGCATCAGTCGCTCCGGATTGCCAGTAGAAAGGCAAGCACAACATATGAATATCCTAGGTCCTACAATTCAACTGCACTTCAATCACCCAGCTCAGGGCTTGAGGAGCAGTCGCCATTCGTGGTGGACAGCATTCATGGTGGACATATTTCTCAAGCTGTGTCCTTCATTCAGCCTCATGGCCAGCCCGCTCCCCCGCTCTTTCCGGAGGCGGCAAGCGAAGGACGCTACGCACAAAGTGCTCTGAACGACTAAGCTTTGCAGCAATATGGCAGGGTTCAAGACCTTGTGCCTGGTGTGAGCGGATTGTCTCTTGCTCCTCCTTGCTCCACGGCCTTCTATTGCATCCAAGTCGGGACATTTTGGTGACGACGGAGCGGTAGGCGCGATTGAGGAATCGGGCAATGTATCGATTTGAAGCTCCCATTTCAACAAGATGCTGGAGCGATTCGACCTCTGCTGGGGTGAATCGACGGAGGGTGCGTGGTTGGGATGCCTTTGATTTGAGTTCTTCCAGCACTTTGAGCAAGCGTTGAGACCAGTCTTGGACACTTTGCCCTGGTCGCATCGCTACGTCGAGTCCGAAGAGGACGCGATGAACGTTGTGTGCTGCCCTACCTAGCCGCCGAGCTATGGCTGCGGACCCGACTCCCTGCTGGTACAGCTCGAGAAGGTGGATACGCTCCGAGGGAGTGAGTCGAACCCAACGTGAGCCGGCAGAGGCATCCGCTGGTGCTTCATGTTCCTTGGATGCCTTGCCGTCTGTTTGCCCGCTGAGCTTGTAGTACCATTGCAGTTTTATACTGAGAATTGAGCGGTGGGGCGGCGGCATGCGGCGAGCGATTTCCGGCCACGTGAAGCCCGCGGCTCTCAACTCCTTCAGTCGTTCGATTTCCTCGTTCGTCCAGAATCYCCCTGCTGCTGCTGCTGATGATGTTGTTGTTGTGGGTGGCGAGGGTGGGCTCTGCACCGGCGCAGGGCTGCTCGCTCGAGAATTGTGCCAGCAGTTCCACACCATCTCCTTCGTCACATTGAACTTTCTGGCAACGCGATCTTGATTCACGCCCGCGTCGACGAGACGCAGCACCTCTGCCTTTTCGGCCTCGGAGAACATCTTTGGTGCATTTTGGGGTGGATGGCGCTGCCGTACTTGGCGTGCCTCGATGGCAATCTGTTCTCCCCCATAACCCTGATTCAGCCTCTGCATGCGTTTCATTGCGCAGACCGCATTACGATCCCCGATTTGGATCTGCCTGTATTTCAACCCCGCCTTCCGACACTCGAGCAGCACGGCATCTTCCTCGACTGTCCATCTGCGGTGTTTCGCTCGGGGCGCGCGCGAGGCGGGGGTGGGAGTGGGAGTGGGAGAGAGGGTAGAGCTACGGCGGACCAGGCTTGTGGGAGAGAGRGGCGCTGGGCGGCGTGTCGGGGTCTGCGGGCGGCGTGTTGGTGTCGGCGGGAGGCATGTCGGGGTCGGCGAGAGGCATGCAGGTGTCCACCGTGGTTTGCTCCCGTACCCAACACCACTGCCACGAGCGGTGCCAATGCTCCGCGTGATGATGGCTCGCATTCCGGATGGCCCTCCCAGATCTCCCCACTTCCCTGACTTTCTCTACGCAAGCTGTAGCCTCATCTGCGTCATTGCTCTGACTCCCAACATACTTTAATTCATGTTGTTGGTGATGTTTGGATGGTTGGATGTTTGGACGGACTCATCTCCGACAAATCCCACGCGTTAGGTTTCCTTCGAATGACGCGTCATACCCAGGGACTTGCTCAACATCCCTGCGATAGGTAATCCCCAAACATTCCATGATCTCTCTCAACATGGCGGCCAACATCATGGACCTGCTCCCCATTCCTGRTGCCGTCGTAGATCCCATGGCAAATCCCGACCAGCAGCAGCAAGTTTCCCGCACTCTGACCGACGAACCCACTGCAAGTCACGCTCTCGCCATGTCGCAACCCGAAATCCAAGGCGCCGCTCAATTGCCTCACGATGGCGAAGTCAAGGACCTGGGCTGGCAAGATCACGTCAAGGACATTCCCGTCCCTCTGGTGGGCAAGCTCCCCAACGAGGAATTGTGGATCTTGCTTCGCCGCTTCAACAAGGTAGGACAACACGATGTAACAAAGACGATCGACACCACCAAGCTAACACACGCCAGCAAATGTATCATGTCAAGGACTTTCCCTACCCCGTTCCCGGAAACCTCGACCTGAACATTGCCGATGAGGAGGAGTTCTCACCCGACAAGCTGCGTGCCAACATTGAGCGTCTGTACATGACCGTTCTCATTGGCTTGATGGGAGCGGGCAAACACCTCATGCGACTTCGATCCTGGCGTGAGACCCGGAGAACCTCTGCTTTTTGTGCTGCATATACCATAGCCTGGGTATGCGATCTGATTGCTCCGCTCATCCTGCTCACCGTCATCGCCTTGATCACCTACCCACCGAGTCGTGAGCTGTTGTTCCCTCCTGCTCCGCTTGCTCTCGTCTCCCTCACTGGTGGCGTTCAAAAACCCAAAGCAGGCGTCCTGGGCTCGACAGATTCTGCCACGGGCGCTCCCGAGAACCACAAAGGAGAGGCGGTGGAAGCCGAAGCCAATGCTCTCGTCAACAGTCTTGCCAACGTGGCACTGTCGAGCGTGGCGGGAAAGCATCCGCAAGGAGATTCCCCAGAAGGTGAGAGCGCAGAAGGCGGTCCTAATGATGGTGTTCCAGACCCGACCGCCGTGGCGACCGCGGCCAGCGACGCCAGAACTACTGCCAAGGAGGGCAAGAAGCACCACAAAGCCAAGGTGCCGATGGAGAGCGCCATCTGGAACAAGATGCGACCGACCATGCACGCGCTTGCAGACATCTCAGATACATGGGAGCGGTTCGGCAACGCACTCTCACCTACTCCTCCCTTTCCGCACGACCTGTATCGGTTACGACTCGCTGGTGTCATCGTTCCCATGTTCGCTGCATCCTTCTTTATCTCCTCATACATGATCGTGAAAGGCACGGGATTTGGGGTCGGATTCGCATTCTTCGGTGACCCAGTCATCTCCAGAGGGCTCGTGTGGCTGAACTCCACCTTTCCTCGATGGCAAAAGATCCTTGAACTTCGCAACACTCTTCTCAAAGGCGTCCCGACCAACGCCCAACTCACCATTACTCTCCTCCGCATTGGCGAAGCGAACAAAGCACCCCTTCCCCCTCCACCACACTCTGGTGAGAAGCCGTCCGACGAACCCTTGGAGCTCACGGAATATCAGATGAAAGCCGCAGGCGCAGACTGGCCTCTCAACGCCACCGACGAGGAGATCAAAGCCGCCATGGCCTCCGACCCGGCTGTGCCTCACGAAACTGCAGGCGCGGATGTGGATGCCGGCAAAGCCAAAAGTCACGGCAAACTCGGTACCAAGGTCACGGGTCTCTTCAAAACTAGCGTCAAAGGTGGCGTCGATGCCGCCCTCGGAGCCGATCACGTCAAAGCCAAAGTGTCTGGTAATGAGCATGCCAAACAAAGGCTTGGCGTGGTTCTTCGATCGAAGGAATCTCGTTTGCTCAGCGGACCCGTCGACTTCAAGTGTCGCTATGATGGAAAGAAAGGACATGCTTACATTGCAACCAAAGCTACAATTCCTTGCGTGGGATTTAGTCTTGACAAGACCATCACCACCGATGACGGCGTTTTGATCGAGCAATTGCAACCTGTCTGGACAGTAGCTGTTGCTGACATCAAGGAGATGAAGAAACTAGGTGGATTGGGATGGAAGAGAAAGTTGGTGGTGGGGTGGGCTCTGGACAAAGAAGTCGCGGATGGGATGGAGATTATTGACAAACAGGGTCATTCGTACATCATCACGGCGATGATGATGAGGGATGAATTGTTCAATCGATTGTTGGCTATGGGAGGGCAAAAGTGGGAGGCCTGGTGAGCGAGAGATGAACCATATATCGGCAGAAATTTTTGAAAGGCATGAAACAGGCATGCGAGGGATTTGCGAATTCATGAGATACCCTGGAGCTCACTTTTGTGGGTGGTAATGGCGTTTGGGTGAGGAATAGGGAATTTTCTCGGGCGATGACAATCACTGAATGGAAGGTGGTACAACGAAGTACGTAGACGCACGAASCACAACGTTCTGCTCTTATATATACAATACGCACATGGGCATGGACTTCCACCGATCTCACACGGGCAAACCTTATCGCGGACTTTCCCAAAAGAGAGAATGCAAAAGTAGGAATCACCAGTCTCCGGGTCGTTGAGAACTCTATCATCGATTTGAAGTCTGCATTGCGGCCTCGTCAGTCGTCTCCCTGTCCTACTTCGATGCAAATGTCGCCCACTTGACACGTCTCGAAGTATCGAGCGCAAACATGGTCTCCTCCAAGCCATTCATCATCGAAGAACATCAATTCCAAGGACAACACATCAGAGAGTATCCCCAGACCTTAGCAATCTCACAGGAAGACGATGTTTGGCTCCATGCCAGAAGCTATACCCCACGAGATACATTGTCTTCAATGGATCCATCCAAGGAGATTTGACCATCATCGTCTTTCACGCCAATGGATTTCCCAAAGAAGTCTACGAACCTTTCTTCGAGGAACTACACCATTCCTTAAAGGAAACCCACAATTTAAGCGTAAGCAGCATTTGGATTGCAGATCAAGCCGCCCAAGGAACCAGCGCTCTCTTGAATGATGAGAAATTGGGAAGTGATCACAGCTGGTTCGATCATTCGCGAGATATCCTCGCCATGACGAATACATTCCGCAAGCGAATGCTCCGACCAATCTATGCTGTAGGACACAGCATGGGGCGGCGCACAAGCATTAGCAACAGCCCATCTCCATCCCAGATTATTCGAAGGAGTCGTAATGATTGATCCAGCCATCAATTTGACACCTGCTCCATCGTTGAAAGCGATGCTGAAATACACATTAAAAAAAACCAGAAACATATCCATCCCAAGCACAAGCCGAGGAAACCGTTCGCAAAACTCCATTTTTCAAAACCTGGGACCGGAGAGCTTTGCAAAGATATATAGAGACTGCCTTTCATTCTTCCCCAACAGTCGCCATTCCCAACAATACCATCAAACCCACCACAACAACACACGCAGAAACCACAACTCTCATACGACACAACCCAGACCCCATCCTCCCGCACAAGAACATCTCCGACGTCCAGCGAGCAATACACCCCAACATAGACCCCCAATCCCCCCCTCACAGCCCCAGTCTACAACCCTCACACCCGCATAGCATGGTCCCATCTCCCAACCCTCCGACCCTCGGCACTTTTCCTTCTAGGAAAAGGCTCCCAGATTTCCCACCCCAGCGAAATCACACAACGTACGAAAATCACCGGGACAGCTCCTGGAGGTAGCGGGGGAATTGCTGCTGGAAGAGTCAAAACCGAGACGATCCCGGGGGGTCATTTATTACCCATGACGAATATTGAGGGAACTGCTGGGGCGATTTCGAAGTGGATTGGAGGGGATCTGGGAAGAATTCGGAAGTTGGAGAGGGAGGTTGGGGAGATGATGGGGAGGGGGAGGGGGTTGGTTGAGATGCAGACGTTGGAAGCTGGGGTGGAGAGGATGTTGAGGGGTTGGGATGGGAAGGGCTGGGATAAGACTCCTGAGAAGAGTAGATTGTAGGTGACTTGCCTTTAAGAGTGATTTTCTGGTTGTAGTACCTTGTAGTCCCAAGACATTGAATAAATATCAACGAAAAGGAAATGTATTCATCAAAACAAGAAAATTGTAACCCGCAACTCTATAAAATCCCAAAACGCCAACAATACAACACGAATACGCCTCCTAAATACAAATGCATACACACCGCCACCGAAAGAAAAAACCCCTCCTATTTATTCCCTTGCACTAGCAAGCTCCTCCAACTCTTTCCTAAACTCAGCAATCAAAGCCTCCGATCGACCAAGATCGAAGAATTGCTCCAAGCAAAAGAACCCCAGACTTAATTTCTCTCCAAGCATGGAAAGTTCTACGTCCACAGCATGCTGCAAACACAAAGCGTTAGTAAATTGATCGCACGTAATAGTAATCTTGGTGTATACCACCGAACGAAGGATTCACTCACCTGATACGCCGCCCCCGCTTCAAACTTCTCCAAACCCTTAGGCATAACAAACCCGTCCGTAGTAGTATGCGACAAAACTTCACTCCTCGAATCTTTCCACTCATCACTCGTCTCCAAAATCCTCGCTTTCCCAACCCCACTCCGCACGTCTTCCACATCATCATCATCATCTCCCCCAGGTAATTTCAAAAAATTCACAAAAGAATCCACCTTCACGCCCGTCCACTCCAGAATCTCTTTCAGAGAAGCCCCAGAATTCTCCACGGAACCAATTCTGCGAAGATCCYGATCAATCTTTCTCGCTGAATCCAAGAGATTGGAGGTTTTGGGAGAGGAGATTCGTAGAGGGAGGAGATTGAGCGTTGGTGCTGAGAGGTGATTGAGGTCTGGGAGGTGGGAGCGGTTGGCGATGTAGATTCCTAGAATCACATCTCTGGAATCATCATCTTCGTTGTCGGCGGTTTGTGAGGCGGAGGCAGCGTAGATTTTTGCGTAAGTTGCGAAGAGGAGGGATTGGATTGTTACTTGGGCTGATTTCGCAAGGTTTTGGAGGGCGGTGCAGTTGGTGAAGAGTGTGGGGTTGAAGATTTGGATTTTTCGGGTGGGTTCTGTGGTGGATTGGGGGAGTTGCATTGGTTGGGCGTCTTGTAGGTATTGTTCCCAGAAGGCTTTTCGGGATTGCTGTGTTTTGGGCGGGAGAGCTAGTGCTAGGTAGTCTTCGAAGGTGAGGGCCGGAGTTGGAAGTTTCTCGTTGTTGATCGTGGACTGGAATTCGTTGATTAGGTGTGGAATTGATACGGCGTCGTAGAGCGCATGCTGGATTCGTAACTTGATGTCGTAGCCTCCGTTGGCTTTGCTGACTACCAGCTGCACCATAGGTTGGAAGGTGTCATCCAGATGAGGTGTATCTTCCTCGAAGAAACTCTCTGGCGCGGTCTTGAGAACGACTTGGAGGAGCGGATCCTCGGCTTGATGTGATGCGCAGAATATCGTCCTCAAGATCGAGTTCCGAGCCACTACTTCTTTCCACGCTGCGTGGATTTGATCCATCTTCACATCAGTCTCGATGTGATACTTGAAGGTCGGGTAGAAGAGTTCCCCGCCACTCTTCTGCCACATGGCAAGCATGTAGGTCTGCCCCGCTGCTGCAGGCAGTACACGATCCACATTATCTGGATCAATTCCAGCTGAAGCCAGGATCTGGGGCAGGTCGATGTGTTGGAGAGATTCGGAAATGATCTCCGATGCGGGCTTGCCATTCGTCTCGGATGCGCCTATGGTCGATCTCACAACCTCGGCCATGCGTCTGGAAGTCTGTGCCTTGAGAAGCTCACTGACGGAAATCTTGATGGACTGTTTGCGGAGCAGAGCTGTGACTTTGATGGCAGAGATCGAGTCAATTCCAAGACTTTCGATCGTAGCATTGGGCGAGATCTCATCCACCGGCATCCTCGCCACTTGGGCCATGGCTTGGCGAATGCTGTCAGTGAGTGGGCTATCGGTTTCTTCCCCACTGCTCTGCTGAACAGATTCCATCTGCGAAGACGCCGGTGCATCGGCCTTCACTCTGAAAGATGGTAGACCGCAGACTGAGACTTGGTCTTGCGAAAACTCTGCGGTGGGCTCCTCGGGCGAGCTAACAAGGCAGTCCAAAACGAAATCGAAGCGCTTAAGAAGTTCTTCCGTCCCTCGTGCGTCCAGTACATGACTCTTGCAAGCTGCGCGGATGATGAGTTGATCTCCAACAACCTCCACCTCTACAGCGACCGGATACTCCACATTTGAGCTGGCATCGACAGACTCATACATTGGGGCCTTGCTTGGAGTGTCGGGATTTCCAGTTTGCTGATAAATGAAGAGCGTGTCGAAGAAGGAGTTGTCGGAGCTGTTGCCTGAAGGCTGTACCACACTGGCACAAGCCGCCTGTACCGCGCGAAGAGGCGTGCTTTGGTATTGACGCATGTCGTTGATAGTGCTCTGGAGATATCGTAGCATCGACTCACCCGTGCCATGCAATGCAACTCTCACTGGAACCGTATTCATGGTCGGGAACATGACCTTTTCGGCATCCTCGCTGTATCGGCAAGCAAGAACCACGCCGAACATGACTTCAAGCTCCTGCACGTAATGTGAGAGTAGAATCGCCCACGAGGCCTGAGCAAGTGCCTGGGTGGAAACACCGAGCCTTTGGCAGAAAGAGCGCGCATTCGAAGCCGTGATTGAGGAGACACGCTCGCCACGATGTGTCGTAGAACTTGGAGTGCTTTGGCTGTTACCGAAACGGGAGATTTTGGCGCCAGTGAGATTACTTTTCCAGAATGTCAGGGCCTCGGAACTTGTTGCGTTCAAGGCAAGATCAATAGCGGCGTCGTACGTTGGTCGAGGCTCCAGTGCGTTCTCGTACGCTTTGGCGACATCTTGATGCAACAGGCCGAGACTGTGACCGTCGTACTGAGCATGTGATAGCGATAGGACCAGATAAGTCTCACTCGATACGGTAGCAATGGCAAGGCGAAGTGGAGGTTTCGTCATGAAAGAGGAGGAGACATCCCGGCGGACCTCCTCCAGGTACTCAGACAGACCGTCCACAGATTGCGCTGTGAGGTCGGCAAACTTGAGAGGCTCCGGTCGATGAACGACCTGTGCGAAGATTGCGTCAATCTCAGGATCCTCGACTTGAGCGAAGGACGTGCGCAGAATGGGCGTGGCATCTACAACAGCCTGCCAAGCGGCCTTGAGTTGGGCAAGGTCGATGTCTTTGCGTAGCTTGAGAATATCGGCGTTGTAGTAATCGTGGAAATCGGACCGAAGCATGTCCGCTATCAGAGCTTCTTGTCCAGGAGCGGCGGGTAGTATGCGCTCGACTGAGTCGCCGAAATTGCCTCGCATATATTGCAATTGATTCTCGAGAGCTGGCAGTCTGCTATGCTCGTTGACTGCTGCAACATCGGACTCTCGACTTCCGACATACTCCATCATCTTGGAAATCGTTTGTGCCTGGAGGATTTTGCTGACTGGGATTGGTACACCAGCCCGCTTTAATCGCGAAGAGAGCTTGACAGCATCGATACTGTCTATGCCAAGCGTGAAGATGGCCGAGTTTTCTGTGACTGTGGATGTATCGCAYCCAAGCACTTGCGCGATACTATCACGTATGACTGTCGATTCGGTAGACCATGTGAACTCTCCAGTTGTCTCGGGATGTTGTGTCGGCTCGTTCACCCCATTCATATGATCAACACCGTTTGTCAATCTTTCTTGGACCGTGAAATCCATAGAGATCCGGCGGTTTGCATCCTTGATAATGCACTTAATCGCCGCTTGGAAATTGTCACCGAGGGTCTGCAGGAATTTGGCGCTGGCAGCCCGTGGTTGAGATGCGATTGTGACGGAGATGCTGCCCGAAGGTGCGAGCTCGGCCTCAAACGCCAACGGATACTCGGCTGGTAGGTGTGTATCAACTGGCTTGAACAGTTCTTGCGATGTGTTGTCGTTGGCGGAAGATTCCGGCCGTTGAAATACGAACAAGACATCAAATAAGGGGTCTGATGGGGGCCGACTGCAGAATTTCCTGATGTCTCTGAGCGAAGTGTGTTGGAATGGCAAAACACTGGCATTCGACTGTTGGCAGCGCTTGAGATATTGCGACCAGGATTCCGATGCCTGAATGTCCACAAGACTTGGTACAGTGTTGAACATTGGTCCAATTACCGCATCCGCGTGGTCGAAGGATATAGCCCTGCCCGAAAGAACAACTCCGTAGCTTTGGGTGTCTGGAGCAGCTTGGTGCAACGCTACAGCGAAAGCAGCTTGCAAAAGAGCTTGATGAGATACGCCAAGTTGCCTCCGAACGTCTTCCTGTCCGTTAGAATTGCCCAGTTGGATGCGGATTTGTGGATTGGAATTAGCTGTCTGATCAGAGTCGACTTTGAGCGGATTGAAATGTGCGCTCCCGAGTCGATGTTGCCAGAAGGATTTGCTGTCGGGATGCCGACACAGAGGACCATACGGCAGAACATCGATGAATCTAGGGCCGGTTTGAATATCTCCTCCAGATTGATAGAGTTTCTGCAGCTTCTCCATGGTCAGATCCCAGGAGATTCCATCGTAGAGAGCATGGTGCGCATGCATGATCAGTACAGTTCTCCTTTGAGCCCGAACAATCAGGATCTCGAATGGCTCGGCAACCTCTTGATCTGCTCTTGAAGCCCATTCTGTCTTTCGTTGTTGAGCAAAAGCCTCCACTTCGTCGTCTTGAATGACCAGTGATTGAAAGGGGCACTCCGAACCGCGGAGCACGACTTGACAGAATCCCTCATCCGTGCGGAGGAAAGATGTTCGTAACATTGGAATGCTGCGATGGAGTTGCCTGATGGCTGTCTCGAGTCGATCAAGCTCGCAATGTTCGATCTCGTACCAGAAGTTGTTGAAATATGGCCGCTCGACGGTTTTCAGCGACTCGATCAACAATCCCTCCTGCAAAGGTGTACAAGGCGCCAACACCTCGATCTCGGAGACGTCGACAGATAAGGATCGGCTAATCGCGCTGCGGTACCTCTGCGAGAAGGCCGAGATTGTAAGCTGTGCTTGTCTGAAAGCGTTCTTCTCGCTCTGGTCGTCGTCCTTGTCATCTGAGAGAGCCTCCGCTAGTTTGCTAATTGTCGGGTTGTTCATGACAGTGGCCACACCAGCACCACCAAAGCCGTTTCGTTTCAGCATGGTCGTGAAGTTGATGGCCGACACGGAAGAGAGTCCAAGCGAGAAGATATTGGAGCCTGGGTTGATTTCCACGCTGTCCACTGAGAGTAGCTTGGCAAGAGTCTCTGCGATCTTCTGCTCCGCTGGTAGCATAGCTCGGTCTTCTGTCGTCTGTCCTTTGAGCGTTTGGAGATCCTGACTCTTCAGAGACTCGAACAAAGAAATCAACTTCTTGGTATCGACCTTGTTGTTGACCGTCAGTGGTAAGCGCGTGACTGGAATGATATGTGAGGGAACCATGTATCCAGGTAAGCGATCTCGGCAGGCTTTGTTCGCCATTGATACTAACTGACGGCTTTGACTTGAATCTGCAATTTGCAAATCGCGACTGAAAGCTGCGCGGTCTACAATGAAGGAAGCAAGGCTTTCCCTATTCCCATCCGCAGATTTGACGACTAAGGAGGCGACGTCTGCAATGTCTTCAGTGGCAGACTTGATCACAGCGTCGATTTCGTCGATCTCAAGTCGTTGACCTCGAAGCTTGGCCTGCGTGTCCTTGCGGCCGATGAAAGATATGGAACCATCGGCGAGGAGACGCACAAGATCACCTGTGCGGTAAACGCGCTCGTTGTGGCGCTCCAGATAAGGGAACATCTTTGCAGTCAGGTCGGGGCGATTGAGGTAGCCTTTTCCAACGAGCTTTCCCGAAACACAAAGTTCGCCAACTGCTCCACGCATAACAAGCTCATCTGTGTCTGGCGTAAAGACAAATGCACCGACATTGTCGAACGGAGGACCGATATTTGATGGCWTTGCGTCTGCGCCAATATGCGGATTCATGGTAACACCAATCGTCGCTTCAGTTGGGCCATATCCATTGTAGATTGTGTTCAGCGGGCCCCAGAGATCGATGATTTCCTGCTTAAGAGACTCCCCTCCGGTGATGAAGACGTGATTCCAAAGGCTACGGACATCTTCAGGTTTCAGCAAACGAGCGAGAGATGGCGTCAGGTCGATGTGTGTGATGTTGGCCTCTTGAATGAAACCAGCGAGGTCTTCGAGTACAAGATCTCGCGGTGCTCCAACGACAGTAATACCAACGCTCCAGCTCCAGAATTGCTCAAGTACTGATACATCGAACCAGTAACTGGCGAATTGTAACCAACGGGACGATTCGGTCCAGTGCCCCGCAAAGAGTCTTTGAAACGACATCATAGCTTGGACAGCATTCTCATGGGTGAGCTCACAGCCCTTGGGAGTTCCCGTGGTGCCACTTGTGTATAGAATGTAGCTGGTTGAGCCGGGATCAATTGCCGGGATTGAGACGGCTGATGTTGGAAGGTCGGTCAACATGGCCTCGACGAGMTCAACGTTCTGCACAACGCTCTGCATTTCAGGGTCACTCTTCCCACTGTCAACGAAAAGCAGCCCACTTTGCGAGTCTTCGATGATGAACTTGCGTCGAGCAAGCGGTAGATCAGGATCCATGGCGAGGAACGCACATCCGGCTTTCAGAATTCCAGCGAATGCGAACGTAGCTTCTGCCGATTTGCTCCTGCAAACTKCGACAACTCCACCAGGTTTCACGCCGTGCTGCTGAATGAGATGAGMAACTTGATTGCTGCGATGATCTAGCTCTTCGTAGGTCCATTTCTTGCGACCTTTTTCGCCTCCTTCAAATGTATGAATAAACTCAAGGGCAGGCTTGTGAGGATGCTCCGCAGCTCCTCGCTCCAGAAACTGGTGCAACAGATCCACAGTGCAAGGGAGTGTCCGTTCTTTGGGTGGTACAATAGACATTAGCTTGGTGTTTGTGTGTTCCTGCTCAGCTTTCGGATTCAACATCTGTTTCAAGAGCATATCAAACTGCTTGACAATCAACGATGCGTGAGCATCAGGAACGGCGCTTGTGTCGTAAGTCAATCGGAGGTAGACCTTGCCAGGGTTTGGCACTTCCATTTCCATGGATACTGTGTAGTCAATGCCGAGAGAGTCGCTGATAGAATGCCAGTCAAATTTGTCTTCGGTCTCTCCGTCCGATTTCTGGTACACGAATATAGTGTCGAACAAAGCGTGTCCCGCCGACCCAGCACACCGCTGAATGTCTGCCAGCGGAGTGAAGCGGTAGCGTTGTGCRGACGCATTGTAGGATACCATGTCCTTGAGAACATCTCCAACTGGCTTGCTTGTGTTGCAGTAGACTGGCACCGTTGAGATCGTGGGAAAGGCGACGGGATTGGTGATGTTGGCCGCGAATCCAGAGAAAACGGTCCCGAAAGTCACATCTGGTTCGCCAAGATAGGCCGAGAGAAGCGTGGCCCAGACACTTTGGCCGACCGCCTGAATAGTAACACCCTCACGCATGCAGAAAGTGTTCAGTGCGTCTACATCTACCCGAGAGGATGCCTGGATTGAATGCGCGACTCCATGAGCAACATTAGTGGGAGTCAAGTTTGGGAACTTGATAAGCCTGGGAGATTGTCAGCGCAGATACGTGTAGGAGATGCTTTTCATTTACCTTGCAGATTGCAATGCCTTCGTCCAGAACTTCTCGCGCTCTTCCTTCAACTGATTGAAACCTTCTAGCTGAGTAGTGAGCACTGGATCAATGCTGGGTGGAGAGCCAAGATCACAGCCCCGGAGTGCCCGGACAAAATCAGTCTGGAGAATGCGAAGTGAATCTGCATCGTATAAGGAGTGGTGCAGTGACAGACACATGAACCGTTTGTCGTCTGACTCGGCCAAGGCAATCCTCCAAGCGGGTAAGTGAAGCGCAGACAGAATGCTTTGACTGGCATCGTGTTCGAAAGTGGAGTGATCGACAGTAGAGAGAATGCCATTCAGGGAGGCGTCGGGCTTGTAGACGAGCATAGCAAAAGGATTCACCGCATCTTCCAATTGGACAAAGCCCATTCGTAGCACTTCGTGCTTTTCCTGCGTAGCCACCCACGCAGCCTGGATCTGTTCGAAACTGTGCTCGTCCGGTACTTCGTATTTACTGTGGTTGAGGTAGAAGTCTCCCTGTGATTGGATAAATTGCGCGAGCATGCCACTTTGAGCAGGGGTGCACGGGCGAAGTGCGTCCAGCTTCTCAGTACTGATGTCGAGTGATTCAAGGATATGGCGGTACTTGCGATCGAATTCTGCGAGATCAACAATTGGAGCGCTCGTCGGAGACGACCCATTCTGTTTGGAAACGATGAACTCAGCAAGTGCTCCAGGATTCTGATATTGTAGGACATCTGCGGCGTCCAGCTTCACACTGCGCTTACGCAGGCTTGAAGCGACTTGCACCGCGTTGAGACTATCCAGGCCAATTTGATAGAGCGAAGTTTGTTTCGAGATGCGCGTGAGGGTAACTCCCGAAAGATCGGAGAAGATCTGACGAACCATACTCTCCTCTGAAGTCCACTCGCTTTCAGGGCCGTTGCTCGGTACATCGCCCTCGTTGGGCAGTGTCGACAAGAGCGGAGCAAGTTTACCGGCAATGCTAGACGAATCAAAATCCATGAAGTGACTGACAGGGCTCGAAGGATATCGAAGACACGAAGCCAAGCTCGATTCGAAAGCCTTTGCGAGAATGGGAACAAGACCTTCGGGAACTTTGTTGGTCAGGTAGTGGACTTGAAGTTCGAAAGCGTTCCCATCAGGTGTGATCTCCAGAACGATTGGAATGCCCATGTCCATGCTCTCCTCCGCAACGGTCCAAATATCGGCTTCAGTCTGAGGAGGCTGAACAAGAAGCACAGAATCAAATAGATGGCGAGAGGGGTCCTTGGTCAAAGTCTGGATCTTACGAGGAGCCGTGAGCTGGAAAGATAGAGTGTCAACATTGTTGCTTTGCAGGTCGCGAATGAGATCCAAGTTTGACTGAGCCTTGTCGAGATTCGTGCGAAGTGGAATGGTGTTGAAGCAAGGCGCAACGAGTTGATCAACATCAGGGACCGATACTGATCGGCCACTGACAACATTTCCAAAGCAGACATCTGTGATTGATTGGGCGCACGCCAAAGCTTTTACCCATGCAGCCTGAAGGACGATAAGACCGGTGCAAGAGTGTCGCTCGCTGAACGTCTGGAGTTCGGAAGGTTGTAGAGGAAGAAACGTGGTGAGCACCTTCTCCTCGAAATTGCTCATTTCTTCAGAGACAGGGAACGGGTGAGGATGGAAGTCCTGCATCTGAGCGGACCAGAAGTCGATGGCTGCCTTTCCGTTTTGCTCCACAACCTTCTCCAGGAATGGCTCAAAGGATGCTGGGTCGGGCAGTGTTTCTCCATTATACATCCTGTGGATTTCCGAGAAAAGGTTGGATACCGATATCCCGTCATACACGGCGTGATGCATGTGGAGATAGATGTCGGAACCAAGCTCTTCAATTCGAATAGGTGATTCTGCGGTGACCTTGGAGCGTCCCGTGGATCGATCATCGTCGTAAGTATTGGATGTTCCATTCGTGGATTTGCTCGCATGACCGTTTGCATAACCATTGGCATGACCATTTGCATGACCATTGGCATGACCATTTGCATGACCATTGGCATGACCATTTGTATGACCGTTGCTATGACCATTTGTATGACCATTTGCATGGCCATTTGCATGACCGTTAACATGCCCGTTGGAGTGACCATTGACGTGACCATTTGAGTGACCATTCTCCAATGATGGGCTCGCAGATTGATACCATGGAAGTGGCGGATCCTGCAGCACAACCTGAGCAAAAGGATGAGCGGCCAATGGTGTTTCGACGAAAGAGGTCCGCAGAATCGTATGCCTTCTCATCATCTCGTACCAGCAATTCTGAAGCTTCTGCATGTCACCGGAAACACTGAGCTTAGTGGTATTGCAATATGCACTCGTGCCACTCGCCGACAACATTGCTTGCTGGAGAGGCGTGCAAGGTAGAATCGCATCGACAGAGTAGCCCTGTCCTGCGAAAGAGGATCGAATGTCTTCTGTAAAGTCTCCAAGAAGCACTTCGCGGACATTGATATGATCATCAGCAGCATCGTGTTCTGAGCTCTGACCCAATGCGCGACTTAGTTTCGCAATGCTTGAGTGGCGAAGGATCGCAGTGACGCTGAGATGCGTCTTCATTTCCTGCTCGAGAGATCGTGCAAATTGAATAGCGTTGAGGGAGTTAAGACCGAGTGCAAAGAATGAAGAATTGCGAGAGATGCTCGATACTGGCATTTGAAGCATCTCTGCAAGCGTGTTTGCCATCGTTTGTTCCATCGGAGAGGCAGGACCGTCCATGTTGGAGACGTCATGAGAGCGAGAAACCTGATCCTTTACTTTACTGTCAAGTGCTTCAAATGTGCTGCGTAGAAGCCGTTTGTCGAGCTTGCCTTGAGTGGTCATCGGTAGGCGGTTCAGGGGCACCAGTATTGACGGTATCATGTACGCTGGGAGGGCGTCTTCCAGACGGTCGAATATCTTCGAAACAAGTTTGGAACCTGACTTGTCCACCGATAACGCATCATCGCTTGCTTGAGATGACGAAGCAGGTACCCAGAAGGAGGCAAGAGTCTGTTGAGAGCTTCTCTCGCCAAACACCAGTGTCGTACAGTCGGCCACACCTGGGTGATCTGAGATCACGGCATTGATCTCTCCAAGCTCTACACGATTCCCGCGGATCTTGACCTGATCGTCAAGTCGCCCTGCGATCAATAGGGTACCGTCCGGAAGTATTCGTCCCATATCACCACTGCGATAAACGCGGCCATATTCCGGATGGTTGATGATCTTGACGCTGTTCAGATCTTCTCTTCCAATGTATCCACGAAAAACTTGCTCGCCACCAAACGCGTACTCACCATATGCTCCAGCAGGAAGCACACGGAACTCGCCTTCAGGTGACAGAACGAATGCAGAGGTGTTCTTGAATGGCGGGCCGATGTTTCCAAGGACGTCAGTAGGGGCAATATTCATTCTCACCGAGCAGATATTCGTGGTTTCAGACGGTCCGTATCCCTGGTGCAAACCGTGGCCAGCCCATCGTCGATGCACCCGCTCTGTGATTCCTTCGCCTGCGGTGACCAGGAATTTGACGGTGGGCACATTCTCGGGATTCACCAGCGCGGCCACAGTTGGCGTTAAAGACAGATGAGTTGCGCCCATACTGCGAATGCTGTGTTCGAAATCGCGGAAGATGACATCCTTGGTGGCAGAGCAGAGACACATGCCACTGTAGAAGGCGAAGAAGATCTCAAACACACTCACGTCGAACGCTTGCGAGCACGCTTGGAGAAGTCGGTCTCCTGGACGGACCTGGTAAAGCTCACCGAGAACAGCAAGGTTGCCCTTCAGATTGTCCATGGTCACTGCCACTCCCTTTGGCTCACCGGTACTGCCACTGGTGAAGACTGCGTAGGAGATTCGTGAGCCAATTTGGTCGATCTGAGGCGGGCTAGAAGGAGTGTCGGCGATGTCCAAGCTGGAAATATCGAGAGTGGCGGCAGCCGTGAGCCCCTGGAGCGTCTGGACGGTGTTTGCATCACAGACACAAAGTCCGACATCGACCTGCGCAAGTACTGACTTGATCCGCGCTGTTGGAGTTTCCGGGACCAGGGGAAGGTAGCCTGCCCCTGCTTTGAAACTTGCAAGCATTGCAACGTAAAGATCGATGCATTTCTCCATGCATATGCAAACAAGACCTTCTACTTGCAGTCCAGATGCTATGAATTTGTGAGCTAGTTGATTGGCTCGAGAGTCTAGCTCTGAGTAGGTTATAAATTGCATGACTGGTTGATCGCCTTCTAGACTGCTTGCGAAGAGTATTGCTGTGGCGGATGGGCTATCAATGGCACGCTGCGCAATCAGGTCCGTCAACTCAAAAGTCTTGGCGTAAGACACTGGCGATGGATTCGATATGGAAAGTAGTCCAGAGGGTAGACATGCTCCGAGGTCTTCGACCAAGCTTTCTGGATATTCCATGATATGCGTCGCGATTGTCTCGATCTGGGACAGCAGAGTCTGTACCTGATCACAGCCGATCACACTCTGTTGATAAGTGGCTCGGGCCTGAATGGCGGTGGATAAGGGCTCAAACTCCAACACCAGGTTGAACTCCAGACGATCTGCCGAATCGACTATGCTGATGGTGTCTGGCGATGACTCGAAACTCAGTGTAGTCTCTTGCCACACGAAGAGGCTGTCAAATAGGGCAACTCCTGGCGCGATACCGGCGCTCTGCCTGATGACGKTAGGAGATGTCATGGCGTGATCCTGCATAGCACGGTTTCGCTGCGTTATAGCCATAACCAGGTCTTGACAAGTGGCAACGGTACTGTGGTCGATGCGGAATGGTAGAGTAGCAAGGCACGGGCCAAACACGTTGTCGACGTCGGACACAGGAATTGTCCGTCCAGAGAACACGGAGCCAATCGTTACATCGCTGGCACCGGAGTAGATGGCAAGAAGATAAGCCATAGCCGCTTGAAATATAGCAGGGCCACTACATCCCAATTCTTTGGACTTTGTCTTGACGATGCTCGATTGTAAAGAGTACTCCCGCCATGCTGTTCTTTGAAGGCAGGGCTTTGCTTCGGATCCGCGAAGTAATGGTAGCGAAGTTGGTGTGACGTCTCGCAGATGATCCTGCCAGAATTCTGTCGCCGTCGACGACTCCAAGTCCTCCTCACTCTGGTGTACGTAATAATCCGCTACGAGCTTAAAGGAGCCCGACTGACGGGGTTCCGCGCCTCGCATTATGGTGACCAGATCAGTGCGGAGAATGTCGATAGCCCATTGATCGTATAGGGCGTGGTGAATGAGTATGAGCAGCTTCAAACCTTTCCCTGCTTGCATTATCTGAAACTCGCATGGCCGGAGGAGGGAGGCTTCGTCGTCGAGGCGGAATACTTTGTCAAACGTGGAAGTTTGTTTTATCTGCGAAGGCAACATGCCGTTCCAAGTCACCGTCGCATAGCTCCATTTGGTCCTCGTTAGAGACACAAAGCCAGAACGAAGCATCGGGTGTAGTTTGGACAACCCATGTAGCGCTGTTTCCAACATCGCTGGATCGTCACAACCTGGGACATCGAATTCGATCCAATTGCAGTATGCTTCGGGGYCCTTGTCAGTCTCTGCGAGCATCGCAGCTTGCACTGGCGTGCAAGGAAAACTGGATTCAACATTTGATAGAAGATCCTTGGGAAGCATCCGAGCGAGCTCGGTGCTTAGAGATTTCCGATATGTAGCATCGACCTTGATATCCCAATCAGAGGCCAACGTGGCACTCTCAGCAGCCTTGAAAGCTTTCGCAAGATCCAATGGCGTGCGGGAGGAGAGAATCTTGCCCGCATCTAGCTGATGCATGCCTTCTCGCCGAAAGGTGGAAGCTATTCGAATGGAGGACAGTGAATCGAGTCCGAGACCTGGCAGAAGTGAAGTAGAATTAACATCGACGTCGAGAACGTTTCGAAGTATTGCGATGATGCGGACAGTCTGATCATCCACGGCCTGTTCATGGCTTTCGCCAGTAGCTTGCGATTCCTCGTATTGTGATCGCAACGCACGACGATCACATTTCCCGGACGCCAGATATGGTAAAGACTCCAGCATCACAACATCTCCCGGAACCATGAATGCGGGAAGCCACTTGTGACATGTCTCCAAAACCTTTGCCTCTGTCACCGAGATCTCTTCCCGCACACAAAAAACAACCAGGATTCCAGAGATGACCTCAGCGACGACATCTCGGCATCCAGGTGTACGTGACGCAGCATGTTCAATTTCTCCAAGTTCGATGCGCTGTAAAAGTTAGCTGCACTGCTCAATCACCACGAAACCACCTACACACCTGTCCACGTAACTTCACTTGACCGCTAGAGATGCGGCCAAGGCATTCAAACTTGCCATTCGGTAGCATTTTCGCTCGATCTCCGGTTCGATATAGCATACCATGCTCCGGATGTCGAACAAAAGCAGCCTTGGTCTGTTCTTCTCTGTTAAGATAGCCATCTGCGAGCTGGTACCCACCAACTGCAAGCTCCCCCTCATCCCCCAAAGGCAAGATATCAATAGATGACGGGCTGTCGGGATCCTGGGCTTTCACCACAAATGCCGATACAGTGTCAAGAGGCTCGCCGATGGATCCGCATGCCATGTCCTTGGGAAAGTAGGTTTGTAATGTGCAGTGGATGGTGGCTTCCGTCGGCCCATACATGCCATGCAGAATGGCGGTTTCGCTTTCGCTCCCGCCAAATGCTTCGACAACAGATGGCTTCAGCATCTCTCCAATCGTCAACAGAACCTTCAAAGATGGGACACTTTCGCGTCCGCGAAGCAGGCTGCTGGCGACGGATGGTGTAAGCTCGCATGCATCGATTCTGAGATCGTTGATCGCAGCCGGAAGATCGTTGAGTAGCCGTCTCCGGTCGCAGCTCACCAGTGTGCACCCGCGCAGCCATGGGAAGAATATCTCGAACACGGATAYATCAAATGTAGGACTGGCGAATTGCAAGAAGCGGGAAAATGTTGGTATATGCAAATCGTGCGCTAACAAGGCTTGCGTCGCTGCGGAGTGGGACAGCACAACTCCCTTTGGTTGACCCGTACTGCCGCTTGTATACATGATATAAGCAGCGTGCTGAGCGGTGATGGAAACATCGAGCTCAGAATCGTCATGATCCAGGACCTCATTTTCATCGTCAACCGCGAGGATTTCCACGCCTTCCAAATCCGGTAATCTTGGCTTGAAAGCGGCGGTGGTGAGAACAACACAGGCGTTGACATCCTGCAAAATGAATCGAAGACGCTCCTCTGGCACATCTAGAACCACGGGGCAAAAGGCACCCCCAGCTTTGAGGATGGCGAGCTGGGAGATGTAGAGATGCGGACACTGCGGTATTAGGACGGGTATGATTAGATGTCCGGTTCGGGAGGATGATTTGGAAACGGCGGATCTGATGCGTTTCGCCAACGCATATGACTGTGAGTGGAATTCATCGTAAGTGAGACTTGCTGTGCTGCCGTCCTCGGCAGTATGCTCGRTGGCTACTACGCCATCCCGCCCATGTTGGGGTACGAGTTGGTGGAGGAGTTCGGGTCCGGAAAGCTTCTGCGGATGTGGATTGGAGATGGAAAGGGTGGTTGCCATAGCGGGCGGATGGAGAGTGTGAGGTAGGTAAGCTGGCGGGATGTGAGGTGAAAATAAGGAATGAAGGTGCGAGAGACAATCAATAGACTTGTATCGTGCCGATCKGGCGTCAGGACTTCATCAGAGTCTTGTGGTGGTTGAACGTTCGCTCCTCCACGTGGGCGTGCGAAGCGGTGGACCATCACATAACACACGTAAGGTAACCCCTTGGGGAGATTATTGACACTGGCTGGCTGGCTACATACTACTAGTAAGCCGACGCTTAGACAGGTGCCGAAATGTGCTGCTGGAGCGCGAAGCGTAAAAGGACGCGCCACCCAAAGCCGACCGGAGGTGATGATGCCATTCAAGCGATCAAGCGAGCAGTGAAGTCCCACAGTCTGCACGGGCCATGCCAAAAGAGTGGGTGCGCACAAGGGTTAGGGCTTGGGCGGGACGAGGTGGAAAATTCCATCACCTTACTCATTATTCGCCGTGGACTCCACATGACTGCAAAGCCTGATCACACCCCGTGAGATCGTTGGGCGAAGAGCTGAGGGCTCCGCAACATATCCAAGCGTCGACCTGGAAGGTGCCCACGCGCCGTTGAAACGGCCACATATGCTGGATGGAGCATCTATTCTACCTTTGTTAGCACGAGCGCGAGGAGTGGATGGGCGATAATCAGCATACCCTTGAGGACTATCGAGCTCGCCGAGCCGCACCTTCCGACATCGCTACGTTACAGTCGCTTCCTTCCCAGCTGTCACCCGCTGGGTAGATTCACGGAGCACTCGATCTTCGGCAATGGCGCCAGACTACGCAGACTGGGCGTCTGGAGCCGCCGTCGCTGTTGGGGTGGAATGGCAGGGGGCAGGATGAAAATTTTATCAGATGGATCCAGATCACCGCCTTGATCTGATAAGAATGAGGTAACAGGCCCGAGCAGTGGCTTCAAGCTTGTCTCAAAGGGGAGAAGTATCACTACAAGGTCGCAGATCGTTGACCTTACACTTACAGTTCAACGTCATTCCCGCCTGAGATGGCGCCCTAGGCAGTCTTGCCCGCTCCAACGACGCTCCGGCACTGCAAAGTTGACGGGTAGCTTCAAACGTGACACGATGTGGCATCTCGCAAAATTATTTCCCCCCTGCGACTGCACAGGGCGTGGATTTCACTCGCTCGAGCCCCACATCACGATGAACAACAGGCCAGTGGTGTAGGGCACTACTAATCCTCCGAAGTTTTACAAACACTCGCTTGGAGTGCCAAGGGGTCACAAGAAAGAAGATCCGGCTTCCTACACGACGGCACCCGAGACACGAAGGCCACCAGGAGCTTGTACTGCACTGCCGTCGACACAAACCTCTCGTCGACTCTGCGGACGACATCAACATCGACAGCTCGCGGACCTCCCAGGTTGCACTTCAGTCAGGCTCCTGTGAAGCTGCTTTGCTTTCCACCATGGCGGACGAACGATCGCACAGACGTTCCCAAGCTTCTTTGAGGTCGTTTGGAATGGAACAAGATGCCAATGATCGCCCTGTGCAGTCGGATCCACTGGGAGTGCCCCATACTACCCCGGATCCTCTGTCCGACCCAACTGCCACAACCGTCGAGACGGTACGGCCAACCCTGTGGACCACTTCCTTCTCGAAGACTTGTCGCCAGGTCCTCGGCAAAAATCCTTTCAAGGGATCATATATGAGCCTCTACGATCCCTTGGACACTGTTCTCGACAAGAGCATTGCATGGGGAAGCGCCTTCTTCGCAGTCGCTGCGGGTGTACCTTTACCTGTGATTGGCTACATTTTCGGCAAGTTGAAAATCGCCCTCGGGTCGTCCTTTCATTCATACTAACATCTGCGCAGGCCAAATCATCAACGAATTTCCTCCCAAGGAAGATGCATTATACGATAGACTGGTCCAGCTACTTGGAGTAGCCGTCGCTTATTTTGTCATCACAGCTATCTATTGCGTTGGCTTTGGCCTAACATCGGAGACGGTTTCTGTCAAGCTACGCCAGAAGCTCCTAGAGTGCTTACTTCATCTTGACCAGGCTTACCTTGACACCCACAATATCGACGTCAATGGATTGCTCACGGAGAAGATGGACACCATCCAGGCAGGATGCTCCGAGAAAGTCGGCATCTTCATACAGGCTCTTTCGTACTTTGTTGCCGCGTTTGTTGTCGGATTCATGCTAAACGCCAAGCTTGCTGGAATACTGCTCGCGACTGTCGTCCCCGCCATCGCTTTGAGCTTTGGGCTGTTGTCCCCAGCAGTGTCAAAGTACAGTCGCCTGGCCAATAAGCGGAATGAGGAAGCAAACGATGTCGTTGAGAGCGCCTTGGGAGCGGTCAAGATTGTGCAGGCTTTTGACATGATTGGTGGTTTGTGTGAAAGACATCTGGAGTTCCTCAACGAGTCGATCAAGACGAGCACGAAAAAAGCAATCTTTACGGCCCTCCAAGCTGGAAGCGTTTACTTCATCGCTTACTCCGCCAACGCTCTTGCTTTCTATCTCGGAAGCCGTATTGCCGATGGAGGCAACGCTGGAACTGTATACGCCGTGGTCTTCCTGATTCTCGATGCCTCATTCGTCGTGGGCCAGTTCGCTCCTTTCTTAGAAATCTTCGCAAGGGCTGCGTCGGCTAAAGGCAGCGTACAAGAACTGATGGATGCCAGAAACAACACCGACAATGCTGGCACGTACAGGAAGTCTGAACACCGACCTGTGCTGCACGGCAAGGATGTCGAGTTCCGCGACGTCTGCTTCCGATACCCAGCCAGGCCAACGGTCAAGACATTGAATGGCGTCAATCTAACGCTGCAGGCAGGCAAGTTTACTGCCATGGTCGGCACGTCTGGCGGTGGAAAGTCAACGTTGGTCGCCTTACTACTCGGAATCTACGACTATTCCGGACGCATTGACATGGGAGGGGACGATATTCAAACTATTGATTCCAACCATCTCCGCTCGCAGATTGCTGTCCTGGACCAGGACTCTATCCTGTTCTCTGGAACAATATTTGACAATGTTTGTTACGGACTCATCCGCCAGGATCTGACCGAAGAGGAGAAGACGGCTCGATGTCTCCGCGCGCTCAAGGACGCCAATGTTGACTTCCTCGACCAGCTTCCGCGTGGCGTCCATACCAAATTGGGCAACGAATTGCAGCTTTCCGGCGGACAAAGACAGAGAGTATGTCTAGCTCGCGCCTTGATCAAGCGACCCGCCATCCTCATCTTGGACGAGCCTACAAGCGCTCTTGATGCACGGAGCGAGGTTGCCGTTGTGGACGCTGTGAAAAAGGTTGCGGCTACTGGTACTACGGTCATCATGATTGCGCATCGCCTCTCCACTACTCTAGATGCCGATCATGTTGCCGTAATGAGCGATGGCACAGTGGTTGAGCAGGGTTCGCCCAGCGAGTTGTCTGTCGAAGGCACCGTCTTCCGTGGCTTGCTAGATGCACAAAAAACCAACTTTGATCAGAATAGAGACCAATCACCTGGTGATGGCGAAGGGCTTCGAAGAGCGTCTACCATTGACATCGGGACTAGCAGCGAAAAAGAGCGAGAAAGCTTGGAGGCCGCCATCAGCCCAAAGGCGCAGAATATCACCAAGTTTGCTCTCGGAACTCTCGCCAAACGTCTCGGAGCAATCATCAAACCCGATTCTCTACTGGCGTCATTCGGATTGCTGGCGTCCATTGTGAGTGGGGGTATTCTAATCGGACAGGCAATCATCTTCGGTAACCTCATTCATGTAAGTAGGCGTGGTTTTGATTTCTGTTCCATCGCTGACTCTCATCCTGCAGGTTTTAAACACCGGAAGCTCCAGCCCAACATACTACGCAGAGGCGGATTTCTTCTCGCTCATGTTCTTCGTGCTAGCTCTCATAGCGTTGGCCTCATACATCACCAGCGGCAGCGCTTTTGGGGTGACATCAACTCATATGACCGCCCGGGTGCAGACCAAAATGCTTCGACAACTGCTCCACCTGGATATGCAATGGTTTTCGGAGCCAGGACATTCTACTCACGAGCTGATGTCRAGTTTCACAAAGGATCCCGCAGATCTTTCTGCTCTTGGCGGTATCGCACTTGGCGCCATCTTCACCATCATCACTTCCACTGTCGGTGGCATAATCTTGGCGCATGTAGTGGCATGGAAGATTGCAGTGGTGCTCCTAGCGGCCGTCCCTGTCATGCTGGTTTCTGGGTACGCCAGACTTCGTCTCCTCACTGCTTCCGAAACTCAGCACCGAGAGGCATACCGAGGAGCAACCAGCTTGGCTGCTGAATCCTGTCGAAACAGGCGTGCCGTGACAGCACTATGTCTGGAGGAACATCTGGTTGAAGAATATCGTCAGGCGCTCCGCATGCCATACAAGAAGATCCGAGCATACGTCTACTACTCCAATGTGCTCCTCGCATTCTGCTTTTCAATCACCTACTTCGTCTACGCTTTGGCGTACTGGTGGTAAGTATCCCCGATATTCCCTCATATCAACGACCCAGCTAACCCACTTGATAGGGGCGCGAGACAAGTCAGAAATGGCATGTACACCACCACGGACTTTTTCATCGTCCTTCCGGCCCTCCTCTTCTCGGCGCAAGCTGCAGGTCAGCTCTTCAGTCTCAGTCCAGAGATAGCAAGAGCCAAGACTGCGGCGAGGAGTATCTTCACTCTTCTCGACGCTCAGTCAAAAATCATGCCACCTGGCGGCGCGTCTTCGCCGCTGAAATCCTCAACAACGTCCTCTTTGGAGTCGACCAGACTTGAAAAGATGTCAGCAAGTCTAGAAAGACCGGGAATGGGCACTCCAAAGCTTCAATTCAGCAACGTTTCCCTCACCTACCCCAACTCTTCACGGTCATCGCTCAATAATGTTGACCTCTCCATCCTGCCAGGCCAATCCGTGGCGTTCGTTGGACCGTCTGGCGCGGGAAAGTCTTCGACCATGGCACTGATTGAAAGATTCTACGACCCAACGGATGGTGCCATCCTCTACGATGGAATCGACCTTCGCGATATGGACGTCAGAACTTTGCGAAGTCACATGGGTCTTGTGTCGCAAGATCCCGATCTCTTCTCCGGCTCGATCCTCTACAATGTCAAGCTGGGTGCGCCTTCTGGTCAGTCAGTAACCGAAGAGGAGGTTCAGGCAGCATGCAAGAAATGTGGCCTCCACGACTTCATCACAAGTCTTCCCGAAGGCTATAACACGGACTGCGGTTCCAGCAGTTCGTCGCAGATGAGCGGAGGCCAAAAGCAACGCCTCGCAATCGCGAGAGCTCTTGTTCGCAACCCCGAGATCCTTTTGCTCGATGAACCCACCAGTGCTCTCGATGCTCACAGCGAAGCACACGTTCAAAACACCTTGGCCGAGGCCGCCAAGGGGCGAACAACAGTGATTGTCGCCCACCGCCTTGCAAGCATTCAGCACGTGGATCGCATATTCGTATTCGAGCATGGTCGCATTGTCGCTCAGGGCACGCATGCAGAGCTGGTCGCACAAGGCGGCCTTTACGCCAGCATGGCCAAGGCCCAGTCTCTCGCATAGTTATCCTGCATTAGATTTAGCACAAAGCATAGCGTTGGAATTAGTCGATGGAGAGTGCCTCGCGCACATAAAAGTTATCTGCCGGTTCCCTCCGTACAAAGCATGTGCTCCGGTACTAGAGTGGTGTTGAACGCACACCCAACAAGGGGGTGGAAGCAATGATGAATGAATTCACGTGTACGAGACCGATAACCAGCACCCCACCCGTCTCACCACTTGCGTCACGCTCACTAGCGAAGCGAGCGTGCGTGCGTGCTAGGGTACCCTAAGGTGGTGATCTGCAAAGTGAGTCCTAGCCTCGGCAAGGATCGGAGGACGGACTGATTGATTGATTAGATAACTCAATATGGACTACTCGCTTGCGATCCATGGCAGATGCCCACGCAGTGGAGTCGAGACCCTGCACGGCTGTCAACTTTTCTGCCTAAAACACTAGGTGCATGCGCCACGGTCTTGAGGAGAGAAATTTTTTCTTTTCCACCTGCCCGAAGGTGGCCCTTTCTTGGTACAGTATTCCGAGCATCCAGACATCTAATCATATCTGATCATCTGGCCGGCGCCAGCAGGATCGCTTCCGCCCTTGGGATCCGAGGCTAGCCTGGAAACAGTACATACTACGTAGGCGTGGGTAGTTGGGTGCTCTAGCGTGCAGTGTTAGCTGACGACATTGACTTGAACGGCCTCACCTGCCACGCTTGCACGCCACGGGGGGTTGTGCTCTCACAATCRAATCGATTTGCAATTTCGTGACCCTTGAAGCAAAAAAAACACAGCCCTGGTTACATCGGCCGGCCTCGGGTTGCAGCAAACATACTCTTCCTCCCAAACAAACGCCTAATTAGCGGGCGGTTGAAGTACTTCGGTTGGCTCCACACTTTGATTATTAGTACTCTCTCAACCCGAGTCGACCACACTCCGGCCGTCATTTGTTCTCCATCATTCCAATCACTGCGTTTGCAAGTTATTACTCTCTCAAAATGTCGCCACACGCTTACTCGGTCTCCGATGAGGCCTCTTCCACCCACTCCTATACCAACACCGACACTTCTCTCAGCTCATTGGATGACGACATTCCCAACTTGACCAGCGGGTCGAACCTCCATCGATTTGGCGACGATGAGGTTCAAGATCTCGTATGCGTAGGCTTCGGACCTGCTTCTCTGGCTATCGCCATTGCTCTCCATGACTCCTTGGAGTCGAGAGCGTCCAGATTGTCTTCTCGAGCACCCAAAGTCCGGTTCCTCGAACGCCAGCAAAGGTTTGCCTGGCACGCGGGTATGTTGCTCCCCGGAGCAAAAATGCAAATCAGCTACATCAAGGACTTGGCAACTCTCCGTAACCCGCGGAGTGAATTCACATTCGTCAACTACCTGCACGAAAAGGGCAGGCTTGTTGCATTCACCAACTTGGGAACTTTCTTGCCACAGCGGATAGAGTACGAGGACTACATGCGATGGTGTGCGGATCACTTTGGCAACGTTGTCGACTACAGCCAAACTGTTGAGCATGTCGAGGCCGGAAAGCTCAACCCAAAGACTGGCGCCGTCGAGTACTTTCAGGTTACCTCTTACAATGAGCAGACTGGCGAGAGGCAATCTCTGAAAGCCAAGCACGTTGTCATCGCCGCAGGAGGCAGACCGAACATTCCCAAATCTCTGCCACAGAAACACCCATTCATCATTCACTCTTCTCAATACGCAACACACGCACCCAAGATGTTTCCAGCAGGATCCGGCCCAAGGACAGTGGCGGTCATTGGAGGTGGTCAGAGTGCTGCCGAAGTTTGGCATAACATCCCAAGTCTCTTCCCTGGCGCACAGTCACTATTAATGATTCGGGGGGCTGCTTTGAAGCCCAGTGATGACTCTCCTTTGTAAGTGTTCATCAACGATCATCAACCAACACGAGCTAACTTGTTTCCAGCGTCAACGAGGTTTTCAACCCAGACAATGTCGACAATGTCTTCGCACAAGACGCAGCCGTGCGGGAAGCTGCAATTGCCAAAGACAAGGCAACAAACTACGGCGTTGTCCGCATCGAACTTCTAGAGGAGATCTACAACGAACTATACTCGTACAAACTAAAGTACAACTCCGAACAGCAATGGCCGCACCGAATCATGAACTACCGAGAAGTTCAGGGTGTGCGGGATGTCGTCGTGGACGGCAGACCCGCCGTTGAACTGTCGATCCAGAACAACTCCGGAATGTACCTCGCTCACAAGAAGTGCGCAGTAGAAAAGGTAACAGTCGACATGGTCGTCGTTGCGAGTGGATACATCCGCAACTCCCACGAAGAAATGCTACAAGGTCTGAGCGAATTGAAGCCCACCAAAACCTCAAGTGGAAAGAGCTGGACCGTCGGACGCGATTACGCCGTGGATTTCGAACCTGGTGCTGTTCAGCCGGATGCTGGCGTCTGGTTGCAAGGGTGCAATGAGAAGACTCATGGTCTCTCTGATACACTTTTGTCTATTCTGGCCATTCGGGGAGGAGAAATGGTTGATCACATTTTCGGCCACTCGCAGGAGTCACACCAGAAGCAGGTCGCGAGCTCTTTTGAGCACATGCTATGATATGATATGTTATCAGCATGTAATTGATGGGCGGGCAATACAGGGTGTTTTCAACAGCAGAGCGAAGTTTGATGATGATGTTTTTGTTTAACGATATCTAATGTCTCGATGATGATTGGAGACAAAGCATTTACAAAAAGCGATGGGTATATAGCAAGCAAGCAAGCAAGCAGAGATTTGAACAAATCTTTTTTCTTTCGTCCATAGCCTTACTTCTTCTGCGTTCCTGCATCATCATGCCAGCAATCTCTCAAACAAACATGCCGAAGCAGGCCTGGCAGTGTCAGCTGCGATCTGCATCGCTTGGGGTGGAGTGACAGTGGAGTGACAGCATAAAGGTAGGTTCCAGAGGAAGTGCGGATTGATCGGACCAATAAAGATTCACACCGACGGGTCTTGGCCCTGCATGGCACTCACGAGGTGTCAACTCTCCCATCTCACTTGACTGGTTCACTACTGCCCGCGTGACGGACGGACGGGCGATCGATCGGCGGGAGTTTTTTTTTTTTTTTTTTTTGGCGATGAGATCGGCGGTTGTTTTCTGTCCCACCACCATCTTGAAGCCCGGAATCGCTTGGTTACCGACGACGATGCTTACCTACTTTGCGAATCCTTCTCCCCATTTCGAGGAAGGAATGGCATGGCTGATTGACGTGGGAGTGGGTGGAAATGGTATTCGCTTGGCATGTGGGGGATCAGCAGTGTAGCAGCGCGTTTTGCGTGGAAAGGCTTCGATTGAGTGGTCTTTGTTGTTGGTCTGCTATACCATGCCAGGTCAGGGGGTGAGGTCATTGTTGACAAGGAAGGCAGCATCGAACCGTGGCCCGGTCCTKTGCGCGAGACTCATTACCCTTCTCGGGTTTCCAAGATGGTGTTCGAAGAGTCTTCGACCCGTGGGGGAATTTATCGTGGCTTGGTTGGTGATATGCGAAGCATACCAGTATGGATGTTGACTTGAAGTTGTCTCTCCAGGAAACGAGACGGCGCCATGATCCAGGGATGGGCATCGTCCTATTGGCACCAGCTCCCGGGACCCAAGCTGAACATAGCGACGCTCTGAGCAGAATCGTGTTGAGTGGCAGACGATGATTCTGTTTCATCTTATTACTATCCTGGAAAATGTCAACTGGTATTACGGATCCAGAACACCGCGTAGCATGCCATTTGGAAAGATGGCGAGATCGATGGCTTCTTCACAAGAGCACTTCTCCGAGGAATCTTGAGGAGCCAAAAGTAGTGGCCAGCTTGATGTGAGAAAGCCCAACGAATGTGTGGGATAGTAGCGTTGGATCAACGAGCTCAGCTTAGCGATTGCTTCCTGGACAAAAACTATTGGCTTCCCTGCTGTCCATATAGCATAGGCATGCTATGGGCTCGTTGAAAGCGATTGATTGGGATTTGTCAGTATACTCCAGGAGACGTCGAATGATTAGCCATCTTGGACTGGGGCAAACAGATGGTGAACTGCTGCTTTTCGACTCCCTTTACAGCATGGCCAGGGCAACTCCAAGCAGCCAAATGTGTTGATATCTTTTGCTGCGTGAAAGCCATGATTATTCAGCATCTCAAGCATCGTCCTCTTCGACCCATAACCGAAGGAGTTGCGCCAGAAAGACGACCGACTGGAGCTAGATCTGTTTGAAGCAAGAGTTGCACCTGCCAAGATTGCCGTACCCCGTGAGGTGAATAACACCACGGTTACATCCCATTCCGGGTATTCTCACAAGGTGGCAATACAGCAAATGTACAGGTCTGCTGGATAGCAGCCTGGTTGTCTGCCACGCAAGGACCCACCAGATCTCCACTCACGCGCCCCTGTCGTTCAGGAAAGGACCGCTGAAGACCCACCCTTGAAACGCACAGACTTTGAGACTGCTGCGACGAACGAAAGGGAGTACGGCTCGCATACACATCTCCGTAGCTGCAGCTGAGCGAATGTAAGCACATATAAATGAGACTCTATTGGCTGACCCACAGTCTAGTGACATTTCTAGAACGCCCGAGCATGAGATCGACAAGATGTTGAAGACGGCCCCACTCTCACCACGTGTGAATGCATGTCACTACACTAGAACCATAGGCTCTGATAAGAGGCTAAGAGGTCATGCAAATTGCAAAGGAGCTGATTGGTCGGAGCGGTTCTACATGTCGATCGCACTGCATCGCGAGTACGTTTAAAGTTGAGAGGCGAAGGATTGTACACTTTCTATCCGTCATGGCTGAAAGAAACGTTCCTGGTTGCGGAGGCTTGATTGATCGAGGCAAAGACACTGTCTCAGCTAGCTGACGATGTTCCAGATCGATCAGCGATCAGTTCCGGAGAAACGTTGTGTTCTGTCGGCATCTTGGTCTTCAAGTCTATGAATCGTTCCACGCAGAAGGTTTTCTAATCAACGCCACGGGACGGCGACATGGAGATCATCGAACAGCACTTTGAGAGTTGATGATGCTGGCGGATCGGAACTTACCATCATCAGGTGGCTGAAAGAAAGATGCTGGACAGCAGCCTCCAAAGCCTGAATCTGCTACGTCTTCGAGTGGTGATGCTTCCAAGAGTCTGGGAGTCTGTAAGCTTCACATGGGCTTGTCTGGATTTCTCAAGATTATTATGCAGAGTATCACTGCTGATCGGCACGGCCTTGGCAGTTGCCCCGAACGGATTGGAATCAGAGCGGAGATGCGCAGGGGCAGCTGAATCTGCCCCGAGCCGGAACGAATCGTCCGCAAACGATGCCACCGGAACTTAACTCCGGGGTCAGGATCGCTGGTGCGTTCTGCCTTAGTGTCACATTCCGAGGCCCTGGTAACGTACATCAAGCGCACGGGAAAGATCCAACCTGATGTCATGCCGAAGGGCCGAAGGAAGGATCAATGATCTGGTATGTCCCGTATGCAAGCCATCAACCAAGAAGTCCAACTCCCGTTCTGGATGTCTTATTACGATGCTTGACTACTTTCCCCACATCCCAGCAAAAGCTTACAGAAAAGCTTAATCACCAAGTGAAAGTAGCGTGAAAGTAAAAATTATATCCCTACGTCAACACTTCGAAAGAAAATCCGACTTCCGCGCGGCTTGCCCGCCGCAGCAAGCTTGTATACCCGCCATCGGGTTCTGGCGTAGATCCTTCTATTCTGGTCGGCCATCTTCAGCTTCCTGGTGCCTGATAAACAGCCCACACCTCGAATGCTGTCGATCATCATAGATCGTCCCCTAGCGGTTACTCCGCCATCTCGGGAGGAGTGATCGACGGGCCCTATGAAAGGCGGGCAAGATGGTTTTTGTGCTGATCTTTCGCCGTGTGAAACGGGCCCTACTCCGGACGGCTGTTCTAGACAAACGTCTGTTGTCGTTGCGGTGTGAATTGGTGATTTCTGGACTCGATTCATGATTTCATGATGGAGCGTATGCTTTGCGACTCAGGTGTGATTCTTGATCGATCGAGCTTGCTAATTGATGAAGTCATCATGGGGAGGCGGAGTGAGGATTGGGAATGGAAGATCTGATAAGGGGTAGTGGTAGCATTCGCGTTTACTTTGGCTTGGCAGGGGGATTGGATCATTGAGGTACATCACGGTAAGAAGATGTGATATCAAGGTGGCTAACACGGACGGACATCCTATCTACGTGCCATTATATCAGATGATATTACCAAGCGAAGTGATCTAATCAGCTGGCGGCAAGGAGAGAGTAAGTTTTCAGTTCGTAGCTTGCGGTGAACGCATTGAACGCTATGCTGGCTTGAGTGAATCTGATAGAAGCAACGCGACAAGAAACAAGCGACGAGGTGCCAGTGCACGTCAATTCTGGATGAAAGTACTTCGTTCTTAGTGCAAATCGACAAGAATCTGGGTCTGTTTTAGTTGAAAATCAGCTAAAATCGCATTGGATGGGGTAAAAGGGGTCAACGCTGTTCAGAGAACGAACGTATCCTGCTCAAGAACATGACCGATGCTTGGGATGAACCAGACAATTGTGAATATCTATCATATCGGCACGATCTTGTGTTTTCAATTTCCTGGTTCTCCATCACAGGCAGCAGATATGGTTAACAAGATGATTCCAGATCTCGGCGCACGCCTAGCGACTACAGTCACTCCTGCCATCATTGTAACATCTTTGGCTCTCTACTTCAATCGTATAAACGTCGTCGGTAGACTGGATACGCATCTTTCGATCATGGATAGAATCATTGCGATACTCTACTCAGCACAATTGATGGAACATAGCTCTGACTCTGTCGATAGTATACAAATTGCCTCATCATCGCTCACCACATGCGAAGCCAAACACACTCGCAACTATTACCATGCAACGAGATGGTTGTCATAGCCCTTCATAGTTGCCATTTCCCTCGAATTAAGCTGCAGGCTTCCCCTGTAGTGAGACCTCCTAGCTCACAACAATCCAACGTACCATATAAGAAAGGGGCTTGCATTATCATATAGCTTGGCTCTAGTGCCATCATACATGGCCTACACGTCTTCATCGCTTAGCTCACGCCAATTCAAGCGGGATAGTTGTTTTTACTTGATAGCTCATGCGACGAACAATTCACGTAGCTATCGATAGTTGGTGCTCTCTGTATCGAGCTAAAAGCTCCCCCTGAGATTGAACCGTGAAACACACGGCGATCCGGAACAATCAGAGGTCAGATCATATATCAAGAATAATCCACCCTTTTACTCGAAAGAGTAGTTTGTGCGAGTCCAGAAATATCATAGCGAACGCTACCCTCGCACAGCGTTCTCAGTCCAAGCTTCCTACGTGAAAGCTATCCAACAATATCAGATCATCCAAAGACGCACCAGAGATACACAAACTCAGTCTCGCCGTTGATGGTTTTTCCTAGAGCTTGCAAGACTATATTGGTTGTCACTTTGGCAGAGACATTGAATCCCCTGCTCCATGCATGCAACCCGCCTCGCAGATCCAGCACTTTTAATCCTAGAAAAGCGGCATAGATCTCTCCATTGTCATCACCAGCCTTTCTAAGCGAGCCCTTCGATAACCTTCCAACGACTCGATCATCAGATCTCTCGTGTGGGACATCAGTTGCGTCGAATTTCTCAGGGGCTAAGGGTTAGGGTTAGGGTTAGGGTTAGGGTAAGGTCGAGTTGCCGGCGCGGTACACGCAATTCATCTCTGGAAAGATTCTTAGTCGCTTTGCAGACTATTTCAAATGTATTCTGGCACGTTTAGCGATGTTCAGTGTCTTTTTGGGTGAAGAAAGATAAAATCGGCTTGGATTCATCTCTTAGACACACTTGACGAGAGAGGAAAACTACTTCTCAGCTGCTGCATGTTGTTATACAAAACTCGGATGATAGAACAGAAAATGCCTCAGAAACCACAATCGGGCCTCTTTCTCCACGAGGCCGTAAAAACTCGAAGAGAAGAGCGATAAGATTTGCAGCGTAGCGAGTGCATGCGACATCCCAAGCCCCCCATTCATTCCACGCCCACATACATCACCATCAGGCCACTTCCACGATTGCTCCTCCAGCCAATGACTCACTAGCGCTAGCTGCTTATCTCTCACAGCACTGCATCAATACAAAGAAGTCCTCATCCTCCTTGCATCACATCGAAAAACCCCCCCGCGCCTCGCACTCCCACTCCCACCCTCATCATGCCTCTCCTCGCTCGCCGCTTCTCAATCACCAACTTCCTGATCGCGACATCGACGTTGGGATTTCAGGTGTTTGTTCTCTATCCCTGGCACAAGAAACTGGACGAGGACTTCTTGGAATTGAGGCGGGAGAATCAAAGATTGATGCAGGCGTTGAGTCCTCTCGTGGCATCGCCTAGGACGACCGCGACAACAAATGCTCCGGAGAATAACTCGACATGCATGACTTCTGCAGATTCATCGGCGGCGTCTGATTCGACGGCTTCACTGTCTGCTCAGTCGTGATTGGTATTTTCTAATGATGTAAGTATGCCTACTTCATTCTACGGGCGGGGTCTTCAGCTCATTCATATCTTTCTTGCCAGGATGAACACTCAATGGCACATTCGAATTTGTCGACTGTATTGGCTGAGATATGAAAGTGAATGAGCAACCCACCCCAACTACAAACCGCMAGCCGGCGAGACATAAGTTGTTTGCTAACACGGAATTTCAGCAAACAACGCAATTGAAGATGTAGTGTCTTGCAATCAAGATTTACTGCCGCATTCCAAGCATGCGAGCATTGAAGAGTTTATTAAGGCTGTTGAAGACCTGCTCCAAAAGCATCGCGAGTGTCATAAGGGGAGGGAGGCGGTAGCGTCTAGAACGTACTGCATCTTGCTTCCATCGGCATTGACTATGCTAGCTTCAATACAAAGCAATGAGATTTGTGCAAAGAGCGTCTAAGATACACGTCAAACCTCAAGAAGTTCACCGAGTTACAGAAACGGAGTTGAGCAGTCAGTCACGCCATTCAATGCAAGTATGGATAGAAGGAATGTCATCGACGAACGCCATCTCAACGAATGCATTAGTCGATCCAGATAATCAGACGCACCTGTACCATCGTAGACTTCCACAAAGGTCTAAGGTCCAGGAGTTCCTTTCTGGCTCGATGGACTAGCCATAGAAGCTCCTGATAATGGGCTTCACGTCTGGGTATTCCGCGTACCGCCTCATTCGCGTGATAGAGGACTTGGTGGCTGGCATATTCCAAGAAGGGGATATTCATAAATATCCACCGGCTCGAAAAATCCGCATGTGATGATTCTTTGAATTGTGATGTGTCGGCGGTCATGTAACGAGAGCAGCATTCTTTGAGTGAAAGACGAGTTTGTAGTCACGGCTTGGACAAAGCTGGCACAGTCCACTTGCTTCGAGAAGAAAGTCTCTGACTGATTCGTGGAGGAAGCGCACTGTGGGATTGTTCGACCTCGTCAACTCTGCACGGCCTCTCGAATAAGTAAGCACCCGAAGGTTCGTCGGGTCTCTGGTATCATCTTCTCTATCCCATGGATCCGGTTGCAAGCCTTCAGTATGGGGATCATCGTCGAGACCCGCCTCCATTGCGAAGTAGAACTCTATGGGCTTCAATAGATGTCTTGCAAACAAGATCCACTGGAGACAGAGCAATAACTCATATCTGTTCGATTCATCCCTTCTGAGAATCTCATGGAAAAGGTGACTGAGTTTTGCTGGGTAGTTAGTCCAACCACTTCTTGATTCCCCGTCGCCCTTCGCGAATGTGTTTGTTGAAGATTTCAACGACAAGCACAGCCCACATGAAAATACCGGTTGACTTCTGCTACACACTCTCCTAAATCTGGCAAATCGCTTGAATGCTTCCTTGCAGGTAGCGCCGGACGTATCTTGCAATATCCCCTTCGTGGCCAGGTTGCAAGATCAGACGCCAATGATCGACGACCTTGACGGTAGGGTAGTGCCGATTGGCGAAGCATACATAGAGCCGGCTACACCCATCTACAATCCCTTCTCCCACATCCTCGAAGAAGGCGACCATGTCCCGTACCTCGTCCTCGTCGTATTCGTCGAGAGCATCAATGACAACCTTGAGAAGTCGTGATTCGAGGCTTTCGATGGCAGTACGCAGAAGATCTTACAATATCTGGCAGGTCCATGAAGATCTGGGCAAACCTAGTTCGTCGAAGATGYAATGAAGATCCGGAATAGTTGTTGGCAGTTGGAAGAACAGAGAGCGATACATCCCCCGAACGTTTTTCTCCAGATCTTCGCCTCGAGTATTGAGAAACAAGGACACGATGGCTTCATCTGTAGACCTGTTCTTCATTGCTCGTAGACTTGTCTGTTCCCGGCTTGACGACTATCCACATAAAGTCTTGATCATGCTGTTACATATCGTGTATCGTGGTCGTTCCAGCTTACGTACCGGGAATGCTGCAAAACCCATTCACAAGTCGTACCTTGCGCGTCTCTTATGGTAGATTGACGGGAGCCACTCTGGTCAAAATCAAGCGTTGCCAATAGTTCTCATCGGCGTTGCAGTTGCTGCTGAGCGGCGCTTCCGGAGAATGCAAAGCCAGGAGTCTCATTACGCTGATGATGGTGATGTTTGGACGGACGCATCTTGTGCTGTGCTTTGCTAGGTTCAGTGACTTATTGTGTGATTTGAGGACATGTCTGCGGACCTCACTTTGCTTCTTTGATTATCACACTGCCGCCTCTCCTTGTGGAAAATCGACGACAACGCTTACAAACAGGTAGCTCTAAGCACAAAAAGCAGCAGCCTTGCGGAGAGCTAAATATGAGGATCGATCAGATGGGCCCATGAGACAGACAGTACGCTCTATCTCCCCCCTCTTCGTACTCCGCTTCGCAGCCCATCGTCGTCGCTTATACACTGTAAACTGTGCCACTGGTCGCCCATCAATACCTTCCGGTGGTGTGTATTCTGGTCAATCTCACAGATTGCATCCCATAAAGTATGCTTGATCCCGAGAAGTCGTTCATCTCTTGACCAGAACGTCTCAATCTTAGGGGCAAGCAGCTCTTGTAATGTCTCTGCGACAGAAGTGGGCGAGGTACAGCTTTGTGCTAGAGGCACCCGATCCCTTCGACCTACCTACGCACACCCGCGAGTAAACCACCGTCTTTCTCAGAAAGCAGCTGCCCAACAAACGGTACTTCCAGCGCGATCACGGTTGCCATCAGATACATCTTGAAGATACGCATGGCGCTTTCGTACCAGCGAAACATTGAGTTTAGCGATTCTGAACGCTCATGATCGCTTGACTTTGTGATGCAACAGGAATCCACCCAAAGATGCTTCAAGTCATCTTTCTTGGCCCGCCGATCGTAGAAGATGACTTTTGCATGGCCAGGTTTGTCCTTGCCGGCACCGTTCTCAATGTCTTCAGAGGCCAAATCGTCTTCGGTAGCGCCCCAAGTGTGGGCAAGAAGGGCGTAGGGCGGGAGTTTGTCGCCATCGTAGCTGGTTATGGTCACTTGGTCGCCGGAGCCGGCTATTCTATGCTTGCTAGGACTGAACTGTACGAGGCGCATATCAGCCTCATCATGCTTTCTTTCATCATTGAGGCTGAGGCTGGCAGGACGTGATCTCGGCAGTTTTCATTGTTGATGTCAGAGGGAGCGACCTTGCGTTCCAAGAATAGGTAGTCCTCAAGAAAGGCCATTAAGATTTCTGATGGACATAAGGATTGATCACGTCCTGTCCTGTGCTCAATCAACAGTGATGTTGTTGAAAGAGTTCTGCGCAAGCGTTGAACAAGATAGAACCAAGGTAGGTACCGGCAATGGTAACGTAGTCAGCTCATCGCCCCGAAACGGGGCCGTACCGTAGTTCTTCCTTTTTCTGCCACGTGCCAGCAGAAGCCATGTAAACTCTGTTTGATGTTCCCTCGCCGCTACCAGGATTTTCTCCACAATCTACAACTTGAAGGCGGGGTAAGGTAGAAATGGGTGGAGACCATCCTGCGTCCTTTGCGCCTCGAGGTTCAAGGCGAAGCGGCACCTGGAACCTCTMAAACTAAGTCTCTGTGGGTGTGCGAGACGAGGCGCACGGTACCGCCCTTGTGAGACACGCCGCGCTTAATATCCACACCTGGCACAGGCGTCCTTGGACATGTCAGACGAACCTCCACCACGGAAACGGGTCCGGAAATCGCGTGGCAGAGGCCTGCGCGTGAAGACGGGCTGCATCCCCTGCCGGAATCGTCATCTCAAATGTGGCGAAGAGAAGCCCAGTTGCAGCGCTTGTGTGAGGGCTCGCGCTGAGTGTGTCTACTCAAGCAATAATGGCGATGGTGCCATGGCGACCAATCCCGATCATGCTACCTCTACCATGGGCCGGAGCGGGCGTTCGTGGAGTCTAAACTCAACATCAAGCGCACAACAAGCACATGCAGAAAGAAGTGGATCTTGTGCTTCCCAAAGCACAGCTCTCCCGGAAGCCGTCCGCCCTGTGCATCGCCAAGATGATGCTCTCCCACCTCAGCATGTTTCCCCTGCGGTAGCGGATCATCCTGCCGCGCGAGAGAGCGTTGCATATCCCTACACACCCGCCTTTTCCGAAAGCCTCGCAGCCGTGGGCGACCTGCAATCTGGCGCGGGAGAAAGCCTACCTGCGACAAGTCCTGATCCCACATGGCCTCCACAGAGCTACACAGCCGAGGCGGCTTCGCTCAGATGGTTTGGCCTGCTGGCTACAGACCAAGATCGTTTGGATCTTTCACCTTCATGGCTGCATGCTCATAGCAGATCGCCGGAGACGCCGCGATCTGAAGTGGCAGTTGCGGTAGCTCCTGCATCCTTCTACACCAGCCAAGATCAAGTCATACTCGGACCGCAAGAAATGCTCATTTTTCGACATTTTGTACAGCATCTCAGCTCCTGGATTGACGCAACCGACCCGGATCGTCTATTCTCGGTCCTCGTGCCCTCCATGGCGCTGAGAAATAGCGGTCTGATGTCTGCGATCCTCGCGTTTTCATCCCGACATCTATCTCTGCACCCAGTCACTGCAGCGCAGCTTGGCTTGGATGAGCTGGGTCGAGATGTGGGTGTGGAGTACTATCATGCCACCCTTCAATACCTCCAGAAAGAGATGAAGAAAGTACCCTATCTCACCAGTGATGAGCTACTTGCGACGGTACTTACAATCTCCAGCTACGAAATGATAGACGAATCGGATGGGGGTTGGGAACGACATCTCAAAGGAGTCTTCTGGATCCAGCGCTCGCAACTCATCCACGGAGAGTCGGAAGGCCTGAAAAAGAGCATATGGTGGAGCTGGCTACGCCAGGACATCTGGGCAGCCTTTAAAGATCGGCGAAAGATCCTCTCCTTTTACAACCTGCGGCGACCCTGCTCTGGATTGAACTTCTGGGAGCTGGTGAACAGATCGGTCTACCTTCTTGGTCAATGCGTCAACTACGCCAGCGACGCCGAAATCGAAGCCGGACGTTTACAGCTGGAACTGCGAATCCTTCGAGCCCAGACTCTAGAGGCGAGTCTCGACGAGTGGCACCATCATTTCGCCAGATTTGACTGTCGACTGCCTACTCCCTTGGAAGGAAGCACCATGTTCACGCCTTTGTGGATCAATCCACCAGCCGCCTCGTTGGCCATCCAGGTCCACTATCTATCACGTCTCCTGTTGCTCGAGAACAAGCCGGCAGCAGGTGGTATGCGGGAGCTATCCGTACGTGAGCCGCTGCGTAGGGAAGCGATTGGTATCATAGGTGGTATCGCTTGCTGTACGGATAGCGAGGCGTCGATCCTGGTCTCTATGATTTGTTTATATGGGGCCGGTCAGCAGACTAGGGAATTGGCTGTGCAAGAGGAGATTTGCAAGTTGTTGCACAGTCATCAGGAAAAAGTAAAGTGGCCGTCATATGACTTGTCAGCTGAGCTGCGTAAAGATCAATCTGCAGGCGTGCGGTGATGTGACCGCTTCATTCCGGCTGAACATGCCGGTATACCATCATGCGCGCTGCCTTCACAAAGACGAAGATTTCCACACAGAGAATCGAGCATCTCACCCGAGAAAAGCCAAATCGCGAGAGGATCGGTGGACAAGTTCAACACACTAGTGTCGCTTCCGAGACACTCTCCCGCAAACTACTTGACAGACCCAATRCTATCCGCCACTCTCACTGGCACTCGGGAAAGTTTGTGGCCTTTCCACTCGACCAGGCCACATCCATCTGATGTTCTTGCATGTTCACAACATGCCTGACGCCCTCCTCCATAAGCTTGGTCAAAACCATAGACCCAGCATTGTCCTTGAGGTGGACGTTGTAGTCCTCAAGTACAAGCTTGTTGACATTAATCTTGCTCACACCATGCTCGATACACTTTTGGGTGAGTTGATCCTCGAAACCATTGGTGCCATGAAGCACAATCCGTACTCGGCCATTGACCTGTTTACGGATAGCAGTGAGCCTAAATTCAACCAAACGCACAAGTCAGCACATCATATTCAATCGCACGCTCAAAATAGGACCAACAGACCTAGCAAAATCAAGATCAGGACCATTGGGTCCATATTCGCCATGAATATTCCCAATAGCAGGAGCAAGAAAGTCCACACCCGTTGCAATGAACTCCTCAACTTCCTCTGGTGTCGTCAAGATAGCATCCAAATCGACAGTATCCGCCACCCCATCTTCCGCCCCCTCAATCCTCCCAGGCTCAGCTTCGGTAGCAATCCCTCTAGCATGACAATACTCCACCAATTCCTTCGTCTTGGCCAAATTCTCCGCCTTTTCAAAATGTGACATATCCACCATGATGGAGTCAAAGGGTAATGTATCCGCAGCAAGCCTCACCAATCTCTCATCTTGGCAATGATCGAGATGAATAGCGATGGGAACCGAGGCGCGAGAAGCGGCATCCGCCGCTGTGCGGATCAGTAGGCCATTGGAGAATGTTATTGCCCAGGGGAAAACTTGGATTATTAGAGGTGATTTTCGCGATTCGGCGGCTTGGATTACGCCTAAGATGTGCTCGATGTTGTATACGATTGAGGCTATTACTCCGTAGCCATGTTTTTCTGCGTCTGAGAGGATGCGGATTGTTTTGTTGTTGCTTAGGTCGGGGAGGCTGCCCATGTTGTTGCTGGAGGAGGAGGATGATGATGATGATGGTGTGGAAGGAATTGGATTTTTTTCGAGAGGAAAGGGTTTGTTGGAGAATGTATGCTGGAATTACTTGTGCCTCTTGTCGTTGAAATGGAGCATGCACTGTGTGAGGTCTCCACACGTCTGCTTGTCTGTCTTGAGACGCGAGACGCGAGACGTGATGTACAGTAGTCGAGGATGAAACGCGGCGATCCTCGTAACGAGGGCCCCGGTCGAAGTTCTCGTCACGGTGGATGGTGCGAGTCTCTCCTCCACCTTTTTCCTCCACAAATTCCTCCTCCGCAACTTTTATTAGTTACCTCCACATCCACTTGTTGTGCATATGTGGGTCCACTAAGCTAATATGAAGCACACAGTAAAAGTAACTGATTAACATATATATAAAAACTCTGCATCTAAGATGCGGCTATATTAATAGAGCCTTAGTTATCTATAGGTTACGTACTAGATCTATAATACTCCCCCTTCTAGCTAGAGAGTAAAGCCTTAGATAATCTATTAGATGCTATAATAGGCTCTAATAATTACTCTATTAGAGCATATGCTTATATATATGCTATATATACTGTATATGCTATATATAGCTAAACTTTACCCCTATACCTTACTACTATATATATATATAGTTAACTTAATAAGTATAAAACTTAGTTAATGCTCTAGAGCGAACTATTATCTAAATATCTACTTCCTTCCCTAATTACTACTATTTAGAGACATATCTTATACGATAACTACTCCTTCGATATAGCTATTAGCTATAGCATTTATTATATCTTTTATACTAATTAATGCTAGTTCTATTAGTTATATAGCTATAGGTGCTAGTACTAGTAGTAATAATAGCGGTAGTAGAAAGCGACCTAATCGTCGTTTAGCTTCCTCTAGTTATAAGGGTTAAGGAACCTCTAAGCGTAAGCGTCTTTTAGAGTCGATTCGTAGTAGATTCTAGGATCTTATTATTAGCTAGTTCGGCATTAGTACTAAGGGACAAATTAATATTCGACTATCGGTATTTACCCTCTTATAGGTTCGTAAGCTTCTAAGTACGTATAAGAAAGGCTATAATAGTAGTCTCTTAGGATCTACTATATTTAGGGGAATAACTTAAGAATCTACCTGCTATATAGTAGATAAATCGATTAGTTATAGGTGGAAATTATAAGCTTGTTAATAAGCTACGATTAGCTACTCCTACTACTTTAGGTTCTTCTAGTAAAGAGCTAATACTTAATATTACTAAGGGCAATAACTACCTCCTAACTATCGCTACCTCTAGAACTATAGGAGTTAAGATCTATATAAATGCCTATAATAGGTGCTAGCTATATAGTAACTAGTATTTTACTAATTGCATAACTATAGAAGAGCTCTTCCTTAGTACTTACCTAGAGTATACTAGTAATAATTACTATAAGCGCTGCAGCTTTAGTAGCTATCGCCCGACTTATAGGAATACTACTACTTGTGCAGAATTTAATGCCTAAGTTAAGGCTAGTTTAGCTACGAATAGGGAGAATATCCTTCTTATAGATAAGGGAGCTATAGCTTATAAAGATCGCCTACTACTACTAATATACGATACTTATAGTTGCCTACTTTTTAACCCTCTGCTATTTACGACTCCTAGAGCTACTAATAGCCTTACGGGCAATATATATCCTTATAATAATCGCTAGCCGATTAATTTCTTAAGATCCCTCTCTGCCGTAGGTATTAGTAGCTACTATAGGCTCGTAGCTATTAACTTTAACTATCTAGCTGTAGCTAGACGTAATTAGTAGCGCTAGTATATTATTACTACTATTAGGAATATGTTAGAGAACTTTAGTATAATATAGGATAGTGCTGTTTAATTTAATCCTAGTAACTACCGTAGTAGGTCTAAGGAGGAAGCTCCTAATAATAATTAGAATACTAAGATAAACTAATTTTTGTCTCTAGGCTAGAGTTTCTTATAGGGTATATAGCTAGGGATAGTGCCTTATTAGAAACTATAAGTAGAATAGAGCTTTTAACTAGAGTATGCAGCTATTAATAGTGCCTTATAGTAATTTTGCAGTAAAGTTAAGCCTAAGAGTAGCTAGGTAGAGGATTCTCTAGTTCCTATAATAACAAATAAAAAGTTATAATAAAATAAGTGTGTTTTAATAAAAGAAATCTTCCTCTAAGCTACCTATATATTATATAATAGTATTAGGCGACTTTAGCTTAGTTAGGGCATCTGCAAGCTGCTTAGTAGTATTAATATATTCTACCCTAATATTCCTAGCGTTATATTGCTCCCTATAGTAGTAATTTCTTATAGAGATATAGCGAGATCTCCTAGAGTTTAAGTAATTCTTAACTAAACTAATAGCTAACTAGTTATTAACTTTAACTAGGACTGTTTTAATGCTCTACTAGGTAATTAGCTTAATCTTATTAAGCAGTTCCCTAAGCTAGCTAATTTCCCTAGTAGTTTCTATTAGGGCTAGGTATTTAGCCTTAGTGCTAGATAGCATAACATCCTTTTATAGCTATAATCTCTAGATTACTAGCCTACTACAGAGTTTAATAAGCGATCCTAAGGTAGATCTCCTAGTTATAATGTCTCTAGTATAGTCTAAGTTAGAGTAAGCTTTTACGATAAGGCTAGGTAACTTTCTAAATGTAATCCCTTTGCTAATTATATAGGAGATGTATTTCTAGATATACTTTATAGTAGTAATATGCTTATTAGAGGGGTTCTGTAGGAATCTTACTAAGTAGTTTACTATATAGGTAATATCTAGCCTAGTATAGTTAGATAGATGTTATTATTCCCTAATAATCTTATTATATAGATTATATTATTGCTAGGTGCATTTACCCTCGCTAGAGTTTAGCAATCTTTCTAGCGGGAACTTTATAGGCTTAATATTTAACAGACTATAGGCCTTAAGTTTATCTCTGCTATAGTATTCTTAGGAGATTATAGTTTTACTAGTCTTAGATTGCTTAATATAGAGCCTAAGGAAAAGGTTAGTCTTAACTACCTTAATATTATATTTCTTCCTAAGACTATTAATTACCTAGTTAATATCGTTCTATAACTAAGTAAGAATCTAGAAGTTATCGATATATATAAGAACTAGTATACTATAGCCTATAAAAAGGTATATATTAGAATAGGTTCTTTTAAGCCCTATATACTAAAGCGTTACGACTGCGTTATAGTACTAGAGAGCTGCTGCCTGCTTTAGGCTATATAGTCCCTTTCTAATACAGATTATATATTTCTTTAGGTCCTTAATGCCTATACCTAGATGTTTAATTCCCTTTAGAGGATATATCTATATTTCCTTATCGATATTAGGGTTTAGGAAAGCTATTTTAATATTAATCTAGCTCCGCTTCTACCTATACTAGGTTACTAGTACTAGGAGGATTCTCTCTATAGTAGCTCTTAGGGTTAGAGCAAAGGTTTAGATATAGTTAATGCCTATCTTCTAGGAGTAACCTTTAGCTATCTATCTAGCCTTATATACCTCTATAGTACTATTAGTAAGCTTCTTAAGCTTAAACACCTATTTAGCTTTTAGGAGAACTCGTCCTTTAGGGAGGTGTTTAATTAGTTCCTATTCTACTATGCTAGTAGACTATAGGGACTTTACCTCCTTAGTTATAGCCTTCCTCTAGTAACTATTAGCTAGAGCCTCTACTACTAACTAGGGTTCTACTAAGGGCTTCCTAAAGGCTATAATAGCTCCTTTAGCATTTATTCTTTTATAGTTATATCTAATTATAGATCTTCCTGCCCTCGTCTAAGTAAGTACTAAAGGAGAGGGATCTCTTTTCCTTTTACTAGTAGTCTGCTATAGTATAAATAGCTCTATAAGAATATCTATATCTTCTAGGCTTTACTCCTCCTAAGCTATAAGGCTAGGGGAGACTTAGGATTACTCCCCCTAAGCTATAGGGTTAGGCTAGGAGAATGTTTCCCTATAGGTCGCTACTATAGGGGCCTCTATAGGTAGCTACTAGAATATAGTCCTTTACTACTAGGAGGTAGATAGGGATGCTACCTAGGCTTCTAGCTACTAGGCTAGGATAATTTCCTAAGCTTCTAGCTTAGGAATAGGTTTTATATAGGTCTTTAGCCTTATAGACTAAGCCTCTTATAACTTAGAGATTAGGGTTAGCTAGGCCTTATACTTAAAGCCTTCCTAGGCTTCTTACTTAGGAGATAAGTATAGTTAGGCTTCTAGCCTATTACTACTAGGGGGAATTAGGGAGACTATAGGATTTAATGCCTATAGCTCCCCCTAAATTTTAGGGTTATACTAATTCCTATTAATAAGGTCCTAATAAATAAAGTCCTTATTAAATGTTATATAAGGTGTAAATATAACCTAGTATCTCTAGCCTCCTATATAGTCTAGTATTAGTCGCTATAGGAGGTAGTTTATAGACGAATGTTCCTAAAATCTAATAAACTAGTATATTTCGGCTCTAGGGGCGAACTTAGCTAACTACTAGCAGTTGTTATTATAGATATATGCTTTATAACCGAATCTCCTTATATAGGAGAGGCTAAGGGTTATTTCCTAAGAGATATTAAGATCTTAGTTAAGGTGTAGTAATAGTATACTCTTTATTCTAAGATTTACAAGCCTATTAGTAATATATACTAAATATAATAGTATAAAGCTCTAGAGATCCTAAGGTATTCCTAAGTTAATAACTATTAACCTTCCTTTTCTAAGGATAACCTTATTAGAGGATTCTGTAATACTATTTTGTTCTAGTATATATAGAGCTAAAACATCCTATCTAAGCCTAATAGTATTAGCTATCTTAGTTATAGCATTATTAATAAATTTACTACCTCTATCTATAAATATAAGCTTTAGAATCTTCCTATAAGCTATATGTATCCTCTAGATAAACATCTTAGTTACATTAGTACCGTTACTCTTTAGCTTTATTAGGAATACCTATTTATAGCGGGTTTTAGCGTCTATAAAGAGAAGGAAGTATCTATTACTATAGATGTCTTTAGGGTTAATTAGCCTAACTATATCGATATAGACCTTATTAAGGGCTCTAGCGACTATAGGTCGGGGGTATCTTAATATAACCCTCTATAACCTTATAAGTTTATATATCTCGTAATAGTCTATAGTGTCTGTGTTAATATTCTTAAGTCTAGAAACTTTAAGCTTTGTTATATTAAGGATAGATATGCTAATATAGCCTAGTCTTTAGTGCTAGCGGATTATATCGGCTTTTAGCTTTATAAATGCTATAGTAGCTAATATCTATGCACTCCTCCTACTTTAGGGGGCTTTATTACTATAAGGGATAAGAATTCTAGCATTCTTTAATATAAGAACTCTATAGCGCTTTTGTAGCATTCTAATAGGACGATCCTTTTTATCTATAATAATCCTAGACTTAATATTAAATAATATGCTATACTTTACTAGGAGTCGCTTTATAGATATAAGGTTTATATTAGAGCCTGGGGAGTATAAAGCTCCCTTAAGTTTAATCTTAGTCTTAGAACCTTTATAATTTGTTAACTTAATAGTTATAATACTAGAGTGTGCAACTTTGTTTTAACCTATAGCCTAAGAGAACTTTATAGGTTTTTCCTTCCTATAAAGGTCCTAGAACTATATCTTATTATTAAAGAAGTTATATAAGGCTCCTATGTCCTAGATATAGAGCTAATTATTAGTAGGTCTTAATAAGGATATAGCTATAGCTGCTCTTAAGCTTCTTAATATATTAGAGACTACTAAGCCTATATTAGAGATATTATCTTCCGTAGTAGCGGCATTAGCTCTCCTTCTCTATAGAGGTTTCCTAGAGTTCTTCTTAGCATTATCTTTAAAGCTGTCCTTTTTATCGTCCCTAGGCTTTTTTAGTTTCTACCTAGGTAGAGCTCTATTAGGATACTACTTATAGTATTTAGCATTAGTATGTTAGTATCGGCACTATATACATCTTTTACTATTATCTCTAATATCCTATGTTACTTTCCTTATAACTCTCCTCTATTAGGAGTTTTGCTAAGCCTATAATATTAGGGGCTTTTCCCTTCTAAGTAAGGTAATTATATCCTCTAGGGATACTAGCTAGGGTTTATTAACATAACGCTAACTTCTAAGCTATTTAATATAATTAAGGCTTATTATAAATAGCATGTTAATTATAATTAGCTAGAATATAAGTCCTTCCTAGCTTTAGGGTAGGTTATTAGATCTAACGAATTGCTTAGAGGCTATTCTATAGTTATAGACCTACTACTAGAAGTCTTCGTAATACTTTAGGGTATTATCTCCTATAAGCTTAATGCTTCTAATCTATCTAAGTATCTTATAGATGTCTATAGTAATAATAGGCTAGTAGGTTATAAGGATTGTTTAACATAGATCCCTTATATTCTTCTTAGTACTTCCGAAATTAGGCCTAAGCTTTTTATCTAGTCTGCTATAGATAATACTATATACTATAATGTCCTTCTTCTTAAATTCCCTAAGGCTCTAAAGGTATTCCTTAAGGTTAAGGAAGTTCTTAATATAAGGCTCCTTTACTAGAGGTTCCTATACTAGGTTATAGAAGATATAGCTAAGTATATCCTCTTTAGCTAGTGCTCCTTTTAGTATAGTATTCTATACTAAAAAGTTAGAGCCCTTTCTAAGGACTTAGTTCTCCTTTACTATCTTAATAGTTTCTATTATTATTTCTAACCCTGCTCTTTCTTAGCTCGCTAGGTTATGCCTATATAAATAGTACTTAGGGTTAGTAACGATATAGATAATAATAGCTTCTTAATATAGATAAGATCTATAATGCTACGGTTACGCCGGGCTTATAACCTATTATATATATATAGGTCTACTAAGCTAATATAAAGCATATAGTAAAAGTAACTAATTAACATATATATAAAAACTCTGCATCTAAGATACGGCTATATCGACAGAGCCTTAGTCATCTGTGGGTCACGTGCCAGATCCACAACACCACTGCCCCGTTGTCGATCCATCGTTTCAAGGGACTTTCTGGAATGGCGAACTACCTACCTTACATCCTCCCGTGCCGTATCTCCATTTCCAAGAGCTGAGCTGACTCGTAACGGGAAAAACGAAATGCGGATTCCAAAAAAAAAAAGTCAAGGATCCTATCGGAGCTGGCTTTCAGGCATTGGTAGGTACCATGCTCGTCGTGTGACTGCTACCTTACCCGTGTAGCGTCTCCATTTCCATCACTAAGTACCTTACTGGGGGGATTTCGAAGTCCACTGGAAATGTCTTTTGGATTTGCGATTCGTCTTCGCGCTTCGAGAAGTTCTTGGGTTTTCCTTCTTTTGTTAAGTCATCAGCGGCTAGCTGAGTCCTTATCGTGCTTGGTGATGGAGTATTGCATCGAAATGCTATACTTTCTCATGGCACAGGGATTGCATCATGCTTAGGACGCTTGCTTTCGTGGGCGTACAATGCACCTGCTGTGCACCGCCCACAAGAGCGCTGATGGAACTTAGGTCGATTATACTTCCACTTTGATCTTTGAAGATCATTTGCTTGGTCGCTACTTGCGTTGACCAGAATGTACAGGTACCTTCGATGTTGGCATTAATGTGTTTGTCTAGGATGATGTCCCCGTACACGCTGTGTGGGTTGGTTGTGATGGCCGAAAAGAGAGAGGCTCATCCGAGGAGGGCTACTTACTTTACTCTACGAAGTCATGAAACTCGCCAACGCCAGTTTTAGCTGCGAATATCTCAAGGGTTTCCACCATTCTGAACTGCAGTATCGATCAGACGGATTGCAGTCTCTCTCCTAATATTGCCTATTGAATTGACTGGTTTGACACTTTATGGTGGTCTTCCTCCAGCATGCTTTTGAACATCGCTTCGAGCGCGCATTACCAAAAAGATTGGCCTTCACAATAGCTATATGTCGAAGGGATGTCAAAGAAATAGCACGGCCGATGCCAGCCGCACATTCTATGAGTGCAGCAGATTCTCCCGCTAGCAGCGCGACCACAGTATCAAGTTATGAGTCTGCTTTTCGATTGTTCCAGACAGTCCTCCAATGGCATTACAGAGCGAAGTAACTCCCTGCCACTACATTAGTCCTACAGATCAGCTCCGTCACTTGACATTTGAAATTCTACGAGCTCGTCAGATGAACGTTATTCAAGTCTAGGGTCAATCCCAGAGCTCCACTTGCGGGCTCCACAGCCTCGAGACGCGGTCACGCAAGTAACTGTTGTAGAGTAGTAAGAAGTATATCAAAGAGCAAAGTCTCTCTGCTCAAGAAGCCACAAGTCACTACCCTTACACTTCACCTTGCCAAAGCTACTCGATACACATCTCCCATCTCCCATCTTCCATCTGCATACATCGTGTACATATCCCCCTACCAGCCAACATGACAACCACCGAGACCACCAATGGTTCAACAAATGGCCACGCCGCAGCAGCAGCAGCAGCAGCACCCGAACAGCCCCAAACAAAACTCACACTCGCCGGCAAAGTCATCGCAAGTAAGTGGTGCCATTCCCCCATCTCCCAAAAACCACGCCACTAACCTTCCCCCCCCCCCCCCTTAGTCACCGGAGCAAACCGCGGCATCGGCCTCGGAGTCGCAAGTTCCTGCCTAGACAACGGAGCCGAACACGTCTACTCAATAGACATAGGCGAAACAGGCGAAGAATTCGCCGCCGTCCTAAAAAAACACCCCGGAAAACTGCACGCCCTCCAAGCAGACGTCACAAACGAAGACACCGTAACCCTTGCCGTAGACCGCATCATCTCAGAAGCAGGAGCAATCCACGGCTTCGTAGCAAACGCCGGTCGAACAAAACATAAACCAGCCCTAGATTTCACAACCGAGGAAATCAACCAACTCTGGTCCATCAACCTCTTCGGATCCTTCTACTGTGCCCGCGTAGCAGCTCGCGCATTTATAAAATGCAACGTCAAGGGATCAATTGTGTTTACAGCTTCCATGGCTTCTTATCGACCGAATAAAAGAGTGCCTTCGGCGCCTTATGGAGCTAGTAAAGCTGGAGTGAGGAATATGACACATACCCTTGCTATGGAGTGGGCGCAGTATAATATTCGGGTGAATTCTGTTTCGCCTGGATTGGTGAATACGGCTATGACTTATTGGGTTCCGCAACAGCCGGATTGGGAACAGCAGTTGAAGTATTATGGGGGGATGCCGAGGTTGGCGGAGGTGGAGGAGTTGGGGGGTGCGTATGTGTATTTGTTGAGTGAYGCTGCGAGTTATACGACTAGCATTGATATTCCTGTCAATGGGGTTATTGGAAGTGAGTACACCTTTTCCATCATCTACAGTCGACGAGACGATGCTGACTTTTGTGTAACAGTTTGCTAGATGCAGTCTACAAAAGCCGCATGCTTGATCGCGAGGCGGTTGTTTTTTTTGGTAGGATCATCAGACCACAGCATAGAATTTGGCAATCTCGAAATTCAGAGATTCACCACATCCACACTCTTCGCCACCGCTTCCAGTTTCGGCCACGTCTCTTTGATCTTCTCCTTGATCTCCTCAATACTGATGTCTGTATTTGCGACAGTTTTCGTGTACATGCTCTCGACCACCCTGTGGAATGTTAGTGAAACGGGTCGTCAATATGTCCATGAATAATAGACACCACTCACCGGCCGAATGGACTCTCCTTTCCATAACTCTTGTCAATACCTTCCCTTGTCTCGATCAAGAATCCAAAGTACACGATTCGCAGATCTAGACCAGCTTTCATGCTCTGCTCGAACACTTCCTGATTCCCACTGTGCGGATTGCACAGCTGATTCGTGAGGGTGGTCAAGAGCCAGCAGTCGACCACTCGATCGGGGTAGAAGCTCTGCGGGTACAGCGTGGGAGAGACCTCAAACCTAGTCTTGAGAGCGATCCTCCAAGCTTGATACGTCCTACCCGCTGAAATGTACAAGATCAACAACTGCCGCAGTAAATGTGGCACGGGCTGGCGTGTATAGTCCCACATTCCGGAATTGAGCGTGAGTTTGAGAGCATCCTTAATTTCATCCTCGGAAGCCTTTTCATTACCTTTGTTGATGTCGAAGGTGAGGCCGCTGACGGAAAAGGCCTCTGCTTGTAGTGCTGCCATACGACGTTGAGCTTTGGGGTCATTCGCCGGGATGAAGAATTTGTGGAGCTGTTTTTGATGTCGCTTGATGAGCTGCTCTGCGATATCGACAAAAGCGGGCGGGAGATCTTCTGCGGCTTTGAGAAATTTGTCCTCGGGCCATACGGCGCCCTTTTTACATTTGATGCATTTGCAGCCAAAGAAGTAGGCCTCACGGAGCTCCGACTGTCGGATGGAGAAGGGATTGGTGATGTCGACGTATTTCATGGTGATTTCCTCGCCTTTCTTGATGGGCTTCAACGCACGAAGGAGTTGCTGTGGCTGATTGAACATGGTGGCGACGTTGGGATCGCAGGAATGGTTCGCCGAGCACAGGATAGGATCAAAGCCGATTCCCAGCTTGGTATCGTCGAGAGGACTACTGAGCTGGAGGGTGTTGCTCATGACATTGAAGAAATAGCCACGGGCAATGACTTGGGAGTCCATGTCTGCAATTTCAGGCTCGCCCGCGTATTTCCATGCTCCATATGACAGCATGCCAAAGTCTTCAAACCGTTGAGCGTCCTGCTTTTTGAACTCGTCCATGGCACTCCCGCCGGTTCCCGCTGGTTGGAATTGTAAAATGTCGATGAGGTTCTCATCTTTGTTTTCCGGATCGGCCTTGAGTCTTCCAAGCAGCTTAATGACAGCTCGAACTCCATGAGGAAGATCGGGTCGGTTGTCAGGCGCGAGGACCTTGCATTCATACTTGTGCTCACGCTTCCACGCTTTGGACTGGCAAGTCTTGGAGCAATATCTTACTCTTTTACAGCCTGTACAAGCCTTGGTCTCAATGAAACCGGCAGGGAGGCCAAGATTCTGAGACAAAGAGCGCTCTTCGGCTGTTGTGGCAGCGCGTTGAAAGCACCAGGCACAAGTGTCTGCAAGGCGATCAATGTCCAATTCGGCAACATACGGCCGATTGAGAGAGAGGACGAGATCGCCAGGCGCAAAGTCCTTCTTGGCGAATAGTCCGCGGCCGGCGCCGGTGATGGACGATTTTCTGACTTCGACGTCCATGATGAGTAAGGCAAGAGTAAGGGAATAGTGACTTTGATGGTGTGCTGTACAGTCATCGAGAAGTTCCTCTCGTGGTAAGGTAAGCCCTACCTTAGGTTGTACGTTTTGTTGAGTGGGCCGCAACACCTCCGCGGACATCCTCAGTTCCGTCTCCATTACTTACTATACACTATTTAATTCAGAACACTAAAAAATCCCGCTCTAAACACCTTATGATTGCCGTAAGTCCTAGCAGACTACCGCCTTCTATCCCAGAAAAAGTGTCACGCCGCCTAGAGGCTCCTGATAAGAGCGATATTATGATAGCATTAACCCTAACCCTAACCCTAACCYCATCCCTACAATTTGGATGGCTTTAGTACGTAACATAGCGAACTACACACTTGACTTTCGGCCATTTCCACAATATCGCAGGTAATGTTGTAGTCAGAGCATAGGCTGTAGGCCAGATTTTGCCAAGTGTCAATGTTTTCATGGCTAACAATGAAGCCCTAGGTAGAGACCCCACATGTTGCATCCCGCTTGATAATAAAGAGTTTAGGTTCCCTCGTGCGCCGGCGCATCTTCTCCGTCTCCACTTTGAAACACCAACTTCAACGACAGGGCATCCTTGCATCCATCTCAACTCGATCGACACTCATCAGCGATTTCTACCAAATGGAGCCAGAGATCATGTCGATCCCCGCAGAATGACAAGATGGTTTCCATGAGTATGGATAGATGGAAGGGACAACACGACATTGACGCAATTCTGGCCCTTCTCCTTCATCCCAGCCGCCATCCTGCCGGCTGGTACTACAGCATCATCAACATTCCATGTGCGATACCGGCTGGATACAGACCACGAGACCTTGCCGGCGATCATCATGATGTTTGGCGTGCGATCAAGGCGAAAGCAAAGCTTAAAAAGTCCGCCTGGCGGGTGAGATGCCTCAAGCGGGATTGTCCGGCATTACAGCTTTGACTACCTACACATCGCATGGGTGAAACAGATCGTATGATGGCTCCTGGCTAGCAAAAGGGACCAATCCCCTCATCAGCAATCCACAAGAACACTCGCATCAGTTTTGGTCGCAAGCGAGGCGCATCAAACTCGGTCAGGCAGTGACTGTGGGTGGGTACTGATCACAGCCAAAAATTCATCGGTATGGGTTCCAATGCCATTGATGAAGTAGCCGCTGGGATATCGCATGGTGAATATGAGTGATGCCTCATGATTATTTCGAGGCGATCAGTCTCCATGTTTTGCGATCCCACAAGAAGGCAAGTGACGCATCCACGTGGTCGTTGAAGCGTCTTCAGGTTTCAACGGTTTCTGCGGACCTGCCTTACTCTTGCTAAACAACAAGGATAGCGGACCAACCACGCGCCAAACGTACCCGCAGATGTGGTTAGGTTCCCGCATATCCCCAAGGGCAGGAAGCCCGCCGAGTGGATTACATGTATCCTACATGTGTCTCACATGAGTACTTACCACCCTATTCCTAGTCCTGCGTACAGGAAGCCAAGCGGGATTAGGAATGCCCGGGCTTGATCCTCGTCAGTTGACGACAGAATGAAGTGCGCATACTACTGGATTGGACGAAAACCTACTTCAGTGTGCTTCTTGTATGCGGGAGACCCTCTGCACCCGACCGGCAAATGGCATGATCATGGTGCTCCGATGCAAGTTCGAGACTCACAACAAGGCCCGAGGGGAACAATTCTGAAACTGGTGCTGCAATCGAAGCAGAATAGGACATTCGCATGTTGGTTGATACGCCATGCATTCCAACATGAGTTCTAGAGTCTAGAGGTGTTCTTCCACTGTGTATCGGCAAAATGGCCTGTGTTTATAGTGAAACCAACTACGGACATATGGTGGCCGTAAGCCTGTAGATTTTAAGAGTAGTTAGCTCAGTTACGTAAGTGCTGTACAGGAGAGGTACGTCCCCCCAGCCAGATGGCGGACTGCCTAGCGAGCACCTTAGCCAGCGACAATATCATTAGTCACGTGGATGTAATCTGGCCCTTCATTCAAATCTTTGTGAACATGTGGATATAGGCGGTGTCCATGGTGTTGTGGATTAAGGCGTACATCTCTAATCTAGACCTCCCTTCGGAAGTGCGGCGTCGGATGCCCTAAAACGCTGCAATCAGAGATCCTTGCCATGACGGGCTAACTTCGCACCGGGTAGGGATGTGGGCTTGTCACTCTATGAACACTCGGGTCACTTCATAATGTTGAAACTCGCGTCCTTTTCGCCCCGTCATCATGAGCCATGCCGGATCACCTCGAGCTCGCGCACAAAATGATAAAGCAAAGCATCGAGGCGAGAGAGCGTGCTGCTCCCGATCCAGCAAAAACCGCCCCTTCCTTCAAACAGAAGACACCAGACGATGACACCCGTGGATTGCCCGGGACGGGTGTGGAGCAATCATCCGACCCAGGAACGCGGTCCGTCAACGACGWGGCCCACTCCGAGCTGGATACGGCTGCCCGCCATGCTGAAATCAAGCGCAACATTCAAATTACCTACTATATGATGTTCATYAAGGAACTACTCAGAATGGAAGCAAGTCCAAGAGCACAACGGACATGTAGGGTAGTTTGAACAATGTCATTCGAGCTACCCTCATGTCATTGGGGCCATACCCGACTTGCCGGAAAGAAGAAAACATCGCTAACACTTTTCCCTTTTTTGCTTTTAGGACTACGAGGATCCCTTTTGGCGCCGACACTTTGAGCCCAACGTCCGACTCCACATTGATGATAAAACCGCCATTGGATTGGAAGAATTCTGGGGTTTATCCAACTGCAGCCTGTTCAAGTACCCATCTCTCCGCTTCTCCACCCTGGAGCCTCGCTTCTCGGAACTGGACCCGGACGGCATGTRCGACGTGATGATACCTTATAGGTATGCGGGTGGGGCGGATGACCTTACGCGAGCTGGTATCGTTTCCGCCAAGTGGAAGTTTGTGAATAAAGTAGTGTGGAAATGCTCCGAGTTTACGAGTTTTACTGGACTCAACACCGAATTGACTAATCACTGGGATGAAGAAATTGTCATCAAGGCGAAGAGTTTGCAGGGCCAGATGTGGTAGTCGATGGCTGGAACTACACATGTGTGCTGGTACCTTAATGGAGAATCCGGCCGCAGAATGGAAGCTAATATACCAGGTCACGGAAGACCTTCTAAAGGGATTGGTCTAATTGGACCACCATCCTCCGATCCATGCGACTTGCATCCTCCCGGCACGAGAGTCGGGAAGCCTACACCGTCTGGATCATACTTCTTCGCTACTTGTCTCAAGTTTGCGACATGCTCCACTCCAGACCCCGCAAAGACATCCTCTCCGGACGACACATAGTTCTGATGGGAGGTGGAGGGATTGATCAGCTAGCTACTCCTCAGCTTCCACTCCAGCTCCGAGGATCAGCAATGATCCCCCTCTCCCATCTTGATATATCTGGAGCGGTCCACTTCTCGGATTGTGGTGGATGAGAAGAAGTAGTCCTCCTTTTCTTCCCGAGAAGACTCAGAGAGAGCGTTCCCTCCCCTCTTTTTACAGAGAGAAAGGGATGTATTGCTGAGGATAGCAAAATCCATGGTTGTTACATTCTTGGATAAATGTCTCTGGAAGTTCCTCTTGCATGTTCCTCCCACTTCTCCACGAAGTGAGAGGTGATGGACCGAAATCGGGACTTTGAACTGCTGKACGAAAAACTCTCTTCCGACTACTCGATGGATGGATATGGTCTTCCCATCGAATATGGAATTTTTGACCTTTTTGGGAGGAGTCAAGACTCAATTTGGCTCTTTTTTATCGGGACACGAATGCTCGAGGACWAGTAAGTGGTGTTGATGAATACCTATATTTGAAAATTTCTGACGGTGAAATTTTATGGGTACAGGCTTGAGATATATTGAGGGGTGGTTTTCTGGGCTACTGGTGCGATACCACGGGCAGTTCTGTATAGGAAGAGTGCTGGTTGGAACTCCTTAGTGGATGACCTACGAGTTTGGGGGAGGGAGATGATAGAGGAGGATGATAGAGGAGGATAATGATGAAGGAAGAGGGTGAAGCAAGATGATAGGGGAGGATGATAGAGGATGAGGAGGATGATAGGGGAGGATGATAGGGGAGGATGATAGAGGAGGATGATAGAGGAGGATGATAGAGGAGCAGGAAGATGATGAAGGATAATGATGAAGGAGGATGATGAGGAGGAGGATGATGAAGGAGGAGAAGTATGAAGGTGGAGGATGATGAAGGAGAAAGATGWAGAAGGAGGATGATAATTGAGAATGAAGATGAAGCAACAAGACAAATGGAGGATTCCAACACAAGTCATATCTTGCCCTTCGGACCCTCCCCTTATCAGTCACAAATTGAGCAAAATCCGGGGGACCAAAAACACCTACCCTGGGAGATGAATCATATAGAGGATCTATTCACCCTAGAAATTTTGTCGCAAAAGGCACGGAGATCCAGATCGAAAATCGAAACGCCAGAAAGACATAGTTCTCGTCTCTATCCCGAGGAAGAAGAGTATGATAGAGGGATCGGGATTGGTTGTCTTGAATGACTTGTATAAATCTCACCATTTATTCATTCATTCGTCCTCTTATGCAAGCCCATTGCCCAACCAAGTTACATCGAGGTGTACCAACATGCTCACTTGAAATTTCATTTACTTTACGAGATTTTGTAAAAGTGTGGGAATAGCAGCTACTTTAATGTACCTACTTACTATATAAGCAAGAGAATAAGATATTTAGTTATCCTTGCCGGATTCATCACATGCTTATTAGAATTTCGTTTGAAATTAGATATGGAAGGAAACTCGAAATTCCTTCTTACCTTGACATGGTGTGTTATAGGTTACCGAGTTTATGTAGATGTGCTGCGAGAAACATAGGAAATGAGATGGTAATGGGATTTTTGTGGGGCGGAGGAACTCTGAGACGCGAGATGGAAGTTCTCTTTCTCTTTCTCTTGCTTTCTCTCTCTCGTGGAATATTGTATTGTGTAGACAGAAATATCACCTGAATGAATGAGTAGAGCTCAGCCAGCCACCTACCCATCGGGATGAAAACGATGTTTTCGTCCGAAGAAGAATATTCTCGTCCATTGTAATGATTGAATATTTTTGATGCCTCAACCTCTTCACCTAGATTTGTAAAATCCAGACGCTTGCCGCCGATGGAGTTGTAAGTAATTCAAGCGAGCGAGTCGATTGAGATGTTGCTGTTGTTGATGTTGATGATGTTGTTACTGGGTTTTTCTAATCTCGATGGGTCTGTTAAGGCGGGAAAGTAGTATGCTCCAAGTAGTGCATGTGACATCGCGGCTGTGGTTGTTAGAGAGGGGAGGTATTCTCTATCCCTGCCTGCTTTCTGGTCGATTGATGTGAATGAGGGGATAAAGTGAAGAAATTTGACCGGAAGGAAGGAATGGATGGAACCTTTTGGCAAGTGAAGTGACGGACGCCTTCGCGTCACTTCTTTGTTTGTCCCCTCGACGAGAACAACAACATGACAACAACAACAAAATCATCATCATCAACATCGGAAGAACGGAGATCCAATCCAATGGCCACCATCACACCTCGAGACCCCAAAACCATAGTCTGGACAACCCCCGCTCTACTAGGTAGGTACGTGAAGCACCCCATTCAAAACAAACCTACCATCCATCTAACATCCCTCCTCCCTCCACAGAAAACATCCTCCTAAACCTCCCGACACCAACCCTCCTCCTAGCCCAACGCACCTCGCGCGCCTTCTCCACAACAACAACCTCCCACGCGACCCTCCAAAAGAAACTCTTCCTAACTCCCATAACAAACCCCCAAGACCTTCTAACCTGCCACATGATCACCTCGACTTCGACTTTCATCATCATTCCCTCCCACGCCACTCCGCCTCTCATCCCCGCAGAACACCATCTCCTAAACCCGCTCTTCCCACACACATCAGCTACAGAAACCACCACGACGGTTCGCAGCGCGAGTGATTTGCGCAAAGGACCCACGGAGTTACGGCTGGAGGAATGTGTGAATTTACAGTTGCCGAGGGTGGGAGAGTTTCGGAAAGTTGTGAGGACGGGGAGGAGGTTTGTTTCTTCTTCTTCTTCTGCATCATCATCTTCAGCATCGTCATCTTCGGGAATGGKAAAGGAGGGGATGAGACCGAGTTGGGAGAGGATGTTGATTAGCCAGCCACCGGCTTTGAAGGCTTATCCGCGCGGTTGGGATAATCCCATGTATGGAGGACGGGTGAGCGAGATTTGTCGTTTGACGCCTCGGGGCAAGGATGGAGGGATGTTTGTTATGGTTGGGGGGAATTTGGTGGGAGCGGGAGAGTTTCTGGGGTGTTGGGAGAGGGTGAATAAAGAGCGGGAGGAGAGGGAGTGGAGGGTTTGGTTGGAGAGTTTGGAGAGTGGAGAGGAGGGTGGTGGTGGTGGGATGGAGGTGGAGGTGGATGTGGATTTGCAGGACATGCTGGAGTTGGTGATGCCGAGTGCCAGGGCGATGGATGGGGAGAGTAGCGAGGATGAGAATGAGTATCTGTGGCATCTGGATTCCTTGGATGCACCATTGGCGGACGCTGAGAACCTCCCTCGTCAGGCGCATGTCGAGGATGCAGAAGTTACCACCGAGGAGGTATGGATGGATGATGATGATCACGACATCCTGGATGGGTTCCTGCTGGATCCTCAAGAGGATGAGGTATTTCAGGGACTTTATGATGAGACTATGGAAAGATGCTTGGCGGAGCACAAGGAGATGATGGCTACGATGGAGAGTTGTGAAGGAGGTAGGGAACAAGAGGGAGAGCAAGACATGGAGATTTTACGGGTTACACCTTCTCCTCCTCGAGGTCGTCGCTCGGGGGATGATGTGAGGCAGAGTCCATTTCTTCCGAGTAAGAGGTTTCGAGCTTCCAGGGAATGATGGACGGATGTACCGATGGAATTTTATGGAAAAAAGGTAGACTTGGTCGCTGGATTGCTCCACTTACATGTACTTGCTTTCATTCATCATCGTCATCATCACATCTTACAGATCATCCTTTTCTTCCCTTCCTCCCCCATCATTCAACACAATACATCTAATACGTGTAGAATCCCTTTCCACTCTTCTTCCCCAACCACCCGGCATCCACCATCTGCCGCAACCTCACCGCGGGACGATACTTGCTGTCGCCCAACTGTCCATGCAACACCTCCATAATCGCCAAACACGTATCCAGCCCAATGAAATCCGCCAACTGCAACGGACCCATGGGTACATTCGTCCCATTCTTCATGATATCATCAATATCCTCCCTCCCTCCCACGCCCGTCTCCAGACAAATGACCGCTTCATTGATATACGGCATCAGAATGCGATTGGCGAGAAATCCCGGGGAATCGGCGGAAACGGAGGGGATTTTCCCCATTCGTTTACAGAATTCCACTGCTGTCGCGAGAGTTTCGGGGGAAGTTTGTAGGGCGGAGATGATTTCGACACCTTTTTGTACGGGAACCGGGTTCATGAAATGTGTGCTCACGACGCGGGAGGAAGCGGAGAGGTCGGTGGGATTTTGAGGGTCGGAGTTTGTGCTTGCTGCCAGACGCGTGATGCTGATGGATGAGGTGTTTGTTGCAAGAATGGCATGTGGGGCACAGACTTGTGCCAATTCGGAGAAGATTTTGGATTTGAGGGTGAGGATTTCGGGGACGGCTTCGATGACCATGTCTACGGCTGAGAGGTCGGAAATTTGGGTGGAGGTTGTGAGGCGGTTGCGGATCTCGTCGGATTGGGATTGGGTGAGTTTGGATTTGGAGACGTCTTTTGCTAGGAGCTTTTCGGCGAAGGAGAGGGATTTGGAGAGGGAGGTGGGGGAGGTGTCTATCAGGGTTACGGGGACGGCGGCGTTGCGGGCGGCTACGAGGGCGATTCCGAGGCCCTAGATGGGGGGTCATGTGTTCGTGAGTGTTGGTTGGGGGGTTGGGGATGTATACTATACCATTTGACCTGCGCCTATTACTCCCAGACGATGAATGGTTGCGGGTTGAGCAGATGCGTCGGCGGAGTATTGACGCGTTGTTGCAAGGAGGGCACGCTGGAAGGCGGCGCGAGGGGCGCGTACTGTCCTGATGGCGAGCATGGTGGGCAGACAATCAATCAATCAATCAATCAATGCGTGAAGACTGTGGGATTGTGGGATTGATGGGATGGTCGAGATGATATGAGGTCACCTTTCGAGCTTTCTTCAGAGAGAGCTGTGCTGCTCGGCTTAAAAACAAACCTGACCTGTGATCTTTTGCCGAATTGCCGAGCGATGGGATCAATCGATCAATCAATTCATTTATTGACTGATTGATTGATGTTGATTTTCAATGTCTCATGCATTACAATATTTCATACATTGGACAGAGTATATGTCTTGTCTCATTCATTCCTGCCATAGGTATACATCTCATACCACTTCCTCGTCGGCATGTAAGAGCTCCAATGCACATGCATGTTTCCAGCGCCGAAGTCGGAACATTCTTCAGCCCGAGTCTCATCCCATCTTGCCCATCCATCCATCCATCCATCCATCTCGCTTGTCTTCATGTTGCTTTCCTTTCCCATCAACGCCATCGCTTAAAATATACAGCAAAAAGTCCCATCAGTTCCAATGATCCAATGCGATGAATCAATCTCCCGCTTTCCCGAACAAAAGACGTCAGCATCCTTGGCTGTGTGTAGTGGCACCACGATATGCCTTGTCTGCCGCTGTGCAACAACAACATCCCATCCACGAAAGAGGTGAGGGAGAGGAACATCTCAACCCTTCCATTTTCCAGGTTTTCCAGATTTTCCCATTCCCTCGGTTTTCAATCCCGTTTCTTGTCTTCCATTTTCATTTCTCCCAATCGCATTCTGAACCTCAACCCCGTAATCGAACAGTCAAAGGCAACAATGCCAAATCCGCCATGGTTTTGGGAATTCTCATCGGTGCTACTACGGGCGCAGGCATGGCGGGAGCTGCGAGAGTGGTGGTTGTTGTTGTGAGGGCTGTTATTAGGAGAAGGAGGAGGGGTTGGGTGGTGAATTTCATTGTTGGTTGGTTGATGTGTCCTGATTGGATGATTGACTGAAGGGTGGATGGATTCCAGGTGGTAGATGGTCGGTGTCGATTAATTGTCTGTCTGGTTCTTGTGTTTTTTTAGTTTGGTGCGTTGGTATCTCGAGCAAGTTGACGAGCGAGTCAAAGGGTACTCCAATATATATGGAAAACCTCTCTGATGATGAATGATGATGCTAATGATGCATATATAAATGTATATATGCAGTGAAACGCCGCACCAGAAATTCAGCCGAACGTTTCACCACTCCTCTCAACATATCCTGCCACTTGCATGTTGGTYTTTTTCCTTGACATGATGAGAGGGGCAGAGTCAGGGTACGTTGAAAGACGGGGATATGGTGAAACATGTCCGTCCGTCTTATGGAAATGAGTCGGGGGCTATATCTGGAGATTCCATTTCCTCGCCTGAAAACAATTCCATCCAAATTATCTCCACGCGAAGATGTGGATCTTGCTTGTTATCTCGCGGGCTCAGGATGGAAGATGCATCGTCTTCAAATTTTGAGAGGAGTTCTTGGGGCGAGGTTGCCTGTGCGTGATTTGAACGATGGGTTGTCTGTCCGTCCGGCGACACATGAGTCAAGGTTGCCGTGCGTGCTCTGTACCAGAGAAACGTCATGTCTATACAACGCAACACCTTACCTTTCAAACCTCTCTCGGGAAGAAAGAGTCAGGGAGTTCTTTATCTATGCCTCGTTGAGAAAGTGCCAATGTGTCACGCRGGGTTTCTTGCCGAGACGTGTGTTATGTTGTGATGTGATGTGTATCTGGTTCGCCGCATGTCGGTAGTTTGAGTCAGGGTATGTGGCGGCGACAATGGAAGAAAGTTTATTTGTGGGCCGGCGGTGTCGTTTTTCCAGGTGCGGAAGATTCGGGGTTTGTGGGTTGGTATATATTTATATATTACTTCACGGTGATGTGACGGTGGAGATGTATGGATGGAATATCTTCTCGTGTTGATGATGCTGTGGGATGTTCAATGGCGGTGTTGAGGGGAATTCAATGTCGGGCTTTTTGTTGGAGATTATCTGCGCCATTCATCTCCTCTATTTCTTAGGTATCTATCCAAGATGTTTCTTATCCAAGACAACACTCATCTTTTGAATAACTCTCATCACATCTTCGAAGTAAAGTCTCCCTGCAATTTCACGATCTGTGATTAGTTCCTATGGAGAGGAAATTGCTGAGATATTAGCCTTGATATATTATCTTTCAGGTCTTTTCCTGGGAACTCGCTCTGTTGAATGTACATGTACTTCTCAATTCATCATCATTTTCATCAAATGCTTCGAAATGGCTTGAAAGCTCCAAAATAATTGAGATGCTTCAGCTACTGGTACGTTTCTCGCCGATACCTGTCTACATACATTATTACCAGGCTGCGAAATAAGAGCATCCATTTGTAAACCGGGAGTGTTCAATTTCTGATAGCAATGAAGTCAGCAGCATTGCCATGAAATCGCTTCCTTCACATGTATTTTCCACGTTGATGGGCGAGGAGTGTATCGCGGGTATTGGAATTGCAATAGCATCCGGTCTCGTTGGAATACTAGACCCGGAATTGAGCAGGTCATTAGCATTTCCAGAGCTTAAAAGACCATCTTGTCTTGATCTTGAAGGTCATGTAATGTCATGTTGTTATTTATAGGAGAGTGCGGAAGGCAGACGGGAGATGGAAGACGACGTGCATGCTCAGTCAGCAGGGCAGCCCCACATTCGACGCGTCCTCGGCGTCCGCGTGCGTGTCGCGACTAGGTAGGTACCTTAATCATCTGTCCCAGAAAGAAGTGAATTTCCTCCCCCAGTCCCCTCAGATGGAGGTGTTTGAGAAGAGCTCGACGGTCGACCCGGAAGTGCGAGCGTACATCTCATCGTTGGTGAATGCGGTGGGAGGAAGCTCGACGGATGACAGTTCCTACCAAATCGGAGACGATGCGGTGGCCGTGTTGAAGGATCTCCAGCGTTGGCTGCGATTGTACGATGAAAAGACCAATCGACTGGATGTGAAGCGGTGTTTGGCCGAGGCGAATCTGGTGCGAGGGGATTTGTTGGAGATATTGGCGACATGGCGCGAGGAAGAGCAGGATGGGAACAAATTGAAGGCGAAGTTGGCGTTGGCATGTCTGGAACTTCTGGTGCCCTTGACGTGGCCGTTGGTGTTGGAGGATGAGACGGCGACGGTCAATCATCACCGACATGTCCCCTACCTCCAACTGGCGCAGGTGGGATACAAGAGGGCCGTCTTGCAATTCGAGGATGCCCCCATCCTCCGAACGGCGGTGCGAGTCGCCATTCCCGCCATGGCCACTCCGCGAAGGGAGAGATCGAAGCGGGATGAGGGAATCATCAAGTTGATGCTCTACTTCTTCCGCAACCTGGCCATGATCACCCAACCCCAACATCTTCCCTCTCAGGGCGATGAGAATGAAGTCAGCCGATCCACCACCATCGACACCTTCCATCAGCAAGACATTTTCAGCGTCTTGTTGACCGTGGGATCCAGCATGGGAGAGGAATTTCAAGAACAGGACGTCATCCTGTTGGAGATTCTCTTCCACCTCCTCAAAGGCGTCGATGCGAGGAAGCTGTTCATGAAGAAGGAGCAGGTTAACAGCGAGGAGACGACGGAGCTGCAAATGTTGATGCAAAAGGAAAAGGCCATGCTGAACAGCTACAAGAAACACGCTCCCACCCGACACAACCGCTTCGGCACCATGATCTGGCTGAGGCGGGATGACATGAAGAATTCCACCGTCTCCGGCCAGGCCAGCATCACCAATGAAGCCACCACCCTCCACCAGATGGATGCCAGTAAGAAGTGGAACAAGCCGCAGTATCGGGGGAAGCTTGCCCAAGAATTCGACGAAAACTCCGAATTTGGCATGCGTACTGAATTGACCGACACCGCAAGAAATCATTTGCGACATTTTGTGGAAGATTTCTTGGATTCCTCCTTCAATCCCCTCTTCGTCTCTCTCCGAAAGGCGATGGAGAGAGAGGCCGATCGGGTGCAAGACATGCATCGGAAGCAGTATTTTTACCTCATCTCCTGGTTCCTCGCCGCAGAGGCCGCACGACGAGATCAATCAACAAGGGACAGTACGTGGAACGCGGACCGTCCGACACAGACCAACCCAGAAGACAACACATTTGCATACATCGCTGCCGTCCTCGATCAAGAAACTTTTGTCCTCTTGAACAGACAGATGCAGGCTGCGCTTGACAACAAGAGTTGGCAGGATCTTCAAGCCACTCTCCTCGCATTCACTCGCATCCTCTTGACCGTCCAGAGCATGGCGGAAAGTAAAGATGAGGAAGATCAGGAAATCGCAGAAAACATCCAAAACCGCATCTTCTACGAAGAAGCCACCCACGATCGCATCGTCCAGATCCTTCGAGGCTACACTCATCAGGGTTTCGCCTATCTGGATGCCATCACAGAATGTGTACACGTCTTCGTCCGCATGCTGGAACGCTACAGCAAGCAAAATGCAGACCTGCAAATCCGATCCAAACGTCGTGCTCGCAAAAAGACGGCAAAGTCGGCAAAGACGACGGTTGGAGATGATGCAGAAGACGCCGCCGACCAAGCCGCCGAAGATGAAAGAGATGCCCACCGTGCCGTCTCCGAGCGAAAGTTCGATTTCGCTCGCTTCTCTGCAAAGTTCCTTTCCCAGCAATGCGTCAACGCCTTTATCGCTTTGACCCACTACCACCGAGACCTCACCCCCGTACAGATGAAACGCGCACATCGATTCTTCTACCGCTTGGCCTTTAAACATGAACTGACGGTTCTCCTATTTCGAGTGGATATCCTACAACTCTTCCACAAAATGATCAAAGGCCCGGAAGGATTGGATCCCCACATGGAAGGCTTCAAAGAATGGGAACAGCTCGTTCAACAAGTCTTTCGAAGATGTATCAAGTGGATCGAACGGCCCAGCGACGGTCAAGGATGGAGAGAAGCGGCTGTTGTGGAGATGCTGTTCAGTAAGATTCCCGCGACCATGTTCTATCTTCAGAATGGGTATGAACGAGTGGTGGAGAAGAGAGCACCGCGCCCACCTGCCGAACTCGAAATCAAGGCCAGTGTTCCCGAGCAGCAGAGATTGGCTGTCGCGGTCTCCATGCTCATCGAACAGGCCAAAGTGGGGGAAGTCAGCTGGGTGAAGGACCAACTCAAGAATGCGCTACAGGAACGAAGAGCCTGGCAGGATGAGCAGAATGCGAGAGATATGGGTGTGGATGAGACTGCGAATCTTCCGGAATCTCTTCCCGCACCTTCAATCTTCATCAACCCTGATAATGAAGAGCGGAAGTTGGCATTGTTCAAGGATAAACATCTCCGTTTACTGCTCACTACATTGGGATTCCAACGTTTGGGATTAGCGGAGGATTCGGACGCTCAATGGATCATCCCATCCGACCTCTCGGCGGAGAAGATTGAGGAGGCATTGGGAAGAATCCAAGCCGCGGAATTCCATCCTCCAACATTTGACGACGACAAGACTGCTGCTGATCTCATCAAAAATAAGTCCTCGACGCGCCCCGCATTTCTCGATGATGATGACGAGTCGGAGGGAAGTGGAGGAGTGGATGATGCCATGTTCCCTCCCAATCTCAAGGAAAAACGCAAAGCTCCGGCTGATGATGGGAGTGAGTTTCCGCAGAAGAAGAGGAGGAGGAGGAGAAGGAAGAACTCGGATGCTGGGGAGCAGCTCACGGAAGCGGAGGTGGAAGCGAGGAGACGCGCGCGGGAGAAGAAGGAGCGGGAGAAGAATTCGCGGATCAAAAGTCGATTATATGTCACGCGTAGTGATGATGAGAGTGATGCGGAAGGTGATGCGGAGTTTTTCCGCTTGGAGGCTGAGAGGGGGAAGAGGACTGCCGGGGAGATTCGGAGGGCTGTGGCGGGGCTTGTTGCTGGAGATGGGGGAAAGAAGAAGAAGAAGACGAAGAGTGCGGGGATGGGGAAGACGACGAAGAAGAAGAAGATTCTGACGAGTGAAGAGAGTGGTGAGGAAGTGCGGGAG